CCCTTACGTATTCCCTCTTGGCGCCGCCCGTTGTAGGCCTCTACCCTGCACACCGTGCATGTCCCCTACCCTACTCAACACACCTCCGCAGGCCCAGTACGTCATACCCACTCCAGCACCCCCTGCAGCTTGCCATCCTTCAGGTAGGCAGACAAGGGAGCCAGCAGGGGGTCTTCCACCTCCTCCCTCCTGCCTCTTACGCCTGTTCCTCTCCCTCGCTGCTCTCCTCACTCTCCCAGCTGCACTCCTCGCTGCTTTCCCCTTGCTCCCACTCCAGCACCCCCTGCAGCTTGCCGTCCTTCAGGTAGGCAGACCAGGGAGCCAGCAGGGACCCAGAGCCGCCAGCAGCAGCGGATGATGGCTCCTCGCCCTCAGAAGACGGTGCCGCTAGCTTCAATGCCTCAGCGACACCATAAGCTTTATTGAGATCCACAAATTGACCTGACATCTCCATGCTCCATGCCCCCCACGGACAGCCGTGCTCCCCCCACCACGCCACCAGGCGAGCAGGTCCCGGGCTGAGTGCAGACACCACCCGGCCAGAGGCCTTGAGAGACGCTGGCAGGGTGCAGTACAGGTACACGCCAGCCGCTTGGGACCCCCTCTTATGACGTAGACCAGCATGCCACTCCATGCCAAGCGCGGCAACCCGGGAGGAGCCGTTGCTGAAACAGCCATCGAGACGGATGAGCGTGCCCTGCGCCTGGGACGCCAGTTTAGCTGCTAGATCCGTCTCCTTGACGTACCAGGAATAGCTCCTGTTGGCGGCAGAGGCAGGCAGAGGCGGCCGGGCAGGGGCAGCGTACCATTGCGAGCTGCAGTCGTACATCCCAGCAGCTGCAATTGCCATTCGCTTCGGCTGTACTTCTGCTGCGAAGCCGCAAAGGAAGCGGTGTTCCTTGGGGCTCAGCGGGAACCAAAGCAGCAGGGGCAGTACTTGAAAGAGGTAGGTGCTGCTGAGTTTGCTCAGCCGCACCAGCTGGCACGGCCGCTTGCGGACCTCCTCCGACGTCCACGTGTTCACCTCCAGCCAGCGCGCCAGCATGAGCAGCACGGTTGCCTCGTCGTCCGTGGCGAAGTGCTGGCTGCCCAGGAGCGCCTCCATGGCGGCGGGGGGCAGCGCCTCCATCTGCCGCCGCATCTCGGGCTCGCTCAGCACGGAGGGGGCGTCGCGGAAGGACCAGGCAAGCTGCTCGCCAAGGTTGGGGCCGCCATCGGGCATGGCGCAACCGTTCTTGCAGTTCTCCGCAAGCTGCTGCCGGCAGGTCCTGAGGACGTCCCTCAGGAGCTGGGCGCCGTTGGGTTCTTCAGTCTGCTCCGGGTCCGGCAGCTGCTTGCTGCAAGCGTAGATCTCCGCTACGCCCGCCAGACCATTGACGCGGTCGAGCAGGGCCTTATCGCACGCCTCCACGCAGCCCTCCACCTGCAGATAGGCCGCCTGCCGCCGGATGTGCAGCAGGTCCAAAGCGTGGTCTGCGGTGACCGCTCCAGAATACATGAAGCGAATCGCTGCTAGCGCGTGCGGCAGGTCATTAGCTGAACGCAAAGGCACGCGCAGCACCGGTTTGCTGCCTGCAGGGCCCTTCTCCTGCTTCCAGCGTTTGATGTGCGCTCGGAAGCGACGGCATCCGCAGTGAAGCACAAGCAGGTGCGCCGGAAGCGGTTCGCCGAAAACAGGCTTCAGGGTCACGGTGACAAGCCTGGCTGAAGGCTGATCTGCGCCCTGCGCAATTGTTAGGCCGGAAGTCGCGGCTGCAATGTTAACGGAGACCAGCTTTTGGAATGAATGCGGCACATCATCTGTCCATTGCCATATTGAAGCCGGATCTGGTGCTGGGTCGAAAAAGGCGGACGCCTGGTCACAGCCATGCCGTGAAGGAGCTAGCTCCACATTTTCAGGGCAGAACACTATTGAGCAATCCGAGAACTCCTTACTACCGAAGAGCGCTGGAAGGTTGGCGGTAAGGGACCCGGACATGAGCGGCTATTTTATTACTATGCTAAAAATTATAACAAAAAGGCTGTCAAGTGTTGCAAGACACTTGTCTAAGCTATATGAACTATCCTATTAGTATCCTGTTAGATGCGAGCTACTGCGATGTAACCGCAGGGAGGGCTTTCTGCGTGCTCGCGTGTGTACGGTAGGCGAGCGCGAGATGTCGTGCAAATTGCCGAGGTGACTTCATGAGCGGGGTAGAACGTAGACCATGGCACGCTTTTGCGGGGCTATTCCCGCGCTACAGCAGGATCGGCGAGACGTTGTCGTGCCGTGTATATCCAACGGCGACAGGAAGCTGCCGTCTCGTCAGCTCTTGTTGACCCATGGGTCACCCAACTGCGCCAACCCTCCCAACTCGCCTAACCCCCTCATGCGCTTTGCTCTCATCCCACAGGCCTCTGGAACCGCTTCCTCGCCCCTGCCACCGCCACTATGTAGTACGAGGGGTGTCGACCAGCGTGCCTGCCGCCTGGCGTCATGCTGCCCTCCACCACCACTCCCTCAAGTCATCTCGGTTTCTGGTAAGCAAGCAATTGGTAAGTCTCTGAGTTGCGTGTTTCTGGAACAGTGTCTCCGAATGCGCACACTGCATGAGTCGGGATTCGGGATTGGGAATCCGTTGTTGCACTTATCTATAATTTTGCCCCCACCTCCGCCCCCATGGCTGCCCCCCTCCCCTCACCGCCCAACGTCCCTGCTGACACCTCGCAGCTTCCACGCACCCGCATCCAGTATACCTCAGCCACAAGCAGCTGGTTGAATCTGCCGCATTCCGCGCCCGTGTCTACCTGTACATTCCTCCGTTGCCAAGCAAGCAGGGCTGGGATGATGGTGAAGGGCCCACCCCACCCCGGGGGTGGGTCAGTTAGTTGTTTCCTCTTTACCACCCCGGGGGTGAAGGTGTCAAGGGCCTCGACAGGGCGGACTGGTACAAGACTGTCCTACCCCGAGGAAACCAACACATCCTTGCATGCGTGCAAAGAATCGTGGCGGCCGAACATCCCATTGCCAGCATTACCCCATAGCACCGCAGTCACCAAGCTGGGTTGTAACCATGGCTTACCCACACCTGCCCTGCGTCCCGCGGTCAAGCAGGGCCTTATCGCACGCCTCCACGCAGCCCTCCACCTGCAGGTAGGCCGCCTGCCGCCGGATGTGCAGCAGGTACGAAGCGTGGTCTGCGGTGACCTTCCTCGTGTAGATTAGGTGAATGAGTGCCAGCGAAAAACGCACTTCGTCAGCTTAAACCAGGCACTGGTTTTCTGCCCGGGGCCCTTGTCCTGCCTAAAGCGATCGTCCTGGGAGCGTAAGCGAAGGTATTTGCAGTGAAGCACAAGCAGGTGCACTGGAAACAGATCCCGAGAACAGGCTTCAGCGTCACTATGACAAGCCTGGCTGAAGACTGGTCAGTGCTCTCCTTCGCTGGCATTAAGTCAACTGACGGAGAAGAGCTTTATCGGACGAAGTGAAGCATTAGCTGTCCCTTGTCGTATTGAAGCTGGCTCTGACGCTGGGTCTGAAGTGAGCGACCATCACAACAAAGCCGAAACGGGGCCCGATTTTGATTGTAGACTCCTATAAAGCAGTACTAGAGCTTCCCACTCCAAAAGAGCGTTGCAACCTTGCAAGGTAGGTGGTAGGAGACCTTGACACGAGCGGCTGAAAAACACACCTAAAACTGCTGACTGACCGTTGGGTTTACGTATGAACCGATTGCCTCTTAACAAAAGCATGTCGCGGCCCTTTTCCACGCAGGAGAGCAATACGGTGCAGTATCAGGGTGCTGTCCGGCGTAGCTGGTTACCCCCCTGTCGACAGCTAAGGATGCGAAAAATACAGGTGAGTTACAGGGAGCTAAGGCATTTCAAATTTCAAATAAGAAGTAGACAAACGTGAAAGGAAAGAGCGAGGAGGACTCTCCTACGAACAAGTGAGCGGATCCATGGAACCCCTTGTACAACATTAGCCGCGCGCCGCACAACCATTAAACTGTAACGTCGAATGATTCAATTCCTTTGTGGCCTTAGTGCGCACTCTGATCCACTAATTGACTGCTTGCTTGCGAAGGGTATTGCAGCAACATTCTTCACTTAAGTCTAGAGGTAGTTATCACCCACACATGTCGGGTCCCCTTACCGCCTTTCTTTCAAAGCTCTTTGGTCGTGAGGAGCTCTCCGATTGCTTAATAGTATTCTACCCCGAAAATGCGGAGCTGGCTCCTTCTCGGCATGGCTGTGGCCAGGCTCGCGACGCAGGAAGAGAACCGCCTTTAAAGAGGCAAAAAACTTATGGTTTGTCGTTATCTTCCCTAAAGCTCGTCTCTCTTCAGATTTCAACTGCTACTGCCGGCTCGATGTCGGTGGACCAGAGCGCTAATCAGTCCTCAGGCAGGCTGGTTACCGTAACCCTAAACCCTGTATTCGGTGATCCACTTCCAGCGCACCTGGTTGTGGTCTATGGCGGTTGCCCCCGATTCCGTGCCCAAGTCGATCGCTGGAGGGGGGAGAAGCGCCCTGATAGCAAGCCTGTGCTTCGCGTGCCCTTGCGGTCAATTGAGGAACTACCACACGCGTTAGCCGCTATTCGCTTCATCTACGAGGGCAAGGTCGCCGAGAATAGCGCCTCCGAGCTGCTGTGTGTCCGGCGGCAGGCGGCCTATCTGCAGGTGGAGGGCTGCGTGGAGGCGTGCGATAAGGCCCTGCTCGACCGCGCCAATGGCCTGGCGGGCGTAGCGGAGGTGTATGGCTGCCGCCACCTGCTACCGGACCCGGAGGAGACTGAGGAACCCAACAGTGTGGAGTTCTGTAGTGAGGTACTGAGGATCTGCCGACAGCAGCTTGTAAAGAACAGCGGTGTTGCTACGCCGGCGGGCGGCCCCAACCTTGGCGAGCTGCTTGCCTGGTCCTTCCGCGACGCCCCCTCCGTGCTGAGCGACCCCGAGACGCGGCGGCAGATGGAGGCGCTGCCCGCCGCCGCCATGGAGGCGCTCCTGGGCAGCGAGCACTTCGCCACGGACGACGAGGCAACCGTGCTGCTCATGCTGGCGCGCTGGCTGGAGGTCAACACGGGGACGTCGGAGGAGGTCCGCAAGCGGCTGTGCAAGCTGGTGCGGCTGAGCAAGCTGTGCAGCACCTACCTCTTTCAAGTACTACCACTGCTGCTTTGGTTCCCGCTCAGCATCCAGGAGCACCGCTTCCTCTGCGGCTTCACGGCAGCTGCAAAGGCGCAGCAGCAGCTCATGGCAGGCATGATCGCTGGGACATACGACTGCAGCTCGCCCTGGTACGCTGCCCCTGCCCGGCCGCCTCTGCCTGCCTCTGCCGCCAAAAGGAGCTATCCCTGGTACGTCAAGGAGACGGATCTAGCAGCTGGGCTGGCGTCCCAGGCGCAGGGCACGCTTACCTCTCTCGATGGCTGTTACAGCAACGGCTCCTCCCGGGTTGCAGCATTTGGCATGGAGTGGCGCGCTTGCCTGCAACATAAGAAAGGGTCCCAAGCAGCTGGCCTGTTCCTGTACTGCAACCTGCCAGCGTCTCTGAAAGCTCCTGGCAGTGTGATGTCTGCGGTCAATCCGGGGCCTGCTCGCCTGGTGGCCTACAAGTGGCGGGAGGACGGCAGCCGGGAGGAGGCATGGAGCACGAAGTATTCAGAAATCTATATAGAGGTCGGCATTGGCCGGGGCACCTCTGAGGCATTTAAACTAGCGGCACCGCGTGCTGAGGGCCAGGAGCTGTCATCTGCTGCTGCTGCCGGCTCTGGGTCCCTGCTGGCTCCCTGGTCTGCCTACCTGAAGGACGGCAAGCTGCAGGGGGTGCTGGAGTGGGTGCAGTGAGGCATCATACGGATAGCGAATAGCATGTGTCCAGACCGTACAGGGTAGGCTCTAGGTTGCCTGGGCCTACCTTACCTTTAGGCCTTACCTACGATAGGTATATTGATCGTGCGGCATTGTACTGCGTTGCACAGCACGGCAGTGCATTGTACAGTTGCAGGTTAGTTCGTATATCTGTCGGGAGGCCGCATTGGCATCAGCTTCTTCTGCCCCTGCAGGTAAAGGCGGCATGTGGTTTGGCGACTGTTGTTCTGTACTTTCCGTTGTCAAGTAGGCAGTTAAGTGTGGGTGCTGGAGTGTAGTGGGGCATCATACGGATAGCGAATAAGATGTTGTGTCCAGGCATGGCATGAGATCCGCACTGGTGGTCTTGCTTTGGCGCATGTACCGGTATGATGCCGCAATGAGGGAAGTGGTGCATTAATGCGGTTCCGTTTACAATGCAGCATGGCCGCTTCTGGGTCCCCTTTAATGCATGGAGACGGGATGTGGGTTTTACCGGACGCTGTGTGGTGCCGGGTGCCTCCGTGATGTTGGAAGCAAAGGGTCGTATCGTTGCAGCCGTGCCATAGTGACAGTCGCAGGAGGGGTTACTGTTGCCGCAGTACAAGCCACCTGAGAGCTGGTAGCTCCGAGATGTTGCGCTTTGCCATAGCATGCCGCTGTGTTCAGGTATGAGGCGTTATGATGGACTAAGCGCAGTCACAAACCACTATCCTCTTTTGCCATGCACCTATTCCCGTGTTGCTCACTATGCGTGTGACTCAGTCGTTGCGCTTGCATGTGTAGGGTGGGTGGTTTAGCAGGTTGTGTGCGTGTTGTAATAGGTTGCTGGGTATTGAAATGTCAGCACGGGCAGGAGGGCCTTTGCGCGCAAACAGACCCCTTAGGGTTGCCATGTTATATTGGTGGTGGCTCAATGGGCTACTGTAGGGGCTTCCTGCGGAAGGAACCCAACATGCAGTGAGGGAAGTGGAAATTGGCTTTGGTACGGGAGTGAACTTCGGTTTCACTGACTGCGGAAATCGTCGGATGGGCTGGGTCAAGGGCACTTTGCCACGATGATTTGCACTCAAGCAATTATGTTGCTGGCGGTGCGTGCATGCAGCATGCGTCGATTGGGGCTGGCCAGGTCAGTGCCGCATGAGAGATGAGCCTGCGATGGCAGTAGAGCTGGAATGGCAAGTGGAAGCGGCAACCTGTTGACACATATGATTGGTTTAGCTAGAGATAGAAACATAAAAAAGCAGGTGGCTGTAGGTGTAGTGTGGTGCTTACAGGACGCTGAGGTGGCAATAGCTTGTAGGTGATCCACAAAGGGCAGACGAGAGCTACTGAGGCTAGTTAAATGCAGACTCCTGTGTGTCAGTTACCCGGGTACTTCCCTGGCTTAATCGTACCGCCCTGGCTTGTGGCTCTTGCCACATGGTGCATAGGACATGTTGGTGGGTCACTGGGCGCCGGGCTCACTGTATCGGTATTGCTCGAAGAAGCGTTGCCTCCTTAGGGGTACGAGTCACTGCAACGGCAGACCCACCATCCACCGACGCAGTAGCTGCAGTTGGTTCGGGGCCAGACGTCTTGGCAAGGGGAAATGCCCCCGTTGCGCCATCATCTGCATTAGCGGGTTAGACGTGGCATGGGGCGCGGCGGAGTGGCGAGGACGGGCCACTCCTCCTCGGCAGCTGCACACTGGCCATGGTTCAAACTGATAGCTATGCTCGGGGCATGGCAAGTGTGGCCGGCCTGAGCCTGAGCTTAAGGCCTGACCAGCATTCGGTGCGGGTTTCTTTTCACCAGTTCCTTCATACGGTCCTCTGTAGGCTTCACGCTTCGTAACGGTAGGTTTGAGCCTCATCCGCCGGTACCCTTCACCCCTCATCCGCCGTCCTACCCCCCCCCCCAATCTTTCTGTGGCTTCCTATGGTTCGGTATGGTCTTTGACCCCACTCTTTCTATGAAGCCACTGCTGCCCTCCGCCTTCTCCGTCTCTAGCAGATTACCTCCACGTTCTGACGAAGGTTGACAGGCTACCCTTCTCATACGCCTCCATTGCTTCACGACCTCCTTGTACCGCGTTATCTCTCAGCACCAATGCCCATGATTGGAAAGTGCGAGCCAAAGGGCTTCAGGAAAGGGTAGCTACAAAACCCGTCAGCTTCGCGGACACCGGGGCTCGCCCCCTTTTTAAAATCAAAACTCGCTGAGCATAGGACATATCGGTGCCGGCTGGGCGGAGGGAGGTCGTACAGTTGGGATTCGTATTACATGTTAGCACTAACATGTTAGCAGTATGTGTAACTTTCCTCCTTGTAACTTTCGTATTCTCTGTGTAGATGCGTCAATGCGGTCCGTGGGCGTGCCTGTGTGACCCTGCTTCCCCGTGATTCGACTCGAGGTCGGCGGTGCGTAGAGCTAGTGGAAACGGGAACAAGGGTTGCCCACAGGAATGCGACGAAGGCCATGCCGGGCGAGGGACGCCTCAAATACGTGAAACAAACACGTGGTTCGATTCACTTTTCAAACGTGGGCGTTGAACGAACGAAATGTGTGAACGAACGTAAACGTGAATGAACGTAGCGGGACGAAGCCAACTTTGTGGCCGCCAAGGCAGCGGCAGCCTTTGCTATCGTGTTTGTATTGGATTACGACTAAGCCTATAACATTATAACCGATATAGCATATTTGTCACTTCATTTTATTGCAAAAGGCAAGATAGGCTTGAGGGAGGCACAACAAGAAACAAGTTAACCTTGGCTTATGGGCTAAATGTTGGTTCAAGCTTTGCAACACCACAATGACATTGCTATGGAAATTACGAATCACCTTGACAGCATTTTCTTTTTCGCCGACATGTACGACATTTGGGTCGTCTTCTGAACACTGAGCCTCTCTCTTTTTCGACATGACATTGTACTCAAATCACAACAACGAATACAACGCCACCTTGTTCGACCGAATCTGCGACCTCGGTGCAGGTACATGTAAAATGTACAGGGATACAACATAGGACATGTTCACGGTACAAAAAGGACATAACGCCTCGGTCCGGACCATTTTGAGTGAACGCTAAGACTACGCCCCTAATCGGGGCGAGCCAACGATGCGGGACCGTCGCTCACAAAGGCGCCGATGCAAGCAGTTAACAGTTGCGGTTGTTGGGCATTCATACACCCTTGCTGTGGAGGGAAGGGCATGCATGCGGACGAAAGCCCTGCATGGGGGGGCACATGAGGCCCCCACGAGGGGCCGAGGTTTACGGGGCAGGGAGAGGGCAGGGGAACGCAGGCCTTGTCGCTCTCCTCAGTGGCCTCTCTGACCAGTCCTTAACCTTCACCGCAATCGGCTGGCCGGTGCTAACGTTCCTTTATGCAAGTGCGCAATGTGCATCATAAAGCACTCCGGTGGAACCATCCTATCTACTCCGCAAGGGAATGAAATCCGAAAGTACCTCTGCTCCTCACATTATACGGTCCCGTCCAATGTAATTGCATTCCAACCCCAACACATCATTAGTCAATACTGTGCACACAACTACCTAAATATTTTTACCATCCGCTGCAGGCGGCCCTTGTTGAAGTACTATGGCCTTTTAGGGCGATTTGGAGAGCGAGCGCAATGTCCGGTCCGTTTACAGGCTACCTGTCAAGCCTCTACGGTAACGAAGAACACTCAGATTGCAAAGTCATCTTCTACTGCAGTGCTCCAGACAATACAAACACTTGCGAAGCGGCGGAGGCCGAGGACGGTAAGCAAACGACGAGCAAGCGGCAAAAAGCGGCAAGCGGTGATCGCGCCACAGCCGGTCAGCTTCAACCCCATGAGGACCAACATCTGCTGGATAGGAAACGCATAATCGGACAGCCGCTATCTGCTCACAAGCTCGTGATCTGCGGCGGCTGCCAGTTCTTCGGGGCACTCGCTCAAGCCGACCGATGGCCTCAGGCCTGCGACCCAAACGACGGCAAGGCCATCTTCCGTGTTTCTTTAAACACCCCGGACGAGCTGCCGCACGCATTGGCTGCCCTGCGCTTTATCTACAGTGGCAGGGTGGCCGCCAAAAGCGTTTCGGATCTGCTGGGCATCCGACGTACGGCAAGTTGGCTGGAAGTGAAGGGCTGCGTGGAGGCGTGCGATGCCGAGCTGCTGCAACGCATCACGAGTTTGGCGGGCGTAGCCGAGGTGTACGGCTGCCGCCACCTGCTGCCGGACGCTGAAGAGCCCGACGGCGCCCAGCTCCTGAGGGACCTCCTCAGGACCTGCCGGCAGCAGCTGGTGGAGCACTGTGGCGACACGCTACCCGCGGGCGGCCCCAGTCTTGGCGAGCTGCTTGCCTGGTCCTTCCGCGACGCCCCCTCCGTGCTGAGCGAGCCCAAGACGCGGCGGCAGATGGAAGCGCTGCCCGCCGCCGCCATGGAGGCGCTCCTGGGCAGCCAGCACTTCGCCACGGACGACGAGGCAACCGTGCTGCTCATGCTGGCGCGCTGGCTGGAGGTCAACACGGGGACGTCGGAGGAGGCACGCAAGCGGCTGTGCAAGCTGGTGCGGCTGAGCAAGCTGTGCAGCACCTACCTCTTTCAAGTACTACCACTGCTGCCCTGGTTCCCGCTCAGCAACAAAGAGCACCACTTCCTCTGCGGCTTCGCAGCAGGAGCGCATGGCATTTGCAGCTGATGGGACCTTCGACTGCAGCTCGCCCTGGTACGCTGCCCCTGCCCGGCCGCCTCTGCCTGCCTCTGCCGCCAAGAGGAGCTATCCCTGGTACGTCAAGGAGGCGGATCTAGCAGCTGGGCTGGCGTCCAAGACGCAGGGCCTCGACCTCGATGGCTATTTCAGCAACGGCTCATCCCGGGTTGCAGCATTTGGCATGGAGTGGTGCGCCTTCCTGCAACGCAAGAAGGGGTCCCAAGCGGCTGGCCTGTTCCTGTACTGCACCCTGCCAGCGTCTCTCAAGGCCTCTGGCCGGGTGGTGTCAGCGGTCTGCCCGGGGCCTGCTCGCCTGGCGGCCTACACGTGGCGGGAGCACGGCAGCCGGGAGGAGGCATGGAGCATGGAGTATCCAGGTCGCTATGTGCAGGTCGGCGCGGGCTGGGGTGTCGCTGAGGCATTGGAGCTAGCGGCACCGCCTGCTGAGGGCCAGGAGCCGTCATCCGCTGCTGCTGGCGGCTCTGGGTCCCTGCTGGCTCCCTGGTCTGCCTACCTGAAGGACGGCAAGCTGCAGGGGGTGCTGGAGTGGGTGTAGTGAGGCATCATGGGTAGATGGCAGCGAGGACAGGCGACGGCGGGAGTCCTAGTCTGGCTGGCCAGTGGCTACCCTGACCTGCTGGCTACCGTACAGGGTAAGCTCTAGGTTGCCTGGGCCTACCTTACCTTTAGGCTACACCTACGACAGGCATGTTGATCGTGCGGCACTGCACTGCGTTGTACAGCACGGCACCGTTGTGCAGTCGCAGGTTAGTTCGTATGTCTGTCGGGGGGGGCCGCATGTGCATCAGCTTCCTCCGCCCCTGCAGGTAGAGGCGGCATGTAGTTTGGCGGCTGTTGTTCTGCACTTTACGTTATCAAACAGGCAGTTAAGTGCACCGTTGGTTGCAGTACAGCTGCAGGAACGCACGCTGCAGGGCTGATGCGGGTAGCGCATGACCAGCAGATGGGTTCCTTGCGTGGGAGGGGTGGTAGTAAGAGTGGGAGGGGCTGAAAGGTGGGCAGTGCGGTGAGGGGATTGCCTACATAGGAGCGTTGCGGGATGCCTGCATAGAAGCACTGCAAGGTGCTTGCCGTGTCATAATATGGATGTGTCCGGGCAGGTTTCGCATGTATGCATTTCCCGCGTTATACCATGCATCAGCAAGCAGGAAGAGGGGGTCCTGGTGTTGGGGTGGCAACAGAGCACGGCGGCGAGTGCGTATGGCTTTGCAGACCTTCAGTGCCTACACGTTTGGTCGACGCAATTTTGTCGCTGCTCCGCCGGGAATGTACCAGTAGCTTGGTGCCTTAGCGGCCGTCTGAAGCGATACAACGTTAAGCTTGTAGTCCTCAGTCGGCTGCGTTAGGCTACGTGTTCCAAGGGGCGTTGTGAAAGGGTAGCCTGGCGGCGCAACGTCATGAGGTGTAGCTGGCTTCAGAAGCGGACACGCCTCCCTTGCTGACCCACGGGTCGTTGCGTTAGACTGTGCTACACGAATACACATTAACGTCGAAGTGGTGCGGTTCAGCCACGATCATCCATAATTGCTAAAAATTGGCATCCAAGGCATCAACCTTCACCCTTACGCCGACTGACGGCCAGGGCTCTGAGAGCACCAGCCAACAGCCAAGCACCACAACTCATGTATGTACGACATGTACGACATGCCAGAACCACATACACCAGCACCACATTCAGGGCACCACTCTCACAGCACGCCAGGAAGCTGCATAAAACTCCCCACAGCCTGCATCCCTCCACCCATCCGTCCATCCTGCCGTACTCGCTGCGAGCATCTAACCCGTCCTCTACGGTACGCTACCTCCACTCGTGTTCCTCCGGTACATTACCTCCGCACATTACCTCCTGCAGTACCCCACGTTGTCAGTGCCCAGACTGCCAGCGACGCCATGTCAACACATGCTCTCCAAGCTCATCCCCGCCCCTCCTGACACAGGCTGCAACCCACACGCTTTCCTCAACCGCCTCCTCCCCCGCCTTCTTAGCCTCGTCCCTTCCCAGCAGTTATCGCCCCCGCCCCCTCCATCCCTGTCGCCGGCCCCTCTCACCCCTCCTCCATAGCCAGCACGCTCTCTAGAATGCTACTCCCCGGCTTAGCCCACGTCAGCAGCTCCCGTCGCGCCTCCTCTATGAAGTCATCCAGGTCGGCGGCGGACAAGGCGGCGGGTCCGGCGCGAGAGGAAGCCTCCTGCAGCAGCTGCCGCCGCCTGTGCAGCACTCGGCCTCGGCGGATGAAGGTACGCCAGGCCTGTGGGAACGGACGAGGGCGCGGGTCAATACTTAATACCGGTACATCACCTAAGGCAGCGGCGATGATGATGAAGGAGGTGTTGAAATAGCGCGTTGCTGTCGTCGGGTGGTTGCTGGCATGGCACATGCGACATCCCGGTATCACAAAGTAAGTAGGTAGCCCCCGAAGGGCGACATGAACACCGCACAGGGCGCCGTACAGCAGCCTTCGAAGCACCGCACCAGGCAGCCACGGTGCATTGAAGCCAACCAAACATGCACCCCCCCACAGCGTCCTCACCATGAAAACCGCCAGGGGCTGTGCGCCTCCCGAGGCGGCGAAGGCGGACAGCTCCCGCCGCACTGCAGCCAGCCCCTCCGCAGCCGCCCAGTCGAGCTGCAGGCGCTCCAGCAGCGGCTGCGAGGGGGGGGGACCACAAGGAAGTACACGTCAAGTACGGAAAACTGACGAACTGAGGGGGGGGGCAGCAGCTAAGGCGGCGGCGAAGGACGGCGGCGCATGTTAGGAGGACCAAGGCGGATCAAGGGCAAGGAAGACCGGGGAGGAGTACGCAACAGGATTATGAAGGGCATGCGCTGTGACACGTAGTGTGGATAAGAGAAGTGAAAGAAGCGAGGAAGAAGGGGGGGGCGATGACAAAGTTAGCTCAAAAGCTCCGCTTTAGCTTGGAAAGGCGTTTGGGGAACAGGCGAGAGGATGCATAGGGGTAAAGACGCCTTCGTAGCGGAATTCCAAGCCGGCCTTACCTCAACTTTTTGACAAAAGGTCACATAGCGTTCACGACTGCATGCCTCCGACCCATGGGTCGATTTCATGGAGGCAATGTCCCGGACGGAGTCATCGGAGGCGCTGGTTGCAGCATCCGCTGCTCCTGCTGCTGACATATCATCGGCATTAATCAGTTTGTTGCGCCGCTGCCTCCGCCGCTGTTCCGCTCGCAAGCGTGCCTCGGGGTCAAGGTCGCGAATGCACAAGAAGATCGGTCCTGCATTACAAAAAGGTTATTGGGAAGGACGCGTAGAGCAGAGTCTTTACGTGATGCCGAGGCACGGGCGAACACACCCCCGTGGCAAAGCGAAGTCTCCCCACAACCAGCTGCAAAAGCAGTCAAGGACTGCTCTACAGCGGAACTGAGCGAAAGCCACCCCAGCAGACATTGGCCCCAACGCAGGTGTGCCATCACTGGTCTGCTCGTACACGCCCCGCCGCATGCATCAGTGAGTCCCAACCGCTGGCCGCAAGTGGCCCAGCTTACCAACCATCGCATGCAGCTTGAAGGGACTCAGCCCGATGTAAGCCTGGTCTGCAAGGCCAGTCAGCGCCTTTATGGCGTCCTCCGGACTCAGTCGGCACTCCCCATCGCCCAGCCTTCCCGCAATCTACAAGGGCGGACGAAGGCGGCTCAGGGGACTGGTAGCATAGGCGGGAACCACGTTACCACATGCAGAGTCTTCACTTCATGGCCGGGGTATACTACAATACTAGGCAGATACCTCAACCCGGGCAGATACTTCGGCAGATACCTCGCCCCTGAAGAACCAAGCAGAGTAGGAGACCGTTTGGAGCAATCGCAGACCCAATCTCCAGCATTGCAGCCGCCCAAACACCACAGGGTCGCCCAGTCCCATACGACACCCATAACAAGGTTCCCCCCCACTCAGGACCCACTCTCTGCTCTTCCGTAAATATTCTTAGTGTCCCTTAGGATTCTTCTACAATGCTTAAAACCCTACAATTCCTAACGGTTCGTATACCTGATGCAGCACGCGCGCCTCGAGCACGTGATGATCCTTCGTGAGCACCGTCAGCAGCGTGGCTAACTGGCGCCCGCTGAAAAACAGCCAAAACGTTCCCGTGAGTCGTCGTAGCGCCGCGAGCTCTAACGCCGAGCCGGGCAGTCCGAGCTGCGGAGAGCAGGAGAGGCAGGTCGGGAGGGAGAAGAAAGGAGGAATGAGGAGCGGAGGTCAGGCCAAAGCGCAATTTGACCATTATCGTAATTGGAATTCACAAATACTTGGGTTACTGGGTGCCGAGGTCGCGCAGTGCGCAGATCCTCAGCCTTGCAAAAATTAAGCCCTGCCGGACACCCGAAGGGCCGACCACGGAAGGCCCTCGCGCAGTGCAAGGCGAAGTCCAACCGTGTAACCGAGGCCAACTGGACCACCTCGAGAAACGGGCCAGGTAAGTATGATTAAGTAAGAATGCCGCTTGGCACCCCACCTTACTGCGGTCAGTTCATGTAGGCACACAGGCGATGGTGGGTGGAAAATCCTTGCCACATACAACTCATCTCCCATCCGTAAGAGGCCCCAAAACAGCACCTGACACAGCTCACACGACCCTGAAAGCCTAGGCCACGTTACCGGTACCAGTAAAAAAACCCCAATCATCCGTTGCCCCTTGCCGTAATGCATGACCCTCCCACACACCAACTCCCAGCCCCTACCTGAAGCCGTCTAGCAGCTACCAGAAGCGCCCCCACAGCAACTTCCGATATTCCCCTTCTGCGGGCGACACCTTCATTGCTGCCGCCGTTACTACCGACGTCACTATTGCTGTCACCGCTACTGCCGCCATTGCTGCTGCTGCTGCCGCTGCTATTGCTGCTGTTGCCGCCGTCATCGTCGCCATCATCGTCATCGTCATCTGCCACCTCTTCTCCCTCCTCCTCAAGCCCCTCCGCCGCCGCCGTAGCCGGCTCCTCTGCTTCCTGCTGCTGCCCAGGCAGCAGTGGCCGCCTCGGCAGCAGGATGGCGCTGTAGTGCCGCCAAACAGTCCACCTTGCCGTGTGTCGTGCGAAGTCCCGCGGCACGACAGTCGTCAGCAGCAGCAACAGCAGTGCAGCCAGCGGCTGCGGCAACGGCCGCGGCTTTGTGTGCTTCCGCTGCAGGCCTACGGTGCCGCCGCCAGAGCTTCCATCCTCGCCCGCCTCCTCCTCCTCCTCGTCTTCCTCCTCCTCCTCGTCCTCCAGGGTTTGGCCCTCGGTATCTCCGCCTTGGTTGCCTCCCTCGGAACCGAAACCAAGCTGGAAGTCAAGCCTGTTGTCGTATCTGGTCATTCCAACGGACAGCAGATGTAACGCACGCGCCGCCAGCGCGCTGCCGACGTAAGGCCCCACTGTCGTCCCCAACGCCGCCGCCGCCGCCAGCAGCGCCGCCACCTGGCTAGCGCTCATGTACGGCACACGAGCCGCGATCTGTGCTGGATCCTTACGAAAGAGCGACCCTGGCACGCCTAGCAACCAGTACATCTCTGCCACTGCTCTTGAAATGCGTCTTCTGTCGTACACATTTGTTGACGAATCGGCATCGTGCGAGACATCCGATGGCTCCGCTGATGCCGTCGGTGCTGTGGCGGCGGCAGCTGTCGTACCATGGTCACCTTGTACGGGAACGCTTCCGTACAATGCGTTCGCCTGTTGTACAAAGCCCCGTAGACTCTGAATGGATTCCCGGACATCAAGCACACCATGATCTAGGACAGCAGTCGCGACGGCATCCAGCACCTCGCCAGCAGCAGCTATGACCCGCCGGTCGAAATCAAGTTTGAGGTGAGAGTCTCCGCCGTCGCCAGTGCTGCCGCTGCCGCTACTGTTCACGGTTCCGCCGCCGCACATCTCATCTGGGATCATGTCGACGCCCGCAAGAATGCGCAGCTGCTCAGGCATCAGCGGCCAAATCGTACACCTGCTGCTTGCAGATAACCCGCCATCGCCGCCGCCCTCACTGTCGCCTGCACCCCCTCCCTCGTCCTGCGCCTCCGCCACCTCTCCTAGCATCCCATACCCGCCATACGTACTCGACCGTGCCGCCGCAGCCGCTGCCCTGGCGGCGCCCGCAACAGCGGTGACGTCAGCAGCGGCGGCGGAGCCTTCGGCGCAGGCTTTGAGCACGGGTAGTTCTGCCGACAATGCGCGCACCGCCGCTGCGACGGCGGGTCCCGGCGGCTTCGTGAGCACCCGAATGATGTCCGCTGCTGCCGTACCTCGGCCGCCGCCGCGGTCTCGGAAACGCGGAGCCCAGGGGCGCCTTCCGTCGGGCTGGACAAAGCTCGGCGTCACTGGGCTTGCAGCATCGAACCCGTGGTCGTCACCAGCCAGGATAGCTTCGAAGCTGTCAAGGCTGGTGAACGGCGTGGGCGTTCGGCTGCTGCTGTTGCTGGGGTTGCTGTTGCTGCTGCTGTTACTGCTGCTGTTGCTGCTGCTCCTGCCCCAAACGTCGCCTTCCTTAGCTACCCAACCCGACCTGGCTGCGTTGCCAGGCGCAGCCTGAGTGGAACCCCCGTCGGTTTCGCCATAACTGCCACGACTGCTGCTGCTGTAATCAACACGGACGTCACGGCTCCTGGCGCCGCCAACGGGATCCATGCCCCTCGGCTCCTGCTTCGCAGCGCTGCTGGCTCCGATTCTGTCATGGCGGCCTTTGCGGCTCTCTCCAGTCGGTTCCCCACCAGCACTACCCAACTGATGCGAGATGGCACCCCGGCTGCAGCCACGGGCGTCCTTGCCGGCTGCCCATCCTCCCTGCAAGGATCCAGGCCGCTGCTGCTGCGGCGGCTTTTCCGTGCGCGGCTGCTGCCGTTCCGGAGGCGTCGGCGAACGCTGCTGGTGCAGCCAGGCCTCACGCTCCCCATGCTCTTGTCGTTGCTGCCCCCACCCCCGCCTCCGTTCTGCTGATCCCTCCTCGCCATGTTCCTGTCCTACCCGATGCTGCTGCTGGGGCTGCTGCTCCTGCTGCCCCTGCGCCTGCCCCACCTGCTCCCCTTGCTGCCCTCTCCATCGCTGCCGCCGCCGCTGCTGCTGCTGCTCTTGCTGCTCCTGTCGTCCTGGTCCTGCACGCTCCTGCCGTTCCTGTCCTAGCCCCTGCTCCTGCGCTTCCGCTTTTCGACCTAGCGGTCGCCTAACCGAGGGCCTTTCCAGCTCGTGCACCGCATCCCGTTGTTGTACGGCATTGTGATCTGCCGCTGTACCGGCGGCATCATGCCTGCTGCCGGCACCGTGGCCGTGGTGTCCATCCACGTGAGGCGCAGCAGCATTTAACGACGGCGCTGTTGCTGGGGATCCTGTTTGCGGAGTCGCAGCAGCGGCTACGTCCCTCTCGCCTGTGCTCTGAGGACCGTCACGCTGTCGCCGAGACCTGCTTCTGTTATTACTACTGCTGCTGCTGGTAGTACGGTTGTTGTTGTAGCCGGCATCTCCGGGTTGCGTGTTGTTGTGCTTTCCCTCAGATCCGAAGTCGCTCCGAGTTGTGGCTGCTGCCCGCCTGCTGTCCCTGCGGTCGCGGTGCTCCGCAGCATGGGCGTTAGCATCAACATCAGCTGCTGGTCCAAAGTAGCTGCCGAGACCGGGTTTCGACGACCGCGGGGAGCTCAATTGCTTATCCCGGACTATGGGTGTTGCGGAGGGCGTGTCGTTGATGGGGTGTGGGTCGACACCGGCTGTCCCTGCCGATGCCGACCTCCGCCGGCGCGGATGCCTACGGCTTTCTGTGTTCGCTGCATCACTGGCCCATTCGGTAGCGGAAGTGGGCTTAGTCTCAGTAGCTAGAACGTTTTGAAAGCGAGATGAAAGCAAGCGCCTTCGTGGTGCGCCGCTGAACCCGGATGGGTGAGCAAGCAGTTTACGTAGAGGGCTCCCACCCAAGGTGCTACAATAGCTCGGCATTAGCATGAAGAAATTGATGTTGTTCCAAACTCAATTGTGACCAACAATAGCCGCATTCCTTTTGGGGACGATAACCGTGCGTTAAGAAGGAAATGACTTTGCTTGAGCTAGAGTTTGCGTACTAAACAACAACGAAATCCTATCCAATAGCACTAGTTCAATTGAATGTTGGTGGTAGGAACTCAATGAACCGTGACAAAGCTGGATCTTGCCGTTTCTCCACCTGACATCTATCTTCTCATATGCAGATACCAACCCCTATTTCTTGTGGCATAGTTGAAACGTTCAACATCTTAGCAACAAATTTATCTGAGGGCCTGTTTCGTTGTGCCAAGGCCACGTCGACGCAGTAGGGTTCTTTTTGCTGGCCATTCAGAGGCGGCCGCCCACGTCATGGCGGACCGCCTCACAATAGAGCATTACGTTGGTGAAGCATTTGTGAAATGTGGTCAAGTTATCCTTGGCTCGCGGATTTTGCCCTCGGGGCCTGTGCAGCAATCGCGTGGTCCCCGTGATAAAAGGGCAGGCCGTTGGGTGAGTAGTGGGCTTGTGCTGGATAGGCCAGCCGGTGATGTTGGTGCACGTCACGCCAGAGCTCCATGCCGTTTTCGCGCACCTTTGCTAACGAGCGGTCGCGGCGCTGGTCCCTAAACAGTTTCTACTTGAATTGGAAGACCTGGATGGGGTTGGCCGGGAGGTGGAGCTCTGGCGGAAAGACATTTCGTCGCCGATGGTTGTGGAGGTAAGCAATGGGGCAACATCTTCCCCGCATACCCTTTGCGACCCCCCATCTCCCTTTGCCTCCCCCACTGGGACTTCCGCCTCATGTCCCCCTTGTCTTCGAAATTCGCTCTAAGGACATGCTTCTGATCCCTCCCCCTGTTGGCTGATGCGTGCGGTTGTTAGGGTACCGAGACTTAAACTGTGGGCCCTACTTGTGCTAGATTTGAACCGTTTGGACAGCCATCTTCCCGATCGCTTTTGCTCCCAGAACTTCTCTCCTCCCATACCAGCATTGTACAGGTCAAGTACCTTAGGGCACACCTTTCCTCATTCCCGCACGTCTGCCTGCCCCCCTCCTCTTCGTCAGTGTCTCATATTTTTTTACCCTCCTCTTCCCAGCGTAATCGCAGCGTAACGCCCTTCCACCACCACCCCCTTCCGCCGCCCGTACCCCCATGCATGTGTCTCCTTGCGCCCCAGCATGCGCTCCCTGTGCCGCTGTCACCCATTGCGCACCTCACCTCCCCCTTCCCCGCAGATCCTGATGTCGCCAAGAGCGCCCTCGGCAGCATCCGGCAGCAGCGGAGGAGTCGGAGGAGGAGGCAGCAGCAACGCCAGTCAGGCAGCAGGTGATCCTGGTCCCCCAACCTCCACCACAGCAGCAGCAGCAACAGCAGCAGCAGCCGCGACAGCACCACCCGGTGACGCCACACAGCTGCAGCTGCTGGAGAGGTGGACACTGCAGTACGAGCGGGAGCAGCAGGTGGCGGCAGGAGGGGGAGGGGGAGCAGGCGGTGGTGGTGGCGGTGGTGGCGGTACGCGGACGTATCTGGATGAGGTGTCCATCTACAAGAGGCTGGTGGGTGGACTGCTTTGGGGGTTGGGGGGTGGGGGGTTGGGGCTCGAGGGTGTAAGGGCTTGCGGGTGAGGAGTGGAGGGGGCGTGTAGCGGGTGTGTTGGTCCTTTGGTCCCCTTCTCCTACTCCCTGGTCCCCATTCCCTATTTGGATATGTCACCCGCTTCCCCACCCTTCTCCACTTCCCCTCTCTACCCACCCCCTCCACACACACAGACCATCCTGGTTCGCTCGCTGTACAGCTACACGCGGGTGCTGCCCGCCTTCAAGCTGTTCAGGGCGGCAAAGGTGGGAGAGGATGGGGGGGGAGAGGAGAGGAACGGGGCAGCTCAGGGGTAAGCTTTCCGGTTAGTGATACGCTGATGCTGCGGTGTTAAGACCTCAATGACTTGCTGGAGACCGACCGAAACAGACAGGACATGGGGTAACCCCCGCCTCCGCCCCCACCGTGCCCTTCTCCTTCTTACCCAACACCTTCTACCCTTCCTCCTTACCCAACACGCGAGCACAGCGGTGCCAAGGGGAGCAGTTCCGGCTGTACTACCGCATCTCCCGTACACTGCAACCGCCTCAGGTAGGGACGGTGGTGCATAGCGTTGACAACAACCATCACATCAGTGGCTGTCTGTCCGACTAGGCAAATCGCGGACCTTGCGATGTCGCAAAGTCTGCACACATGTCCATCAAAAAGATCCGCATGTGCCTCCACCACCGCCGCCTCCGCTGCTATTGGTGCGGTACTGTGGGGCCTCGGGACGCCTCATTGGCCTGGCTGGCTTCTCGTTTCTCACCGACCTCTCGCCTCCCCTCGTGTTCCCTTGTTGCCCATCTTCTTCTTCATGCTAACCCTTCCTGACGAACAACTCCTCCTCCCTTTACCTCCTTCCGCACCAGGCCGCCGCAGCAGCAGCGGCGGCGGGCAGCGCCGCAGCGACCGCCGCCGCCACCCCCCTAGGAGGCCCCACCGCCGCCTCCACACCGCCAGCACTCTCCCCTCCTCCTCCTCAGCGACTCCAGGACTTCATGTTCGCCCCCGTGGACACCCCAGGCGGCCGATTCCGCGTCGCAGTACAACACAACCCCGCCGCCGCCGCCGCTGCCGCCGCCGTTCTCGAACAGCAGCTCCAGCTCTCGCAGCAACACAACGCCGCGTCGCTGCTGCCAGCAGCCGTGCCGTACACCATCAACGAGAACTACCTAGGTCCTGGCGGCGGCGGAGGCCCTGGCGGCGGCGGTGCGGGTACGACAGCATCCTCCTCCACTTCGCCGCGCCATCCCGCAGCGTATCCGGCGCCCGGGACGAGCGCCCCCGCGGCCTCAGGAGGCATGTTGGCAGGGGCTGCTGCTGCTGGCGGTGGCCGGGCTCAGAGGGGAGGTCAGGGTGCCATGGGAGCCCTCATGAGTGTGTTTGGACCCAACAACGGAGCAGCTGCTGCAGCCGCCGCCACGGCTACTGCTGCGATGGGGCGTAGCCCGCCGGGAGGGGCTAGTGGGGCTGGTGGTACGGCAGCCGGTACGGCAGCGGCGGCGGCGGCGCCTCCGCGGCCTATTGTACGACAGAGCTGGAGTAGCAAGGACATGAAGGTGTCGTTCTCTCTGCCGCCGCCTCTGGGGAGTCCCGGCGGCCAGGGGGCCGCGGTGCTGGGCGGCGGCGGAGGCGGGGGCTTGTACCGCAGGTCTAGTTCAGGGTACGGCAGCACTCCCTCCACTCCGCCGCTGCAGTCTCCGAGTCAGTCAGGTCGGATGCCAAGCCAGCAACTCCCGGGCTCTTCAGGCGGCGGCGGCGGCGGCGGCCCTTTGTACGGCGGCTACAGCCTTCAGCGACAACAGTCGTACCACTCCTCCGGATCGCTCCAGCAGCAGTACACGTATCTGCGGAGCACGAGCGGCGGCAGCGGCGGCGCCCTGGGTACGACACCGCCGACGGCGGCATCGCCGTCAGGCGGGCCGCCGCCTCGACCGCCCAGCGGCAGGATGACGGCCGCGGCGGCGGCGGCGGCAACGGGTCAGGCTGCCGCTAACGCACCAGCGGCGGCAGCAGCGCCGCCGCCGCCGCCGTCGCCCGCCGCCGCCTCTGCATTCGCGTCGGCAGCCCTGCAGCGACAACCCTCCATGTCGTCCGCCGCCGCCGGCACTGCTGCTGCTGCGTCCAAATCTGCGCTACCAGGGAATGCAGGTCCGCAAGAGGAAGAGAACAACGCAACTGGAACGCCCGTCAAGGGCCAAACCGAGGGCGTCTCCTCGTCTCAGGAAGGCGCCGTGGACTCGGAGGGCAAGGCTGACGTGGCAACGGCGACAGCGGAGTTTGCTGGGAGGACAGGGCCCCCCCTAACTGCCGCTGATCGATCACCCAGCGCGCCTGTCGCCATTCCTTCGTAAGTGAAAGCCGAGGACTAGCTGTTCCCCGCTCTCCTGCTGGCATGCATGCGTGTTGTTTGTTACCGCGTTTGTCAAGGTGTAGTTCGCCAAGCCGTTATAGCCTCCTTGACCTGTCGGCCCACGTGCTTACCGCGCTTGTCGGGTACCTCCGTTGCCCAATCTGCCGTACAGGAAATCTTCAACCCGTACTCGCTCCGTTACCGACCTGCGCGCCCCGGCTGTGTACGGCGGATTCGAAGTGCACCCCGCCGTCGCCGCCGCCGCGACCTCCTCAAGGTCCGCCGCCGCCGCTGCAGCGGCGGCGGCTGCCGCCGGCGGGGCACTAGCCGCGGCCGACTCGGCCACGGCGGCGGCGGCGGAAGGCACATCGGCGTCGTCGTCAGCGACGGCGGCGGGGCCGGCGGCAGCCCCCCACCATCGGATGATTCCTGGGAGCGCGCCGGCGGCACCGAGGGGCATGCTGGGCCTGGCGTTGCATGCCATGAAGCCGCCGGCCGGTAAGATCCCTGGCGCCGCCAGCGGCGGCGGCGCCATGGAGGTTAGCGCCGCCGCCGCCGTCAGCGCCGGAAAGGGTAAATCACAAGCAGGTGCGATGACCGACGGCGGGAACGGAGGTGAAGATGTGACGTCAGCAGCGACGGCGGCGGCGGTGCCTCCGCAATCCGGAGCTGGCAACGGCAGCAGTACGGCATTTCCTGCCGCCGGCTCTGACGGCGGTAAGGACAGCGGTGGCGGCGGCGGCGGGGGCCAGGCAAGCCAGGCTCTGGCTGTCGTTCGGGGCTCACGCCAGCAGCAGCAGCAGTACTATCGGTACGGATCTGCTCCGTACGGTGTACTTCCGTACGGCAGTCCTCCAGGCTATATGGCCGGCGGAGGCGGAGGCATGGCGGTGCCGGTACCAGTGGGGTCGCTGCCGCCACCGTACGGCAGTCCACAACTGCCGTTCGCATTCACCCCGTCGGCAGCGTCTATGTCCCTGGCTTCGTTACACCAGGTGAGGAGTACGGGAGTGGACGCGATTGAAATCCTTGGCTTGGCAGTCGGCTGGTGGCTTGTAATGTGAGCCGAGTTCGGTACCTAAGGGGCTCATCCGTGCTGTGTAAACCGAACCTGCGTATTAGCCCGCTTTACAGCCCACAACACTCACTCATTTGCCCACACCGATGCCCCCGTCAGGCCATGGTCCCGCTGGGCTACTTCACCGGGGGTGCGCCATCCTCCCTGCCCCGCGGCGTCGGCGGCGCCGTCAGCGGCGGCGTCAGCGTCGTGAGCAGCGGTGTCAGCGGTCGCGACATCACCAGCCTCGCCACCATCCGCCGCCCCTCCTGGAGCTCCAGAAGCGGTTCGCTAGATCCCTCACTCGCCAGCGGCGGCGGCGGCCTGGCGGCAGCAGCAGCAGCAGCAGCGGCGGCAGCGGGTGTTCTCATACCCAGCATGTCGCCGGGGGATTCCCGCGGTCGCGGCGGCGGGCGAGGGGGAGCGGGGCAGAGGGCTACGGAGCAGGGGCACCTGCAGGCGCATGGGCGGGGGCACCGGCACAGCCAGGAGCGCAGCGGCACGCAGACTCTGGATCCCTCGCCGGCGTCGGCGTCAGCGTCGGCCATCTTCAGCCTCAGTCCGCCGTCGGCGGCGCCAGGCTCCTCGCCGGCGTCGCATCAGCGCCGCCGCACATCGGACGCTAAGGCGGCGGCGCCGGCGGCTACAGCGACGACGGCGGAGGAGGAGGGGCAGGAGGCGGCGGAGGACGCGAATGAGGATGTTACGGCAGAGGATGTGCTGACGTCGGCTGACGTGGGCGTGGCCGCCGCCGCCGGCGGCGGCGGCCATGCGGCGTACGACACGTATGGGCCGTACATGGACGGCGACGTCATGGATCCGGGGTTCTGTCCCATGGGTCACGAGGATAGCGAATCGGACCTGTTGCCATTTGCGCTGGATCAGGAGGGGCTGGTGTTTAGCCCTGTGACATGTGGCGGCGGGGCGGGAGGCAGTGGCGGCGGCGGGGGAGCTGGCGGACGACCCATGGGTCATCAGCATGGCGGCGGAGGGCCACCGGCAGCAGCGGCGGGGGGGCGATTTCCAGTTGCGGATGGCACCGGGCCTATTGAGTTGACGCTTAGTAGGTCCATTGGGGGGGCTGGTGCAGGGCCAACGGCTGTAGGGTAAATACGAAGGCCTCTCTTTTGGGTTTAGGAGGGTAATGTGCCAGGTAGGTCACGGAGCCAGGGATACACTGGAGAGGCTGTACGCGGTGCATTGTGTGCAGCTAAATGGCTTAACAAGGCTGCTTTCCTCAAGCTCCTTGTTTCCCCCTCCTCAGACCCCCCAGCATCTCCTCTCACCCTCCTGCATCCCGTCCCATCACCCTACCCTTCCCGTCCCTTCCCGCTCCCGTCCCCATCCTCTCCCCGCCTCCTTCCCACCCAGGCATCGCCCCCTCCGCCGAGCGCGATGTGGCGGTCGGCGCCTTCGTGCGGCTGCTGGCGGAGGCTGCCCCGCTGGCCGCCCCCCGCGGTCACCCGGCGGCGGTGGAGCTGGGGGCGGCCGCTGCACTGCAGGAGCTCGCGGAGCTGGGGGGCAGGCTGCGGGCGGCGCTGGGAGGGATGGGGGGAGGGTGAGGGGAGGAGGAGAGGCTGGGGGAGGAGGAGGGTGGAGTGAGGGTTTGTTGGGGGAGTGCGTGCTGTGAGGGATTGTCGGAGGGGCGTGATGGAGTGTGGAGCGCAGGAGGAGCCGTGGGGTGGAGGAGAGAATGCTGGTAGGAGGATGCGGATGTTGTTGGAAACCCTGCGAGGAGGACGCAACAGTAGAGCCTCATGCGATGTAGTTGAGTCTGGTTTCGTAGCGTTGGTCTGCAAGGGGTTTGCGGAGCTGGTGCAAGGGGCGCACGGCTGTAAGCGAGCCATGTAGGTAGCCAGTAGCAACGTAGCTACAGGACTGTAGCATTAAGTGAGCGAGCCATGTATGTTTCCATCGTTGCCGCATGGAATGCCCTGCAGTGGGGTTCTTGTACGAGGGTACGACATTCGTTTGAACACTGTAAAATAAGCACTACCGGTTTGTGACATAGAACTGCATGTGCCTTGAACTTCAAAACGCAGTACACGTTTGCGTCCTGATAAAAGCGGAACACTCCAAGCAGTTGTCCAATCAGTTGCTGTTCCTGGCGAAGGGATTGTGAGTTGGTATGGTTAGCCCTGCCCAGTACCTTTGTGTTAAATCGCGCAGCTGTAAAGCCTACAATGGCGATGGGAAGAACCGCCGTATCGAGGGAATGCTTGGGGCGGTGGGGGGTGTTCGACATGTACAGTACCATGTCATAGGCCGGTGGTTGCAGTGCAGGGCATGACGTTAGTGCGTGCATCGTCGATATACCCATGGTATAACACAGCGGAGGAATACTATCCTCAAACCCACGATTCCTGGGGGCGCAGCGCATGGTGGAGTGCTGTGCGGATTCCGTACAATCCCGTACAAGAGCCCGGGGGAAGGAACGGAAATGGTGCCGATGTCCTTTTTTGCAGGGAAAAAGTGCAAAAGAGTGCCGCTGTGCCCTGCTTCCTTGAGAGGAAAGTATAATGAGGTGGGTCTAGCTGCAACATCGCTTGGTCGCAATGGAAGGTAGCGTTAAAATGGACAGGTCGTTGGCACGGCCCCGATACAAATGGGTTTAACCTAAGTGAAAGTGGTAATAAAAGGCAAAACTGGCAATGGGCTTTTTAGGATGTAACGTGCTGGCTTGGTGTGCGTTGTCAAGTTGTGCTGCCTGGGAACCTTCTTTCCTTAGGACACCACATAAAGGTTATATAACCAATAGCTCTAAAGTTCTAGAGAATGCATTCGACTTGCCAAAGGCTATTACTCAAAACGGTACGATGTGCTACTGGTCGCTTACACAAACGGTCAATTGCTCTATGGTCAGTCCAGCTCACTGGGAATTGCTGTGCACGGAAAGTTACAACTAAGGCTTTATCTTTGTGGCATTACAAGCAACAAATTCGTGTATCCTCGCTACTGTCTAGAGACCCACAAGGTTCACACATCACAGTGAAGCCATTAGCCCTTTCTTATTGACCTCCTCGTAACTTCGTTAACCTAAAGGACTTGTAAAGCGGAGTTGAGTATAACTGCGCTTGAGGTTCGGACAGCTTATAGGCTCTGACCCCCGAAATGAACGGTGAGCATTCTCCATCCTGTAAACTCGAACTATGATTATTCCAACTCTAGTACTGGTCCTCTCGTCTTGCGCTTATCGTTCGTGTCCTGTAAGCGCTGTAAATAGCAGCTTTGACTTTCCGTGACTGTCCTTTTCCTACCCCTAACACGCAGGCTTAATACGAGACAGGACTATGTCGGCATTGTTCTTTATCTTATTGTGCACGCTCTCGGGCCGTTTGGCATTCGCGGCTGACCCCTACGTGTCATTGACAACCGACGATGGCACCACCTACTCCTTCCACCGGACCGACGATCCAATTTCATCTGTCGGCGCAGCTGAAGCTTGCGCTGCGCTAGGCGGCCAGCTGGCCTCCTTCACCTCGCGCGACCAGGTCCTTGCATCTCTCTGGTCGCAGCAAGTCGTCGACGCCGCAGCGAGCGCGGACACCACCCTGCTCTGGACCGGACTCAAGATTTCCTGGCCTCCAGCCGGCACTATTAACCGTCGCATGCTGCGCGATAACCTTGCCGGAGTTGCTGACCACGACAGCGAGGAGCTCCTTGCCCGTCTCATGGACCAAATGGAGGCCAGCAACGACCCTGTGCCGACCACAACCCGCGACGGCCGTATGATCCCACAGCTTGTCCGCGCTTGGATGTTCCAGCAAAACCAGCAGCGCTCACTCCTCGAGAAGCAGACCTCAGCCATTTCCGGCTTTGCCATTGGTCGCCGTGGCCTTTCCAGCGCTGGCAGTGACAGCGATGAGTCGCCCTATCTCAAGAACGCACAACTCACCTGGGCTGACGGAAGCGACACGGACTTCATCCTTTCCAATCCGACCAACATGGGCTTCCTGGCTTGCAACCGGAAGAAGGTTTCGGAGTGCTGCGGCGCGGTGTTTGACATTGGTCCCGACCCCTACCCCGGCGCCGAGTTCCCCACCGTCTTCTTCTACCCCTGCAACTCCTCCAAGATCTCTGGCGCCTCGCCGCCCTCGGGCTTCATCTGCCAGGTTGACCCCGTTGCGGAGCTGGAGGCACCCATGGCACCGTCCCCCAGCCCTGGTAAGCTGCTTGCCTCCGCTACAATGCTCCTTCATTAAGCTACGCATGTGGCTTATACCGCGTGATTGCCACGGCGTGCCTGTGGCAGATTGCTCGACAATTTTTAGCATAGATGCCCCGTTGAGTCCCTGCCAGCGTGCATCCATCATGTTCACAACTCCCTTACACTGCTGTGCCTTGACTCTTCTCTCTGTGTCCCACCATCCCGCTTCCGACCTTCCGCCCTTGCAGCTACCAAGGCCTGCCGTGCGGGTTTCGCCACCATCACCAAGGGCGGCTCTATCACCTGCAAGCGCTGCAAGGCCAACACCTACAGCGCCGACGGCCTGGCCTGCAAGAAGTGCCCTGCTGGCAAGAAGTCGGGTCGGGGTGCCAGCAAGTGCACTTAGGAGCCGAACTAGGTGCCGCCGGCTGCTTCTGAGCTGCTGTGCAGGCTGCCAGCTACTCCGCTGTCGCGATGTCTTGCCTTGCCTTGCCTGACTTCCAGGCTGTTAAGCTTGTCTCCTCCTCGCCTTAAGGCTGCGTTTAGGCTTGGTAGGCGCGGTATGAGGAGGCAGCACCGCATGAGGACAGGGGAAGTGGAATTTGAGGGAGACAGGAAGGCCGTCTAGTGGAAGGTCGGAGCAGTGCGTTAGGTTTACTGCCGTGAGGGAGGTTGTACATAGTCGTCGTTGTAGCTGAGGGGTTGCAGCTGCCCATGGCATGGCTGCGCATTCCCACGGGATAAAGTGTGAGGAATTTTGTTGGCTGGTTGGTTGCTGTTTGAGTAATCTAGAACAGATGCAGTAGCAAGCGAAAAGCATGTTGCATGCAGGTTCCTGGGTGATGCTCCTGCTTGGGCTTGGGCAACAAAAGAATAAGTGGCTCTAAGGACGCATGGTGCTGGTTCTGGATGGGTGGCGACGTTGTATAAGTTGTATGCTTATATACGATTGCTGCCATTTGTTGCCCTTGGACCCGGCCGGAGGGTAAGGCTTTCGAGGCGCTTAATGAACCATGTCCGGTTCAGACGAGGCGCGCGCGTGTGTGTGGACGTGCCCATGAGTTTTTGTGTGTCGATTCTTAATACTAGGTCCAGTAGTACTGGACGTTCCTTCTTCATTTCCCCTTTTGTTAGCGTAGGGTTTCGTCTGTTTAAGGCGAGGTGGGTATCCTGCTATGTTGCCATAGTAAGGGGACCTCCTCTTCCTCCCTGAGATGCCTGGGATAGTCTCGCATGGCCCCCATGCGTAGTGCGTGATTTAGGAATCTAGCAATACTTGCCCATCTACTCTTGCTCTCTTTGCCCGTTATGTGATGCTTGCGGTTCTAGCTGCCTGCAGACATTAGTCTTTTCGGGCAAGAGTGGTATGGGATTATTAGAGCCCATGTCTGTGCGACTTGGGCAACAATTGATTGTGAACTGACCCGTGGGTCACGGCGACGGTAATGTGTCACCGGTTGACCGTTGACGGTTGTTTATTGTCAGGACAGGAAAGAAAGCAAGCCCGCAGTAATGCGTGTTTGTCCTAGCGAGTGTTCTCTCAGGCCGTTAGGGTTAGTTGTGTACAGGTTAGGGTGCGTTAGTGTGCCGTTGCTTCTCATTTGTAAAGGCGGTGGCCTTTTAGGATGCTAGGACGTGGGCGTGGACTCGCCCCCCGTGTTGTTGCAGTAGCGTGCACACGATGTCATGTCAGGATGGCAAGGCAAGGCATGCAGGTCAGGTGCTGTCAGCTGGTTGGCTGCTTTGTAACGGATCTCAAATCATTCTTGGTGCATCCGCGGACATTGTCCCCCAGAGACTTGCTACCGTAACATACCGGTAACAGAGCTTACAGCCGTACTAGACAGCTGCCGGTGGCTAAACTTGCCAAGTGTCTTCCCCATGCGGCAGAGGGGTGCCGTACTTACCCAGCCATTTAACAGCATCAGACGCACCTACCCTGCTGGAAGACAGCATTCAAGGTTTGGCACGAGCACAGCAAGCTACGGCGCGCACTGAGTCACTCAAGCAATGAATCCAACTGACGCACGCAGTAACCCACGCTGAATCCAATACCCGACACACCGCAAACAACACAACTGAACAGTTACCATTCCCTCACTAATTAGCATGCTGGTATGAAGATCATGGTACGGATACTGCCAGACCGGCCTCGTCCTCACAGCAGCTGAGCACCCAGCAAGCAGCATCTTGCGGACTGCTGTGAAGGTACGGCAAGTACCGCAACCCGGCGTGCCACGTTGCACGATTAATGCACGGAAGCAAACCCTCTGTGCCAATGCCTAGGTTACTGCACAACAACACCTACTTTACATCGCAGTAGTCACTACACTGCCGCACACAGTAACACAGGGTCGCATGCATGCATGCTGTCCCCTTCATTTGCACGGTTCCCTCCCCCAGTGAAAACACGTCACAAGCCCTATCGCAGCCTACTGTTACACATCAAATGGAATTACAGTCCGCTACCGTACAACGGCCCCAACCAGCACCAACGACCCATCCGCTCCCACGATTGGTACACCGGCCCCCGCTGCTGCCCAACGCACCCCTTGGCCCGGTGAGGCCCCCTTCTCGCTGCCGACCGTAGCTAGTACTCCCCCTCCCTCCAGCAGCGGATACGGGGCATGAACACCTTGTGAAGCACACATGAAGCAAAAACAAGGATGTATGCGTAGACTGTTGTAACCCGAGCGGGAGCCACGGGCCTCACCCTCTTAGCCCACTAACAAAGCACAGCTCCTGCTATCAGAAGACCCCAAACTCATCTAAGTCGATTAACTAACCCCGCATCCCCTGCTAGCTGTTACCGTAATCGTCCGCAAGCACAACCCCCTGAGCACAATGACCCTACATCCCACACCAGCTTTCGCGCCCGGCGTCAGATCCTTTCCACACGCTGCGGTCGGTTGCCTAGCCATCAGACGGCATACATCACTGATTACCAGTATGCCACTAGTCCATGCCCCCCTTATCGTTTCCCTGCTCCCGCTCCCGCCCCTCCTGTCGCGGTTGCTGCTGCCGTGGCTGCTGTGGGAACGGGTGCGCACAACGCCGCGGCGGTTGCTTCAACTGACGTGGGCTCCTCCGTTCCTTCTGCGGTTGCTGCAGCGATGGGTGCAGATGCGGGTGCGAGTGTGGGTGCGGGGTGGCGCTTGTCCCACCAGTCCTGACCCATGCGCCACACGATCGTGAAGCAGATGCCCTGAGAGGGGAGGAGGAGGTCAAGGGAGGAAGAAGCTAACCGTGTGACAACTGACAAGGCTGAGGGTGGTGGGATCGGCGAGGAGGTGGCAGGCTGGAGGGCGGCGTCGGGGGGTAAGGTTGGAGGGCGGCCTCCTATTACACGCCCCTCCAAGTGCGCCTGCAACGACCCCTCACCTGCATCCAACACGTGGCCCCCACCGCATCGCACAGGCTATTGGCCCCGCCACATGCCCCCCCTCCCACTTGCCATACTACCGGTATACCGGTACTTCCTATGGTATGGTATGGTCTTTGACCCCCACGTGCCCAGGGTGGCACGGCTGGTTCTCCCTTTCTACCCGCACATGTCCCCACCCACCTGCAGACCATTTGCCAGGATCTTGGTTTTAAGTCCGCGCCCCATCAGCCCCAACACCCCGTCCTTCTCGATGATCGCCTGGCAGGGGGGGGTGGGCGGCAGCGGTGGTGGTGGTGGTGGTAATTGCTGCGGTACTTGGCCGCGAGCTGTAGTGTGAGGAAGCACGTGGTGGTGGTGTTGGCTGTGATCAGGCTTGGGGTGGGATTGAGAGCTGGTGTCAGGGTTGGCACCAGCGGCAGCCACAGCAACAAGCCAACTAACCAACCAAATAAAGCAACCAAGCAACGAACATAACATAAACATGTGCTGGCTAAGCCGTATTTCTCAGCATTCTGAACAGCACTTAATGCCGTACCATCACATGTTCACACCACAACTGCCGTACAGGTACACGCTCTCACCCTCGCAACCTGCGTGTACGACACTGCCTCCTTGCTGGTTTGTTTGGCGGTTTTGATGACTCGGATGGAGTTGGAGCAGCAGTCGGCCACTGCGGAGGAGGTGAAGCCCAGCAGCGCGGAGCGAGCTAGCTTGCGGGGCAGGTCGCCCGGGGGGGCGGGGGGCAGCTTGGAGTTCAGGTAGTTGTACTGCAGGGGCGGGGGCGGGGAGGACGAGTGAAGGTGGGGGAAGGAAAGGTGGGGGAAAAGGAGAGGAGGAGGCGGAGAGTGAACGGCGATGCCATTTGATACATGCCCGCAGCACAGCAGGGGTTGCCCTCGCTGTCTTTCCCCTTCCCTCCCCCCACCGTTGCGAACCAGGGGTAGTGTCCCACGAACGCAGCCGCACTGGCCGCCAGCGCCCCGTGGTACAGCACCGCGGGGCCGCAGGAGCGGACCTTGGCGGCCAGGGCGGGTAGAGCCTCCTTGCCCTCCACCTGGGGGGAGGGGGTAGGGGCCGAGGGGGGCGGGAGAGACCCGTGAGTCAGGGAAACCCACGTGCCCGCCCCCTCACACCTCCATGCTTGGTCTCCCCCCATTACCCTCCTCGACGGCCTATTATCCAGCCAAATACGGTTTTAAGTAATCCAGCCCTAATTCCCCATCACCCCCTTCCCCCCCGCCCGCCCCCCCACCTGCATGATGGTCTTCAGCGTGTCAACCGGCATCAGCAGCACTCGGAAGCAACCCGCGGCGGCGGAGGCGACCAGCGTCTTGGCGCCCAGCGGCAGCGACCGAGTGGCGTCGTACGAGTCCAGCAGACTCAGCGTGCCGGCGTTGGCGGCAGTGTCGCCGAACCTGGGTGCGAGGTGGGTAGGTAAAAAGGGTTTGGGAGAGAGGGAGAGGAGAGGGAGAGGGGGGAGGTTGATGTTGGGGTGGATGGCCGATGTGAGTGATGGAATGGGGTAATGGCAGTGCAGGGGATGGGGGCGGATCACGGGCGATGTGTGATGCGTGCGGGAGGGTGCAGGGGGTGAGCGAAGAGGTGCCATGAGGTCCCAACAGCGGGTAAACTTCCTCATTTGCCCTGTTGTGACCCATGGGTCACTCTCTTGATCCCACCGGTATCTCCCCCGCCCCCCAACGCATACCTGCTCATGGGCGCCTGCACCAGCGCCGGCAGCAGGCCCCGGTAGAAGCGCCGGACACCGCCCTCTCCGTACAACGTCTTGAGGGCGGTTGTCATATCCGTGCCGTACCTGTTATGCCGTACATGCCACATGAGGCATGACCTAACTGTCATGTTAGCTGTGACGTAAAACCTGCGTGTGCTCGTACCTGTATTGGTAGTTGATGGTGGTTCGCAGCCACATGAGTGTGAGGACCTGCGGCGGTCCGTGAGACATGGGGCCCAGCAAGTGATGTGGCGGGGGGGGGGTGTCAGGAGGAGGCCGGGACGGGGGCAGCACGGAAAGGAGGATACCGGTATTGATGACAAAGGCATCAACGAGGACAGGTGCAGGCAGGCTGCTACCAAGAGGGGCTAGGTAGGCAGGGGGAGGAGAGGGTACTGGCTTAGTTGATACCGCGCAGGAGGAATGCATGCCAGGAGACCGCGCGGGTTGCGGCTAGTACGGTAGTGTTGTGGCTGAATCATGCGCAGAGATCAGCGGCGGCCTCCGCCTGTTTGTTGCGCAGGGCTTTTCTGTTGACATCATCCCCAACTAGGCCATGATAGGATGGGGAGGTTGTTCTACAGGACACGTATGCCACTCCTTAAGGCTGGTGAGGCAGTGTCGGCTGGGGAATGTTTGGTTCGCGCCTTGCGGGAATTGTAATCGACAACAAGGAAGCACGGACCTGGGTGGCCATAGCCGCCATGCCTGGAATGCCGCCCCCAAGCGCTTTACGACCTGCTTCCGACAGAACCTCGCGCAGCGGTTTGTGACTGTGGGCTGCTGCCGTTGCTGCGGGCTCAGCCGGCGATGCCGCGATGACGACAGGTCGCAATGTTGGAGGCGAGGAGGCTGGCGTTCCGCCAAGTCTAAGGCTATATTTAGGCTTGCTTAAGCGAAATGATGAAGCATCAATTACTGGAGAAGGAAGCGCGTTTGCCATCAGCGTCAACCCAATGGTTTGCGCCCCCGATGCCATTGCAACATACACCAGACGATTGTAGAGACTGGAAGCTATAATTAAATGCTGTTTCGCCCAAAACAGGCAAATGTCAATGGACGAACGAGGGACACAAGGGTCCAAAGCGAAGAAAGTGATCGAAAAGGTGCATCATGAAGGTCCTTGGCTAAGCATCTAAATAATATTTATACACATGTTTACTCTATTACAAACCTGTCATATAGCTGGAAGGGTAAAATTAGGAGGTTCGGCTTTCGTGTTATTCATTTTGCGCGTTGGGTGTCCCAGGCCCTCATTGCGAACTGCGGGCGCATCCCTGAATGCCATATGTGCATTGGTATCATTTGTTGCAGGCCAGGAAAGCGGTAAACCAAGGCATAGCAAGTAAGCTTGCACACTCATCCCTCTCTACTTTGCAGCGAGCTGAACTTGGACCTAGCACTCTTGAGAGTCGCGTAAGCCTTAAAAATAACAAATGTGTAGTAAAGGGTTATCCTACGGTGCCTGTAAATTTGCATGCCAGCATACGTGCTGTGTGGAATCGGGGCCAGCACGGTGATGCTCGTACTGACCACGCTTAGCACGACGTGCAGACTTTATGACGTCCAGCTAATTGAGCCCGCCAAAGCAGACAACGCCCGTTTGCTTGCAGCACTTGGAAGGGTTACATAGCTGGCTAAAGGCCTGACACATTGGCTTCAGCCGAGACGACCCATAAGTATGTTTACAAGGCAAAATGTACCAACATAACGTTTCTTAGCCCTTACGGCCTTCACTGGAGTTGTCGTTTCTGCTTCTGTACGTGGCAAAGTTCGATATGCAAGCCGCAAAAATTTGTGTGGACCTTACCTTGGGCGATTCGGATGAGGATGGTTGCCTGAACGCCTCAAAGCTCAATGGTCGTGCTGGACATCCCAAGGTACGCTTGCTAGGCCACGGTACCGGGGTCCACATTTAAAATGCATGCTCCAACGCTTGCATCGCGACGGCAACCTCAGTATGCTTATGACTTATGCTGTCAAACAACATGTAACTAGAGATTCCCAAACGCATACGAGCTGGCAAACCAAACACATCATCCGGATTCGGACCCATGGTAACATTCCTCGCCTCCTACAACAGCGTCCTTCAATGGCGGGACCCACGGCATCACCGGCGACAGCTGCAACCGTGAACCCAACCAAGACCACCCTCATGCGGCCGCCCACCAGCACACCAAGCACAGCTCAACGGCGGCAGCGGCAAGCCACGCTACACGACTGCATGAGCCCACGCAGCGGTGTGACCCGTGCCCTCCTGCCCTCCCCGGGCCTCTCCATCGCCATTGCCGCCGCAGCCAGTCCCACATCCCAGCCCAACCCACCCGCCTCACCCGCACCCCCAACTCCGACCACCGCGCCACGCCCCGACAGCTGCAACACCCCTGCTCCCAACAAGACCAGCCTCCTCAACGCCCCGGTACCGCAGCCTCTGCACCCTCCTTCAGTCCCCCCAAGCGCCATGGCCGCTTCCGCACCCATGCTGCACACCCCGGCAGCGGCGGGCGGTCCTTCAGCCACGCGGATGCGGGCGCAGGTAGCCCCTGCAGCCGCTGCTGGGAGTACCGCCGCTGCCGCCGGCTCGCCGCATCCCACCCCGGCAGCTACAACAGCAACAGCAGCAACAGGAACAGCTGCGCCCAAGGCCAAGACAAAGCGCAAGCTCAACGTGACGTCCCCCCCTGCTGGCCTACCGGGAGCCGCTGCCGGCGTCGGTGCCGCCAGCAGGGGCGGTGCTGGAGGAGGTGGTTCCGGCGGGCAGCAGCTGCCGGCGTGCCCCCACCCCGGCGCTGGGAGCAACGCCGCTGCTATCAGCCCGGCTGCAAGGGGGAAGGCGGACGTCGGTCAGCGTGTGGGGCCGCAGCCGCAGCCTCAGGCGCAGCACCCCCAGGAACGAGTTACACAGGAACCCGACAAGCTCCAGCCTGCTGCCGGCGTGCGACAGCAGCAGCAGCCCGGGCCAGGGCTGGTGCACGTGCGGCGGCGGCTGCAGCTGGAGGGAGGGAAGGAGCAGCAGCAGCTGCAAGAGGATGGGGGAAGGGAGGGGGAGGAGGTAAAGGAGGAGCAGGACGAGTCCCCAGGGCCCACGCAGCAGGAGGGGTCGGGCGGAGGTGTTGGCGCCAGGGCAGGCGAGGAGGGCGGGGCTGCAGCTCGGCGTGTGCCGGGATCCCGGTCACTGCATGAGCTGATGCAGCAGCAGCGAGGAGAGCAGCGGGATCAGCAGCCGCCGCCGCCGCAGCAGCAGGGGGATCGCATTAAGGAGGAGGAGGATCGGGATGGGTTGCAACCAGGAGACTTGCCGCCTGGGGGCAGGCAGTTCCAGCGGCTGCGGCGGGCTACTGCTGATGGAGCTGGTGGGGGTGGTGGTGGGGGTGGTGCTGCGAAGGAGGCGGAGGATGCTGCAGCTGCTGCCCATGCGTGCGCCGAGGAGGAGGGGCTGGCGGACTCCCTCCCTGACGGCCCGTCGGGTGCCGCCGCCCACGGCGTTGAAGCGGGTCCCAGCGACTGTAACAGCGGCAACAACAACGATGACGATACCCGCAGCAGCAGCCCGAAGGAGGATGAGGAAACGGAGGGTGGGGAGTGCGGTGATGAAGGAGCGGCAGCAGCAACAGCAGCAGGAGGAGTCCGTGGTGCTCGGGCTCGGGTGAATTGCGGTCGGGCAAGACCCCGTCGCGCGGCAGCGGAGGTGGCTGCCAAGCGGATACATGACCAAGAGCAGCAGCGCCGAACAGCCCGGGATGGCTCGGCCACCGCATCTGGAGCAGCGGGGTTGGAAGCGGCATCTGGTTCGGCAGCCGCCCCGGGACTCACCATTGGACAAGAAGCCGCTACCGAACGAGGCGGCATGCGCTGCGACGGCCGGGGCGCTGGTAGAGGAGGCGGCGGGCGAAGTAGCGCTGCTGCAGGTGCCGCCGGTGTCATCGAAGGACCCATGGGTCGGTCACATGGCGACGCTGTTGCTGCTGCTTCAGCCCACCCTACCAGCAGCAACACCCACAGCGGTAGCGGCTTGACTGGCGGCAGCGGCGGCGCTGCATGCACCGGCAGCAGCAGCGGCGGCGACGGGCGGGACACAGAGGGGAGTCTCGAATCAGGAGCAGCTACATCGTCTGGCGCTACTGGCTCGGGATTCGCGGGTGCTGTTGCGGGTGCTGTTGGGGGTGCTGCTGTTGCGGGGGCGGGGCCGGACGGGTGTGGGGTGCTGCTGGAGCCGCCTGCATGGGACGAGCGGAGGCCGGGCTACGCGGACCTGGCGCAGGTGGTACGCTACCGCCAGGCCTGCAGGGCGAGGAGGGGGCGGCAGCGGCGGGGTAAAGGCGGCGGCGAGGGTGATGGGGGTGGCGAGGGTGGTGGTGGAGTGGAGTCGGCGTCTGTGGGTCAGCAACAGCAGCAGAGCTCGTGGGGCGTGGGGCTGCTGGGTAAGCGTGCGCGCGCGGGGAGGGGGGGTCATGGGTTTACGGAGAAGGAAACGAGAGGAGGGATAGAGGGAGGCACAAGCTGGTCCGAAATACAAGCTTTTGGGGTCCCGGGGGACTTGCAGAACCCCATGTTGCGCGGCAACGAAACATACATGCATGTTGGATGGTCGTGCCCTGGGGCCGGTGTTTCCTGGAAGACCCCTCACAAGGACCTCCTCAGACCTGCTATGGCCCCGCCCTGCCCCGGTGCATGCATGTGTCTGCAACCTCCCATGTCCCCAACCCACGTCTGCAACCCCCCGCGCATGCAGGCGACGCCCCCGTCTGCTGCAGCACCGTCTACCGCGGCTCCATGGGCAAAATCATCCCAGCAGCGCTGACAGCAGTGCTCCAGGTGCGGCTGCGGGGCCGGGCGTTTGGTTGCAGTGTGTACGGTATCCGGCATCGGTCCTTGCGTGTCGTACGTAACTTGACGATGAGGACTGAAATTCACGACCCATGGGTCGCTGTCGCTGACGCCGCTTGTTTCTCGCGTTTTTTAATTGCATTGGCAGCAGGGCAAGCTGGGCAACATCCGGGAGCGGCCGCTTGTGGAGATGGAGCCCCATGACGTGCTTAGCGATGAGCAGGCAGGTGCAGCAGAACCCTCACACCCTCGTGCCTGATATTACCTTGTCATGATGGGTTGTCCCTAACAACGGGTTTGCTGTGTTAACATCCCCTCCTGCCACCCCCTCCTCTCCTCCCGCGCACCCGCCCTGCCTGCCTCCCGCACCCGCCCCCTCCCAGCTTGACAGCGTGCGGGTGCGGCTGGAGGAGCTGCTGCGGCGGGGGGCGCTGCAGCGCATGCGGACGGAGGGAGCACGCAAGGTGCCGCGCTCGCACCGCCGGCTGACACATGCGCAGGTGGGGCGGGGGGGGAGGAGGGGTTAGGTAAACTGAGCCGCGATAAATACCGACCTGGGCGGGGTGGGAGCAGTGGGCAGGGGGGGGCCGCGTACGCTGTTTATGTACGATGTGATTGGTGTGTTTTTGGAGCGAGGCTGACAGAACTGTACGAGAGCTGTGCCGGCCGACAGTAGCCGTCACACGTGTGAAGCAGACAACCTGGGGGACCCCACCCCACCACATTCCCATCATCGCACCGTTCCTGCCTTCCACCAAGAGTTTTGCCACGTTCGTTCACAGTCGACAGAGCATGGTATATTTTCCTTCCTCCTTTCAGCTCCTTTTCTCCTCCCTTCCCGCACCTCCCAGGTGCTGCGCTACCTGCCCGAAATCCTGCCCTCCTCTGACAAGGTGGAGGTGGTGGCGGTGGGGGCCGACCCCGCGCACCCCTCCCCCTGGGACGACGTGCCTGAGATGCACGGGCAGGCCAGTCTGCGGGTGCGGCGGGAGTGCGGGGGCGGCGGCGTGGGGGAGCTGGAGGTGGTGGCGCCGTACTCGTGCGAGGTGAGGGGCGGAAGGGCGGAGGGGCCGTACTCGTGCGAGGTGCGGGGCCCAATGCTCAATCTTGCTACTCTGTTGCCTAGCTAGGCCAGGCGTACCAACGCCCGCCCCCACCGCACAGCAACGTAACTCTGTGCAGCTCGTGGAGACTGCGTTCTTTCGCTCACTCCACGGCGCGCCTAGACGGTTTCGTTTTTCCCTGGTCCCCTGCTCTCCTATAGTTTGGTCTTATATGCCCCCCCCCAGGCCTGGCTGTACTTGGAGTGGGAGGAGCTGCTCCGCGGGCGGCCGCAGGAGGAGTGGGACGACCCGGCGCACCCCTGCCCGCACCCCTGCATGGCCAGCAGGCGATTCCAGTTCGGACGGTGAGGGGAGGAGGGCATGGGGGACATGGGGGCAGCAGGAGGTGGAGGAGGAGGGGGAAGGGAGGAGGAAGGGGCGGAGGTTAGGTTGCCGTGTGCCGCACCAGCCGCACAACGCTCTGTTAGACCTGGTCACCCGCTCACTGTACCCTCGCGTCGCTGCTCTCACCTATTCCTCCACCATGTAGCACCGTGCCCACATTGCCTCGGGACCTCGCTATTCCCATCCTCCTCTTTCCTCCCCCCCCCTCACCCCACCTGGCAGCTACGCGGCCGATGTGGGTCTGCCCGACCAGCTGCCCGAGGAGCTGCTGGAGTGGCTGGCGGGGGAGCAGGGGGGGCAGGGAGGGGGGCAGCAGGGAGGGGGAGGGACAGGAGAAGGAGGGGAAGGAGACGGAGAGGAGGAGTGTGGAGGGGCGGCAGGAGGAGGAGGGGGAGGGGGGCTGCAGCTGCCGGAGACATGCATCGCGGCGCTGAGGGCTATGCAGGGTAAGGGAGGGGGGAGTGGGAGAGAGGAGGGTACGGGTGGAGAGGGTACTCGACCTACTTGCCCGCCAGTGCTGCCGGTACTCCCTTGCACCGCCGATTGGGTCAGCGTGTGCCCGTCCTCGTCCTTTGACACGGCATCCCTAACAGCCCCCTGTCCCATCACTGACTGCCTCCTCCCCTGCTGCTGCTGCCGCCTGATAACACACGCAGTGCGGCCAGTGTGCTTGTCACACGGCAACCACGGCAAGTTCCGACTTGCGGCCAGGTTCCTTAACACCCCCCCCCCCACCCACCTGCCCCCCCCCCGCAGCCAACGACAGCGTGCGGCGGCTGATGGGCACCGCTGCCCGACTGGGCTGTGTGGCGGCCGCCGCCAACGACCCGCGCCGCAACCTGGGGGCGCAGCTGGACGCGGATGCGGACTTCAGGGAGGGTGGGTGGGGGGGGAGCGGGTGGGGAAGGGAGGGGCGGGGGGAGGGAGGGAGGAAGAGAGGATGGGCGGGGGCGAGAGGGCGGAAAAGAGCGAGGGGAGAGTGGAGGATTGAGACCCTACCGGTATCTCTCGGCTCGCCAACCCCGGACCTCCGCCCGCGTCTGCACCCACTTGCCAACCAACGCTCCTCCTCTCATGTTTTGCACCTCCCCCTAAACCCCCCCAGGCGGTCCCAACACGGTGGGTGTGGCGGGCTCCGTGCTGGGCCTCATCCCCTTCATGGTGCTGGTGGCCATCAAGAGGATACCGCCGGGACAGCACATCATGTGAGTGCGGCAGACGAGGGGGCGGGGGGGAGGGGTTGCGCACTCCGGCCTCTGCCCTCCGCCCCGCCCCTGCATGCATGCAGCGGTGGTGGTGGTGGTGGTGGTGTGCACCATCCTGACTGGCCAACGTGCTTTCCTGGCTTCCTTTTGTGTGTCTCTTCATGTGTCCACAGCATGTAGAGACATCCTAGTAACAGCCCTGTGTCAACCAAACGCAAACCTGTTGCTAACCGTCCAAAGTTGCAAACCGTCTGTTACCGTATGTGTGAAAACTGGCCGCAAGTCGGAACGTACCGTGATTGTTGTGTGTGCTGGGCTGCTGGCGCCTTGTGTGCACAGGTACAGCTACGGCGCCAGCTACTGGTCCCTTCACGCGGAGGAGGCGCAGGCGGCGCGGGATATGGAGGAGGCCCTGGCGCGCGAGGAGGAGGAGCGGCGGCGGCGGCAGGCGGCAGAGCGGTGCGTTCAGGAGGAAAGGCAGCGGCGGGACGCGGCGGAGAGGCAGGCGGCGGCGGAGGCGACGGCGAGGGAGGAGGAGCGGCGGAGGCGGCTGGAGCTGGAGGAGGAGGTGCAGCGGCTGCTGCGGAGGGAGAGGGAGACGGAGGAGAGGGAGGAGCGGCGGAGGCAGGAGCGGGCGGAGGAGCAGAAGAGAAAGGAGGAGGAGAAGGAGCGGATAAGGGTTGAGAAGGAGCGGCGGAAGGAGGAGGAGAGGGAGCAGCGGCGGAAGGAGAGAGAGGAGCGGAAGAAGGAGGAGAGGGCCCGGCTGCGTGAAGAGCGAAAGCGGAAGCAGGAGCTGGATGAGGGCGGGAAGGACCCACAGCAGCAGCAGCAGCCGCCCTCACAGCACCCACAACAGCAACAGCGGGACAGCGCGACCGACACCGCCACTGCTGCTGAACCAGCCTCAGCGGTGGGCGCTGCCCCTCCTCCCCGCGCTTCCTCAGATGCTGCCGCCGCCGCCGCCACTGCCGCCGCAGCTTCCGCCCCCCTCACCGCTGCTGTGCCGGCGTCACCTCGGCCCCCTGCTGCTGCCCTTCCTGCTACCGTTGCTGCGGCTGCAGCAGCGGGGGCAGGTGCTTCTACCCCCCGCTGCGCCAGTCCCTCCCTGCGCTCGCCGCTCAAGCTGCCCAAGTACTCGCCACGACCCCAGGCGTCCCCGTCGGCAGGAGCGGCAGCGCGATTGGCAGGAGCGGCAGCGGGGTCGGCAGGAGCGGCATCAGCCGCTGTACCGGCTGCCAATGACCTGCCAGCAGCCACGGGGAAGGGGCCGGCGGCGGAAGGTGGGGAGCGCCCGGAGGCAACGGCGATTACGGCAGCAGCAGGGTCACAGGCAGAGGCGGCGGCGGCGGGGGGCATGAAGTCGCTGGGGTCACCGCTGGGGAAGCGGCCCCGACAGGGCAACCTTGAGGAGGAGGAGGCGAACCCAGGTACGAAGGAGGAGGGAAGGGAAGGGGAAGGAAACGTAGAATGTGGTTGCGTGTAGCTGCATGAGCGGCCTCTTGTCCACCTCGTCGTATGGGGGAACCGGCCCCGGAGCTTGTACTACCGGTACGACTCCCCTTTGCAACCTACCCTACACACAATGGAGCCTGTCTGCCGCCTCTCCTGCCGCTCTCCCTCAACCGCCCAACGCGTCTTATATTCTACCAACAGCTCACTTCATGCCCCATGCACCTTCCCCGCTCCTCCCTCCAGGCCCCCGCTCTCCCCGTCAGCGCACCGCTGAACCAGCCGCTGAACCAACCGCTGAACCACCCCCGGCAGCACCCGCTGCAGCACCCGCTGCAGCTCCCAAGGGAGGCCCCGTCACCACCTCCCTCCTCAGGCGGGCAGCTGCCGCCGCCCGCGGCGCCCTGAACTTCAGCCGCCAGCCGTCACGACAGGCAACAACCACAGCAACAACAGCGCCACAGGCGACGAATACCGCCGCTGCGGCAGCCACCTCTGCCGTCCTCACTGCCATCACCGCCGCCACCATACTACATGCACCTCTCCCACTCCCCGCAGCCTCCGGCAGCTCGGATACCACCACCACGTCTGCGGCTTCGGAGACGACCGGGACGCAGGTACCAGCTGCCTTAACATGGGAGCCCGCTGCAGCTGCTACCGCTGCTACTGCCGCCAGGGCTGCTGAAACACAGCTCCCGCCCGCGGGGAGGGGTTGCACCGGCGACAGCGGTAGGGCCCCCAGCTGTACGGCAGCCCCGGCTGCTGCTGACGACAGTAGGATTGCAGCCACATGTGCTGCTGGTTCACCGGCAGCACCTGCTGTAGATGCCGCCGCCAACACCGCCGCCGTGGAGAACCGTCCCTATAGCACTGGCAGCGGCGGCGGCGGTAGCGGCGGTAGTAGCCCTGACGTCAGCCCAAGTATGGTTACCGCTAGCGGTGCCGCCACCCCGGTAGCTGCTGCCACTGCTGCTGCTGCTGGCAGTACGGGCATGGGACTGGCGGCGGCAGGCGGCAGCATGTCGAACCCAAACACCGGCAACAGCAGCCGCAGCCACCCAAGCACCTCTCGGCCCTCTTCCCGCCTTCGTCTGCAGCGACGGCACCCCAACCCGCTGCTGCAAGACGCTGACTTTGCCGCAACCGCCGCTGCTGCCTTTCACCAGTACCGGACCCGTATGGATCAGGAGCAGGGCGGGCAGCACGACGCTGCTGCTGCCTCGGGTGCTGCCCTTGCGACGGCAACTGCAGCAGCAGCAGCGGTGGCGGTGTCGGCGGCAGGTGGCCCTCCCCACCCTGGCAGCGCCGCCGCCGCTGTGTGGCACTCCGCGGGCAGCACCCCGGCGGGCAGTCCGGCGGCCTGGCGCACCCCTGACGCCGGCTGCAGCCCCGCCGGGGGCTCCCCCGCTTGGGGCACCCCGGCCGCCACCACACCTGCCGCTGCTGCTGCGACGGGAGCCACCCCGGCAGGCGGCACCCCCGCTGTCCTGGTAGCAGGAGCAGCAGTTGAGGCGCCTCGTAATGCCGTCCCAGCAGACGCAGGTGGTACATCAACGTTGTCGCATGCCCGGCCACGTAGCGGCCCTGCTCCCGCCGTTCCTGCTGCTACAGTTGCCGTACCGACGTCGCCCCCGCTTGAAGAAGGGCCCTTCAGCATGGCACGAATGCTGGCGGCAGCGACAGCAGCGCCGCTGCCTAGTTCGCCACCGCTGCTACCGCCGCCGCTTAGGGCAGCGGAGGCGCCGCACATGGCAGCAGGCGGAGCCCGCGGACGGGGTCGCGGTGGACCTAGATCTCATGCTACTGCTGCTGCTGCTGCGGTGCTTGTAGATGTGGATGCTAATGATAGTGGTGGTAATGGAGGTGGAGGTGGAGGTGGTGGTACTGCTGCTGCGGCGGTGGGGGTTGCGGCGCATGGCGGCGGGGGTGATGCGGAGGCTGGCAGGCAGCAGGGAGCAGGCGGCGGCAGGGGAGGAGGTGCGGGCAGGGGTCGAGGAAGGGGAGGAAGGGTAGGGAAAGGGAGGGGAGTTGGGCTCAGGAGGGAGGCTCGGGAAGTGATTGAGCTCTTGGATTCGGATGATGATGCATGAGGGGTGAGAGCTGGCAGGAGGAGGTGGTAGCAGGAGCGGCGGAGGTGGAGGGAATGCGGGTGCTGGAAGGATGTAACGGGTGCGGTGGTGCGGCTGTTGGTGGCTGCTTCGTTCAGGTCTGAGGCAAGGAACACGGTGAGCCAGGGCCTTGGGGGCTGTTAGGGTGATGCGGGAAGGAAGAAAGGCAGGTGTGGTGACGTCCTCAGGTGAGGGCAACCTGTGGGACCGTGCGTTCCTACGTGTGTAGGAACGTTGGCGTAGGAACAGCATGCATCGTCGTTTCGGTTCGGTCAAGCAAAGCGCAGAATGGCAGGCAGAGCGTAGCTGTAGTGAAATTCTTCCTGTTAGACAGATCCAAGGGACCTATCCAGTAGATAGGCCTGGTAGTTGTCGTTGTTGCATGATAACGTCCCGTGCGCCGCCATGCATGGATGTTTCTCTTCACGTGCTGCTGCATGGGTTACAAGGTCTTTCGTTTGGATCTTACCGTGCAGCTGGGGTGCCTCGTAGCGCTTGCTGAGGGAATAACGACATAATTGTTTCATGAATAAAAACATGCACAGCACCCTTTGGGCTGCACATCTTTGACTTCTGCATTGGAGCTTTTCCGTTTGTCTTACTCTCAGTCTCTTACCGTTACATGTTCCCATTTACTTTCCCTTTCGAGAGATAACTTTGTTTACGGCCGGGTGTGAAAAGGAGTGAAGGTGGTTGCTGCAACTGTTTTAGGTGTGCAATCCACTGCGTTTAACGCCAGCGCTTTCCTGATGCTGTAAAGGGCCGGCTGCGGCTGTGGTAGAGACCCGGTGCTGCCTATCCGGAGCTCCAAGCGGTGTGCCATCATCAGATTCTCCCTGCCTACACTAGAGTTAGTAAACACACTGGCTCGTGATGGTCGGCACGGATGGTATAGAAGAACACCGGTTACAAGCAAGCACGGCAATTGCCTTGCTGGGTTGCCTGGCCAGCACTTCTTGCCGCCTCGACAAACACGTGGGACAGACAGACAAGAGGTGTAATAGCCGTCGTCGTCCCGGATTTTGCGCAACATGCGGCGACAGATGCAATGTGCACCAGCCCCCTTGTCCGACCAGCCGGTATAACTAACCGGTACAACTAAACCGTGCAGTACTCACAAGGGCACGTCAACTTCGCCACCCTACTTCTCTGCAGGAGGTTTCCTGCCAAATGTCTAACCTACAATGCCAAGCCAAGTGTTCCTAAAGTAAATATAGCGGTACCCAGTTAAGGGCACAAGGAGTATCCCGGAGGACAAACCTAGAAGATTGAGTTTATAGTTCCCTCTCTGTTCCCTCACGCACGCCCCGCCTCCATGCCCCCACCCTGCGTGCCCGCCTCCGAACAGCCAACTCGCTGCAAGGGACAACTGAAAGCTACCTAGCTATTACCATTCCAGAAGCCCAAGCCACCATCCAAACCAAGGTGTCTAGTTGGGGGACTGCTCCGTCAGAATCACGACGTCCGAGGTGGGGTAGGCGACGCACGTGAGCACGAAACCGTCGGCAAGCTCCTTCTTGTCCAGCATGGATTGCTCCGACTGGTCGACGCTACCCGACACGATCTTGCCTGTGCAGGCGGAGCAAGCGCCCGCACGGCAGGAGTACGGCAGGTCGACCCCCTCGTTCTGATGGGGCAGGGCGGCGGAAGGGAGTGAGCGGATTGGAGTTATGTCAGGACGGAGGGAGTTTGGAGATTGTTGACGTGCGCATGCAGCGATGCACAAGAGCCATGTATGGAAAGCCAAGGCGGCTTCGGGAGCACTGTTGTGTTGCTCTTTCAGGCGGCAATTGTAGAAATGAACGAAACGTAGACATGCATGAACGTGCAGCTGTTAGAGGCTGTTGCAATTGGACTGAGTCGCATGCAGCGTGTTGTGTGGCCTGCAGAATTGTGACAGGCATCATGGAAACGCCGACATCCAAGCAAAGGGCGCTCCCCAGATGTCACCCTACCAAATCCGGTAACTGACACATTGTACACAGATGATCTATACTGTTACATGCGGGAAACATGAAGGTCCGGACTTCGGTACCGGCAATCAGAACGGTATTTTCGGAACAGTAGGTGCTTGCCGCCGAGCCATTTCGGAATTACCTCAGCAGCATCCAGAATGTAGGTATCGTCCGGGCACTTGATAACCTTCTCGCCCTTGGGAGTCTTAAGCGTGACCTTGAAAGTCGCCCTAACAGCGACAGCCGCCCGGGAAGGCACCCGAGTACCCGAGACGCGGGGAGCAAAAGGGCGTTGAAGAAGCAGAGCCATGTTAGAGTAGAGGAATTTAACGGAGTACCGAAGACGGTTTCGACCTTTTTAGTAAAAAGTGAATTATGTTTGCAAGCCCTTCTGGCCTTAAAATAAGCAAGTCCTTTAACTGTGCGTTACATGCATACGGCGCAATTGGCTCTAGTGTTCGTATGGGCGAGTGCCTGTACCTTTCCTGAGAAGTCGCTCCATCCAACGGTCACAGTTGGGTGCATGTGATGGCAGGGGTCACCGCTTTGCGCTCGTATCCAGCACGTGGCCAGCGTCTCCTCTACACTATACTGGCAATACCCTAGTAGTCCATGTTATGTTGGGGCTCCCATGTTCTGGCACCTGTGTGCCGTCGCGGCGAGTAGATCGGCTAAATGTCCAACTAGCTAGCACTCAGCGGCGTAACCTTGCGACATAATGCCATTACGCATGTCATCGCAAACCGCGTGGCCTCCTGCTAGACGAGCCCAACCTCGTCCGTTCCACGTGTTGTTCATCATAGTGCCCTTGAGCATTGTCAACATGAACGACGGCTGCTGACATGAACGACGGCTGCTGTGCATACTTTCCCTTTTAGAGCTCCATCAGCCCTCGCTATGCCATTGCAAGGTTCGATTAAGCATCTCTAATTAAGCATCTCTTTCTTCGTCTCTAACCTACCTGGTCCATCGCCAGCAGAAATCTACCCCTCTCCCGATCATGCACCGTCCCTGTGCTTGCTTTGTTACCCATGACCCCTTCGTCCATGCAACAAGGGATTCTTACATTATGGCATGGGCCCCAGCGCCCCACACCACTCAACCTCATCCCGCCACAAGCTGCAGTGCCTGCCAACCTATCTTAGCAGTGCCTGCCAACCTATCTTAGTGCGCACACCACACACACACACATCCCACTTACCTACTGTGCCACGTAGAGAGTTTGCCAACACACTGGAGAGCGCATCCCTACTGTACACAAAATGGAAAGCTCCACACGTAAGACGGCTTTACGCGTGAGGCCAGTTGACATCGACCACTGCTGCAAAGTGTTTGGTACCGCCTATCTGCCGGTACAGCGGACCTTTCCAGATCAGCTTGTCACCACATACCGCTGCTGGTCTGCCATGACTTGGCACCTCCCTCCCTTCCCCCTTCTCCTTGCTCTTCCCAGCCTCTATTTCTTAGCGGTGGCATACACGTAAAACGCAAAGGTTGCGACCAGCAGGGAGCCCGCGAGGTTGCCCAGCGCCGCGGGGTCGCCTATGTTGACCTGATCGGACAGGATAGCGCTGCAGAACACAACCGAGTAGCCGTACTCCAGCGCTGCTAGGCCTGCATGATGCATGCAGGGGTGGTGAGGGAGGGGTGTGGGGGTGATGAGAAGGACGGATGTGCGGACACCATGCAGAGGGACGCTGAAGGTGGAGGGTTTGGTGCAACAACATGCACAACGCGCAGATGAGGAGATGGCAAGACAGCTGGTTGGCAGCAGCGGTGGCTGTAGGTGTGCATGGAAGGCGGGCAGGAACGGAATTCTCCTGCCCTGACACACAACACGCGCTCAGGGAATCCTCAAGGCCCTCGCAATGTCCTCACACCGTAACCGCCCTGGCCTAAGCCCCCACCCCATGATAGCCAAGTCTACTTCTCAACTACCGGTAACCCACCCAGGTTGAGGTTCTTGAAGGTGGAAGCGCCCAGACGTCCCCGGTCTGATGCGTCCTGCGCGGGGTTGTGGAGGGAGGCCCATGTGTGCAATTTGGTGGCGGTATGTGCACATCCCATCCCAATAGATTGGAAGCAACTGTATGAGGGACAGACACTCTCACTTACGGTACTAACCACCACCACCACCACCACCACCACCACCACCACCACCCACGCCCCCACCTTGAGCACGAGGCTGATGACGGCGGCCAGCGTGAACCCCGGCATCCACAGCGCCTTGAGCAGCGGGGTGACGGAGGAGGGCGGGTCGCCGGTGAACAGCGCCTGGGCGGCAGAGGGAGGGGGAGGGAGGGAGGGACAGAGATATACCCAAACCACAGGTTAGGGCAAAGCAATGGGAGGGAGGGAGGGAGGGAGAAGAGGGGAAGAATGTGGGTAGAAAGGGCTGGGTGTGCATGATGGTGGGCCCCACGCTGGCCCAGAGGTACAGCACGGTGAGATCCAGCCAACTAGCTACCAGAGGACTATTACTGCTTCATTCCTCTGCCGCCAGCAGGCAGGTGTGCATGCACGCATGCATGTGGCACACCAATCTGCTAGCAGCAGCCCACGACTGCATGCGTGCACGAAGATGGAGCTGTACGGCAATTGTATAGCAGGATTGGCGCTCTGGACCCTAAGTTCGCAAAACAAACACCCCATGTACATCCCGCCGCCTCATAACGGTAACCGTACACACACATTGTGGCTAGTCTTTGTTAACACACGCGGAGCTCAGCACAGATCAGCTGTAGCAGGGACGGTTTACTATCTTAGCGTACCAATAGCCGCGCTACCCCCGTTACATCAGCTCACCTCCGGCGCCAGGCATGCAGCCACAGTGGCGAGGTAGAGCAGTGCGACTGCCAGGTAGGCGGCGGAGGTGGGGTTGCAGGGCGGGGCGGGCTCCAGGGGGGGCAGCGCCAGGCCCCTGCCCGAGGTGTGTGAGATGACTGGCGGGTGGGAGTGGCGGAAGCGGGAGGGAAGCGGGAGGGAAGGGAGAGGGGAAGGCATGGAGAAGGGTTGGGCGAAGGGAGAAGGGGAAAACAAGGTAGATGCGGGGCAGCAACGGTGGCGTCAAGATGCACTGGCAGCAAGCGAACGAAGGGAGTGTCTGTGAGGGCACAGTGCTGCTCTGCTCATACGCACCGCCTCATCACGTACACCCTGGCGTATGTAACAAGCCAGTCCAGAGCTTTTCTCACCCCTCCAGCCCCACACCTGCCAGGTTCACAGCCACGCTGCTCGCCGCGGCCGCCACCGCCGCCCACCACAACCCCACCCCCGCTGGCGCCGCCTGCCCCGCCGCCGCCGCCGTCAGCAGTACAACCAGCACGACAGCGGATCGTACGGCAGCACCCGTCATGAGGCGCTGGTAGGTGGCGGAGGCGAGGAGCTGGGAGGAGGCGGCGTGCTGGGGACGTTGGGGAAGTTGGGAGGGGGGCAACGGTAGGTGATGCGGCCAATGCTTGGTAGTATACTACCACACTAAAGGAGTGGTAGTGGTGGAGAGGATGGAGGGCGCATGCGAGGGGAGGCGGGCGGGGCGGGTTCCGGAGCGGAGGGCTCGCGGAAGAGCTCTGGATGCAGCAGCCACAGGACTACGACAACAGCAACCCGTGGATGGCCAACGGGCATAATGCCATCATGTCCTAACCATCCGCTTCCCTTCCATTGGCTTCCATGCATGTCGTATCATGCATAGCGTACACGAGGACGCCTAGCGAGCCTCCTACCGGTACCTCCTTCGATAGGGCAGATCTGCCGCTGCCCCCGCCCCACCCCTGCATTGCTCCACCAACCCACAGGCCGCACCTTGAGAGACCACTCCACAGCCACACTAGCAGCCAGCGTGACGCCCCCGATACGAACGAACGTGACGTCCAGGTCCGAGTTGTAGTCCGCCTGGGCGGTGGGTAGAATGGGGTCAAGAGGGAGCGCGGGCTGTAGGTGGGAAGATGGGCACCCAGTACTCTACCAAGTACTCCTGCACACTCAACCTGAAAGCTGAGGGCTACCTACGTACTTTAGACCTCGCTTTGGCGCTGACCGCAGGTTGTGCTATTTCGAATCGGGGAAGTACATCGATCCAAGTCAGTCCGATCCCGGTATCACCCCACAACAATCACATTTGCTGGCTAGCTCGCTCACCTGGGGCAAGGCAAGGTCCAGCACCGCACCAGGTTCCACGAAGCACAGGGTGGCAAATACGGCACTTGTCGCCGCGAGTACGGCAAAAGCGGTTGACTGGTTGACTGGATTCGCCAGGAAGCCTGTAGGTCAGGTGTGGTGGGCATCATACCAGCAACGCAGGGCACAATTCAGCTTCGATGTAGTAAGTTTCTTTGTCACATCGCAAAGCACAGACCCCACATGACCACCGATAAGTGAAAGCGCTAAGAGCACATGAACCCCACGCAAGGCCCCTTACCAGATATGTCTAGGGCGGGCAATGACAGCGACTCCGCTCGCCCCAGCAGGGCTGAAGCCGGCTGCTGCTCCTGCTCCTGCACCGGCGGTGCTGCAGCAGCAGCTGGCGGTGGCGGTGGTGGCGGTGAAAACGAGGAGGCGGTAGCAGCGTAGCCTGTCGCAGTGGGCTGGGTGTCATTAGCGGTTGCGGTTGCGGCGTCTTCAACGGCAGGAGCTGTCGCTGTTAGGCCATCATCCGTGATCCCCGCCTCTATCTCCGCACGCCAGTTGGAGCGAGGGGCGCAGCGGGCTTGAGTCGCCTGTGCGTGGCCGGGGAACATGAGGTTAAGATCGGCAAATGGGACACGAGGGCATTCGTGGCCACAAGGGCAATGGCGGACGGGTGCGTTGGGTGGGTGCGTAGGTGGCGCCTTGTGCTGGGCTTTTCATGGCGTACGACGAGAAACGAAATGGACGCTGCAGGATTTGACCTTGCGGGGCCAGGTCTTGTGAGTCCTAATCGCCCATCCGTTGCATGGGGGGGGCACGCTGGCCCTTCAAGCAGTAGCCATGTCGCCACTAGCAGCAGTAACACCGACTCTGGACTCCAATCAAGGGCGCAAGACAGATGTTGCCGTACGCTTCCCTGACCCCTCTGAACCCCCCGCACCCAATACCCGGCTGACTGCCCGGGCTACTCCCTCGCTCCTGATGCCGTATCCGCAACCCGCATCCGGTCCAACCTCTTACCCTGAAGGAATGACGCTGCCATAAGCGGGCAGCGCTGTACAGCACTGCGCCTGCGTCAGCAAATGTGGGTTATGGGAAACGTTGGGATGGCACGTCATGCACGTGTATTACATTAACCATTAATATTGTAAACACTAAAGGCCTGGAAACAAGCTCGTCTGGTTCGGACCACTAACGGTAGTAGCATGTATGGAAGGTCGCGTCGCGCACGCAACGCAAGCGTAACGTTACATTGGGCTGCTATTAGGTATAGTTGAAGAGCTATGCTGACATATTCTTCGTTAAAGCTGGGCGCTCGCGTATCGATAGTCGAGTGGTTATCCCACGGGCGAGGCGTGCAAGTGAATCCTCTTCACCTGAAGCGGCCACCGCCGAAGAAGGCTTGGCAATGCTGCTTGGCCTTAACATTTTCACAAATTAGCAACAGGCTACTTGTTAAGCCTTCTGTAATGTTAATGCTAGGCACCAGACAAATGCTTCCAGACGTCTGCAACTGTTAACTTCCCCAAGAATTAATTATCCCTATATACATATATGGATGTTGCTAAACAATGCATAAAAAGCAAATCGTGTGCAAAGGACTCCTTAAACAATGCCAACACCCGCAAGCCTTCTAAGCAGCGACATGCTGGGCCCTTCGTAAGCCGCTTCCAGTGTCATCTAAGGTTCCGCCCAGCTGCGGGTCCCAGCAGCGCTACCGCCTCCGTGAGAACGCGTTTCACCATATCACTCGGTATCTTCTGCATCGTTGCTGCAAGCGCGAATGCTTTGCGCACTTAGCAGCCAGCCCGACCCAAGGGTCCGCATGTGGTTGGATAGTCCAAGGGTGCACGCAAGCCCTTGCATTTCGGCGGCTGTTGTGTTCCGTTGTGCCTCTCCGGCACCAAACATGGGGTCTCCAGGTCCTATGCGGCTGCCCTGACCGGCAGGAAACAACTCCTGCATGACGGGTTGACGACAGGGGGATGCGCGTGTGCTGCAGCATGCAGCCCCCCTCGAGCCTCCACCGCTCCCTAAGGGTCTCCCCTCTTTTTTTAACGTGCACTTGCCAGCCACAGCCCCATAGCTCGGAGCTGGACTAAATCCTCAAGACTGCTATCGGTCGCACATTACATGGTGAGTCGGGATCACGGCCGGGCGTTCGCATCAGCCTCCTTCAACCACCGCCTGTCCGCCCATCCCTCCACCCTCTCCCCCTCTCGCACACACTCCCGTGCCTTCCCTTAGCCTTACCCAGCAGGACCCTTCATTCCTTTGCTCATGTCAACATGTACGATCTCCCTATCATCGTTTCCCCCCTGCAGAGCCCTTGCCCTTGCCGCCCGGTTGCCGCTTCGGCTGCCCCTGCCCCTGCTCCTGCGCCTTCACCTCCTTCCCCTGACCCGCCTCCTTCTGCCCTTTCCCAGCCTTTCCCTTCGCCTTCGCCGCTGCCGCCTCCTTCGCCCTCGCCGCCTCCTTCGCCCTCGCCGCCTCCTCTTCCTTCGCCTTCGCCGCTGCTGCTGCCGCCGCCTCCGCCTCCGCCGCCTGCCGCCGCTGCAGGTGTATGTGGAAGCGCTTCAACCGCTCTACCATCAGCGCCTTCTCCTGCCTTAGCTGCCGGTTCACGTGGAAGCGCCGGGACTCCAGGAACATCCGCCGCAGCCCGCGAGCCGCCGCCGCCGTTGCAGCGTCAGCGCCGCCGCCAACACCCTGATGCTGGCCTCGCCGGCGTTTCCGACCCGTGCCGTCACTATCCTCTCCATCAACGTCAGCGTCAGACATGTCTTCATCGTCAACAACCCCAACATCCTCGTCGCTATCCAGAACCTCCTCCAAGCCAACCAAGGCGGCAGCGGCATCGACTTCCTCATCATCCTCCTCCTCCTCCGCCCCCAACATCCCGTACTCCTCCTCCACCAGCTGCCGTACCTCCGACAAGAACTCCACCGACGGCCCCGCCGCCACCGCCGCCGCCAACCCGCCGCGTCGCCGACCGCCGCCGCCCTTCTTCCCGCCACCTGCCGCCGCCGCTGGCGGCGGCGGCGGCGGCCGCAGCAGGCCCCGCGACGCGTCGTACGCCTCCGCCAACTCCGATATCGTCGCCGGCGTGCCCAGCGGCCCCGCCAGCTGTACGGCACTGCCTCCGCCGCCTCCGCCAGCGCCGGCACCCGGCCTGAGCGCCATGATGGACGCCGCCGCCTGCGCCAGGTGCGGGTGGTAGTGCGGGTGCTGGGGGCCGGCAGCCAGGCAGACCTCCCATAGGGTGGTTGCAAGGGCGCCTGACTCGGAGGGGTCGGCGCAGGAGGCGTCGTAGGTGCGGCCCCCCACGGTGGGCGCCTCCCCCTCGTAGTCCAGCAGTCCGGCCAGTTTGGGGTAGCGCCGGAGCAGCCTGGGTGGGGCGGGGCGGGTTGTGGGTGGTGGTGGTGGTGGGGTGTTAAGAGGAGGTAGAGGAGTGCGGGGAATCAACTATGTTAAGCTCTGATGTGAAGAGCCTCTGATACCGCAGAGCGTGTTGACACTACCCGGCTATCGGCTTAAGCCTCACCTCCCACCCCCACCCTCACCTCGCAATCACCGCCCACAGCGCCATCGCCTCCCCCGGCCCCGCCGCCAGCGCCGCCCCCGCCAGCCGCTTCACGAACGCCGCTCCCCGCTGCATGTCGGCCATCTTGGGCTCGCACAGCAGCGCCTCCAGCACCCCCGCCAGCAGCACCGCAACGCAGGTGGGGCCGCGGGAGCTGCTGCTGCTGCTGGGGTTGCTGGGGTTGTGGCTGGTGTCAGAACGGAAGGTGGAGGGCGGCTCTGCAGCGGCTGCGGCCGCTGCTTCCGCAGCCGCCGCAGCGCATGCGGCCGCCAGGGCCATGTCTTCCTCCTCGGCATCATCCTCGTCGTCTTTGTCCTCCCCCTCCGCAGCAGCAGATGCGCCGTTAGCCGGCCTAGAGGCGTCGTCGTCGCCGAGGAGGGAGTGCAGGGGCACCTGCAGGGGAAGATGGGAGGGAATTGGGCCACACTGAGCCGCAAGAAAGCACGCCGCCCCCTCCCCTCCCCCCCGGCCTGAAGCCTCGTCATCCAGCTCCCCAGTTTCCCCCCGCCCCCACCTGCAGCAGCATGTCGTACAGGTGCACGTACAGCTCCCTTCGGTCCACATTGAGCGCCTCGCCCTGCCCCCGCAGCAGCGCCGCAGCGGTGGCCAGCAGTCGCAGGCGCTCCGGGAGGGGCAGTGCGGGGCCGGCCAGCAGCGAGTTGAAGAGGGCCAGCAGGTCGGTCAGGTACTCCACGGAGATGAGGTGGGTGTACCTGGGGGGAGAGGAGGGGGGAGGGGGAGGGGTGGGTAAGGAGGAAGGGGATAATTAGAGGGGAAGGAGGGAAAGGAGAGAGGGAGAGGGGGAAAGGGGAAGAGAGGGGAGGAGAGGGGGAGAGGAGGGTGCCGCTGCGTGTGAATTGCGGGGGCAGGAAGGGGGTGAGGAGGTGCTCGGGTGGTCGACACCCATGAAGGGAATGAGCGGAATGTACCGGGGATTGGGGGAAAGCCCCAAAGGGGAAACAAGGGCCCCTCCCCCATCCCTCCCTCCCCCTCCCCCTGTTTCCTTGCGGCTCAGTACCCCTACCCCCGCCTCCACCTCCTCCACCCCCGCCCCACCTGGCTAGTCCCTCCAGCACGGGGTGCAGCAGCGGACAGCGCTTCAGCAGCCGAGACCGCGACCAGGCGGGGGCAGCGGAGCAGCTCGCCACTCGCAACCCCCCTGCCCCTGCCGCTCCCTCACTGCTGGAGCCCCCCAGTGGGGGCAGACCTCCGAAACCGCAGTAGGCCGAGGAGGAGGGCCCCTCCTCCGCACCGCCTCCTGCTGCGCTGCTGTTGGCGTTGTTGTTGTTGTTGGCAGCGAGGCCGATGGCGGCTGCGTGCTTGAGGACTCGGAAGTAGATCTCGAAGAGCGCCTCCAGCATGGAGCTCTGGGGGCAGGGCAGGGGGCAGGGGAGAGGGAGAGGTTAGGAGAGTGGATGACAGGAGAGGAGAGGAGAGGAGAGGAGGAGGGCAGGTGGGTGGAAAGCGGGGGGGAGGCCAGGCGACCGCAACAGCTCTAGTCCCAGCTGTGATCCCAGCGCCTGTCAGAGATAAGCGGTCCACGGCCTGCTCGAGTTTCTGAACCACCACCACCAGCACGGATTGTAACCCCCTTTCACCACATTAGCGGGCTTTGACCACCCCTAGCTCCTTACCCACCCCAACCCCACCCCAACCCCAGCCCCCTCCCCTCACCTGCATCCTCGCCATCTCCGCCTTGTCTGGGCCCGCAGCGGACTCCTTGAAGGCACGGCTCACGTCGTCCTCGCGCCGGCGCTTCTTGGCCTCGCGCCGCTCAGCCTTCTTGCCTGGGGGGGATTAATAGGGATACAATCTCCGCATTAGGCTGGATTTTAGGATTGCATATAATCAATACGGTAGCCTGAAGGGGGCCGGGGAGGGAGAGCAAGGGGCGGTACGGATAAAACTCACCTGCGATACCCAATACACATGCACCCACACGCGCAACCGCTGAAGTCTTTCCTCTCCCAACACTAGCCAGCACCCGTCCTCCTCCCTGCCTCCCTCCCGCAAATCCACACACCCACCGTGTTCCTGCCTGCCCTCTATCCCCATTGCTTTGCCCTAACCTGTGGTTGTGGTATACCTCTGGGCGCCCCCCCACTCACCCTTGCTCTTCTTGCGGTCCTCCCCCTGCTCCTCCTCCTCCGCCCCCGGCCGCGTCACGTCCCGGAACCGCAGCACCGCCAAACTGCGAACCACCTCCGCAGGCACCTGACACTTGCGCCGCCGGACCTGGGGGGGGGGGAGCGGGGGAATGCCGGGGGGGGAGTGCATGGGAGGCGGGGGTGATACACACCAGGGGGTTTGACACGCAGGGGGCGCGGCACACAAGGAGGGTGACAGCTACATGCGAGGACGAGGTAGGCAAGCCACCAGGGCGCACCGCCTCCACCGCTACAGCACTGCCTCACACCCACATGGCACACGCCCCGCGTGCCAAAACACACACGCCCCCCTCCCTTTCCCCCTCCCTCCCCCCTCTCCCCCCTCACCAGGTCCGCCACCAGCTGCACCGCCTCCAGCGCCGCCCTGCCCGCCCCCGCCTCATCCCCCGTCTGGTCGCCTCCCGCCAGCAGCGCCCGCACCGCACCGCAGGCCAGCGAGCGGATCTCGCCGTCCGCATGCGCCATGCGGGGTACGACAGCCTGGAGGGGGGGGAGGGGGTGAAGTGGGGGGTGAGGGAGGGGGGAAAGAGGTAACCCAATGTGTTGAATGAGAATGGCAAACAAGACGACAAGCTCACACTCACACTCGAGGGGGGGTAAAGGGGAAACAACAAACTGACCGCGTGGGGGAGTGAAAGAAAGGACAACCCGTCCTAATGGAAATCACAAGTAAGGGCAGGGCACTAGGGAGGAGGTGGCGGGAGGGAAAGGGAGGGGGGTCGGGAGAAGTGGGAAGGAGCAATCGCCTGGGTGCAAACCTAGATAGGATGCATAGGCCTTCACCTCTCCCCCTTCAACCCCCCCTCCCCCCCCACCACCCCACCCGCCCCTCCCCCCCACCTGCAGGATGTCTGATGTGTAGTTGAAGTGCGGAGCGGCGGTGAGCAGCCCCGCGAGGCAGCGCACCGCCACCCGGGCGTGAGAGAGGGTGCCGCTGCCCCGCGTGACGCACTGCGCGGCGTCCAGCAGCGAGCGGAGGTAGGTCTGCGGAGGGGGGGAAGGAGGGGGAGGGAGGAGGGGGAAAAAATAAAAAAAGGTGAAAGGAGGAGGAGGTGGGAGGAGGTGAAGAGGGGGATGGATGTGCCCGCACTGGGATCAAGGGAACGGGGAAGGAAGTGGGAAAAGGAGGAGAGCAGTGGAAAAATGAATTTGCAGCCCGAGCCCCGTTCATGCCCCACCATGTCTGCCCCGCCCCACCTGGTATGCCTTGAGCAGCGCCTGCTCGTACTCCCTCAGCTTGGCCACCTCCTTGCTGACCTGGAGGGGGGGGGAAAGAAATTCCAAAGTGTGGTGTGATGATGATATAAGTTGGGAGAGGAGGGAGGGGCGGGAGGGGGGGAGGGAGAGGGACATGAGGCGTGCAGGGGGTCCATGTGCGGGCAGAGAGTCAAGGCCTCTCTTCTTCAGGCCCCTCTCCTCCGCTGGCTCGGCGGGTTGGTGATCGCCTGCGGTAGTCATCACAGCTGGTTTTTCTCCTTAACCCCCTCCTAACCCCCTCCTTTACACCCCCCCCCCCTCACCTTGACCTCCAGCTCCTTCTCCGTGGGCGGCCTGATGCGGTATCCGGGCAGGATGTCCTTGAACACCGCCAGCAGCGACAGCAGCGCCAGGCGGGACACCTGGGGGCAGGGGGGGAGGGGGGAGGGGGGGAGGAAGTGAAGCAAAGAAGGCAAGCAACCGGAGTCCCAATCCCATGGGGGGCGCCAGGTGGAGAGCGGTGAGAGGGATGAGGAAGCTGTGGGCGGCAAGGGGGTTGGGGGGCCCACGAGGACGCCGCGAAGGGGGGCAGCAGGGCCAGACAAGATGCCTGCAGGCCGGGGCTGGCGTGGCACGTAGGCGGGGAGGGAAGCGTGCTAACCCCCCCCATGCTGACACCCCCCCATGCACGGTTGCACGCCCCCTCCCCCACCTCACGGCCTCCCTACCCCATGCACCCTCTCCCTCCCATGCACCCTCCCTCCCATGCACTCCCCCCCCTATCATGCACCCTCCCGCCCCCCCACACCATGCTGTCCTCATCCGCCACCAGCGCCTGCAGCGTCCGCAGCTCCCCCACGCTGCCGTCAGGTGCCGCCAGCAGCTTCTGCGCCGCCGCCGCCATCACCTCCTGCAGCTTGGCGCGCCGGGCGGCGGGCGGCAGCGAGGAGAGGTCCAGACCGCGCAGGGCGGGGGGCAGCAGGGCCTCTGGGTGGGGTGGGGGGGTGGGGGTAGCGGGGGGAGAGGAGAAAGGGAGATTGGATGGAAGGGGAGGGGAGGAGAGGGGAGGGGCAAGCAGCACGCCCTCGCACCCCGCAAGGCTCCCCACCAAAACCCGCCACACCTCCCCTCCTCCTCCCTGCCCTCCCTTCCTCCTCAACCCGTCACTCCCCCTCCCACATCCCCTCACCCCTCCACCAGCTCCCCGCCCCCCACCACCCCACCACGCGGTCAGTTAGTTGTTTCCTCTTTACCCCACCACCCCACCACCCCATGAATCCCCTCCACCCTACGACACTCCACACACCCCAGGGCCCCCAACCCTCTACCACCCTCACCCTCCGCCTTCTTCGCAGCCGCCGCCGCGCGCTTCTTCTCCTCCTTCGCCCGCCTCTCCGCCTCCTCCGCCGCCCGCCGCTTGGTCTCCGCCAGCGCCGTCTCCATGTCATCCGTGATGGTCACACCCTCCACCTGAATCCCCGCAGCCACCGCCAGAGCCGCCTCCATTTTCTCCTCCACCTGCTGCTGCTTGCCGCCTGCCTCTCCCCCGGCCGCCATCCGCTGCTTACGCGACTTTGCCGCTTCCTGGTCCGCGTCGCCTGCTGACTTGTCGTACACAACATCGCCGGTTAGGGTTTTAATGGGCAGTCCCGCGCCGGCAGACTTGCCGTCCCGTGGGTCGGTTTTGGCCCGGCGGGGCGCCCGCTCGTAGGCCTCTGCCTCCTCATCTGAGCCCTCCTCATGAGCTCCGCCCGCCGCGCCGGCATCCTCATCGCTTTCCTCATCCTCGCTGTCGCCAGCTGCTGCCTCCTCGCGGGATTTGGCTCGCTCGTCCGCGGCCTGCTTGGCCTGCCGCTCCTGCTTCTCGCGGATGGACCTGGGGACAGCAGGGGGCAGCAGGAAAGCGGGGGTGGGCGATTTATAGACGCGGTGTGTGGGAGCGAGGAAGACGAGGTGCGGAAGGGAGTAGGCTAGGGGAGGGTGATGGCCGGTAGCTAGGGGCTTAGCCCCGAGTCATGGGACGGCACTACGGTCTCAGGGTTCGTCCTGCGGCGAGTGCCGAGTCCCTAACCCACCCACACCCAGACAGGTACCAGGTGCAGCCAGCTTCCCCCTGCTCCCCAAGCATCCGTGTGTGTCCTGGGGAAGGCTAACGCCATGATGGACGTCGACGTGTGACCGCACCTGTCAAGCTCCGACTGATCGAGCTTTTCCAGGAACCCCAGGCGACGACGGTGTTGCTGGACGAACTCCAAATCCTCGTCGCTGATGTCCAGGTCGGAAGCGTCGCTGTCTCCCGCCCTGTCAACTAGGGGGACATCCTGCAGCGCAGCGCCGCCGCCTGCATTTTTCTGCAATGCAATGGGCAGTCGGCAGGTTAGAAGACCCGGGCGGATGGATAAAATCAATATGAGTCGGCGATAACTCTTATTAGGCATCTATCGTTCCAACTCAACGGTATTCTGCTTCTGCTTCTTCTTTAGTCCATGCTTGGGTGCGCCGGCGCCGCCACCGCTTGGGCGTGCCCGCTGCTGCTTTCCATTGGCTTTAACTGGTTGCTTTTTCTTGCTCATGGGGCAAGATACAAAAGATAGCGCCGGGCTGCCCTAATGACGACTGCGAAGATAGCTAAACGAGATTTAATGTAACAAATTGGTGTATATGGTGTAAGCGTTCTGCGCCTTTTACTCGTATTTTAGTGTCTGTCGCTCGGGAAGCGGTGCAATATGAGTATATGACTGAGTGTGAACGATACTTCTCCTGAAACCAGCTTAGAGGTGTCAATCAGTGCTAACTTCATACAAGCAGGTGAGGCGGAACCACTATGGCGGTTAAAGGGAAACCACAAGCTTCCCCGTCGTTCCACAGTTGTGGCAGTTAGCGGTTACCCGTCGGCTGTATGCGCCTCCTCTTGCAGCATGGATAGGACACGGGATGCATACTGTCATAGAACATCTGCAACAACAGACAGAATGCACACGCGGACGGCGCGCCGGAGAGAAACTAACCGCTGATCATGGGACTTGACGGTGTGCACCGACCTCCGGAGACAGAACGCGGGAATCAGCGATAGAGTGGTACAGATACTTCATCGGCAGTTTATTATTGGATAACTCGAGTAGAGGAGGCCTGGGGCCTGGGGGCCTTGCGAGCTGGGGGCCTGCCCCGACGGCGACGGCTCGCAGCAAGCATTCGGCGAGACACGACACAGGGCACGATCCACGCGCGTGCGTGCCAACGCACAGCCTTGGGTTTAAGCCAACACACGCGAGACAGCCCATGTCCTTCACTGACACCCTCTACGCTGTTGACTCCGATCTATGCTGCTGCTGCTGGCAGCTGGCACTCCTGATGAAAAGAGCTGGACGGCTGAACCGTCGCCCAGAGCCGGTCTCCAGCACAGGGGGAATCCCGGGGCAGAGGCACTGGGCGCGGGTGCATTCTCAAATACCCAGTCCTCCCCCACTTTCATCATACATCATCATACAAGGTTTCCTCGCTCGCACCCCTGCCTCCGCCTTTCCCCTGTGAATCCCATCATGTTCCTGCCAGGAATGCTGTTTCCGTGTTTGTCCGCGTCAGAGCAAGGCAACGCCCGCCTCGTGGCACCAAGGTGCCGGGCAGTGCGGTCAGCTGTGCGTTGCATTGGGTGGCGGGCAGTGCAGTGGACGTGACACTGGCTCCGGCTTGTGGCAGCACCTGGGCCTGTGGGTTATGGGTTAAGCCAACGGTTGCACTCTATAAGTGTAGTCAGAAGCCTAAGTCAGCCTCTGGAACCATCTGTGCGGCGGAGGATATGGGCATGGGGGTTAAAAGGAAGTATTTGACATGTGTGTGGGGTGCATGTCACGCTCCTTGGCAACATAGACGCAAGACGGAGATCTCTCAAGGGGTTCAGAATCACTTGGGTTCAGTATCACTGCTCATGCACCAGGTTTCGCCCAAACCCCGAATCGGCAAGGGTCTTACGGGAGGCATCCGACTTTCCGGCTGGAAAGTCACCAACTGCCACGCCAGTAACGCATGGGTACGTGGGCTTCCCAATGCTAAGGAGATAAGTTACCGGGTCAAAGTGAGAGCAGCACTGCTAGTGCCTGTGCGCTGGGCTTGCAAGCCTTGCATGCGAAGCCAAGGGTTAGTATGGCGTACCAAGAATACCACTCCCTGCACATTATCCACACCCGTGCCTTGTGCAACAGTCGCATACACTGGGCCGGCCGGGTTCAGCTTCACATGTAAACGGGTGCAATCGATGTTTATCAAGATGCCTGTAATAAAGGTTCCCCGGCCGAAGACCTTGAAGTTCGACGTTCAGCTCTTTGCGGGCAGTAAGCGCGAGTTTGCGTGGAAATAACGGCTTTGCAAAGAACATGACCTACGAATGTGAAAGCAAAGTAAGCAAAGGATATTCCGCTACCCTTGGCCTAACCGTATCAACGTGACGGCCTGAGCTGGACGGGTGGGAGGCGTGATGGTCGGTACGATTGCGATCATACTCTACACAGATAAAGATTCTATGCAAAGAAACGAGCGGTCGGATGGCTTGTACTGTAGGGATACATACGTCAGCTTCTTTAGATGCAACTTTGCCAAACATAACTGCTGTCTCCTCCAACTTTTTGCGCAAAGCATGCAAGATGACGTAGGTAATGTTTCCGAGTTATGTTAGCTGGCTAGGATACAAGCAAACTTTGCTCCGCACAGAACCGGATGGTGACCGTGGGCACACAGCCCCCCATTTTTGGTGTATCTGCATCGTATGGTAGTTTGCTAGCTCTTGGTGCAGCACCCATGGCTTCTGGTCGCAAGCGGACAAAGGCCGACGTGTGCGACGCCTTTTTGGCCCTTCTCGCTGAGCGGGGTGACGTGGAGCTGGACGCAGCGCTTGTGGAGGGCATACGCCAGCATTTTGAAAGGTTGCCAACACGTTACGCTCTGGACGTCAACGTAGATGGCCTTGACGTGTTAAGCCATAAACGGCTCCTCGATGAGGCCAGAGCGGACCCCACCACGGTATCTTTTGCTGTGCGGCCGGTGGAGATTATAGCTCCTCGACCAGAGCCAGTGTCTTCCCCACATGAGGTATGCAGCCTGCCCTTGGAACTGCGGGAATTCCCCTTACCAACCCTGAGCCGGCCGGCCCATTGCAGCTCACGCGCGCCAACTCAAAGAAGCTGGGGCTTTGCCGCCCAGCGTTTGGCTCATCACCCAACCTTCAAGTACGTTTTTCTGTTGGATGCCTTTTCTCCTGCTGGGCATTATCTGACGCTCAGCGTTCTTTCAGGCGCTGGCGCTCGAAGTTGGGGAGCGAGCCGAGGCCCACGAGGCCGAGCCCGCGGTAGCTGGGCCCGGCAGATCAGGAGAGGAATACCCTGTGTTCTATGAGATCACAATAGCATCGGTTGACCAGCCGAAGCTGCTCAGCCGGCTCTCGGAGGCCCTGGTAAGGGCGTTAAGCTCTTTCTTCGCTCTTCAGTTGAAGTCCCTTCGCTAACAGGGGCCGCGTTTTACACAGGGGGATCTGGGGCTAAATATACGAGAGGCGCACGCGTTCAACACGAACGATGGCTTCTCTTTAGACGTGTTCGTTGTGGACCAATGGCAACCGCAGGTGCGCTGCAACGCAAATATGATCACATTTGCCTCGTGCATCTCCCTAACCGTGAATATCCCTGAAAACCCACAGCCGGGACAAAACCTGGAGGAGCTTTTGGGGCAGCGGCTCTTGCAGATGCCGCCCCCTCCGCCCAAGGGTGCCCCACCCCAGCAGGTGGCAGCAGCGTGTACGCCTATGCTCCGGTTACCGGCGGAGCCGCCCCCGAACTTGTTGCAGGTGCGTACGATTGGCGCTGGCGGTTTGGGAGAGGTATTGTGTACCAAAAGGCGCATGCGAGTACACTGCCCCAGCAATGCCCCTTGCGATCATTCACTGATCTTACATATTACCTGACCTGATGCTGCGCGCCGCATAAGTGCTCATAAATGTCATGTGGGCGACGGTGTTGGGGTCCGACTCGTGGCGCGCCCGTGAGGGCGACGGCATGCCACCAGGCATGTCATTGCTGGTTGGCGGCTGATTCGCCAACAGTGTCATGCCATCCGTGCCCGTAAGCCTGCTGCCATGCCACAACGTTAATATTGAAATGAACTGAAGTCATCACCGGCTACCGTTATGAGCAGCATAACCCCACATGCAAGGCGTTTTAGTAGGGGCTCAACCAGGACTTCCCCCTGGCAACAGCAACCATCCTCGGGGCTTTGGTGCCCTTCAAGGCGTGTGCGTGGGAGGACTTACCAACACCCAAACAGCATAGCGCATCTAGCCAGCAGGCGTTTGGCATCTCATCTTGCCCCTCTCTCCTCCAAACCCCATATCACCGCACCCCTGCAGGGCGCGGGGCCCCGGCCGGACTCCCCCGCGGTGGACGACTGGGAGATCGACATCACGCAGCTGCACATCGAGGCGAAGATCGCGTCGGGGGCGTTTAGCAACCTGTACAAGGGCACCTACTGCGGGCAGGAGGTGGCGGTGAAAATCCTGAAGGACGTGCAGGACGACTCGTCGCAGTACCAGGAGTTCCTGCAGGTGGGGAACTGGGGAGGATGAAGGCGGGTATGGCATATGATAACTGGAGTTAGGATGGGGACGGGTAGGGTGCAGGAGAGTCGGTGGGCGGGCAGAGGACTAGCGTTCAAGGGATTGGTTAAAGTAAGAGTCTCGGCTGTATGTGGGGTGCTTGCGGGCGAGAGGGTGCACTGGGTGCTGGACGGTAGGACCCAGCAGAGGGGCCGGCCTAGGTTGGTCGCGACAGGACTTCGGTTGGGTGCGAGAAGGGTCCCAGGGAGGAGGTCAACTAGCGACTTGTGCTCCCATCCTTGTATGCAAGCACACAAGTGCAAAGCGCTGCGGGGGACTAGCAATCAAGGACCCAGCCCACGCTTATGAGTTATGACCCATCCACGTGGTGTGCCTCGCGTCGGCCTTGCTTGTCCCCGTTCGCCCCCGCAGGAGGTGGCCATCATGCGGAAAGTAAGACACAAGAACGTGGTGCAGTTCATCGGGGCATGCACGCGGAAACCCAACCTCTGCATCGTCTTCGAGTACATGTCGGGCGGCAGCGTCTACGACTACATCCGGCGGGTCAGTGGGGGGCCGCCACGCTCGCGCCTGCTGTTGTTACCTGACAGCTGCTGATAGTGCAGGCACTGCGTGCTGGTATATGTATGGAACAGGCCTCTGGGGAGTCCGGGGCTTACATGCTTGGCGCAGTAACCAAAAGCATCCTCCAAAAGACAAGACTGTTACCGTGACGGAGCAGCAACATATAGCCGACCCATCGTTCCCTTCCCATAGCCGTCCTCACTCTCCTTCCCTCCCTCCCGCTCGCGCTCTTCCGCTCTCGCAGGAAGGGCAGCTGAAGCTGTCTGCCATCCTGAAGCTGGCTGCTGACGTGGCTCGCGGCATGGACTACCTGCACCAGCGCAAGATCATCCACCGCGACCTCAAGGCCGCCAACCTGCTCATGGACGACAACGCCATTGTCAAGATCGCGGACTTCGGTGAGGAGAAGGGGAGGGGCCCACCACCATACCGAAGGAAAGGGGCGGGGTGAAAGGGTAGCCGGTGGGCAGCCGTGGAAAGGCTCTACCATGGGTTGGCGGGCCGGGGGGCAGGAGGGGCGAACCTAAGCGAGTGCCTGAGGCATTATGCTGGCCATTAGTGCATTGTCAGGAAATAGCGGCATTGGTACATGAGGTTTGGGGACGGTACTTGGCTTGGCGGTCTTCGTACATCTGCCCTAACGGTTGCTGCCTTGTCCTGCTGCTGCCGCATCCTCAGGCGTGGCGCGGGTGATTGAGAGCACGGGGCACATGACGGCGGAGACGGGGACGTACCGCTGGATGGCGCCCGAGGTGATCGAGCACAAGCCGTACGACGAGAAGGCGGACGTGTTCTCGTTCGGCATTGTGCTGTGGGAGCTGCTTACGTGCAAGGTAGGGGTCGTGCCGGGACTGGCAAGGGCGGATGATTGCTGGGGTAAAGATGAAACAACTAACTGACCGTGTGATAAGGCGGTGTGTGCGGTGACACTGCGCCTAGGCGTGATGAGGAGTATTGCACTACATGGTATGACTAGCTCCTAACAGCTCCCGTCCTGATTCCCGGTTCACATGTTCTCGTGTAAAACCCAACCGTGCCCCTTTCGGACAGGTGCCGTACTCGGACATGACGCCGCTCCAAGCGGCGGTAGGTGTCGTACAAAAGGGGTTAAGGCCCGGCATTCCGCCCAACTGCCCCAGCCCGCTGGCTGAGCTCATGGAGGCCTGCTGGGGGGGCAACCCGGCGGCGCGGCCGAGCTTCCGGGACCTCCACCCGCGGCTCCAACAGCTCTGCGCGCTCGCGCTGGAAGAGGAAAAGCGGCAGCAGGAGGCAAAGCCGGCCTCCAAACAAGGGCTACTCTCCAAGCTGCGAGGCAAATAATGAGCATTTATCCTTCGCGGCTTGGGGCGGTGGTGTTATAGTTCAGGCGCAGCAGCGGTAGCAGCAAAAGCGGCAGGAGCAGCTCAATGTTGGCCTGTGGATGGCTTTCAGTTTGCCCCCACTGTGGAGAGCCGCACGTGCAGTGGTACATGCAGGTATTTGGCGCTTGCATGGCATCCAGCTGTGCCGAGGCTGTCTTGCTGCAGCCAAGATTCGCTGCTGCAGCTGCCGCTGCGGTTGCTGGTGCTGCTGCCTTGGATGGCGGGTTGCGCTGTGCATAAGTCTGGAGTCGTCGTTGCTGGGCTAGTCGTCATGCACGCATGGAGTGCCCCATGGCTCGGTGCTGTCACATGGCTCGGAGCTTTCCAGAGGCGTCCTCCCCCTTCGCCTCCTGGGTTGCATGTGCCGTACGGCCGTACGCAGAGTTACAGGCGCTGCGCCGCAGCCTAGGCGGCTGTCCGCTGTGTGGGGCTCACGCGGTCCTACAATCTCCATCTGCATGCGCCCCTAAAGTGCAAAGGGACCTTGCTGCGTGTGTGTAAGGGTGTTTTCCCTGCTGCTGCTGGACGCGAGGGTCTCCAACAGCCCCCACTGGCTCCGGGGTTCTCTTGTCTCTTGAGCGGCTTCAGTGGTTATCATCTTCCAAGTTTTGTGCTCTCCAAAACATCTATTTGGTATTCAGTTGTTAGTCACCGTGAGTGTCTCTTGACAGGCCATCTGGCTTTCCTGGTGTGAGGCATGTTCGCTTGGGGCCTGGTAGCGAAGGTTAGGGACCTTTACAGGGCTGCACGTTACAGAGCAACGGAGGCTAGCCGGGTTTGTGATTGGGATGGTAACAGCAGTAGCAGCAGTCTGGGCTCCAAGTCGGCATGCATCAACAGTAAAGTTCTTTCTTTTGTTACAAACACAATGCACTGCATGAATGCACGATGGGGTAAATGCGGAAATGACGGGCCCCTTGCACGCCTTTGGTTGGCACCGCCAAAGGCCGCATGTCTTGACGTCGGTGCGCAGTTTTGCTTTTGTTGGTTTGTATTGTTGCCTAAATGTGTGTAGTGTATGGCGGCGGTGGCGGCGGCGATTTACATCTTTTGGTGGCGTATTGTGCTGCTGCTTCCTCTAATATAGCGGCGGAATCAGATACGGCATGGTACGGGCCACATGTCAGGGCTAACCCTACCCCTGAAACAAGTTTCGTGGCCGTTTGATTCCGCGGTACAGCGACGGTTTCCCTTGCCGTGGCGCGAAAGGAGTCGGTGGTATGCAGTTCGCGTTTATGGAATGGCAGGGCTGGCACGACGGTGGGTAATTACAATTCTCTGTGGTGCGGTTGCGTTTCTTCAAGTGGAGTCGCAGCGACTAAGGAAGAGAACGTACGCGCAAAGTAAGCGCACTGAGCTGATGGTGTGTTCGGAGTGCATATTGGAGCGTGTGGGTTGATGGCTACTACATCAGTCCACACTTGTGGGGTGGTACATACGGGGCTACTGAGAGAGGTGGGGGGCACGCAACCTACTTGCACGCTATGCTACTCCGCCAACATTCATCAGGATTAGAGGCTGAGCATAGCGTAGCACGGACCTATGGCTGCCTGGAAGCAGTCATCTGGGGGTCGGACACAGCTGTAGTCAACTTGGTGACGTGGTGCGCTGTCTTGCAGCTGGAAGCCAAGGATACGGGTCTTCGGTGTTGCAAAGGCTGCAAGTTCGCTTAAGCAGTTGATGCAATTGAGTGGCTCGATGCCCTGTTGGTGCATCTCACAACGTTCTCTGCAAGGGAAATAAGTCTTGTTGTCACAGCTTGACATCGACCAAGTTGTACTGGATCGTTCAGCTGTGGCACGACTGCTACAGTTATCCATTATAGTTCCATGCGTTACTCTCTTCTCTTACACTGGTCGTGGGTATGTACAACCGCTTACAACACGAGCAAAACTAGCAGGATAAGCTACGCCTGTTGTGCCTACTGGCACCGACACACCCTAACAAAAGGCGTTAGGCACAGAGTATTCAATTGAAGATATTAAAGCCAGTAAATCATTACCAGCAGGAACGTATGACGTCCTGCGGATCAAGATGTTGATGTTGAGCGTTATTTAAAAACCTGCCTGACCACAAGCAATATCGCATGGCCGCGCAAAAGCTGCTTTTCCCAAAACCCCCCCATACTCCCAGACAGGGGTGATCCAAATCATCATTCTCGCAACGGAGATGAATCAACACATGCAGGATCAGCTATGGGGCTGGACCCAATATGCTGAAAGTCCCCATGTTACCACATTACACCTGGCCCGCTGACTCACACGAATCACCAAAGCCGCGCATGCACCAAGACCGTGGTCCCAAGTGTAGAAAACTGTCGATAGCAAGGCTCCAGAGAAACCACCTTATTGCCGGCTGGACGAGAAGTAAAAGTTGATCGCCAACGCGGCCAGCAGTATGAGGAGAGGCAGGATGACATGGAACGCCCGCGTTGCAGCACCCTTCTGTTGCTGCTGCTTCTGTGCGTTGCGGCTCTGAGGTGGGACCTTCGCAACCGCGGGTGCGCTGTCACCGCCCTGTGCACATGTCCGAGCATGGGGGGAGGATGGGTGTAAGTCAGAGGGTTTGGGGTAGGGCCTGATGCGGTATGAGGCCTGGATGTGTATTAGGTTCAGGAAGAACCTTTTCTCTTCCGCTTCACGACTCCCATCCTCTTTGCCCAGCTTCGCACCTCGTAGGTGCCGATCAGGTACTTCTCCAAGAGCTTCTTAGCAGAGTTGCTGTGGCCAATCTCCTCAAAGTCTTGCGTGGCGTCCTTACCTGTCCGCAAATGTCGTAAACAAGAGAGCCTTATTATCAGATAGGCCAAGAATTAAGTACTACTAGGCTGAACATGCGGACGAGTGGCAAGGGCCCTGCCTGATGCGAGTGCGCGGGAAAGTCATAACGCAAGCCCCAGATACGCCTCAGATCTATTGACACCGGGGGGAAGTAAGGACAGCTCCAACAGGATGTTATGATGCGAAGGGCCCATTGCTAAGCGCGCCCTACCCGTCGAAGTGACGATAATATCATAGCCGCCTGGATGCTCCTCAAGGAAGTCCGTCACATCGTAAACTTTACCGTGAACTACTAGCCAACAGGACTTGTCGTTTGTATGGGCCTTGATGTCTGCAAGCGTGTAAACCTTGGACGACATTTTGCAAGTGGCAACGATCAGAAGGAAGGTGAGTTTATGAGTCCTATGAAAGAAAGATACTGTTGATAGTGCTTAACCTGTTTGAACATGGACTGTGATTCGCGGCTTTTACGCGCGATCCTTACGACCGTGGAATCGGCCGGACCCTTGTACCGCCCGGCCCACCCATGTAGAAGGGAAAAGGCAACCCAGATTGCTAGAACTTCAAGAATACACTAACTTTAAATATGCTTAGGTATGTGTGCTCTTTTTCGCCTCAGTGGAACTTGGCGCCATGTTACAAGCGTGAAGGGGCCGGAGTACCTCGACGCGTATTACATTGCCGACCCAAATCAACCTGCATGCGTTAACCACCGTGCTCCTCCCTCGTAGGCCGCAGTCTTTTTTGCAAGTCTCCCCTGCGTTTGCATGCAGACCATCGCCCTTAACTCCTGACGGTAACCTAGAGCGACGCTTTTCGCACCGTTCAGGCAACGCTTTTCGCATCGCCCAGGCAGCAGGGGCCGCTGCCCTGCCTTGCTCACGCTGTATCGGCTCCTCCACGCAACTTGACCACACCCTACCACATCGCTAGAACGCCCTCCACAAACAGCCTTCGCAGGCACTGTAGCAAAACTAATGTCATCTAAGTGGCACATCGGCGCCATCAACGCTTGCTTAGCTGGGCCACCTTTCCGCCGCGCAGCGCCTTTCCTGCCTATATTCCTCCGCTCCACCATTTCGCACTCAATCAACCTGGCTCGCGGCTATCGGCCTATCGCCCACGTCCCATCCCGCGGCCCCGACCCCGACCCGCAGCCCCGCGACCCCCCCGTCCACCGCGCCCGAAACCTCCCCGCCCGAAACCTCCCTCCGCACCCTCACCTCGGCCCCGCCCGCCTCCACCCCGCCCGAAGCCTCCCTCCGCACCCTCACCTCGGCCCCGCCCGAAACCTCCCCGCCCGCCTCCACCGCTCCCGAAACCTCCCCGCCCGAAACCTCCCCGCCCGCCTCCACCGCTCCCGAAACCTCCCCGCCCGAAACCTCCCCGCCCGCCTCCACCGCTCCCGAAACCTCCCCGCCCGAAACCACCCCGCCCGCCGCCTCCCTCCGCAACCTCACCTCGGCCCCGCCCGCCTCCACCCCGCCCGAAACCTCCCCGCCCAAACCGCCCCGCCCCATCACCGCGTCCACCCCCTCCCCGACCCCGACCCCGCCCGCCCTCGCCACCCTCACTCCACTCCCTCCTCGCCCCCGGTGCCGCCGCAGCTGCCCTAGCGCTCTCCCTCTTCACCACGCCTCCAACAACCCCTGTCGCCGCAGCCGCCTTGCGCGCAGCCACCGCAGGCCGCTTCTCTGGCCGCGACCGGCTCGCCGGCGCCTCGCCGCTGCCGGGGGCTCCACCCGGCGCCGCCTTACCGACCCTAGCGGGCTTGGGTCCTCTTAGCGCCTTGACCTTGCCCTGCGTCTTGGCACCCTGCCAGCTGGAGGGGTCGGAAGCCACGGCACCACGGCTGCCGCTGCGGCCGGCGCCCCGCCCGGCAATGCCGCCGCCGCGGCCAGCTCCCCGGCCGCCGCGACCGCTAGCGGCGCTGCCGCCGCCAGCCGCGGCGTAGCGGCTGGATTTTATGATGCGCAGCGGGCGCTTCTGCAGCGGCTTGCCGTTAAGGTTGAGGGCGGCGTGGACTGCCGCCTTGGTCTTGAACAGAACAAAGGCGAAACCCTGAACAGCAGGAAGTGGTGGTGGTGGGGGGTGTAAGAGCTGCGGGTACTGGGCGGTCGGCAGGCCGGGGGTTCTGATCGCAACTGGGAGTCAAGGGTTGGTGCAGCCGCGGCAAGCAGCAGCAAGCCGACAACATAACGGCGACGGCAGAGTACCGGTACCTCTTCCCGGCTATGCAAGCCTTCCCAATCCCTCCGTGCCTCTAGACACGCCATGCCATCCCACACCCCGCCCCGCCCCCATCCCTCCCATCCCTCAGTCAGTAAGTTGTTTCCTCTTTACCCCTCCCTCCCTGCCCACCTTGCCCACGCTGGTCTCGCGGTCCCGCACCACCCGCACCGCCTCCACCGCATCCGCCAGCTCGGGGTGGCTCCTCGCGTGGCCCAGCATGAAACCAATCAGCTCCTCATCGCTCGTCTGGAAGCTCAAGTTTCCCACAAACACGCTGCGAGCGGGGTCAAACATGCTGCCCGCCTCATCCTCCTTCTTCTTAGCAGCCGCGCCCGCACCCGCAGCAGCACCGGCGTCCTTCTTGTTCTTGGGCGGCGCCGCCATGTCCACGCGGATGTGGTGTCCCTCCACCAGCTGCATGTTGGCGCCCAGGGCGGCGCGCGCGGCAGCCGGCTCGCGGAACACCACGTAGGCGGTGCAGGGGGCGCCGCGCTCGGAGTCCACGTTGCCGGAGAGGATGGCATTGCGGCGGGGCATCTTGGCGTCCATCTGAGGAGGAGCAGGAGGGTGGGGGAGAGAGAGGGGGATCAAAGACCATACGGAGCCACAGGGAGAGGGGCGAAGGGATGGGGTGGGAGAGGTTGCCTGTGGAGAGAACGCCCGCTGCACCGCTATCCTGCTTCTTCACACATGCACCTCCCTTGCCTTTTGGCACCCTGCCGCCTCCCGTTTGCCTTGCCGTAACGTTTTGATCTTTGACCTCTTCCTGACATGCCATTACAACAACATACGAGCCTGAGCTATTCCATGCCATTGCCCGCCTAACCCCTCACTTCCCACCATGCCAGCCGACCCAGCCCCTCGCCCCTCCTCCGCATCCCCAGCCTCTCTCTTCTCCCACTCGCGGCCTCCCTCCCTCCCTTCCAACCCAAACCCCACCACCACCTCCTCCTCACCTTCACCGGCACCGCCCGCACCCGCACCGACTCCACCTCTCCGAACCCCTCAAACTGCCGCCTGATCTGCTTGGTGCGCCCAGTTGCCATCGAGGCTGGCAGGTTGCCAACAAAGATGGTGCGAGCCAGCTTGGCCGCCTCCTCCTCGGGACTCAGCCGCCGCTTCTTAGCTGGCGGCTCGCTGCCCGCTGCGGGTGCTGCGGTGGCGGCGTCTGTGTCAGCGGCCTCCTCGTCCTCGCTGCCTAGGTCACCCGCATCGCTGCCGTCCTCCTCATCCCCGCTGGCATCCTCCTCATCCTCATCACCAGCGGCGGCAGCAGCGGCATCCCCTTGGTCCTCATCCTGGCTGTCGCTGCCGTCGCTATCAAGGTCAGCGTGCTCCTCATCATCATCATCGCTTGCGGGCTTGGGCGGTTCCGGAGCCTTGCGCTTCGCGGGCTTCTTAGCCGCCTCCTTGGCAGCTGCGGCTCCTGCAGCGGCTGCCTTCTTGGGTGCCACTGCTGCTTTGCCCTTAGCCTTAGGCGCAGCAGCAGTAGCGGCAGGGGCTGATGCCTCTAGGGAGTCTTGCAGGGCGCGACCTGTCCGGGCGGCAGCGGCTGCAGCCTTCCCTGGTTTTGCAGGCTCAGCTTGCGCAGTGGACTTCTGCTTTTTCCCTGGCCGGGTGGCCTCGGGAGCGGCCTCCGTTAATGGTGCCTGGGCGGCTCCGTCCGCTGCTGCTACGCGCTTGCCCTTCTTGCCTTTGCCAGGGGCATCGCTCTTTGCTTCGGCAGGCTGCAAGTCTGGGCGTGGCTTCTTGCCATGACCAGAATCCGCTGCAGTGGCGTTTCCAGAAGCCTTCTTGACGTCATTCACCTTGCTGGGCCTTGTCTTGGCTGCGGCAGTGTTCCCATGCTCGTCGGCGGCTGCATCGCCAGCAGCTTTTTCCTTGCGCTGCTTTCCCTGCTTCTCGGACTTCACCGCATTGCTCGGCTCAACCACTTGCGCAGGCGCGGGTTGCTCCGCAGCCTTGAACTTGCTGCTTGGGCTAAAAATGCCACCAGACCCGTTTTCACCCCCGAACAGATTCCCAAACAATGATGACATTGTTTATGAGTAACTGTTTAGGATAAAGGTTGAAGTGTGAACCAAGCGGTGTCGGCTAAGGTAGCGTTGCCAAAAGGAACATAATGGCATACAGGGCTGCAAACCTATGCGTCAAGGTAACTATCAAACTATGTGCTTTCCGGTTACTGGTGCTCAGAAGGTCGCAACAACGGAACGGTTGCAACTTACGTAGCTTGGATCAACCAACCACCGTCTCTCGCGCTGTGGCGACGACAGATACAACTCTGGTATTAAGGCAAGCGCCACCTTATACAGCCCTACATTTGCCTATCATGCATGTTTGCTGTTCATTTATTGTAGGCATGCTGCTGCCTGACGGATGAAGGAAGCCCAGACGGGTCTACGCCGTAAAGCCGCGCCTGGCGTGACACTGTGCACACTCGGTGCAGTTTCCGTAAAAACAATGCAACAACGTGGTATGTTGCAAGGTGGAAGCCGGGATATGGTGACACCCTTACAGCTTGAAAACGTCCGTGGCATGTTGGCATGCAGGTATGGTTCCCAAAGCTTCGCAAGACGCCGGCGGCATCGCTGAGCATTGCAAGCTTCCATGCTGGAGCGCCACCAGTAGAAGATCTACCCTTAGTTGGAAAAGAGTAGCAACTCCAACCAGCCTTCGCATCTCAACTTCCAACTGAGGCTCACCAAGAGCCGAGGCTGGAGGATGTACACTTGCATCTCCCGCAAGCCATCAACAACCCCCAACTACAGACTTGCCGTACAGGCCGATTACTAAGCGTGCTTTGCTAGAATACCCCCCTGCCCTTGTTCCCGCATAGGGGACGCTGTATCGCGGCTCCTATGGAAGCAGGTTTCTGCATGGTAAGCTACATACGGTAGCAACACCGCACACCCAGCGACGCTATCTGCTGACCAGCAGGGAGTCGAAGGGGCCCCCGCACCTTGCCCAGCGCCCAGCCGTACACCACCTGCTCAGCCGCTGAGTGTGCCAACATGCGGCCGCCACGGTGTCCCTCATATGCAAGCTCCTCACAGCGGCCAGAGGCCCGCTGACACGCACTTGCTCATGCAGCCTCCCAGGGCTTTGTTGCAGGCCAGGATGGAACCCGGGGTGCCAGCACCTGCGGCCAGCACGTCCGGCATGTTCATGTGGTCAGATTGTACGAACTGTAGTTAGTCAAATGAGGTCAAAGAGACAATTGATGGCAGATTACCCTTCTAGGCTGTAGCAGGTTTGTTGCTAGCGTGATGTACCGGCAAGCGACGAAGTCATCAAATCGTTGATGCTAAGGCGGTTCAGCAATGCAAACTAACTCAGGCTTCGCGTATCTATGTGTATGTGAGGGAGAGGGGCACGTTTACCGGCGGTCACGGTGCCGAAGGTGGCGCCAGAAGCCGAGTAGCAGGCCACCGCCAGGCCGTTGCATCCCGTCTGACAGATGCCGTAGCCAAACAGCCCGGCGGAAGCCGAGCCCAGCACAGCGACCAACATGACAGAAACAAGGAGAATGGTGATGCGGCGCTTGTTCAGCATTGCCTTCCTTGGTGATGAAACTTTGGAAGGGGTGCCCAAAAAGCTGAGGAGGCCTTTGATTGCGTGGTATGTGTGGATAGCACTAACCTTGCCGTTGTGGGTATTGCTGCGACAGTGGTGCAAAGCCTAAATGACGGCGGAACTGGCCTAATTGCGTGCCCGGCAAGCTTCATCATCCAAAGCGACCTTCCTATCGGAGTTTGCTGGCAACCTTGGAAACCAGTGAGCGTCGTAGGGAAAACCCGTGATATCCCGTGGTACCCCTTGTACTTCAAACCTGTGGTATTCTTTATGTTTGCCTTCATGGCGAAGGACACATGTTCTTAGAATAGTTCTTATTTGACACGGCTGTAAACTTTTCACTTCAATGCCATTACTACAGCCCCTGTAGCAGGGCACACCCGCCCCAGCCCCCTACCCATGAATACTTTCAAAACCTACGGGGTTCCTGCCATCTCGACTAAGCCTGTTTGCGCAGCTGCATCCGCCATTCGCACTCCCTCATCCCCATGCATTAAGACGCAAAGCCTAGGCGCATCTACTTACCGTATACTCTATGTTCCGTACTCTTCATTACATAAGACCGTGTCACCGACGTCCGGTGTCCGCCCTGCGGTACTTCGTCGTCTCACAGCACCACCAGCAAAGCACCAGCAAGCCGGCAGCACCCCTGTGCCGTTACCACGCACGCCAGTAGGGCGCGGTGTCCTCGTCGGCGCTACCCTACCTCACTAGGGTAGCTGCTCGCCTTAGGCCATGACACCATGCAAAGTACTCAACTCCCAACAGCCTTCCCGCATGTGCCATCAGCTACCTTAGTCAGCATAGCTGCGGCTACTGCCACTACTGCCGCTGTCGCCTCGTCAATCCCCGGCCTGCTCCAACCGCGGGCACTCCAACCGCGGGCGACGTTGCCCTTACTGTTGTGTGGCGGCATCACCCCGCAGGCCATTACATTACCAACCCGCTCTATTACCCTTTGCCCTCACCCTATTCCTCATCTATAATCTACGTGTTTGCGTGCTATCTAGAATATCTATTACCCCTTAGCCTCCGCCGCCTCCATCTGGCAGGAGCCGCCTTCTCCTCCTTTACCCCTTCCACTTTCTGCTTCTCCCTCCTCTTGGCCCCTGCGGCATCCGGCTCCTGGCGCCCTGCTGCTGCCTTGGACCTGGGGTTCGGTCGGCTCCAGCTAGGCATGCGGTCGAAGCGGATGGGCGTGGCCGGGTCCTCCCCTAGGAAGCTGAGCAGCCGGCGAGCCAGCGTGGCGTTCTTCTGCAAAACACATGGTGGTGGTGGTGGCCGTGAGGCAGGGCAGGCCAGGGCCGAGAGGGGGATGTTTATCGGGCGAGGAAAGGGGAGAGAAAGAAAGGGCAGCTACCGTTATCGGCATCGCCATGACCGAAGGCACGTCAATGACACGCAAAAGGTGGTGAGTGAACAGAGCGTCGTGTTAAGTAGTGTGAACCTTACTGGGGAGCAGCAGCCAATCCCGCGTACCTGGTAGTGACCCATGGGTCATCACCACCGACCCCAACACCCTTACTAGCGCACCTTTGCGTCGAACATGTCCTCCATGATGACCCGGAATGCGTGATCCGGGTACTCCGCGGCATACCTGGTGACAACAGAGGAGGTGGGAATAGCGGTATGCTTGGCATGCAAGCTACAAATGTCGATCACAAAAAGAAATTGTGATGGGAGTCACAGCTAACGAGATAGCAAAGACTGAACCAAAGGACACGTGAACTCAGGCTACACATCAGCGCAGTGTCGCAGTTTGGTGTTTGCACAACTACCCCCGTTTCATCCGGCATGCGTCGTACAGCAGTCGTACCACCCATGTGTCGTACTCCGTCGTACACACCTGTCGTACCACCCATGTGTGATCTCCAGGTCACGCACGAATGTCGCGTTGTCCGCGTGCAACGCCTCCAGCACCCCGTTGCGCTCCAGCATGTCGACCAGCTTATAGTTATCGTCCAGGGAGGCAGAGGCGCGAGAGTTGAGCAGGACCTGGGATGGAGACACAAAAGGAGATGGAGTACGGGAATTACCGTACGTTAGGTCATTGGTGTACGGCAGGTAATTCGTGTGGAGCCGGGTTGGTTGTTAGTTTTAGCCCGGGTAGGCGGTGCCACGAGGGCTGGGGTGGCGAAAGTAATAGACTGCTCTTTCCCAGCTTCTTAGACAGTGTATACCAATATCCGACAAAACGCCTTGCCTTCTCCCACCTTCACGTCCAAGCACAGCATCCTCAGGAAGTGCACGAACTCCACAAAGCCCTGGTAGGAGGCGTCGGTCCCGGTGAGCGCCCGGCCGCGCACGAAGCGCACCTCTTTGAAGCCGCTCACAGTGCCTGCCACGCAGGGGCCCGGAGGACGAGTGGGAGGCGGGAAGGTGAGGGGACGGACGATGAGGGGGAAGAAACTTGTTGGGTGCCGGTGGCAAGGGGTTCTATGAGAGGCACCGCTCGTTGCAATCAAGGCGGACCACTCATGACCAGAGACACCCGCCCCTGGACCTTTCCATCTCCGCCCCAGACTTGCCTCATAGCCCCTCTTCCCGTTTGCTCTCCTCCTCCGGACCATCCACATTCCCCTCCCTCTGCTCCCACTCCCACCTGTTCCACCTCCCCTTCCTCTCCGTCCCCTTCCCTCACCTCACCTGCCCCATGGTACCCGTACGTGGCCGCATAGAATCCCCGCACCGCCTCCAGAAGCCTCTCCGGGTGCAGGTCGTTGAACCACGGCAGCTTCTTCTTTACGGCGTACTTGTCGTACACCTCTTTCACCTTGCCGTACCGCAGGTGGGCGGCAGCGCCGGGCCCGCGCCGCGCCTCGAAAGCCTGAATGCTGGCGTTGAACTCGCGCGAGCGGTACCACGACCTTTTCAGCATCCTGTGGATGGGGTACGGTTGGAGATAATGACGATGGTGACTGTGGCATAAAGTGGCCGGATGCGGAGAGGTTATGACACCGTCACCACCAAGAGCGTCATCATGTCCGCCGACCCGCCCAACCCAACGGGCACCGCAGGAGGAGGCCGGACACAGGTAACCCCGTCCCTTACCTCCACGTCATGAAGAGGTGGTAGAAGGCGGCCTCCTGCTCCCCCCGAATGAAGTAGTTGGGCAGCTGGTTGAGGGAGTCCATGAGGGAGGTGGAGCCGGAGCGGCCTGTGCCCAGCACAATCACACAGCGCTCCGAAACCTCGCCCGAAGAGGCTTTCGCTGCTGGTGTTGCTGCTGCTGCTGGTGAAGCATCAGCGACCTGCGCGTTAGTGTGTAGCGCGTTAGTGCGGTCGGTAGGTACTGATGCGGTATGAGGCATGTAGATGATACACGATGAGGTCTGTAACGCCAGGTGAGTTTCCCCAACCGTGCAATATCGGTACTCGACCGAAGCGGTGGCATTCAAACCGTCACCACGTCTGCAGCATAGGAAGACCCATGGGTCACCTGATGCCCGTCCTCCCTACCGACCTGCTCCTCTTCTTCCGACAGGAATTCCTCCACCAGCTGCTGCCGCCGGGACTTGCCTTGACGGTCAGGAGGTTTGGGAGCATCTAATACTCTGTTGGGGCTTGCATGTACTTCCTCTACGCTTATGCTGCTTCCGCTTTCTCTCCCGCTTTTCGTGAGGCCTCTTCGCCTCCTTCTAGAGGAATTGTCCCGCAGTAAATCGGCATTGGCAGAGCTAATACTAGTGTCGTCGCCACCGCCACTACCGCTGCTTCCGCCAGTGCTATCTTCAGGACTGTGTCTATGCCGCCGGAGAGACTCCACCCGTGCTTGGGGGCTCTCACTTGCGTTTACATGCTGGGGAAAAAGGGCGAGGGTGTTTGGTAGGTGGGTTGGAAAGCTCGCAGTGAAGGTGGGTGCGAGGCGGGCATGCAGGTGTTGCGGACCCGAATAGTACACGGATGCGTTGTACGAACGGGCAAGCAGAATAGCTTATCTAGAAGAAGGGCGTGAACCGATTTGGATGTCGGTGTCACAAGTTAAACAGCAAAATATTGAGCCCTCGCTACTAGCGGTTGCTATCAGAGGCGCATCGAATCATCGATTGCTGAGTTCCGAGAACTTCCTGCACCAATTACAGGATTGATGATACCTACCAAGTCAGCTTGCAAGTCGTTTGCTGCTTTGTGTTGTTCCTGCAAAGAATGCGGACGCCACCGCGGCTGCTCCGTTGTCGTTACTATCGCAGCTGCGCCCGTGTGACTTTCCCGAACTAACACCAAAAGGGCTACGACCAAAGTTGTAATGATGGGATGTTTTACTTGAAGGACTTGGAAATTTAGTTGCCGTGAAAACGCCATGCTATCACCAGCAGAGTGAAGTTTCCCGTTGAAGTTGTTCAGCAGCAGGTCTTCACATCGGTTGCCCAGAGCTTATTTATTTGTTACACTCTACAATGCAAGAAAAACCTTTTCGTCTAAGCAGGTACGTAACTACTATTGTACCGTAAGTAACTCTCAGTCCGACGCGGTTCCGCAACTCGAGCTTAAGCATCTCATACAATAATAGTATAATGCTTTATGAGGTTGCTAGTCGCATACGGGTTGAGGAGCAGAGAAGAGATGTAGATTGCCGGTCAGAGTAACGAAAGCAGTTATACTACGGCCCAGATTTATCGCCTATGAAGTAAGCTGTTGTAAAGGAAGTGTTTAGTTCCTTGAGCGACGTGTGAAGGCTTAAACATGGCGCGTTGTTTGTCTGACTGCCCACTGCCGGGGCAAACCGCTGTACGAGTTCCCAGTTGCCTAACAGCACGCTTCTACTTTTCCTTGACTTTTTGTTTTTGCTTGTTTATGCTCGCAATCAACTAGCGTGGAGTGTCGCAGCCGTCTGTGGAGCTCTTGTCTCCTTTGGCACCGTATGCATCTTGGTGGGGGAAGGGGCTGGTGCCCCTTCCCCCATACCCCCATCCCCCCTTACGTGCATGCGCAAAAGTTATTACCTTTCAAACTCCTCCGGTGCATTAGGGGAAGTACGGTTGCGCTTTTTATCGTTGCCTCTGACCTGTTGTTGCACCTTCTCCTTCCATTCCCCGGTTTCCTCACTGTGACTTCTTGTTGCAATTCCTTGGAGATGTTGACATGTTTAACGCTTAGCTTTCTTGTCTGCATCTTATGGCTTCTTATCGTTGTTCCTCTGGATTGTCGCTTAGTTGCAAAGTTTTGATGGTTTGGCGTCCATGCTCAAACGCAGGTGTTATGTAAGTTAGGTACCGTTGCAACTGGTTCCTCGCATGCAGCCTGCATGCTGATTGGGAAAGGGACTGCGCTTGTTGAGCGCATGTCGATGGCGTCGTTGCTAAAGCTTATGCCTTCGATAGCTGCCGTAGCTATGCCTTATGTTAATTTCCTGTTGCAGCTTTTGCTTATGCATGGGTGCCGCTGCCCCCAGGTCCGGAGCGACCTAGGCGTACGGCCCCGTTTTTGCTTTTTCCTTTATTCTAGTCATTTTGCAACTTTTGACGGTGTCTTCCTAAGTGCCAGGTGAATGGGCGCTTAAATCAGCCTCGCCCACTTGAAAAGTCCGCTTGCAAGTCTGTCAGCGCATTTCCCCAGCAAAAGACGCATGTCGCATGTACCGTTATGGTAGCAATGTTTTGTAAGCAAGACCTAAGAGCTAAGTCAGTTTATTAGACGAAAGTTTGCGGAAATGTGGCTTTTGCCGAGCCGTCTTGAGCCGTTATACCATTTCAAGGCTAACTACATGTCATAAGGATACCGGACAAATTTAGCAAACAGTAGGTCCATGGCAAGCGAAGATGGCGGTAGTATGTCCTCTGAATACGCTTCCGACTACCACAGTGACGATGATGACCCATATAAAGATGCCACTGAAGGTTTCGAGGACGACCTATCACTCACCGAGGAAGTATCATCGGAAGAAGCCGAGAATGCCGGCTAGAGGGATATGGTGGAGTTGGGGCAGGCTGCAGCTGATGGGGACACATACCCCTTCATTGACGTAGGCGTCTTCGTGAGTATCGCTCCGCCATACGGTTTCCCTTATGCTTTACTTTCCCTGTCTGTGATTCCAACTGCACTCCCACTGGGTATTCCCTTCATTCTCCTTAACACAAGGCTTGTACTTCCGTGCTGTATATAGCCGCTCCCCATTCCTTTAGGAGTGTATGCGCCATTCCCCTACCGCATTCCCCCATGCGTTTACTTAAGCGGATACCCTGACTAACGTCATGCACCTCTGTGCCGTAGGAGGTTGATGATTTGGATGACGAGGACACTTCAGGCAACTTACCAGAAGGTTTCTATGCCCCATGCTGCGTATAGACAGGCTACCATGTGTCAACAGAAGCCGCAACAGCACATCACGCCCCGTAACCTTCTTTGGCAAGCAAACCGCACGGTTGCTTTGTATGTGCGCAGGATACCTCTCGCGGGCACCTGTCGGTGAAGTGGCTGGTAGGTTTTCGGTCCTTTGCACTTCAGAGGGCCTCCACCCCTGTCTTGAAGGCCCCCCAAGCCACCACCTGGGAAAACCGATCGTTGCCTTTTGCGCCGAAACTTTGGGAATGGTGCCTTTTTAGATAACATAAAGGTGGGGTTAAACGGGCGTGACAAAATTTGATGGTCGGTTGGCCCTCTGCACTTTAGAGGGCCTCCCCCCTACCCTGAAAGCCCCCCCAAGCCACCACCTGGGAAAACCGACCATTGCCTTTTGCGCTAAAACTTAGGGAATGGTTCCTGTTAGGTAACACAAAGTTGAGGTTAAATGGCCTGGGTGCAAAGGCACCGGTCACTGGGAGGGGCGGGCAAGCACATGTGGGGAAACATGTTGAGGGCAGGGGTACCATGGTGAACCTCCCCCCGGTGGCAAGGGCAGGCGCGCTGAGCGGCATCATAACGCCGTCGCCAACAGCAGCCAGCCTTCCATTAAACGAGGACGGCGCCTGAATTGAGTGCTCGGTTCGATACAACTCTCCGGAAGCGAGCACATGCATCATGCCAGGTTGCGCGCGGAACCATGGCGCAGAGCAAACAGAGTACAGGGGTCTTGCCTGCTGAGTAAATACGTTGTCCAGGTTATAGACATTTTCCTTGCTGTCAGTGAATGGGGAAGCCATCTGAGCTTTGCTGGATGGGGAGGGCTGACGACGCGGTCGCAAGCGCGCAACAATAGTGGTTTGTGCCGAATAACACCAATCACTTCCAATAATTATTGGGCAGCTAGTAAGGCTTTTTAAAGCAAAAAAGCTTACGAAAGCGGAAATTCTTATGGCTGGTGCCGTACGCCTAGGTCGCTCCGGACCTGGGGGTAACGGTGGTCATCCTTTGCTTATCGCTACCTGTTGTCGTGAGAGGAGCTGCTGCTTGCTAGCCGCAATGCAGTACACTAAGCCTTCTTGCGATTTTAGCCAGGATCCGCATTTGCTCTGTCTGCATTCTTACTACTCAAACTGCCCAGCAGCTGCATTTGCTCAATGCTGCTGCTTTGCATACCGTTTTTTCCGGTGACCCTGGTACGACAAGGAAGCTGCGCGAAGGTGTCAGCTCGCTTGAGCGACTGAGGCTGCGAATGAGCCTTCTGGCTCGGACGGATCTTACGAGCTCTGTACGAAGCTTGTAACACATACCTACAGCAGCTCGCTCCCACACTGGTAGTAATTGCGCATATATGCAGCCGAAAAAGGGACATATGTTCTTTTTAAGCTTGTATAGGTACATGAGATAAAAGTGCCTTGCAAGTTGCAACGTTACCAGGATTTGGGACTGCCTCGCAGGCAGTGATGCAAATGTGCGCACCGTATTTATAGTTTCGCTCAAGTATGCCAGGGGACAGCCCCTACGTCTGCTAGACAAGCATGTCAAGCAGCTCCCAGTCTGACGCTGTCCAGAGACAAGAGCTCAAAGCAGTTTGTGTTTGATCCATAGAGGAACTAAGCTGAAGTTTTCCAGACTTGGTTTGGTATGAATGACTCGTATTGTCCGGGGCTTGGTTCATTGGAGACTGACTACAAGCAGCATGCACGTGCTAACCGTGATACGAGATCCCTGCCGCAAGATTTCAAGGAAACACCGGTCAAAAACCTCGACATGACTTGCATATGCTCGCCCCTGGCTGGTAATCCAGAAATCCGCTAAGATGGCGGTTGGCACGTATGCCGTTGGCGCGATACCATAATCCGCTACCACCGCTATTACCTCCCACATCCATGGCTGGACTTCTAGCAGCCCCCTTCAACAGCAGGCGAACGCGCACAGGGCCGCATCACCCCTAGCTCCCTTAAGAGGTCGATCAGGTAAAGGAACATAACTGCTCGGCATGTTTATGCAAGGGGTGATGCACCGAGTACACAAGACATTCGGCAAAATAGCAGGCTCCAGAGTCGTAAAGCCACGGCCTCGGCGGGGTCACTTCGTGCGCTTATCGGCTCGCTTTGGCCCATGGGGAAAGCGTGCATGTTGTGTAATGCGCATGGCTGGAAGATGAAGCCCAGAACGCGCGATCCTGGAGCTTATCGAAGCTAGGGTTAACTCACAAGTTCGTGCCCCATGGTGATTGTTCCTTCACAGGTCGGAGGCGACCGTAACTCGGACTCGGTCTGCTGCGCTGTGCCCTCTTTCACTGGGGTTCGGAAAATATCAAGTGTCCTGACTTGTTATTTTGTTCAATAAATTGTTCATGACTAACTGGTGTAAGATTGCACGGAGGCCTATGCGCCTTGTCTTAGTATGCTTGCGAACGCGACAAAACTCTGCACGACGGATCCAGCTGAAAGGTACGAGATCGGTGAATGAGGTCAACCAATTTTTCCAGAGCTCGGCGTCACACCGAAGTGCGTAAGAATACATACTGCAATCCAACAATTGATCTAGAAAACGGTCCCGCGGCGACGATTATGTATCCTTACGCCGCAAGACGAGAATGCTCAAACAGTAAAGCGAGCGCACCTTCGAACAGTCACATGTGAAAACGGACCTTACGTTTTGTTAGCATGCAGTTTGTTTTCATGAGTTGTTTGCGCTTGGCAATCGGGTTAGCAAGGCCTCTTCGTTGAGGCACCCTGACGGTATGCCATAATATTACATCATGAAATTTTGGTAGCTATTACGCACGTCGCCGGCTTTGACAATGTACGCAAAGGTGTGTTGAGACCGCGCTTGCACAGCGCCTACGACGCGTCTCTCATACAACACTGCATTAACCCAGGCAAATAAGCACAAACTAATAAATTAGTGCGTATGTCATGTAACATTTGATTATTCTGTGCATTCCTTTGTAGAAGATGACTCGGACCCTCAGCTCCGGCGCCCTTGCAGCGCAGCAGCATCCCAATTCCGTCCATACAACAACTCCACATCCCTTCAGCAGAAAGCGACCAGCCCCGTTTACTTCACAGAGATGCGGCCAAGCGTCAAGCCGCAACAGCCCAGCATCCGCATCCTCGATGCGGTCCGGCAACCACCCCGGTAGCCGCATTCCCGCGACTGCCGTGGGCGTTTCCACAGCCACCACTACGGCCATCGCCACCGTGGAAACAACTCCAGAGGCTCTTTCTGCTTCCAATGACGCCTCTCCTGCGCAGCAAGCCGCACCCAACATGCGGGTCGGGGTAGGATGCACCCATGGTGCTAACAGCAGCGGCGATGGCAGCAGCGGTCACAGCGGTGCTGCCTTAATGGCCAGCCAAGGCCTTCCTGCTTCAGTCACAGCGGTTGTTGACGGTCAGAGACAGCAGCAGCAGCTGCTTGACAGCGCCCCGACGGCAGCGGAAGATTCGACAACCCAGCCACTGCGGCAACGGCAAGGGCAACCGAACATGCTGCTGCTACCGGTGGCAGTGTGTACGACACTCACGCTTACACCCGAGGTATGTGTGTAGTTGAGTAGGACAAGAGCAAGCAATTGGGAGCAATTGTGTGTGTTTGTATGCTGGAGAGGCGCATCAGGCAGTACCCGGTTGCAGGCATAGAGCGAGAAGCCAACCCAGACGTGGACTATAACATTGCCAGTTACGTGTGTAGCTCGCTTTCTCTGCCCGTTCCTCAGACGGTACTGCAGTACTAGCCCCATCCCTCTCCCTATCCCCGCTCCCCTTTTACCACATGCTGGCCCCTTCCATGCCCCACTCTCTCCCTCCCCACCAACACGCCCCCACAGTCCACCCTGGCTGACGCAGCTGCGGCCCTGCTGCGCCACCTCCCAGCCGCAGCCGCCGACAACGCAGCCCATCCCTCCGGAGTCGTGCGCATCGAAATTGCCGTACCCCGTACGGCTACGACAGCCCTCCGATGGCTAGCTGGACAGCAACAGCAGCAACACCAACCTCCACAACCCAACCAGCAGCCTCATCTCAGCAGTCCAGCAGCGTTAGGGCCCTTCCTGTACTTTAGCGGCCGGCGCTCCTCCGCTCCAGACACCCCCGGCGCCAGTGCGGCGGAGGCCGCCACGCGGGGCTGGAGTGCGCTGGCGGGAGCGGGAGCGGCGTGGAGGTGGTGGGGGCCGGGGAGCGGCGGGTTCGGCAGCGGTGTGGTTTCGGCGCTGCAACGGTTCCTGTCACCCGACCAGCCGCGTGTACGGATTCTGGGAGGCGTCAGGTACGTGCTGTGACTGCAAACTGTGACTGTGCTTTCATGGAACATGATGTTCAACGTCGTAAAGGGATACGGAGTGATGCTTCTGGCTGTGCGTCCTCTGCTCTCCTCCTCTCCAAGCCCATGCCACTCATGCGCCCCATCCAGGTTCGATCTCCGCCGCCAGCCGGACCCCGAGTGGGCTCCCTTCGGCTCGCACTGCTTCGTGCTGCCCCTCCTGGAGCTGACGGAGGCGGAGGACGCCTGCCTGCTGGCCGTCACACTGGCCTGGGACCCCGCGGCGGCGGCAGCAGCAGCGGAGGAAGCGGCGGTAGCGGCAGGTGTTACGTTAGACGCATCAGCATCAGCAGCTGGGGATGCGGCGGAGGCAGCAGCAGCTGCTGGGTTCGTGGGCTGCGGGAGTCTGCGTCAGGCTGTGGCGCGGGCTGAGGCGGCGCTGAGGAGCATGCGGCCGCCCGCTCACGACTCGGCGTACGGCCTGCGGGTCACCAGGTACGGTGTGGTGGTTTGCTTGCTCAGGGGAATACTGCTTTGAAGGCAGAGGACTAACGGTGTACTACCGCATACCTTTCACGCTTTGACGATTGGCATGCGAATCGCAACGCCTTACTTTCCTGCTCCGCCTGCAATGTGTAGGTCGGAGCTGCAGCACGCTCCCAGTAAGGAGGAGTGGGACGTCAACATGGCTGCGCTGCTGGGCAGCTTGCAGGTGCGCGGAGGGATGTGACCCATGGGTCGGGAGCTGACGAGATTTCAAACCCAAAGGCACAGAGCAGACAGGTCCCACCGAAATGCGCTGTGACTCGCAGAAGCGATGTGGGCTCCTGTGCGTTCCGTCGGTCCGGACCCATTGACATATAGGATACCACCTTGTACTTCGGCTGGTGTAGTGAGGAAATGCTACCGCTGCAAGAGTCCTGCCTTCGTCCTACCGCTGCAAGAGTCCTACCTTAGGCACTCCCGCCCGGTTAACCCGCGCAGGACGGCCATGATTCGGGCGCCCCTGCTGCCGCTGCGCTAGCATCCCTGCTAGACCCCAGCTTGGCTCGCCAGGTGGGGAAGGGCGGAGTATGGGGTAAGGGCACGACCCTGGCACGTATGTCTACTCCCGAAATTGTAGTATGTTATGCCGTACATTCTGCCCCGCCCCGCCTGCCCCTTTGCGCCCTCCTCCTGCCAGGAATACTTGACTCACGGACAGCAGGGCCTAGATGACTTGCTCGCAGCCATGTCCCTCTCAGCGTTCAACACGACGTCAAAACAGCAGCAGTTTCAGGCTAATGGCGACGGTTTGGACGCCATTCGGGACCTCATTGACGGCAAGGTAACGGTTTCGGAGCTGACGGCGATGGCTGCCGTACAACGGCCGTCGCTGACGGCTCGTACGAATGTCAATGGCGGCGTCGGCGCCAGCAAAGCAGCGGCGGCTCCTCCGTCGCAATCGCTCGGCAGTATCAATAATGCTGGCGGTGACAGTAGCGGTTCGGCAGTCGCATCAGCAGGAATGGCAGCAGCAATGGAGCAGGGCCCGGATACGGACGGAGGCGAGGCGTTGAGCAAGGTGGTGATGGCTCGTCGTACGAGCATGCGGTTAGAGGGGCGGTTGGACCCGCTGCATGTGCTGCAGGTGGGTGCGTGCACCGGTAACGAGCCAGTGCAGCTGCAGACGTTTGTGGGGGTGAAGCTTGATTAGGCTAGACAACGCACACAGATGCCATCCCTCCTGTACCTCTCAACAACCGCTTTCAACCTCATCCCAGATTACCATCAACTCACCCGCAACTGCGCCGCTCCTCACACCCACAGAGCCTCCAGGAACGCGACCCCAGGGCCTACCAGCTCTACTTCGCACCCGGACCCTCACCCGCCTCCGTACCTGCATCACCTGCTGACGGCTCCTCCTCGCCCGCCCTGCTGCCCGGCCCCGCCTTCCTGGCGTGCACCCCTGAGCGGCTGTACGCGCGCACGGGCCGCTGGGTGGCGAGTGAGGCGGTGGCGGGCACCCGGGCGCGTGGCAGGGGGGGAGATGTGGAGCAGGTGGGGGGGGGAGTGGGGCTGGGGTGTGTGGCACGCGTGGGCATCGGGCACCTTCTATCTGGCAATCGCCCCAAACACCGCCCCCACCTTATCCCGTCCTCTTATTGGACAACGGCCGTTGGGATACCGGTATAGGTGCTTCACGTCTCCTTTGTTTTTCTGTACCCCGTTTGCAGGACTTCTGGCTGTCCCTGGACCTGCTGCGCTCCCCCAAGGACCATGCGGAGTTCTGCACCGTGCGGGACTGGATCGCAGCGCAGCTGGCGGGTGGGTGGGCTGGGTGGGAGGGATGCAATTCCGTACATTTGGTTAGCCCACCGTACCCACAGCCCGGTTACCCACCGTCCGCTCGCCTCCATGCACGCTACCCTCACCTCGCCTGTACTTCACCTCCGCCTGCGCTTGCCTCCGCCCTCCCAGGTCCCTGTGAGGACGTGCACGTTGAGATCCGCAAGTCGGTTCTCAAGCAGGGCAGCGTGCAGCACCTGTTCGGGCGGGTGGCGGCGCGGCTGCGGCGCGGGCGCAACGACGCGCACCTGCTGGCTGCGCTGCACCCCACGCCTGCAGTGTGCGGACGACCGAGGGAGGCGGCGCTTGGGTGAGCGAGGGAGAGGAAGGGTGCGGGGTGCTACAGGGATGTAGGGGAATGGTCCGAGAGCTACGTCATCATCCCTCCGTGCAACCTGCCGTTGACTGCATGCCGGCATGCCACTCCCTTCCACACGGAGGCAGGTACCTAGAGGGCCTGGAGGCGTTTGACCGCGGCTGGTACGCGGGGCCCTTCGGCTGGATCTCGGGTGCGGGAGCGGAGTTTGTGGTGGCCATTCGCTCCGGATTGGTCTGCCCGGAGATCAATACCAATACCAGCAGCAGCAGCACAGCAGGCGGTAGCGCTCATGCTGAACCACAAGTAGGAATGGCGGCTGCTCCAGCCCCTGCCAGAGGGCAGCCGCTGGGGCCGCTGCTGCAGCAGCAGCAGCCTCGACAGCAGCCGCAGCATCAGCCCCCCCGGCTGTCGCCTCCTGCTGCACGTGTGCACCTGTTCGCGGGGGTGGGGGTGGTGCGGGGCTCCGACCCGGCGGCGGAGTGGCAGGAGCTGGACCTCAAGGTGTGGGGGGGGGATGGGGGGGTACTGAGGAGGAGTCGCGGGGAGGGGGGAGGGCAGGCAGTGGGTGACTGATTACGTACTCCACTCATCCTTGCAAACGCCCCTTTACTGGTACCCTCTTCACACCACACCGCCTTCTCCGACCGCCCCCCCACCCACACATCCCCGCCATCCCGCCGCCCCCCTACCCCCAGATCCGCCCGCTGTCCTCCTCGCTGCTGCCCTCCCCCCTGCCCGACGCCGCGCCCAACATCAACGTGGCCTGGGCGGGGCTGCTGGTGGAGGAGCTCTGCCGGCTGGGGGTCAACATGTTCTGTGTGGCGCCAGGTGCGGCGGCGGCACCGCATGTGGCTGCTGACCTGTACGACCGGTGCTGCCTTGTCGCATGTATTGGCCCCCGTTTGCACCTGAGCTCCCCTTTCATCCCTTTCTCACCCCACATTCTTCTTTTCCACCCCACACCCGCGGGCTCCCGCTCCTCTCCCCTCTCGTCCATCACTCCTGACCCTCATCCCGCCCCGTGCGACCTCGCGACCCGCAACCCCCCCCCCCCCCCCCAGGATCCCGCTCCTCGCCGCTCACCCACGCCATCGCCAGCCACCCACGTGCCCGCCTGAACGTGTGCATCGACGAGCGCTCCCTGGGCTTCTGGGCACTGGGCTACGGCCGCGCCTGCCCCGGCCGCCCCGCAGGTACACTACTTATGTGTCGTTCGTCCCTCTGCATCCACTGTTTCCCCTGTTCCTCTCCCTCTGTACGGGATACTTGTGGGTTTGATCGTACTTGTGGGTTGGGTTCATCCTTGCCCTCTGCCGCCCCGCAGCCGTGGTGACCAGCTCCGGAACCGCTGTGGCGAATCTGCTGCCGGCGGTTGTGGAGGCGAGTCTGAGCGGGGTGCCGCTGCTGCTGCTCACGGCGGACCGGCCGGCGGAGCTGCGGGACACGGCAGCCAACCAAACCATTGACCAGGTGTGAGGGTGTGTGACGGGCTGTGTGACGGGTATACGTGGGCCAGAGAGAAATTGAATGCTAGGTAAAGCACAAGTAAAGTAAGGCTAAATTGAGGAAGGCGAAGACGGCGGCGGCGGCGGGTTGTTTGGGGTGGTGGATAGCTAGCTGGGGCGCAAACAGATGAGAGCAACGGACCAGCCTCCTCTGTCTCATCCTCTTCCCTCCTCATTCTTCCCTTCCCTCCACCCTCCCAGACCAAGATCTTCGGTGGCTTCGTGCGCTGGTTCTTCGACCTGCCCCCGCCCGCCGCCGAGGTGCCCGGCCGCACCGCCCTCACCACCGCCTCCACCGCCTTCAGGGCGGCAGTGGCGGGGCCGCAGCCGGGGCCGGTGCACATCAACCTGCAGGTACCGTAGGAGAAGGAAGGGGCGAGGACCCACCGTACTGTACCGTACCTGGGGGATCTCTAATACTAGGGGGAATCTCTGAAGCATATCTCCGGTCACCAGCATATCTCCGCTGCGCTTGTTCACAAGCCTCTCACGCTCTCGTCGCTTCATGATCTGAACCGCCCTTCCCGCCTCCTCCCGTGGTGGGCTTTCAACACGGATCGCCACTATCGTTGACAACGGGGTCCTTTTGCTTCAATTATTTCCCGTCTCCTCAGTTCCGAGAGCCGCTGGCTCCTGTGGAGGCCCCCTGGCCCCGGGACGCCTTCCTGCGCGGTCTGGCGGCCTGGCAGGATTCCCAGCTGCCGTACACATCCCACATCTCCAGCACAGCACTCCCAGCTGCCGCCATGCCCTCCACCGCCAACCCCGCCGCTGTCGCTGTCGCTGCTAATGCATTGCTGCCGTACACCAACAACAACAACGCGGGCATGTTGCATGGCGCCATGGAGTTGAGTGGTAGCAGTACGGCTGGTGGTGCTGCTGGGTGTTGCAGTGCTGACGTGGCCGGGCTGCAGGCGCTGCTGGCGGGAGCTGAGAGAGGGCTGGTGGTGGTGGGGGAGCTGATCGACCCGCGGGACATCGTGGCGGCACGGCAGGTGCGTTTGTGGGGGGGGCGGTGGGCGGAGCGGTGGTCACCCTTCTCTTGGAAGCGGTGATTAGGAAAGAGGCTTGCCAGGGAGAGGAACGAAGCAATGTGGGGGCGCTAAAAGTGCCCCACCTGTCGTTTACTGTGTACAGATGCGCCCTTGCATCTTCGCACTTCTTCTGAGTCCCCACGAACGTTACTGCTTTCCTAGCGCCACAGTTGTCCTGAAGTACTCTGAAGCACGTACATACCACCGCACATCAACCGCCCGTTTTGCTTTGATTACCGGTACTTGCACGTCTACTTCTTCTGACCCCCAAACCTGCACCAACTCCACGAAACACCACCCAACAGATCTGCACTACTCTAGGTTGGCCTGTTGCGGCAGATGTGCTGTCGGGGCTGCGAGTGGGCGCAGCACCTCATCCTCCAACTACAACTACCACTGCTACTGCTAACAACAACAGAATGTCGTACAACAACAACAACAACAGCACTAGTGCCGTACCGTTTATCGTACACCACATGGATCAGCTGCTGCTGGGAGATCGCGAGTGGTGGCGGCAGCTGCGGCCGGATGTCATCCTGCAGCTGGGGCCGCACCTAACGTCCAAGAGGCTGGGGCAGTTCATGGTAGGCGGAGCTACCAAGCCATCTCTCATTTGTTGCCAAGCGCGACCTGTTTACGGCAGATAGGAGCAAAGGGGGGCCGGCACGGCGGCAGCAACGCATAAATGTATTGTATCGGGCCAACCCCTCCCCATTCCTATGGCTCGGTATGGTCTTTGACCCCTTCCCCCCCGTTCATGCAGGACTGGGCTGCCATGGGCGATGAGGAGAGCGGTGGAGTCCCATGGGTGTATGTGGCGCCTCATACGCTCCGCCACGACCCCTCCCATCTCGTCTCCCATCGAGCCGTTATGACCCTCAGAGAGTTCAGGGATGCGGTGGCCGTGCCCGCAGCTGCCGGAGCAGCAGCCTCAGAGGGAGTTGGAGGGTTGGAGGCTGCTCGTTGCAGTCCCAGTGACCCATGGGTCGGTGTGCGCAGCAGCTACGGCCGCATGCTCTTGCAGCTGGACGAGGCAGTGTCTCATGAGGTGCGTTCACGTCGTGTGTATGTGCGCGTGGAACCGCGTGTGTTTTCTTCACTCCCACTTACGCATATCATGAATCCCTGCAACTCCTACACCTACACCTCAACGCCCCCTCCCCTGGACCTACCTGCATTTCATTTACAACCCGCACCACGTGACTTGTAAGGACTCACCACCAACACCTTATCGTGTCGCCCACCCTGCTGAAAAACATACCCTAACAGATCGACTTGGCGCTCTCCTCGCTTGCTCCCGAGGTGGTTTCGGAGCCCTTCATCGCTCGCTGCCTAGCCCGCAGCCTGCCCCCGGGTCATGGCCTGTTCATCGGTAACTCCATGCCCATCCGCGATATGGACATGTTCGCATGCCCGCCCTCCACCTCGCTGGCAGCAACAACGACAACAACAACAACAACGCCCGGACGCCACACGCAGCAGGAATCATCCCTTTCGCCGCTTGGGGGCGTGCCATCGTATCCGCTGTCGACTCCTGCGACGTCCACCTCGACCCACCAGACTGCGCCTGCTTGCAGTGCTGCTGGCAGCAGCAGGGGTGGCAGCAGCAGCTGCAGCAGCGGCGGTGTTAGCGGTGTCGGGGGTAGCGCTAATGGTGGGGCGGTCGTGGGGGTGCCGGTGGCGGCCAACAGAGGTGCCAGCGGAATCGATGGTGTGCTGTCCACAGCAGCAGGTGAGGTGCCTCGCATCCTGGGGCGCACTGGGTTAGGGGGTAGGAGAGGTGGCGGGCCGTAACAACTCAGCTCAATAGGAGTTGCTGGGTTTTCAGTGGGGCCATACCACCTGTGCCACTGCCCACCAGACGTATCTGCAGATCTGCAAACACCTGCCGAACCACCCTGTGACGGTAACAGGGCAATGGCCGGGGGTAACTGGGCATGGCACCCTACACATTGTGTAGCTTCCCGTCCTCCACCACTACCTCCTCCACTACCTCCAACACCGGTTCTACCTTGCCCCAGGTTTTGCGGAGGGTCTGTCCCGCCCCACCACGCTGCTGGTGGGCGACGTGTCCTTCCTGCACGACGTGAACGGCCTCAACCTGCTGCGGGCGGGGGAGCTGCGGCCGCCGCTGACGGTGGTGCTGGTCAACAATGCGGGTGGGTGTGTAGTTAAGCGGAAACAAGAGCAAGCATTTGTGGGTGTGTAATGTATCAGGGTGTATGGGTGTGTTACAGTGCGTCTAGGTGGACATGGGGCCCTGGCTAGCACTTTGAACGTTCACTTAAGGATTGCCGCCCCAGACAACCCTTTCCTTTAACCGACCAACCATCTGTCCCGCACCTCCACCCCACCCCATCTCACCACCGCCACCACCCCTCAGGTGGCGGTATCTTCTCCTTCCTGCCCATCGCCTCCGCCGTCCCAGAGGACGAGTTCACGCCGCTATGGGCCACCCCGCAAAACGTGGACCTGGAGGCCATGTGCCGGGCGCAGGTACGGCACAGAACACACACCCAGGATGCTATATACGGCTGCAAACCAGGATTCGTTGGGTGCACAGTATCGTACCCGCCTTGGAGGATGTTTTAAAGGTCTGTTGCCGCTGCAAATCTGCTGCCGCCCTTCCTCGTCGCCTCCATCCGCAGGGCATACCACATCAGAAGGTGACCACTTCAGAGGGTCTGGCGCCAGCACTCCAGGTAGGGTGGCTCTTCCCTTGGTGGGGCTCCATCTTCTCCCTTTCCTGTCAACTAACTTCTCCCTCGAAACCTGCGTCTCCTTACCTCACCCCTACCCGCCTACCCCTACCCCACGCGCTCTTTCTCCCTCCTCGCCCCTGCCACCCTCCCGCCCTGCTGGTCCAGGCCGCTTGGGGCCTCAACCGGCACAGTGTGGTGGAGGTGGTGACGGAGCGGAGCAGCAACGTGGAGCTGCATCGCGTGGTGCAGGTGCGGGGTGGGAGCCTAGGTCGAGGCAAGCTGGGCAGCGCTGGGGTAGTTAGGAAAACCAGCTGCAGCGGGAGTAACCAACTGCAGCCTCCGCTAGCCTAGCACAGTCACCCGGAACAGCTGTGCCGCACTTTCGGCGCAAACTCCTGCCCATTCCGCTAGACCTGAAACCTAGCAGCTAAAGCCCTGGCCTCCCACCATGCCTTTTCCGCGATTCCCAGGCTGCCGCCCTACGAGCCGCCAAGCATGCGCAATTCCTGGCAACCCGCTGCTCAACCGCCGCCGCTGGTACAGCCCTCGGCGCCGCCGCCGCTACAGCCCTACCTGTAGCACCCTCCGCCCCCAGCGCCGCCGTCACCGCTGCCTCCTTCACCATTGGCGGTGTGGCCTGGCGGAGATACCGCCTGCCACTCACACAGCCCCTGACGACAACAGCAACGGCTACTAGCACCAAAGCCAGCAGCAGCAGCGAGGGGTGGTGCGGTTCCCTTTTCCGGGGTGGTTCCGGAGCGGTGAGCTCCTCGGGGTGGTTCCGGGAGGGGTTGCTGCTGCGGCTGCGACTGCGCTGGTCCGACGGGAGGGAGGCGGGCAGCGGGGTGGGCGAGGTGGCTCCACTGCCGGAGTTGCATGCGGAGAGCTTGGAGGAGGCGGAGGTGCAGGTGCGGGGGGGTGTCATGGGTGGAGTTGTGTGGGGTACCGGTACTCAGCGTAGGAAGAATGAGGGATAAGGGGGATGATGGGGGAATGATGGGGGGACCGGTTGAAAAGAAGACGGCAGAAAGAGCCATCTTGCCCCTTTCAACCCATCACCCTTCCCTCGCATCCCCGCTCCCCGCTCCCCTCGCCACCTGCCCACCCACCCCAGGTAGCTGCCCTCAGTCGCCTGCTGGTCGGCGTGCCGCTGCCGCCCTCCCTGGCGCTGCTGGGCGGGCGGGTGGAGGGCTGGCTGCGGGGCAGGCTGGGGCTGGGGGAGCCCGGCTGGCTGCTACCGTCCGTCAGGTGGGCTGGGGGGGGGGGAGTAAAGACCCCCCCAGGCTGGTTTAGGTCTTCGGGCGGGTGGGGAGGGAGTCAAGAGGGCCTTTGCAGTGTATATTTGCTGCCGACAGCTTTCCGCCCTAACTAATAATTCAACGTTTGTCATCCGCGTTCTTAACATATCCGCTCGATGCAGGTTCGGACTCGAGTGCGCGCTGCTGTCAGCCCTCGCCTCCTCGCTGAACACCAACTTGACACACCTGCTGGCTGCTCCTCCACCACCTCAGCCGCCACAGCCACAGCCGTCGCAGTTGTCAGCTGCAACCTTGACATCATCTGCAACGCCGAACGAGCGTGCGCAGCGCGTCCTGGTGAATGGGTTGCTGTCGCCGCCGGTAAGCGGGGACGAGGCAGCGGATTCAGCCGCTGCGGTTGCGGCTGCGACGCGGCTGCTGGCGGAAGGCTATACAACGATCAAGGTCAAAGTAGCGCGAAGGTGGGTTGTGCTGCTGACCACTACCAACCTCCATTACTCAAACCCCGTTATCTGGCGTCCTTTCTCGTTCTATTTCTCTCCAGAACCTTTGTTCTTACGCCGTACAACGCAATCCAACCCCCCAGGTCGGATCCCTGCGCGGACGCCCGCATCCTAGCCGCCATCCGCACTGCCGTGGGGCCCCACGTGCTGCTGCGAGCTGACGCCAACCGCGGCTGGCCCTCCCCGGAGGTGGCAGCGGCGTTCGGTCAGGCCGTGGCGGCTGCCGGGGTGGAGCTGGAGTACCTGGAGGAACCCACGAGTGACCCACGGGACATGGCGGCGTTCTACCAGCTGACGGGTAGGTGACGGGTGGCATTGCTGGGCAAGATCCACACAGGTGCAATGCTTGGTGGCCATGAAACGGGTGGATATTCTGGAGTAGGTGGGAATTGTGGAACCGCCAACAAAAGCCAACCGCCATCCCTCTCCAGGCATCCCCGTGGCTGCGGATGAGTCCCTGGACGAGGGCCTCCTGCTGCTGACGTCACCACCCGCCCGCTCCGGAGGCGCCAGCGGCGGAGGTGTGTACGGCAACAATGCTGGCGGCGGCGGCACCGCTCCGTCGTACAGCGGCCCCGGGCTGCCGACCAATCGCGCCGCGGGTCTAGCGGCGGTGGTGTTGAAGCCGGCTGCGTTGGGCGGGGTGGAGGCGGCGGTGGAGGTGGCGCGCTGGGCGCAGCGACGGGGCGTGCAGGTGGGAGGATACCTTAGCTGGGTACATCCCTGTACGCCAGACTTGGCTCAGAAAGCTTGAAGTCCTTTCACGCGTCCTTTCATGCTGTGGCATGAATGCGTCGTGCTAGCTGCTTTCCATGTGTATGCTGTGACCCTCTTGTGTCAGCTCCCACCGCTGAACCGATAACCGCCCATAGTTGCCTGTTGGCCCTCTATCCTCCAGTCAATCCGTTCCCCGGTTAACCATCCGCAGGTGGTGGTCAGCTCAGCCTTCGAGAGCAGTGTGGGTCTAGCACACCTGCTACAGCTGGCGGCTGCGCTCGATGCCAACACCCCTAGCAATACCAGCAGCAGCAGTGGCAGTAGCGGCACTACCAGCAGCAGTGCCACCAGCTGCGTGCACCACGGCTTTGGGACGTTGCAATGGTTTGCTGCCGACATATCTCATGAGCCTCTGCAGCTGGCACCCCAGCTGCTGCCACCGTCATCTTCACCCGCCTGCTCCTCCTCCTCTACTTCTTCAGCCTCCCCCGCCTCCATAGGCGCAGCGGCAGCTGACAGGATGGGGACTGCTGGCAGGGCCTGTAAGGACGGTGACTTCGTGCCCCTGCAGGCGGTGTGCGGCAGCGTGGAGCAAGCAAACAGGGTGCTGCAGGTGGGATGGGTGGGTGTAAGGAGGTACGATAGCCCGTGTGTGGATGGGTGGGGTTTGTTTTGGAGGGGTGGGGGGTTGGGTATAGCTGAAGGTGAGAGGTGGAGGGCTGGTGATGTTCAGATCATGCCGGGTACCGCTTGCCGCTGCGCGCCCCTTAGTACCTCCTTACGTCCTCTTACTGACGTTGGTGTCCCTTACTTCCCAATGTTGCGTGCGTTGCCCGTCAGGCGTGTGCGCATGGCTCGGGGCTACGACCACAGGCCCTAGTGCCATTCGACATTTGTCCCACTCCTGCCAACAGCAACGGTAACAGCAGTGCCAGCAGCAGCAACAATGGCAGCAGCAGCAGCAGCTGCTGCTGCAGCACGCATGAGCAGGAGGAAACATCAGAGCCCGCACACCTGCGCGACAAGCACAGCGGACACGTCGACCCATGGGTCGGGCCCGCAGCCCAGGGCGGCATCGTGCAACGCCAGATCTGTGTCGAGGTCGAGCTCCCTCCGGCACAGCAGTCAGCAACCCAAGCCACACGACCACGACATCACACCGCACAGCAGGGTTCGCAACATGGTGCGCAACAGGGTAGCAGTCCTCAGCAGCCGCAGGGATCTGCTGCTGCGACTGCGTCCTCACCGCTACGTGTCTTGGTTTGCGGACTGGAAGTCCTGCCATCATCCCATCCCCAGCCACACTCCCCAGGGTTTACTGACCTAAACAACCACCAACAACACCACGGCAGCAGCAGCGACCAGCAGCGGCCCCAGCAGCCTCAGACCCCTCCCTTCCTCTTCCTGCACGGCTTCCTAGGCAGTAGCGCCGACTGGTTGCCCCTCATGCACGCCCTGGCAGCAGCCGGGCACCGCTGCGTGGCGCTAGACCTGCCGGGACATGGCGGTACGGCACCCTGTGCCACTGCCCCTGCTGCTGTTGCTGATGATGCTACCACTGCCACTGACAGCGGTTGCGTCGACACGAATGGACCCGCATTTGCTGCTGGGAAAGTGGACGCGGGCTTGCAGCAGCAGCAGGAGCGGGATCAGCTGTCTGTTAGTGGGGCTCACAGCATTTCCGGTGCAGCGGGGTGTGTGGTGGCGGCGGCGCGGCAGCTGGGCTTGGAGGGCGCAGTGCTTGTGGGGTACAGCCTGGGGGCGCGGGTGACACTGCAGGTGGGTTGGGGGAGCACATGCGCTGAGTGAGAGTTTTGCTACGGATGAAGAATGACCCATGGGTCAGCGGATCTGTGGGCATGAGTTGACATACTGTTGATGTGCCACCAGTTCAACTGTGCTGCTTCTTCCCTGCTTCCTTAGGCCGTGGTCAAGGATGGAAACCAGTGCAACGGGGAAGGCAGCAAGGACCAGAAAACTGGTGACGGTCATGCCGCTTCCCCACCCGAGCAAGGGACCCCGCTGTGGCTAGGAGCCGTCCTCATATCTGGTACACCGGGGATAAAGGTATGTCGCTGCATGCGCTGGTGTAACCCCTCGGGAGGGCCCGGGACTGGGGACGGGGGCAGAACAACGGTATCTCCGCCCTGCCCTCATGCATGCATTCGCACATGGCATTCTAGTTGTATGCCGTTCCCATGCACATACCGCTCTCTAATTTTAGGATAATAATTCTCGGAGCTCTCTGCCCCGCATGTCTCATGGCCCGCACCACACCCAGGACGCCGCCCAAGCAGCGGCCCGCGCTGCCAACGACGACCGCCTCGCTACCTCCCTCGTGCAAAGCGGCTTGCCTGACTTTGTACGGAAATGGTACGAGCAGCCGCTCTGGTCGAGCCTCCGTCGCCATCCCGCCTTTGGGCGCATGCTTGCTCGTCGTACCGGCTCGGCTGCCGCTGCTGCCGTACAAATGGCTGACGGTGCCGGTCTAGCTGGCGTCAAGTTGGCTTCGCCTCATGACGGCAGCAGCACCGGTACTAGTGCACCACCGATGGCGACGACGGCAGCCCCAACAGCAGCAGAAGCAGCGGCTGGGGCAGCGGCAGCACTGAGCGGCATGAGCACAGGCCGCATGGTGAGCACACTGGAGGCCTAGGCGAAGACATAGAGGATGGATTTTTTGGGTAATGCTTACGAGCCCTGTACTTGCTTATCCCCGCAGGCACCTCTCTGGGACAGTCTGGACCCATGGGTCGGCCCGCCGCTTGTGCTGGTAGTTGGCGACTTGGACGCCAAGTTCGTTGACATTAACACCCACATGCTGGCACGGCTTGTACGACAACGTGCTACAGCCGCTGCGGCAGCAGCGACATCTTCAACGGTTGCTGCTAACAGCACCATTTGCCCATCTGCACGCGCTGTAGCAGATGATACAACAGCTCAACAGCCTCAACCGACGCTACAACCGCAGCAGGTGCATGGGGGCGGCAGCGGCATGGGTGTGACGGATCAGCTACGGCAGTTGGGTCATGCGTTGGTACGGGTAAGGGATGTGGGTCATGCCGTACATGAGGAGGCACCTGAGCGGCTCTTGGGCGTGCTTCGGGAAGCGGCGGTGGCGCTGGCGGCTCCAGGGATGGAGCAGCAGCAGCGGGATTGAGAATGGGCAAGAGAAGGGCGTGCAACACCTTTGCCGCAAATATCATAATTGAGGGAGGTACTGGATGGCATGCTTCGGAGGTTGGGCAGCTGCTGCAATGAATGCAAGCGGTTTACGCGCAGCACATTTTTGTTTCGAGTTATGAGCGGGAGAGTGACGTTTGAGCGTTGCATGCGGTTAAGACCATGGGTCAGCAGGGGGATAAACTTAGCACGACCGGCTTGGTGGGCAGGCACGAGCGACAGGCAGACAACATAGGCACCTACCGCATTGTAGGGTTCACCGAACACCTTTCCGGGCAGGAGGCAACGTGAGACGCCTCCGAACATGCAGAGATTTAGTCGCTTTGGTGCGTTAATTGGGTGAGGGCGTCTGTGATAGGTGAGGTCAGGAGGAAACAGCTGGTGAGGGTTTTGTGAGGGAATGCCGTACGAACTTCCATTGGTCCACCCCCAACGTGCTTGTACTGTAGTTGATCGTGGGGTTGGATTGGGCCAATATCTGTGGGTGCTCAGGTGCCAGGATTCGCCGAATCGCCTACCGTGCATGCCGGATGGCCTATCGCCCAGTTTAGTTTATAGCGACAGAATGTTACACATGATGCGTTCGCATGATGCGTTACCGCCAGCGGCAGTTATGCTTGCAGTAACTTTGTATCAGCCAGTGGAGCCAAGCCGTATGCATGGCCATCGACAACACCCGAACCCGCCCGGCCTGCATGTCCCTTCCAGCCGCAACAGCCGTACATCTGTACACGGGTTAGACGCGCAGTACACACTCGCATCGCCCCACGCGGCCTATGCCACCATCATACACGCCAGCTCCTACCCTGCCCTTCCATCGCTCATCTTAGCCTGCATCTCAAGGTGCCGTCCACAAGCACAGCGCGCCCTAACCATGTGTATTCCTGTTACACAGTACACCCCTGCGGCGCCGAGAACCCTCACGAGGAGGCGGAGGTAGCGGATGATGCCGAGGAGGGGCGGGTGCGGTGGTCCCGTTTGGGCTTCCCGCGCCAGAAGAGGCGCAGCGGGGACCCCGGGAAACCTGTGTGGGATCACGCACATACAGAACGGTGGCGAAAACGTCAAGACCGTGATACGCAAGCAGGTCAAAGGAGAACGCTGCTTGCCATGTTCCCATGTACCGCGAACGAGTTGCACAACACTAGTGTGTCCGTAGCTCCCCGCACCCCCACCTATGTTGTCCCGCAGCTGTCGCTCCATGTAGCGCCGGTAGTCGTCCGCAAACAGCTTCTCATCGTTCACGAAGAACACGAACGAGGGAGGCCGCGTGCCGGCCTGCGCAGTGGGCGGTGTGGGGGGAGAAGAGGGCAGCGGAGGGCAGGGGAGGGCTGGGCGGAGGGGAAGCAAGAGGAGGCTAACGGGTGCTACATTGGTAAAGAACGCCAAGGGGCTGTGTTCGGAAGCGAAAGCGCGACATCGGCTAAAAGCCCGATCTTACCGGTATTACCGTCCCATGTATTCCCAATCTTGCCATCCTACAGGCCTACCCAGCTCCCCTAAGCCGCCTGCCGTACTCCCCCCCTTGGTCCCCTACCCTACCTGCGTGCCGTAGTAGATGCGCCCCTTGCGTCCCGAGCCGCGCTGCGAGGGCGGCGACTTCCACTGCGTCGCCTCCTTGAGCACCATGTTGAGGGTGGCGGTGGGCACACGGCGGGCGTGCTGCGCCCCCGCCTCCAGCACCGCCTCCAACACGTCGTCCACGTGGCGACCTGGGTCGGGTTGGAGGGGGTCAGAGATATACCAAAGCCACAGGTTAGGGCAAAACAATGGGATAGATGGGGCCCGTGCGGGTGGTGCTTTACCTGACCCGTCCTGGCCCACTCTTGATTGGTGCACAGGTGAGAGGTAACGCGAAGAAAGCTTTTGCCATAAATCGCGACAACCAGTTCGGAGACCCGCAGACCCACGGGTCACAGCAACCCTCCCTCCCGCACCCACCCACCATTTATCGCCGAAGTGCACACCACGCTGGCCCAGCTGACGTGTCGCAGCTGCGTGCGCACGTTCTCCGCCATCTTCTCCACGGTCCACAGCTGCGGGTCCACTCGGTCCCACTTGTTGACCACCACCACCACCGCCTTGCCCTCCGACGCGAACAACTCGCTGAGTCGGAAGTCCTGCAGTGTAGGGGCGCGGCAGGGAGGGTATGGCGGCCGGGTTGGGGTACGTTGGGGGGCCGGTATGGCTGGTGACGAGTCAGAGAACGTCATACCCATACATGCAATGCACACTTTCGCCGCCAGCCTCCAAACCCACCCACACCCTCCCCCTCCACCGGGCGGGTCGGGCTGGCTCACATTTTGCAAACCATGATGATCCCTTATGAGTTATGACACGGTCAATTAGTTGTTTCCTCTTTACCCCCTCCATCCCCCCCCCACACCTGCTGCGTGATCCCCTCCACCGCGTCAATCACCAGCACCGCCACATCCGCCCGCCGCACCGCCCGCATGGCTCGGTCAACCGAGATCGCCTCCGCGCCGTCGCGGCTGTCCGCCACCCTCGCGCGCTTGCGGATGCCGGCCGTGTCGATCAGCGTGAGGCGCTGCCCGTCCGGCAGCGTGATGCGCGTGTCCACCGCGTCCCGGGTGGTGCCGCTCATGTCACACACGATGGAGCGCTCCTCACCCGCGATGGCGTTCAGCAGGCTGCTCTTGCCTGGGAGCAGGAGGGGGGAGCAGGAGGAGGGGTCAAAGACCATACCAAACCATAGGAAACCACAGGTTAGGGCAAAGCAATGAGGGTAGGAGGGAGGAGGGGGCCAAAAAGGAAACAACTAACTGGCCGTGTGATAAGGCGTGAGGGGGCGGAGGAGGTGGTGGGGGCGGTGAGGTACCCGGTGATGTTTATAGGGGGTGTTCGCAAGGAGTGGTAAATATGGTTGGAAGGGGCGGAGGCGGCGGACAAGGGTGGTGGGGATAAAAGGTGCTAATTGTGGGTCGCTTTCGCAGTCATCATCTGGAGGGATTCCGCCATGGCATTGAGCTGCCTGCTCCTATGGCGGTGATGAGGATGAGGAAGGGTCGTGGGGTTTGCGGGCTGTGGCTGTTGGGTACGGGGTTGGGTTTGGAGCGTGTCGACCTGAGCTGACGTGTGGGGTTTACCGGTACTGCGTACTTGCGGCAGGATGCTGGGGCCTAGCGCGCGTGAGCCTGCGTGCCCGGGTGCTGTGGGTGCGGTTGTCACTGGGCCCTTACGTCTGCGATGACGCGGATTCGTCTTGCCGCTTAGAGTGACTTTTGCGGTGTTCTTAACCCAATGCAGCTTTCCTTCACCCCGCGCGGAGGTGCACAGCGTTAGGTTCCAACACAGTCAACGAGCGGTCGTCTTTCCAAACGCGACAGGCCACCTTGCAAACAAGCGTGCGCAGCAAACCCTTCGCTGCACAGTTCACGGAAACGCCCAGGCGCCCATATGCCTGGGAGTGCGCCCGGCCCTTTCTAGAGTACCGAGAACGACCCATGCGGACCATAAGAGCGTACGACAAGGAAGCCTCGCACGGCGTCACCAGCCAGCCGACACATGCGTAGATTGCAGACACAGCGTAAGGTCTGTCAACCGGCAAAAACCGCCTTGCGCAAAGGTGGCCTACCTCGCAGCCCGCTTCGGCTCACATGGACGCGCTCTGTACACCTCTGAACACACTATACGTTTCCGCCTGCAGTACGTTCCTACTCGCGGCCAGTTTTCTTGCCATAACACAACACAACAACTCTCTTCGCAACCTTTCCCTGCGAACAGGCACTCCGCTCGAAAAGCCACTCAAGCACGCTGCTGGGGTAACCATGAAACACTAGCCACTATCCATCCAGCGGAACACAACGCACACACCGTACAACAGTGCAGCTACATCCCAGGCGCAACGTACATGCTCTGTTTCCTTAACTATACAACCACCACAAACAAACGCACCCACCTCCTCTCTACCCCTCGTCCTATCTCCCTCTCAACTCTCATTCGTTCCGAAGCCGGCCCTTTCAGCTGTTGGCCGTACTATTACCACGACGGAACGCACAGCTAAACGAGTGCTTCTATCATGGCAGGATATGTATACAAGTCACTTTTGCGAGGGTTTAGCAAAACATGGGTACGGCATGAAAGCCCGCTTACTTCTGAATGGCAGGCAGCAGCAAGCGCCCCAACCACAAAGTCGCCCTGCAACAGCGGTGACAAGCAGTTGCCGCTCTCATGGCAAAGCGAACGTGCGTTGTTGTTAAGCCATCTTGCAGAGTCATCTAAAGCCATGTTTTCCTTCCACAAACCCCTTGCTTCGTTCCATTGCACAGCAGTCCCCTGGTCGTACCGCGCTTTGTCAGCGCGCATGCATCGGGGAAGATGCGCAACAAGGACGGGCAACGTCATGCTTCCCAACGTACAGCAGGCGACAGCGCGTCCACCCTCCCCACAACGCCTCCCTACTGACGTCAGCAATACCACCACCACGATCCTTACGCATGCCGTAAGGAGAAGGCGACCAGCTATACGTACGAGATGGGCCCCTCTAGGCTGCCTTCCGCGAATTGCCGTACAATGGGCTCGTCTGTGGTGTCAAACTCCTTGACGCTGCCCTCCCACACCACCTTGCCCTGGTGCAGGAAGATGATGCGGTCCACTGCCCGGCGGATCGTGGAGTGCTGGTGCGTCACCACGATGTAGCTGGAGATGCCGCTGGCTTTGCCGTTTGTGTCCGGTTGCGCGTCCGTGTTGTGCAGGCTGCGCATCAGATCCTCCACAACCGTCGATGCTACTGGGTCGAGGCCCGCTGTTGGCTCGTCATACATGATCACCTGCTCCGTGTCGCTGCGAAGGTCTGAGACAACGGCGCGTGCGAGCGCAACGCGCTTTTTCATGCCGCCCGACAGCTCGGCTGGATAGAGGCTCTCGACCCCGCGCAGTCCAACCTTTGCCAAGCTGTCCGCAACGAGCTCCTTGATCTTAGCGTCTGGCAGCGTGCTGTGCTCGTATAAAAGGAAGCCGACGTTCTCGCCAACCGTTAGGGAGTCAAACAGCGCGGCGTTCTGAAACACCATCCCCACGCGAAGATGTGGCTCCTCAGTAGCGTCGGAAAGCAGCCCAACGCGAGGTTTCCCCTGGATCTTGACTATTCCTCTGTCCGGCTGCAAGAGCCCCGCTGCTAGTCGCAGCGTGGTCGACTTCCCAGTGCCTGACGCACCGATAATGCCGACAGCCTCGCCACGCCGAATTTTGAAGGACGCCCCACGCAGAATTGGCTTGTCCCCAAAGGACTTATACACATCCACAAACTCAATTAACACATCGTCATCAACTACGCCTAGCTGCTGCTCCTGCTGCGCCGTCGCCAAGCTTTGCCCCTCCGTTAGCGCAGCAGCCAAACCAACACCTCTTCGATGCTGTTGTCGTGCACTTGCAATGCGTGCAATTGAGCAAGGAACTAGGCGTGTCCCGCGGGTGCAATTGGCGCTAACAGTTGGCGCTGAGGTGGACGGCACTGGAAAGCAGCGCATTTTGCTTTAGGTTGTAAGATTCGTCTGTATATGTAAATAACGTTTTCAGCAAACCAACATTTTTTTGTGTAAGCTCTTTCCGTTCTCTTTGCTCATGAGGCTGTTGTACGCAAGCGTGATCCAGCCACGCCAACGCTTCTGGAGTGACTAACGTCGCTCTACAGTATAGAGATCAGTTCGTATACTAAAAAGTACTTAAAATTGATCAGAGCCAGGAAGCACAGCGCTAATGCCCTGTGGATGCTAATTCCCTCTGGTCATCTGCGTAGCGCGTCTCGCCCTTCTACTTTACTCCCCTGGGCCTTTCTCCGACCCATGCTTCTCAATTACATGCTTACTTCCAGACAGTCGATGTCCTTTGTAATCCCCTCCATGCAGTCCTTGTACTCACCTACGTTGGGTCGACCCACGATCGCCACTGCCAGCGGTCTGTCCTTGTCCTCGTCCTGCTCCCCACTGCTCGGCGGCGGCAGCAGTCGCACCATCTCATCGAGCAACTCGCCGGTGCCGCTGCCATTGATGGCCGACACGGAATGTGGCTGCAGACCCAGCCCCCAGAAGTCTGCCACCATCTCGTCCGCCTGCGCAGAGCACCAAACGTGCAGGCAACACACGCGTGTCTACAAACACCCATACAAAGAACCCCCACTGCAAACGCGCTCCCTCCAACACCGACGCCACGGTCATGCCGTCGCACCCCTCCCTGCCTCCCTCCTTCCCTATCAACTCCCTCCCCCGACGCCACCACCTATCCTCTGCTACTCCCCCCCCAAAGCCCCCGGCAGCTTGGGCGCTCACCTTGCCCGCGTTGTCACACTTGTTGACCGCCAGCAACACCGACTTGGTGGGGTGGTTCGACCGCAGCCAGGACAGAATCTCCTCGTCGCCCGACTGAGGGTGAGAGGGGTGTGCGGGCAGGGGGCCGTTCAATAGGCCGGGGCGGCCAGGGGCAATCTCGAGAGCAAAGGGGGGCTCTAACTAGCCGCCCAAGCGGCCCTTGAATCCCTTCATCCCAGCAGTACCCACATAACGGCCCCGACACAGGCCTCCAAAGAGCCCTCTACAGTAACTGTGTCACAAGCGGGTTAGGGCGAAAAAAATGGTGACAGCGGAAGCCCCTGCCACCGCATTCCCCGCTCTCTCCTCTCTCCCTTCCCCCCTCCCCACCTGCAGCCCCGCCTTGCCATCCACCAGCAGCACAACCGTGTCAGCCTCCGCAACACCTGCACGCATGCGCGCATGACACATCACGACATGAGCAGCGCGGTTTCGGGGCCATGCGCTACAAAGGCGGCGGCCGGACACCCGATATTGAACACCCCCATGCCTTGGGGCAGTAGCAGCTGCACCTCTTCACCCAGCCACCGCCCCCTTTCCATGTGAGCCGGGACTCGGGGCGGCCATGGGTCGAACACCGGTCATGGAGCCCCAGCTCCATTCCCTTTCCTCCCTCTTACCTCCCCCTTACCCCTCCCTCCCTCCCCATGCTACGGTACCCTCCCACCCCCCTGTCACCTGCTGCCGCCTGCCGCTCAATGGCCTCCGGCAGCCCCTCCGCCGAGATGGACCGCATGGCCTCGGAGCGCAGGTCGGGGGGCAGCCGGGTGGCGTCGGACATAAGGCCGCCTGGGTGGGGGGGAGGAGGCGGAGAAGGGCGTCGAGGGGGGTGAGCCAAGGTTAACCCGGGGCTGCGGTAGGGCCGCGGTACACAGGAAGTGGTTGGAGGGAGGAGGAGAGGGGAAGGAGACAGCTGAGGGGAGCTCGACGGGGTGCATGGGCTGAGTAGCAACACCTGGTGGGTCACAGAGGTGGGCCCCGACCGCGTCGTCGTGTAACGGTACCATGCAAACGCTTCCCCCACCATCACCCAAGCCTCCGTTGCCCGGCCGTTACCTTCGTTATAGCCTTATCCTCAGCACCACCCAAGCCCAGCCACCCACCCGTGTCAATCATGATGAAGTCCTTGTCCCCCCAGAATGCGCGCGTGTACAGCCGGTCACGTGTCACCCCCGGCGTGTCGTACACCACTGCTACAGCCGCCCCCGCAATGCGGTTGAACAGCGCCGACTTGCCCACGTTTGGGCGCCCAACGATGGCGACCTAAATGAGGGAAGGAGGCAGTAACAAGGAGGGATTTGCGAGTTGATGGGCGATATTCCGGCATGCGCACCGAGATGGAGTTGTCACGGTTGAGGCCGGATCGCGGCTGTGTCATGCCCTCAAAACGCCGTACCCCGAAGCCCCCTTGCCGCCAGCCCCAACCGAATTCCGCTTGCCAGGGAACGGTTATCCCGTCTTCCTCGGCGAATGGCTTGCTGTAGTCAGTTCCCCTCGTAAGCCAACTCCCCCCCCCCGCCACCGAGGTGGGCGGTAGCGTCAGCGGCATTACTGTCCCCACCTTGGGCAGGCACTCGTCCGGGATTTGCCTTCGCCGCTTGCTGCGGGGAACGTAGCCGTCAGGCCCGGCAGCCAGGGACAACCCCATCCCGCTGCTTCTGCTGCTGCCGCTACCGGCAGTGGAGCGGCGCTGCGCCAATCGGGCTTGCCGTGCAGCCACCTCCTCGGGCGATGCACCGAAAGGCAGCAGCTCCTCGTCCTCATCTTCATCCTCTGAGCGGCGTACGGAAGGCAGAATGTAAGGAGGAAGGGCGTCAGCAACCTTGTGCGGGTACACGAGGGAATTGGTAGAAGGCGTCTAGGAAAGGAGCAGCAGGTGAGCCGTCCGCAGCTTACTGTGCGCCTTGTTTGGAAGAGGATTGGTGTACGGGTGGTATCATGCGGGGTGCTTTCCTTGCGGACAAAGCGCATGTGTTTCGGAAACCCCAACACCGTTGCCTACGCCGGCACAGCGCAGACCTGGGGAGTGGTCTTGTACATTTCCCAACCTAGCGACCAGGGATGCAGCGATTTTGTCGAACTTTGCTGCTTCCTCCTTGGTAATGCCCTCCACAAATTCTATCGAAGACTGCACGCGCACCGAGCTGGCCCGCTTCTGGCCGCAATTGACGTGCGAGGGACAATTGAGAACTGTTGTAGGTGCCACAATGACTGGTCGCCCTGGTCGCGTGAAGTTCACTGACGGCGCCCTGCCATGCGCTGCCAAGCTTCCGCAGCGCATTTTGCCTATTATCTCCCTTAAAGCTATTCAATGCTACTGAATAAACGCGATTGACAAATTGATGCTACCAGTGCTGCAACGGGGCACCGTATGGGTCTTGCAATTATAGACAAACCACTCTGGCACGTCCGCTAACAATTGAATTCCAGTGCACGGAATAATAGCATATAAACTTGCACATCGGTGTGCATAACCTGCTGCGGTTGGTCATCCGCGTCTAGCCACCTTCCACCGTACCGACGTCCGCCTCACATCTCGTATAAACGGTCCTCGAGGTTGCTATTTACCAGCCTCCATACCTGAAAGTCACGTTTGCACACATTTTGTCCCGCATCGTCATGAATAAAACCCAACTCATCAAACACACTCCTGCAAGCAAAAGCTACCGGTACTTCGTCTAAAGGAAAGCGCGACTAATGTACACAGCCGCCTTGTGCCTCTTTACTGCCCCTGCGACTGGCGCGCTATTTGGACGAAGCGCGACCGAATCTCCTTGATCGCCTTTCCCAGGTTGTTCGTGCTGTTGATCTCTGCCAGGAGTTCTTCCACGCCCGGCACCGGCGGGTTGCACTGGATTGCTGCAGGGGTGCCGCGCCAGTGGGAGGGGCGTTGGATGTTAGAGGCACGGGAGCCAGTTATGGAACCATCATTAACGACAGGGTCATTAAGGTGACCCTCGCGCCGTCAACCGCAGTTTGACCCGGTCTTCTTGCTCCTACCCACCTACAGCCCGCCTTGCTTGCCTCTCTAATAGGCGTACCCCAGTCCCAACCAGATGTTCGGCGCTTGAAGAACACCCATATAACTCCTGAATATCAACCCATCGGCATGCCTGGTGGCCCTCACCCGAGTAGCGCATGTCGTCCATGCGGACCGTAATGACGAACTCCTTGCTGTGGTCCTTCTCGTCCACGTGCGTCATGACGATGTTCACGCCACCGCCTTGAAGGGGGTTTGGGAGAAAGGTTTATAGCCGTAGAAGTATGTGGATAAAGGGACGGTTTTCAGGCGTAAGGTAAGGCAAGCTGATAGCCGCCCGTGGGAAAGACAAGGGGATGCGGAAATAAAGTATGCTACTCCCACGGACCCAAGCCGAAGCCCATTCGGCTTTGTACGTTGTAGAGGGACAGAACTTCGCTCATCCTTCGGCTGTCCGCATAGCGTGCGCGTGGTTTGCTGCAAAGTTGGTTTGATTACGGTGCTTATTAATTACCTCCCTGTTCAGCGCTCCGCAACATACCTGGTAGGGGCCTGACGTCCATGCAGAGCCGGTCCCGGAACATTGTTAGCAGGTGGATGTAGCTATTAAGCTTACGCTGCTTCTTCTTCGCAGCGGCCTCCAGCTCTGCGTGTGGGTTGTATGCGGGTTTCAGACATATGATGGCATGCAGCGAGGCGAGGTGCAAATGAGCATGCAACACGCCAGTACGCATGTGATCCCCAAGCGGCTCGTTCGAGTTTGGCCTATGGACCAGTCGGTCGGGGTTCGGCGCGCACCTGCCAATCTAGCGAGGCGTTGGTTGTGCTCTTGCTGCAGCTGCACCTCAACTGCGTCCCGCCGCTGCTTTGCCGTGCTGGCGTCCGCTTCTGCTCTCTCCCGCTGCTCCGTCAGGCTCTGTAGCTCCTGCTGCTCGCTGAGCAGGCCTGTGGTTGCGCATGCATGTAAGGATAGGGGCGCACGCCAGCTTGCAAAGCCTTTTGCGGATTAGCCAAGCCGGGCCGAGCACGCTTGGCGTTCCTGGCGTTACCCAGCAAATAAAACCCAGCTAGGACCTTCACCGCGGGGACCCCAGCAGGCTGGAGACCCTATTTCAGAAACCCATTACTGAAGGCTGCCGCGCAAGCATAAGGACGCCCACTATCCATACACAAGGGCATCCTGTCACGCAGCATCGTTTAGGGCCCGGAAATGGGCTTGCTAGGCCCATCGCCGCTTCCCAGATGCACGCAAACGCCGTTAACGTACGTCTGTTCGTCTTCTCTGCCGTCACGTGGAGCTGTTGCTTACGCTCTTCCATCTGTGTAAGCTTTTCTGCGGACCAAGGGGGCCGAGTCATGGCGACTGCCTTGAAAACGAGCGCAAACTTTCGTCAAACAATTCATACAACCTGTCTGGTCTTGCATAACTGCAGCGTGTTGGTCCCTGCGGTCTGCTGCCAACCGTATCCGAGTCTCCGCCCATTCCTGAACCATCCGTCGCATTCGGGAAAGCTCTGTATCTAGCTCTTCCAAGTTCAACGCCATACTGGGACACGCTCCTTCAAATGCTCGCAGCGGCTATGTTACGCTGGACGCGGAGCTGTCACGGCGAATAGCAATGTATAGCAATACCCAGGAAGATAATGAGGATAGGTAAATATATGAAACTCTACGCGTTCAGGTTAACGCATGCCGTGGCTATGAGCCGGGAGGCAGCTGGCCCCGTGAAATTGAATGATCGTACAAAGTACCTCCCCTTGAACCCCCTTGGCCAACATCGGTCGCACACAAACGCACAATGCTCCGCCTGGTGCTGCGGCAATAAGCCGCATCGCAGCACAATAAGAACTCCTTGCCTATTGTCGATCGTCCTATCAAAATTGCAAACGTTAAAAATTTTCACTCTTGAAAACTTGTTCTGGCTATACTCGCTGCGTCTAGAAGCTTTGACGGGGGGCTGTGCGCCCCCAGAAGTAGCTTTAGCCCTAGCCTAGGTCGGCGCGAAAATGGATGCCACTGTTATCCACACCGTGGGTACCAAGGTGTGGATCAGGGACGAGAAGGAATCATGGATAAAAGGCGAGGTCTTCAAGGTGGAGGAGGACTATGTGCTCGTGCGAACGGAGACAACAGGCGCGGAGGTCAAGTGCAAGCCGGAGGACGCGCCCTTGCAGAACCCGCACAACAATCGGGGTGTGGATGTGAGTAGCTTTTACTTGATTTGATTGAGTTTCTAGATGTTATCCTAGGGATTCCCGGTCGAAAACGCCTGTTGCATGCCCCGCGCAGGATATGACCCGGCTCTCTTACCTGCACGAGCCCGCGGTGCTATGGAACCTTAACACACGCTATGCCTATGACGACATCTACACGTATACGGGCACTATCCTTATCGCAATCAACCCCTTCACGTCGCTGCCGCACCTCTATGGCGACCACATGATGAATCAGTATAGGGGTGTGGACATTGGAGACTATGCCCCGCACGTTTACGCCATCGCTGACGCGGCATACCGCCAGATGCGGAAAGAGATGAAGGGGCAAAGCATTCTGGTGTGTGTTGGGGTCGGGAAGTATCGCGGGTCACTGGGTCTGGGCTGTGCATTCTAGCTAGACTATACTGTGGAGCTGCTAATATAGTAGCCTGGGGCCGGTTGCTCTCCCCATGGTATGTACGCCATAAATTGCGAGCATGCTGACAGGCGGGTAGGTAGTCGTGATGATCATGTCGACTACCATGTATGCTACCCTGCTACAATGGCATGGGTGCTCTGCGTTTAAGCTCTAACTTACCGTCAAGGGCCTAACCTTCCCATTGTGTTCTGGACACGAGCGTCCAGTTTACACTTATTACCGTCTTACTTCTTGCCCTCTGCATTCTCTTCCAGGTGAGCGGTGAGTCAGGTGCTGGTAAGACGGAGACCAGCAAGCTCATTATGAAGTACCTGGCCTACATGGGCGGGTACACTGAGGCTGGCGAGCAGACGGGAAGCGGCCGCAGCGTGGAGGAGCAGGTGCGCTCGTACGTCTATTGAGCTGTGCGTGTGCGTGCGACCTAGGGTTCAGGGGGGCGTAACGCACATGGTCATGTGAGAGGTTGGGGCCCTACGGCAGAGATGCATCTCAGCTATTTCAAGGGAGCTGTGGATAACCTCTCATTGCTGTGGGGGTTGCGCTGGCTGTGTTGGGGCTTGGGCATAGCAGGACAATTGGGACTTGGGACTCCCTACCTATCCGTGCTTTACAATGTAACATGCCTGCCTCTGTAGGTGCTGGAGTCAAACCCGTTGCTAGAAGCCTTTGGAAATGCCAAGACCACCCGCAACAACAACTCATCGCGCTTCGGCAAGTATGTAGAGATTAACTTCAACAGCAAGGGTGTCATCAGCGGCGCCGCCATCCGCACGTACCTGCTGGAGCGCTCTCGTGTCGTGGCCATCAACAATCCCGAGCGCAACTACCACATCTTCTACCAGGTGCATGTGAAGCGGATTTCGGACGGTCTAAACCCCTTGCCGTGTTCGTTCGCCGGTCCTGTCCTGCCTACCCCGTCCGCATGCCTCATGACTACTGCGCTTCGGCTAATCCTTTCGTCGCTGTCACCCCTTTTTGCAGCTCTGCGACGGGGCCAGCCCTACCCAGCGGGCGGCATGGCGCCTCAAGAGCGCGCAGGAGTACCGCTACCTGAACCAGTCTACGTGCTTCCAGCTGCCGGGGACAGACAACGCTGAGGACTTCAAGGTATGGGCGTCATGGCCGCAGTGACAGCACATGTATATGATGTCGGTGGCCCCAAGGCGGGGCACCGGTCATTTATGATCCCACTCCACTTCCAGTTATTACAGATGCCATGTAACGCATGGAGGGGCACCCTGAGTTGCGTTCCGTTTGGATATAACAGCTTAACACCTTTACTTGTTGGCTGTTTGCAGCGCACCAACTACGCTATGGAGCGCGTCGGCATTCCGGAGGCGGACCGCGAGGCCATCTTCCGTACAGTGGCCGCCATCCTGCACCTGGGCAACATCCAGTTCCAGTGGGTCGGGATTACGGGGGCAGGGGGCTTTGGGGCTTAACCCACACGATCCATGCCACTCGTGACATTGAGCTCAGCGTTTCAATAACAGCAGAATGAGCATGGCGACTTCCTTGGCCGGACCCAGGCAGGCTGTTCTGCGTACCTTCACAGGGATATGACATGACGCGACATGCAATTGCTGCCATGCACCCCAACCACACTTGACATACAGCATGGTGCGCAGTTTCGCGTCAGCCTAGTTTGGCTCGCAGCTGCGTGGATAACCGTTTCCCCTACCTGAGGCCTCTGGTGTTTCCGCGTCCACAGGGCCGGGCCCGAGGAGAGCGCTCTCGTGGTACCCGCCACGGAAGATGCCCTGGACGCGACGGGTAAGCGCAACGCCGTGTGTCCTCTTCGAGGCTATAACTGGTCCAATTACCGGTAACCAGGCAATTGAAGGACGTCCGCAAAGCCGCACGTGGGCTTTGTCGCAGCAAAAGAGAAGGTGGCCTTTTCTAGGAGCCCCATGCATAGCTCCAGCGCGACTTACGGTATCCTACTTATCCTGCCTGGTTGCCCGCAGCCGCGTTGCTGGGAGTGGACAAGGAGGGCCTGCGCAAGGCGCTGACGACCCGCGTCCGGCAGACACCGGAGGGCCCCATTGTGAGTCCGCTGGACGCCCGCGCGGCCTCGGAGACGCGCGACTCGCTGGCCAAGATCATCTACGCTAAGATGTTCGACTGGCTCGTGGGCATGATCAACGCGGCCATTGGCGAGGACAAGTAAGCGCAAGGGTCCTATTGGTTTTGATGCTATGGATCGTCCTGAGGGGAAGGGAAGCTGGTCCTTCCTTTACTCCAATGCCCAGCTGCTTCCAGGTTATGTCCCCTCGGCTGCGTCCACGGGCGTCAAAAGCCCCGCCGTCCGTGACTTTATGGTGCCTGTCCGTGCTATTTTCCCGTTGACAGGAACTGCGCTGCCAGCGTTGGCGTGCTGGACATTTACGGCTTCGAGCAGTTCCAGTTCAACGATTTTGAGCAGTTCTGCATCAACCTGGCGAACGAGAAGCTGCAGCAGCACTTCAATCAGCACGTGTTCAAGATGGAGCAGGTGCGTGTGCCGTAGACTGTTACACCCCTTGGAGGTCAAAGGATACGCTTGGATACGCTTCATTGGGGCAAAGGAGGGCGCCTATTATATTGGAAGTTGGACGAGCCTGGACCGTGCTGTTGCTTGAGGGTACCCAGTCGACAGGCCCGGATCCATTGCCCCTAGCGATGCACACGCTCTACCTACATGAAGAGAGCCTGAGCTGCAATTCTGCTATGTGCGGCTTTATCTTTCGCAGCGACATGCTTTGACGCGAGTGTCACCCCATATCCTGTGCAGGCGGAGTACGAGCGCGAGCAGATTGACTGGAGCTACATCCAGTTCGTGGACAACCAGGACGTGCTGGACCTGATTGAGGGCAAGATGGGCATCTTGGACCTCCTGGACGAGGTTTGCAGGTGGGGACTGGCGGGAAAGGATTGTTGGGCGTGGCTGGCTGCAAGCGTCATGCGGCTCCTGTTTTGGTTGCTGTACAGTCAAGCATACAAAGCTGGGTTTCAGGCGGTTTGGCTCCCGCACATGTACTGCATCCTAGGCTGGCACATATAAACCTCCCCCTGAAACGTGTAGGTTCGTGGACGCCAAGGGCAAGGACTTTGCCGAGAAGCTCTACAACGCGACCACCTGCAAGGACTCGCGGCGCTTCTCCAAGCCCAAGACCTCCTGGACGCAGTTCATCATCGACCACTACGCTGGCCCCGTCAAGTACGACGCGGCAAACTTCATCGACAAGAACAAGGATTTCGTGGTTCCGGAGCACCAGGCCCTGCTGGGCGGCTCCTCACTGCCGTTCATGGGAGCGCTCTTCACCGAGCCCGAGGCCTCGGCAGACGCCTCGGCAGGCAACCCGACCCTGGGCCGCCGCGGTGCTGCCTCCAAGGGCGTCAAGTTCAACTCGGTCGGCAGCCAATTCAAGAAGCAGCTGGCGGAGCTGATGGTGCAGCTGCACGCCATGGAGCCGCACTACATCCGCTGCATCAAGCCCAACGAGAGCGCGCAGGTGCGACACTGGCGCTGTAGGCTTGCCTTGCACCTCTGCGGTATGCACAGCAATATCAAGTGGCATCCTTCCCGGTGTTGCTTGTCAGGGGGTATCAGGTGGATTGCATGCGCTTGTCTTTTCGTGTCTTGCCGCTCGCGCTGACGCTCTTGAGTGGGTGTTGTGATGCCATTGAAGTTCTCTTTATCGCCTTCTTCTGCAGCCTGGAGTTTTCGAGAACAAGAACGTGCTGCACCAGCTGAAGTGTGGCGGTGTCATGGAGGCGGTCCGCATCAGCTGCGCAGGTACGAGCGAATAACGTGTACCGGTATGTTTGCCTTGGCTGTGGACGCAACGCTGTCTCCGCCCTACCATGCTCATGGTAGCCGGCAGCCTTACACAGCACGTTCACTTCGCATTATGCGTTGGTTGCAGGCTTCCCCTCGAAGCGGCCGTACGATGAGTTCGTGGACCACTTCTGGCCGCTGGCGCCCGACCTGCTCAAAACAGTTGGCGACGACAAGGAGATTGCTAAGGCCATCCTGGCCAAGGCGGGGGTTAGCGGCTTCCAACTGGGCCTTACGAAGGTACGCATGCATGCAGACGGTACCCGTTCCTGGAAACCGGCCTGGTTACGGTGCCCATCGTGCTCACACGTCATCATCCCTTGCCCCTGTTCACCTTGCCCAGGTCTTCATGCGCGCGGGCCAGATGGCGCAGCTCGACAAGCTCCGCACCGACACGCTCAACGTTGCCGCGATCACCATCCAGCGCTTCGTGCGCGGCATGCAGGCCCGCCGGCGCTTCGAAGCCGCGCGTGCGGCTGTCCTTACCATCCAGTGCGCAGCACGCGCCTGGGCCGCCCGCAAGCTCACCATGCAGCTGCGCCGTGAGAAGGCAGCGCTCACCATCCAGGTACCTACGCACATCTTACAACGCTGCATGTTAATCAGTACGTGGGTTAATGTACGGTCAAGCGGACTCAGTCTCTCGGACAGGGCCCAGGGCCCACGGACGCGCTGCCTGACAGGATGCTAACCCCTGCGGCTGCTCCAGCTTTCCTCGATAGCCCGCATTTACCTTCCAGACACACCCTGCTACACAACCTTGGGCCTTCCTGCTCGTGTGCTCGCTTGTGTGGTCATCCTCCCTCCCATTGCCCCATGCAGACTATGTGGCGCGGCTACAAGGCCCGCACCACCTACCTGGAGCAGCGCCGCCTCATCATGGCGGTGCAGTCCATGTTCCGCGGCCGCAACGCACGGCAGCGCCTGGCGCAACTGCGCCGCATCCGTGCCGCCATCACCATCCAGCGGCGCTGGCGCGGCTTCGTGGCGCGGCGGCAGTACCTCGACCTCCGCGACGCGGTCCTCGTCGTACAGAGCGGGTACCGCATCAAGGTGCGCTTCAGTACCGGGTGAACATGCCTAAAGAAGGTTGCCAGAGCACCCAGTTAGCCAAGAGAGTATAATGGCAATGCACACATGACATACCGTATGCGCCCTAGCATTCTTGGTTTAAGGCCAGTCTGTTATACCTTACATGCGCCCGCTGCCGGCGTGTCATGCAGGTCGCGAGGCGCGCGTTGCGGCACTTACGGCAGCAGGCCCGCGAGGGCACCAAGCTGCTGGAGGACAAGAAAGCGCTGGAGCAGAAGGTGCACGAGCTGCAGTCCATGCTGGAGACGGTGCAGGACCAGCGTAACGAACTGCGGCAGCAGGTGGGCAGGGGCGGCCTGAACGGTATCGTCTTGCTGGTTGCGCCGTGGCGACGCCGGTGCTCTATACGTTGATAGCTTAACTTGCAGCATCAGTGGTGATGCTCCTTCTCTGCCATGCATCATCACCATGTCACTTGTGTTTGCCGCCCTGATGGCCACAGGTCAAGGACGAGCTAGCGGCACGCACGGAGTTGGAGCGGCGGTTGGAGGAGATGCGGGCGGAGCTGGAGGTGGTCAACCGCGGCAAGCTGGAGGAGGCGCAGCAGCAGCTGGCGCAGGAGCAGGCGCAGCGCCAGCAACTGCAGGAGGTGGGCCGGGGATGTGCGTTGGCAGGAGTACCTCTGATGGTTGTGGCAAACTATCAGCATGTCGCAGGCTGTACCAAGCATTGGATTGCGGTGGTGTAGCTATGCTTGACATGTTTCCGGCCTCCGGTCTTCGCCTATGCAGGAGGTGGTAGCGCTGAAGCACAAGGTGGCGGCCACCGAGGACGCCGCCAAGCTGAAGGCCACCGAGCTTGCCACGGCGCTTAAGAAGCACCAGGACTACATTGGCCAGCTCATGAGTGAGCGCAGCCAAATTGACAAGAAGTTCCAGGAGATGAAGGCTGACCTCATCACGCGCCTGCAGAACGCCTGCGCACAACGCGACGAGGCACGCGGACGGGTGAGTTCATGCGTGGATGCCAGTAGCCATGCAGAGGCCGTATGGCACGCATGCAAGATGCAGAGGGTGGCACTTGCATTGACCTCGTCTAGTCCTTTCTCTTTGTACTGAAGGTTGGCGTTCGGTGCTGCAGGTGCTCGAGTTGGACAACGAGCTCGTGAAGATGACCGAGAGCTTGCAGGTATGCTGGTATTGTGGATTCTTCATGGTGACTATGAGTAAAAGCGGCTGTAGCTGAAGTGCATCAGCTCCTACGTACCGTTAGCCTGGTCTATTGCATGACCCATGTACCACCACCGCAACGCAGGCCAAGGAAAGGGAGCTTGCCGCCGCCAACGCGGCCGCCAGCGCCGCCGCCGCTGTGCAGGCAGTGCAGTCCGCGTCCGCCGGTGCGATCACCGTGGCTGGCTCGCCCATGCCTGCGACGACACCCGTGGCTGCTAGCACCGCTGCCAACACTATGCACAGCATGTTCCAGAAGCTGCAGACGTCAGCGCCAGGGTACGCGCGCAACGTCGCGGAAAACATCAGCACGCTTTTCACCAAGGAAGGCGCACCACTGCGAACGCCTCCGCGTGCTGGTGTGCTTCACGGCGACGACGACATGCGGTAGGTACCCCTTCGCCCCCGACCCGGATAATAAGGGTACATCACGGATACTGTACGCCGTATGGCGTGAGCACGACGCCAAAACCAAGTCACCTTTTTATCTCGGCATGCCACGTACCTTGTTGCGTTAAGGAGTCTGTTTTGGGTGTGTGCAGGTCGCCGAGCGTCAGCGGCGTGCACGCTCCGGGCACAGGCCCTGAGAGCGAGGCCGACCGCCGCATGCGCGAGGCGCAGCTCAAGCAGGTACAGATCCTGGCGGAGAAGCGCAAGGTGGAGGAGGACAAGCTTCTTGCAGCGCTCACGGCGCCGCTGCCCACAGCTGTGGCGGTCAGCCGACGGGAATTAGTTGCAGGGCCCATTGGCATGGGCTTCCACAGGGGCAGGCCGGTGGCGGCGATTGTCATCTTCCGGTGAGGACAGATGGGCAGGGACGGTTCAGAAGTTGAAGCGTGTTGCATGCTGCGGTATGTTTGGCCCCCATGCGAGGCTCATCTGGCCATAAGAGTCGTGCTCGTAGACATCTCAATTCATTGCCTCACTGGACGGTATCTTGTTTGACCGCAGGTACTGCCTGCACGCACGCGCCTTCCAAGCGGACCGCACGGCGATCTTCGACCGCATCGTCTCGGTCATTGGGCAACAGGTGCGTACAACCAAGAGTTGCTGGCCTGCCAGTGTGTTCCGTTGCACGCAAGTACATGGGGGCTGGCAGGACTGTCTCCAGCATAATGGCAGCCGATAAAGATGCCAGATGCGGGTTCTATGGGCCCCATGAGTCCCGGCTTTACAAACCCTGTCCCCTTCCCATGCTGCCACAGGTGGAGCGCGGGCAAGAGGACAACAACTGCCTGTCGTACTGGCTCTCCAACACCGTCACCCTCTTGCACATGCTCAACAAAAACATCAAGCCCGCCTCTGGGAACGTCAACAAGGCGCGCGTAGGCGTCACCGCGGGGGCAGTTGGGGCCACTCGGTCGGTGCTTGGAGCCATGTTCGGAAGCCGCAGCGGCGCCTCGCCGGGCGGGTTGGCGCACGCGGAGGCGTCCATACACGGTGGCGGTGTCGGTGAGAAGCCAGGCAGACCCTGCTGGGTCTTCATGGAAGTTGTACGCATGGTTCTTGTCAAACTGGGAAGAACTGCCGCGGCGAGTTCTGCCGATAGCTCAGCAAGTACAGTGTTTACCTGCGTTGCCCAACCCCCTTTGCCTCCCCAGGTGGCTTCAAGCAGGTGGAAGCCAAGTACCCTGCCCTGCTGTTCAAGCAGCAGCTCGACGCCATCGTGCAGAAGATCTTCCCGATGATCCGCGACAACGTGCGGAAGGAGATTTCACCCATGCTCAGCAACTGCATCCACACGCCCAAGACGTCGGGCCGCACCGTAGCCCGGCCCATGGGTGCGGGCCCTGCTTCCGGGGACAAGGGCGCAGGTGCGGTGGTTGGCGGCTTTGACTTACATCAGCAGGGCTATGGCATCGCCCTTTGCTTCGTCTTGCGGAACCATCATGTGTCGAATGGTCTGTCTGTGCTGACAATGTGGCTCATCCCTGGCGGGTGACTACAGGCCAGCAAGCCGCCTCGCACAAGTCCTGGACGGACATCCTGCACGTATTCGACACGCTGCTTGCGGTGGTCAAGGCAAACGTGGTGCCCAAGGTCCTGGTGCAGGTGAGTAGCGCAACCTGAGCTGGAAAGCTGCCTACAAGATTACCGTGGCGGCGTCACTTACCTGGGAACCTTCCCATGTCCACACGGACGCAGGCGCTGTTCAAGCAGCTCTTCCGCTTCGTCAACGTGCAGCTGTTTAACCAGCTGCTGCTGCGCCGCGAGTGCTGCTCCTTCAGCAATGGCGAGTACGTCAAGACGGGACTGGAGCAGGTTGCCCATTGGATCAACAGCGCGGGGGCTGACTACATCGCTGACTCGTGGGAAGAGCTCAAGTACCTGCGACAGGTAACTGGGCTGTTCGTCATGCTGAGCCTCGGTTGAAACGTCTGCCCGGCATGCAGGGCAGGGGGGCTGCATGCTTGCTTTCCAGTCCCACTCCGCAGCTACCCCGGCATTGGGTTTGCTTCAATGCTGCCCTCTGCTGCACTACCGGCGGCTGACATACCTTGGTGGTGTGCTTAAACTGCAGGCGGTGACGTTCCTAGTGATCGGCAACAAGCCCAAGAAGAGCCTGGAGGAGATTACGTCGGACCTCTGCCCCGTGCTGTCCATTCAGCAGCTGTACCGCATCTCGACCATGTACTGGGACGACAAGTACAACACGGAGACGGTGAGCTGGGTGTTCGGCTTAAGGATGCCCTGGAATGCGTGTCCATTTGTCCTCTGTGAGACCCGCAGCCTTTGTCCAAGACGTCTTGCGGATAGGAGACAGAGGACTTGGCTAAGAGCTGTCGTAAGGACAGCCTGCTCGCGGAACCTGACAGCGCTGGACATCCTCTTGCAATGCAGGTATCTCCCGACGTGCTGAGCCGCATGAAGCAGGCCATGGTGGATTCCAACAGCTCCGCGGGCCACTCGTTCCTGCTGGACGATGACTCCAGTCTGCCCTTCCAGGCGGCCGACCTGCTGGCCAACATGGACGACAAGGTGAGTACGGACTGCAACTGCGACGGTAGGGAGTAAGATCGTAGTGCACAGAGTGTTGCTTTGCATTGCTCCATGGCGCTTACAGTGGGGCCGGTATAATAAGACTAATAAGACGCTTTTCTTCCATGTATGCCCCATGCAGGACCTGTACTGCGGCATTCCGGTGCCCGAGGTGCTGCAGGACGGCGACGGCGGCCCCAACTTCGCCTTCCTGGAGAAGGAGCTCCGCTTTGCAGCGCCTGCGGCGCAATGAGGGAAAGGCGGTGTGCGGGGGCTGCCGGTAGCATCCCGAGCAGTCGTGGCCTAGGACAGGAATCTTGGTGCAAACGGCCATTTTCGGTTCTTCTGCCGTTTTGGCCGGTGTGCCATGTCGTTTGCTGCAGTTGGAACCTTGTGTTGGCCCCACTGGGCCCTACCTTTCTGCTAGCTGATGGCTTTGACATTGACGCCTGTTTCGTGGGATGGTAGCGTTGGGTTAGGGGCTGTACATATAGCGGGCCGGAAAGCGGTGAGTTCTCACCGCCCCCACATATGGGCAGTACTGATACTGACACGGATGGTGGATACTTCGCACTGACCCTTCGGTGCACAGACTACTTGTATGCCTGTCAGGTAGGCAATACAGCACTGCATGCGCTATGTCAGGAAGCTGCTTTGGATATAGCGGCGGTTGTTTTATGCGGTGGCAGTATGGTAACGTACGGTGTGCAGGGGCAGAGGTAGCGTAGCGGTAGCCTTGGGGATTTGACATAGATATGAAGACCGAGTCAGAGGCACCGGGCTCAACGGATCCTTGACGAGCCAGAGATGTGTACGGCGTTCCGAGGGGGGTTCTTCTGGTGATATGCAATTAGCTGGCTAACAACAGTGACTAGATGCAGAGACTGTGTACCGCAGGCTGTCTTGGTAGAGTAGGTAGAGCCGAGGGGGTCTCTGTACGCCATACACATCGGGACTGCATAACAGGGGCAGGCACAGGGTTCTCAAGAGTAGCGAGGATCTGTAGTCGTCATCCAAAGATGTGACTATAACCGTACGTGAGCGGATGCATGCACGATGGAAGTCATCTGTTGCAGGAGGCACAACTACTACCGGTTTCGGACTGATTGTCCGCTGTGTAACGAATGTCTCTTACAATGTTAAGTGGGGAGGTGCATGTTCGTTTACAGGTTCGCAAATACTCCTTGCTGGTTAAAGGTGCAACTTGGACATACAACCAAGAACTTGGGAGTCAACTCCTTACAGCAAGATTCTTAAAAGGAGCTTATCGTGCAGCAGTAATTTGCGTACATACCGTACACATACAGCCTCGCCAAAGCATAACTTACTGGATTTTGCGTACAGGTATTAGAAATATTAGAAGCTTAGAAACATCTTCTTTCTTAGCTTTGCTACTTGTTATCTCGACCTGTGGAGGTAAGTCGTATAGCTCAGTGAAAAATTGGCCAGTGAAAAACCCATAGGCATACCTACTCGAACAAGAGACATTTGTAGGAAGGAGGGATTGTTTCGGGGATCATGCTTAGGAAAATGTAAGCAAACGTACCGTACCATTGTAACGGCCATGCACAATACCTCATTCCCACTTGGAATTGATTGCCGCTATTTGCCAGCATAAAATTAGGCATTGTCATAATATTATCGAGGACAAGTGCGTCACCCGAATTCGAAGAGAGCCAGCTGTCCTTAGCTGTCCCAGTGAGAAGCAGACAGGGCTCGGGAAAGAATGGCACAACCTCCAACAGACGGCATGGCAAGCAGATGATCGTTTTTTCGTCCTGCAGCAAAATGCCCTGTCAGCGCAAGCGTCGCGGCCCAACCGTGCCTGCTTCTTTTGAGTCAGCTGTTAAGGGTTACCCAAGGGTTTCGCTGCAGGCTTGTCAGCAGTCCGTTGCAACGTCTTAATTGGCCCACATATATACTCCGCAAGCGCCTCTCGTCTGACCACCCATTACTTACCAGTGATACCGCGCCAGGTAACAGTAACAGACGGAAAAGCAAGGGGGCGGCTACGGCAGCGGGTGCCCCGCTGTATGACTAACGCCGTCCAGCGCAGTGGTGGCAGCAGCGGAAAGGTTGAATGACCTTGTACGTTGACTCGTGTGCATCGTTTGGCGTTCAAGCCTCGGCCGTTGGCAATCTTACCCACACGGCGCCATGGAACTCTATGATACGTTGCTTGGTACCTGTATATTACTTGTAACCGCCTTTTCCTCATCACATTAGCTGACCCGCTGGAAGTTGAGCGCCGTGGCAAACTCGGTGGCCTTCAGCTTGGCGGCGTCCTCGGTGGCCGTCACCTTCTGCTTCAGCGCTACCACCTCCTGCATAGGAAAAGCATGGAGGTCGGGGATATGTTTGGCGAATGACCCAGATGGAATAATTAGCCTGCATACCCTAGATGGAAATTCAACGATAACATCCTTTACGAGTTGCATAAATGCGCAATAGGATCATGTGCAACTCCCAGCAAAGGCAGGTGTGGCCCAAATTGCCGGAATTAGGAAGTTTGCACAACTGTTTGAGCTCCAGGGCCCGGCCCAAGCTCTTGCCAGGTTGAAGACCGTGCTTATTAACGAAGTGCCTGCGCCGTGCGCGCAGGCGTCTTGACCCGCTGGGCGCCGGCAAGCGAATTTAACCCGTTGTCGTACTGTGCTCAATTTCTTGCAGTCACTCCTCCCACCAATTCTTTAAATGTGCCTTTCTCATGGGTTTAGAACAACATTGTCCTGTACAAAGCAAGGCTAGGTTATAGTACTAAGGAGAAGGCAAGCATCTGGGAGGCTTCATGTGACGCATTTCACATAAGCCCCAAGTGACTCTCCCCGCCTTTACTCGCAAAGACCGCAGCATAGGCTTGTATTTATAGATTCAGCCCACAGGGCGTTGTTCTCTTTTTCCTCTTTTTTCAGAAGAAGAAGGCAGGCACTCGTTAAAGCCACTATTGATTTCCACGGTCCCCGATCACGGCTGACGACTGTCAAAATTCGTCGTTTGAGAAATTACAGGTCGGGGCTCCTAGTCTCCGCCATATTGTTGCTGTCTTTTTCATTTGGTTATGCCCGGCCCTTGGTGCTGCAGGTGCGCAAGTAATTCCCCGATGGCAGCAAGTGAGCTTCGAGTTAATGAGGAGGTGGGTCAAAGTGAATAGCAGTTTGGGACAGCCTGCCTAAGCCGAGCCAACAACGGCAATTTGGGCCACACCTGCCTTTGCTGGGAGTTGCACATGATTCTATTGCGCATTTATGCAACTCGTAAAGGATGTTATCGTTGAATTTCCATCTAGGGTATGCAGGCTAATTATTCCATCTGGGTCATTCGCCAAACATATCCCCGACCTCCATGCTTTTCCTATGCAGGTGGTAGCGCTGAAGCAGGTGGTGACGGCCACCGAGGACGCCGCCAAGCTGAAGGCCACCGAGTTTGCCACGGCGCTCAAGAAGCACCAGGACTACATGAGCGAGTGTAGCCAAATCGGCAAGGAGCTCCAGGAGATGACGGCCGATCTCATTACGCGCCTGCAGAACGCCTGCGCACAACGCGACGAGGCACGCGGACGGGTGGGTTCATGCGTGGATGCCAGTAGCCATGCAGAGGCCGTATGGCACGCATGCAAGATGCAGAGGGTGGCACTTGCATGATCTCGTCTAGTCCTTTCTCTTCGTACTGAGGGTTGGCGTTCGGTGCTGCAGGTGCTCGAGTTGGACAACGAGCTCGTAAAGATGACCGAGAGCTTGCAGGTATGCTAGGAGTTTAGGTTCTTCATGGTGACAGGAACATTGCGGCGTCTGTTGCATGACCCATGTATCACCACCGCAACGCAGGCCAAGGAGATGGAGCTCGCCGCCGCCAACGCAGCGCGCACGGAGTTGGAGCGGCGGTTGGAGGAGATGAGGGCGGAGCTGGAGGTGGTCAACCGAGGCAAGATGGAGGAGGCGCAGCAGCAGCTAGCGCAGGAGCAGGCGCAGCGGCAGCAACTGCAGGAGGTGGGCCGGGGATGTGGGTTGGCAGCAGGAGTATCGCTAACATGTGTTGCAACTTAGCAACATGTCGCAGCCTGTTCCGTGCTAATATGTGTTCACCCGTGTTTTATTTTAGGGAATAATTGTAACTGCCATCCATTCTTAACATGTGTGGGAGGTTGTACATCATCAGGGTTGAGCCTTGCTTGACATGTTTCCGGCTTCCGGTCTTTTCCAATGCAGGAGGTGGCAGCGCTGAAGCAGAAGGTGACGGCCACCGAGGACGCCGCCAAGCTGAAGGCCACCGAGCTTGCCACGGTAGTCAAGAAGCACAGCGTGTTCCAAGTGCTGCAGACGTCAGCGCCACGCAACGTTGCAGAAAACAAAGACACGCTCTTAACCAAGGAAGGCGCGCCGCCGCGTGCTGGGATGCTTCGTGGAGATGACGTCACGCGGTAGGTTGTATATGCTACATCGTATTAAGGATACGGCATGACGTATGGTGTAAGCACAACGCCAAGATCCGGAGTCATCTTTCAATCTCGTCATGCCATGTGCCTTGTTATCTTATGCTAAGGAGTCTGAATGGGTGTATGCTGTGCAGGTCGCCGAGCGTCAGCGGCGTGCACGCTCCGGGCACAGGCCCTGAGAGCGAGGCCGACCGCCGCATGCGCGAGGCGCAGCTCAAGCAGGTACAGATCCTGGCGGAGAAGCGCAAGGTGGAGGAGGACAAGCTTCTTGCAGCGCTCACGGCGCCGCTGCCCACAGCTGTGGCGGTCAGCCGACGGGAATTAGTTGCAGGGCCCATTGGCATGGGCTTCCACAGGGGCAGGCCGGTGGCGGCGATTGTCATCTTCCGGTGAGGACAGATGGACAGGGATGGTTCAGAAGTTGAAGCGTGTTGCATGCTGCGGTATGTTTGGCCCCCATGCGAGGCACATTTGGCCATAAGAGTCGTGCTCATACTGGCTCATAGACATCGCAATTCAATGCACTCACTGGACGAGACCTTGTTTGGCCGCAGGTACTGCCTGCACGCACGCGCCTTCCAAGCGGACCGCACGGCGATCTTCGACCGCATCGTCTCGGTCATTGGGCGACAGGTGCGTATTACCAAGAGTTGCTGGCCTGCCAGTGTGTTCCGTTGCAAGCAAGTACATAGGGGCTGGCAGGACTGTCTTCAGCATAATAGCAGCCGATGAAGATGCCAGATGCGGGTTCTATGGGCCCCATGAGCCCCGGCTTTGCAAACTCCCACCCTTTCCCACGCTGCCACAGGTGGAGCGCGGGCAAGAGGATAACAACTGCCTGTCGTACTGGCTCTCCAACACCTTCACCCTCTTGCACATGCTCAAAAACATCAAGCCCGCCTCTGGGAACGTGGACAAGGCGCGCGTAGGCGTCACCGCGGGGGCAGTTGGGGCCACTCGGTCGGTGCTTGGAGCCATGTTCGGCAGCCGCAGCGGCGCCTCGCCGGGCGGGTTGGCGCACGCGGAGGCGTCCATACACGGTGGCGGTGTCGGTGAGAAGCCGGGCATTCCCCCCATTGTGCAAGTCGTACGCATGGTTCCTGGCCCAACTGGGCATAACTGCCGCTGCAAGCTCTGCAGTTTTGCTGATGCAGTGTTTACCCGCGTTGCCCACCCTCCTTTGCTTACCCAGGTAGCTTCGAGCAGGAGGAGGCCAAGTTCCCTGCCCTGCTGTTCAAGCAGCAGCTCGACGCCATCGTGCAGAAGATCTTCCCGATGATCCGCGACAACGTGCGGAAGGAGATCTCACCCATGCTCAGCAACTGCATCCACACGCCCAAGACGTCGGGTCGCACCGTAGCCCGGCCCATGGGTGCGGGCCCTGCTTCTGGGAACAAGGGCGCAGGTGCGGTGATGGGTAGCTTTGACTTACATCCGCAGAGCTATGGCATCGCCCTTTGCTTCGTCTTGCGGAACCCTCATGTGTCGAATTGTCTGTCTGTGCTGACAATGTGGCTCATCCCTGGCGGGCGACTGCAGGCCAGCAAGCCGCCTCGCACAAGTCCTGGACGGACATCCTGCACGTATTTGACACACTGCTTGCGGTGGTCAAGGCAAACATGGTGCCCAAGGTCCTGGTGCAGGTGAGTAGCGCAACCTGAGCTGGGAAGCTGCCTACAAGATTACCATGGCGTCGTCAGTTACCTGGGAACCTTCCCATGTCCACACGGACGCAGGCGCTGTTCAAGCAGCTCTTCCGCCTCGTCAACGTGCAGCTGTTTAACAAGCTGCTACTGCGCCGCGAGTGCTGCTCCTTCAGCAATGGCGAGTACGTCAAGACGGGGCTGGAGCAGGTGGCCCACTGGATCAACAGCGCCGGGGCGGACTACATCGCTGACTCGTGGGAGGAGCTCAAGTACCTGCGACAGGTAACTGGGCTGTTCGTCATGCTGAGCCTCGGTTGGAACGTCTGCCCGGCATGCAGGGCAGGGGGGCAGGGCTGCATGCTTGCTTTCCAGTCCCACTCCGCAGCTACCCCGGCATTGGGTTTGCTTCAATGCTGCCCTCTGCTGCACTGCCGGCGGCTGACATACCTTGGTGGTGTGCTTGAACCGCAGGCGGTGACGTTCCTAACGACCGCTAACAAGCCCAAGAAGAGCCTGGAGGAGATCACGTCGGACCTCTGCCCGGTGCTGTCCACTCAGCAGCTGTACCGCATCTCGACCATGTACTGGGACGACAAGTACACCACGGAGATGGTGAGCTGGGTGTTCGGCTTAAAGATGCCCTGGAATGCGTGTCCATTTGTCCTCTGTGAGACCCGCAGCCTTTGTCCAAGACGTCTTGCGGATAGGAGACAGAGGACTTGGCTAAGAGCTGTCGTAAGGACAGCCTGCTCGCGTAACCTGACAGCGCTGGACATCCTCTTGCAATGCAGGTATCTCCCGACGTGCTGAGCCGCATGAAGCAGGCCATGGTGGATTCCAACAGCTCCGCGGGCCACTCGTTCCTGCTGGACGATGACTCCAGTCTGCCCTTCCAGGCGGCCGACCTGCTGGCCAACATGGACGACAAGGTGAGTACGGACTGCAACTGCGGTAGCGGATAAGAACGTAGCGCATGTGCTGGGGCCCTCAGCTATGCTCTGCATGCTGCTGCTGCATGGCGCACGTGGTTGGACATTGCCGAGTAATTGCTGGTGATACTTAGAAAGCCAGTTTGCTAGACGCCTTGCAGGAGGAGCAGAGCCTCTGACGCTTTCCGTACTTGTATGCCCCGTGCAGGACCTGTACTGCGGCATTCCGGTGCCCGAGGTGCTGCAGGACGGCGACGGCGGCCCCAACTTCGCCTTCCTGGAGAAGGAGCTGCGCTTCGCAGCGCCTGCGGCGCAATGAGGCAAAGGCGGTGTGCGGGGGCTGCAGGTAGCATCCCGAGCAGTCGTCGTGGCATAGGACTGGCCGTTTTCGGTTCTTCTGCCGTTTTGGCCGGTGTGCCATGTCGTTTGCTGCAGCTGGAACCTTGTGTTGGCCCCAGTGGGCCCTACCTTTCTGCTAGCTGATGGCTTTGACGTTGACGCCTGTTTCGTGGGATGGTAGCGTTGGGATAGAGAGCTGTACATATAGCGGGCCGGAAAGCGGTGAGTTCTCACCGCCCCCACATATGGGCAGTACTGAACCTGACACGTATGGTGGATACTTTGCGCTTGACCCTTCGGTGCACTGACTACTTGTATGTCTGCCAGGTAGGCAATACAGCACTGCATGCGCAGAAGCAGAAACCTGTTCAGGATGTGATGAGGGCTGGAGGTTTCCAGCGGTGGCATTAACAATGCATGGTGTGCAGGGTGAGATGCAAATTCGCGACAGACCTGGGGATTTATCGCAGATGCCAAGACTGGGTCAGAGGCACTACCGGGCTCCGCTTGACGAGCCTGCAGATTAGGATGAGTGTGTACGACGATGCAAAGGAGAGTATATGTTTCTCGTCGTGTTGCTGGCTGACAGTTAGTGCCTAGATGTAGCGACCGTGTGTACCACAGGCTGCCTTGGTGGTTGTCCGACGAGAGGTGTTATACCAGAAGCAGGTAAAGGGTGCACCGAAGTAGCGAGAAAGCGTGGTTGTCATCTAAAGCTGTGATGGTGTAACGAGCCATAAGCCATGTGAGCGGATGCATGCAGGATTGATGTTCATTAGGTGCAGGCGGTGCTTAGTGATGGACTTGCAGGAGGGTGGTCTCTGGTACAGCTGCTGCCGGATTGCGACGGCTTGTCTGCTGTGTAAGAGATGTTTCGCAGAGCTTGCGCTGGTTGAGGGCGTCCCTCCAGGCCCGTTGTGCTGGTTCAATCGGCATGTGCATGCGCTGCATGTCCTTACGGCCGGTCTTGCGGCGCGACATGCAGCGACTTGCATCAAGGCGAAGCTCCGGGATTCAAGCTTTTGATCGTCCACGGATGACCCAAGGGTCGCTCCGACCCGTTGCTGCCTCATGCTGGCTTGCAGGATGATGCCGCCCGCCCTCCAAGCACCTCGTGTTACAACTTAATCGCCATTTACGTTGCACTTGGTGACGCATCCTAGTATCCCACGCACGGCCGCTCCCTCGTGACCCACTGCGCGGCACTCTCCATAGGCACGAGGAGGCCAAGGCCCACCAACCCCCATACACCCAGCACTTCCCACAAGCCTATCACACGATTGGCTACTTGATACATGTCCTCACCGCGCCTACTCCACTCCCACCCCATCAACTATCATACATATCGCCCGTTAATGTTTATGCATCATGCACACATCCATCACATAAACGCGTGCAAAGCCCCCATTAGGCAAACGTCACACAGCAGCACTTGCACTTCCCACAACAGGTACGGTCTCCGCTGCACACCAAAACCAGGCGCCAAGGCATGGCTGAGCTCCGTAAGGCGGCTGCCACGGGCACATGACAACAACGGGTCAGAAGGGGGAGCTTTCGCGTTTTACGTTAGCAATGGTGTGTGCGCATGCCCCTTTCGGGGCAGGTCTCCCATGGCAGGTCTCCCTTGGAAAACTTGTTAGGTCGCAAGCTCCCCTTCATTGGCACAGTGCTGACCCAGAATACACGCACACGTTGCAGCGCCTTCTACAACATTCTACAACACCCATAATTCGAATCAGTCTTGCGGCCATTTCGGCCCATTTGGGTTAACATAGACATGCATGCATGAAGCAAGCCGCACAAAGGATGAATAGCGGGGCCATGCATGACACTTAACGGCCTCGGCGGTGCTTCAGTGGTACACTATGTTCGGCGCTATACCAGGAATACGGGATATCCAACGCCGTATAGCTTTTTTAGTCTGACGCAGTGCAAGACCCAGCACTGACGGCATTCCCTGTAGCCAGTGCTGACCCACGGGTCACCACCTTCCGTCACCCCAACACTAAAACGTCACATCACCTCATATACGGCTCAACAGCAGCCAAACCTTTTTATATATCGTAGTCACTCCAATCCGCGAAACCTAACTTACAACCGCCATGCCCAAACAGCCATGCACACCCAACTGGCATACCGACTCGCGGTCAGTTCTCTTAATACAACCCGGCCCCGCTCTTCCACCAGTCCGCCTCCTCCAGAACCCGGCACGGCTACCTCTTGCCCGCTGCTGCGCATGCCGCATCCAGGTTCCTCTTGGTAGACTGCGTCCAGGGGTGCTGCGGACCCAGGCGGGAGGTGCAGGTCTGCGGGGCCGGGGGCGGGCAGCGGCCGGGGGCAGGCAGCATGGTGAGTGGGTGGTGCAGCTGCGCTTCATGGAGGGGTAAAGCAGGTGGCAGCTCAGGAAAAGCCCAAGACCCCAGCTGCATGCATACGTAAACCTGCTCCTAACGCTAAGCCCACCTCTCACCACCCTATACTACCCGCGCTCCTTCACCCCAACCGCCCTATCACCCCCCATCACCCCTCACCACCCCTGCCTACCTTGAGCGCCTCCTCCAGCAGCGTCTGCGCCTCAGCCACCCGCCCCGGCGCCACCACCCCCGCGGGCCCCGCGGGCGCCAGCAGCACCAGCGCCAGCGTGTTGGCCGCCAGGGCGCTGTTGGGGTGCCCCGAGCCCAGCGCGGCGCCGTACAGCGCAACCGCCCGCCGGGCCGCCCGCTCCGCCTCCTCTAGGCGGCCCAGGGTCTGTGGGAGGGAGGGCGGGTGGGTGGAGGGGAGGGAAACACAGGAGAGCGGGAGGCCCAGTAAGGAAAGCAGAACAGCTGGGGGAGGAGGATTAGGGAGCGAAGGTAAACATGTTTCAGCAGGGCGTGTTTGCGCAAGGCGTTTTGCTGGGCCCGGCCCAGAATCTCGGCACATGCAGCTCGGGTGAGTTCCAACTAACCCACCCCGCCTCCCCACCTCCCCGCCTCCCACCTCACCTGCAGGGTCGAGGCGAGGTGGTTGAGCGATGCCGCCACGTCCGGGTGCTCCTCGCCCTGCACCCGCTTGGTGGCCTGCAGGAGAGGGCAGGCGGGGTGGGGTGTTGGGTGTTGGGGGCATACTACACGAAGGCGTTCAAGGATGGCGTGAGGTAGAAACTCCAGCTCCCAAGTGCACCAACTCCCCAGCTCTCCCCAACACACACCCCAGCTCCCAACTCCCAACACCCGCTCTCCGCACCTCGATCTGCGCCTCCAGCAGCGGCAGCGCCTCCGCGTGTCGCCCCTGCGCCCCCAGACACGCCGCCAGGTTGGCGCCCACCGCCAGCGTGTTGGGGTGCTCGGCGCCCAGCTGAGTGGTGCACACGTTGCGGGCGGACATGAAGAGGGGCTCGGCCTCGGCGTGACGGCCTTGGGCCTGAGGGTGAGGGCAGGGGGAGGGAAGGGGTCGGAGGAAGTGGGGGTTAGAGGGAATGGATGGGGCGGGGAGGTGTTGGGGAGCGGGGGCTAGGCAGGGAGGAGAGGGAAGAAGAGAAAAGGAGGGCCAGGGAGGGCCGAACGGCTGCACAAGCCTCCCAAGCCAGTTCCTAGGATAAACACCCCATGCCAACCCGCCAACCCTTCCTCCCGCCACCCGCCCTCACATGCAGGCAGGAGGCCAGCGCGTTCATGGCAGCTGCCGTGTTGGGGTGCGTGGGCCCCCCCGCCCGCTCCGCCGCGGCCAGCTCCGCCCGCAGCAGCTCCTCCGCCTGCGTGTGCTGACCCAGGGCGGAGAGCGCGGAGGAGAGCGAGGACAGCACCGCCTGCGTGTCGGAGTGGTCCTGGCAGCAGAGGAGGAGGGGTAGGGTAGGGTCAGAGGTGTACCAAGCCAAAGGAAACCACAAAAGGGGCAAAAGGTGGTTAAGAAAGGTGGTTAGGACTGCGACAGATGGGACCAGACAGGTGGAGGGAGTGTCTGGTGCAGTGTAGAGGCTGGCATGAAGTCTTGGACAACGACCAAGCGTCGGTGTTTTGCTCTTTGCAGCCCCACCTTACCACCCTTCACCACCACCCTTCACTAACGCAGGGCTGTTGCCCGGTGTGGTGACGTGGTGACACGGGCGAGGCGGTACACTGCGTATGCGGTCCCCAGCTGCCCCACCAGTTTCCTTCCCATCCCTCCCCGCACCCCTCCTCACCTGCCCCAGCAGCCGCCTCCTCGCCTCCAGCGCCTCCTTCAGCATCTCCTCCGCCTCCGGTCCCTTCCGCTCCCCTGCCAACACGCCGCCCAGACCCGCAGCAGCAGCAGCTGCAGCCAACTCCAACTCCCGTGCACCCCACTCCTCACCACCCTTGCCGCTACCCCCGCCCCGGCCCTCCCCGCATGCAACCAGCAGCCTCCGAAGCTCCTCTCGCGCCTGCCGGAAAAGCTGCTCCGCCTCCTTCACCTCCTGCTGTGCAGCCAGGTTCTCAGCCAGGGCTATGCGCGCAGCAGCTGTCGCGGCGGCGCCGTCTCCGTCCGAAGTCTGCCGCACTTCCAGCGCCTGTCGTAGGATGGGCTCCGCGGCCGTGTGGCGACCCTGCAGGGTGAGGCACCGGCCGTACTCGGACAGCGCGAAGGCGGCCTGCGGGGGAGAGGGTTTCGGACACGGCAAGAAGGTTTCTCTTTAACCAGGCGTGATAACGTCACGTGATATATGCAGCCAGAAGCGTTACAGGTTTCGGCGGCATGTCTCACAACTACCAGTGCCGGCGGCGCATGGCATTGCTCTCCCCAAACCCGCTAAACCACTCTCACCCTTGCCCCTCTCCCTGCAAAATGGGCCCTCACCCACACCCGCCTGTCGCCCCGCCCCGCCCCCCCGTCTCCTCACCTCCCTCGACTCCATGCCCACCCCGTGCTGCGCCATGGCTAGCGCCTGCCGGCACAGCGGCTCCGCGGCGGTGAAGCGGCGGGCGGCCAGTGCGGCGGCCGCCACGTCGCGGGCGATGGCGGCGGCCTCGGGGTGCGCCTGGGTGCCCAACACTCGGACCTGGGGGCGGAGGGAGCGAGGGGGGGAGAGAGCGGGGGGGAGGGGTTGGCATTATATGAGAGAAAGAAGCAGGCAGGCCTTGAGTGAAGTTGAAGAGGGCGAGCGGAGGGACCGAGGGAGAGGTCTAACATGCGGATACGGGGTGATCCTGTTACGCAGTGGCAGCAGGGTGAGGGGGACAATGAAGCCTCAACCGGGCGCTTGTGTGACCCCACCCACCCATCCGCCCACCCAACTACCTAGCTACATACCCACATACCTATCGGTGTCTTTCCTGTAACCCCGCCCCCGCCCCCTCCCGCCCCCCCTCGCCCACCTTGGCCGTCAGCCCCCGCTCCAGCACTCCCTGCGCCTCCCCCGGCTTCCCAGCCGCCAGTAGGCACCTGCCCAGTGCTAGCAGGCTGGCAATGGTGGTGGCCTGGTCGCGACCCTGCAGGCGAGGAGGGCAGGAAGTGGCAGGAGGGGGGACGCATGAGGGTTGTGGGGACATGCATGCATCGGGCCAAGGTATGATCACGAGGGTTTGGACAGCCACAGGTTCCCTTACTGCCTGACATCAATTAACACATGCTTGCTTTGGCGCCTCTCTCCCATGCAAGCTCATGTACGGCACCCCCTCAGATCCCTCCCCCCCACCTCCCCCCCACCTCCGGGTCCCGCGGCAGGTTCCTGCTGCACAGCTCCACCGCCCGCCGGTACAGCGGCTCGGCGCCCGCATGCCGCCCCTGCAGCGTCAGGTTGCGAGCCCGGCCGTACGCCGCGGCGGCCGCCTCCGCGTTGTCCACCGCCAGCGCCGACAGGATGGCGGCGGCGCGCGAGTGATCCGCCTCCTGACGCTGTACGGCAGCGACCAGCTCGGTCGCGCCTCCGCCGGCGGCGGCCTCCGCCTCCGCCATTGCATCCGCGCAAGTGGCGGCGCCGGCGATAGCAAACGCCGTATTCGCATGGAACTCCCCAAACACGCGGTGGGAGGCGGCGGAAGCAGTGTCGTACAGGGGCTTCGCGTCGGCGTAGCGCCCGGCGGAGCGCAGGCACGCGGCGAGGGCGAGTGTGGCCTCGATGGTTCGCGGGTGGAGCGGTCCCTGCACGGCGAGGCGGGCGTCCAGGGCGCGGCGGTAGAGCGCCTCCGCCTGGGTTGCCTTGGTGGGCTGCGCCTCCAGGGCGGCAGCCAGGGCGGCCAGGGCCCAGGCGGTGTGCGGGTTGGACTCGCCCAGGGACTGGGGAGGGAGATTGCAGGGGGTGCACGGGGAGGGGAGGTGGGGAGGATTGGTGGTGTGGTGCGGATAACGGGAAAAGTAATGCACAGATGCAGCTTAGACGTTCTTGACACGCAGGAATGACAACTGGTCTGGTTCTAGCTCCATCTGTCCCTCCTCCTCCCAGCCCCTCACCGCCCCTCACCGCGACGCAGATGTCCACCGCCTGCCGCAGCAGCTCCTCCGCGTTCTCAAAGTACCGCATGCCCGCCAGCGCCGCCGCCAGACACATGTTGGCGCTGGCGATGGCGGGGCTGTTGGGGTTGCGCCGCGCCGCCTCCGCGCGCAGCTGGATGCACATGTTGCCGTGCGCCTGCGCCTCCTCGTACTTGCCCTGCGCCGCCAGCGCCAGCGCGTGCACTCGGTACACGTTGGCCATCTCCACCTTGTAGGCGCGGTTGGCTACCAGGCCCACCTGGGGGGCAGGCAGGCAGGGGGACAGGTGGGTAAGGATTAGGAGGAACTTTGCAACGGTATTAGCAGGAATACGTGATGAAAGATCCTAACAGGGACGACCGGGAAGGAACAAGGGACGGGGTGGCCGGAGGGGAGGCTGGATCAGGCGGGATGAGGGGAAAAGGGCAAGCGTGTTGACAAAACCCGGACTTGACATAACCTCGAAGCACGCACGCATGCCAGCATGCCTATCAGAACCGCTCAAGAACTACCGGTGCATCGCACACTGCTGGCGGCAATGCACTGTCCATCGTACCCACCTCCATGCATGCGCGCTACTCAACTATCACTCACTTGCCATCGTCAGCACCCCTCGGACCCTGCCACAACCCTAGTATCCTCTCACCGCAGGCGCCGACATGGCCTCACACACCGCCTCCAGGGCCGGCAGCGCACCCAGACCCGACAGCAACTCCGCCACATCCCCGTTGAAGCCCTTGGCGGCCGTCACAATCGTCTCCAGCGGCAGCCGCTGACCCGCCGCAGCCGCAGCCGACGCCTCAGGCGACGGCGGCGCGCCGCCGGTCGACGAAGCGCCGAAGGGTGCCGTACCAGTCGTCAGTCGCGGCGCCGTGCGCGTCAGTAACGCCAGCAACTCCGCAAACTCAGGTTGCGCCGCTCGCGCCGCCGCCAGCACACTGCTGCCGCCCTCGCGAGTGCCGTACGAGCGACCCCAACCGCCAACCGCCGCCAGCAGCGCCGCCGCCACTCGCTCTTCCGCCGCCGGGCGAATGGCGAGGTCGAGTGCGGGCGCGAGCGCCGACACGACGACGGATCGTACGAGCGAGTGCATGACGGTTTGTGTACGACGGCCCGGCAAGCTGGACTGAGCTGTGAGGCCCTGGCGCTGCAGCGCTGTGAGGGTGCCTCGGCCGATGACCGCGGCGGCGGGGGTGGTGGCGTTGAGGGAGGCGAGGGTGGTGTCGGGGCCAGCGCCGGCGGGGGGCAGGGCGGAGAGCTGCAGGAGAGCGACCTGGGTGGGGTGGGTGGGTGGGGCGGCGGGTGGCAGAGAAAGGAAGAGGGGTTGGCAGCGAAGCAGGAGATTGAAAGCCAGGGGCAACTATCGTTACGTCAGCCAGGTTGTGGCAAAGTGAGGAACTCGGCCGTTGTCTGCTCGGCAGCCGAAAAGAGCCCGAAAGAGGCGGCGGCGGCGGCCTAGAGCCAGGAACGCCCTCCCTGGTCCTCCCACCTCCTGCCCGCCACCCCTCACCTGCCCCTCCCCCCCAACTTGGTCTTTCCCCTCTCCTTCCCCCAATCACCTGCTGCTGCATGGGCAGCGTGGAGAGGCAAGCGGCGATGACGGACACCGTCACCTCCTCCCAGCCCGCGGAGGCCAGCGGGGCGGAGGCGAGGGAGGCGCGGGAGGCACGTGCACCCAGGGCCTCAATATCCTGCGGGGTTGCGGAGGGGTTGCGGAGGGGTCCCCTTGTGAAAGGTGACACTTGTGAGGGCGGGGAAGAGCACGAGGGCGGGCTGCTTGCGGAGCAGTGCGGAGGAAGGCCGCGCGAGGCGCCCCGTGACCCCCCCCTTCCCCCTCCTGCCCCGGCCGGGCTACTCCACACCACCACAGAGCCCCACAGCACGCACCTCACCGCACCTCCACCCACCCCACCCCGCAGCTCCCCCTGCCCCCTACCTTTGTCGACAGCCGGCCCTCCGCCCGCAGCCCGCACACCAGCCGCACCGCCAGCGGCAGGCAGCGCACCGCCAGGGCCACTCGGGAGGCCTCGTCGCTGCTGCCACCGCCACCGCCCTCCACTCCACCGCTGCTGATGCTGCTGCTGCCACCCTCACCACCACCCGCCACATCCTGCCCCGCACCCGCGGCCGTGAGGGCAGCTGCGGTGGCCGCTGGGAAGCGGAGGGAGGGGCCCACCGTCAGCAGCGGCGGCAGCTGCGTCACACCCGAGGGCCGGCCGCCTCCTGACGCCCCACCAGCGGGGGGCCCAGCCAGGTCGGGACAGACCAGGCAGGCGAGCTTGGCGGCGGCGGCGGGGGGGAGCGGGGGAACCTGTGGACCAAGGGCGGGGAGAGGAGGCAGGGAGTGAAGACGGAGTGGAAGATGCTGCACGACACGGTTGCAGTGGAAGGTCACACCCAGCGGCTGCCCCCACCCTGTGCCGTCCCTCAGCACCCCTCCCTGCCACACCTCTTCACTTCCCGCCCAAACAACCCGCCCACGCAATCCCCATTCGCCCCCCCACCCCCACCCCACCCCACCCCGCGGCTCAGTTTACCCAATACCCCACCCCACCCCCCGCGCACCTCAATCGTGGTCAGCTCCGCCCCCGCCCCCAGCTCCACCGGCACACTGCAGCACAGCAGCAGCCGCACGCCCGCACACCCCACCGCACCCGCTGCTGACCCCTCCCCCGCTGCTCCCGCTACTCCCGCAATGATGCCCGCCAGCAGCGCCCCCAGCCGCTCCGCCACCCCCTGCTGCCCCCCCTGCCCCTGCCCCGCTCCCCCCCTCATGAGCGGCTCCTCCAGGCTGTCCACCACCAGCAGCAGCGGGCGGGCGGGCGAGCAGCAGCCGCGCAGGGCGGCCAGCAGGCGCCGGCTGCCGTCAGAGTTGTCCTGAGCGGAGGCAGGAAGAGGAGGAGCAGGAGAAGCAGAGGAGAGGGGGGGTTAGGAGGGTATACCGGTGCTAGACACATATGGGCTGGTTGCGCTCGGAGGGAGGAGCAGGGCGACGAGCAGGGCGCGCATGTTTACCCAACCCTGGAAGCATCCAGCTGCACACCCCGCCTCCCCGCCCCGCCCCGCCCCCACCTTGATAAGCCCCAGCGCCACACACATCCGCGCCTCCACGTCGTGCCAGCTGCGCGCCCCCGCCAGCTCCACCCACACGCAGCCGCCCGCCGCGCCGCCCCGCCGCACCAGCCGCCAGCACACCTCCACCGCCAGTGTGCTCTTGCCCAGGCCGGGCGGCGCCAGCAGGCACACGGCCCTGGGGGGGGGGTGGAGGTGGGGACGGTGGGCAGGGAGTGAGACGGGTGCTCAGGGCGGAAGAGCAAAGCTGCATGCGGCGTTAGCGCCACGGGGAGAATCGAGGACGTCATGTAGAGAACGAGGAAGCGTCACCCCCCGGACCCTCACCTGCACTTCTCCGGCGCCCCCTCCTTCTCCCCTCCTCCTCCTCCCCTTCCTCCCGCCCCCGCTGCTGCCCCCGTCAGCGCCGCCACCACCCTCTCCGCCAGCTCCTCTCGCGGTACGTGCAGCGGCGGCAGCGGCGGCAGCTGACACGGACCCTCCACTGGCAGCGCCGCCGCCGCCAGCGCCGCCGCCACCTCCCCCGCCAGGTCGTCGAACCCCGCCGCAGCCGCCTCCGTCAGGGGGGCGCCGAACGCCGCCGCTAGAGCGTAGGCGGAGATGCCGCTGCTGCTGCTGGCGGCGGTGGTGGCGGAGGCGCCAGTCCTCGCTGATGACGACGACACGGGTACGACATTGTTGGCGGCGAGGACGTGACGTTGGAAGGCCGAGCGTGCTGTGTCTGTGGCGGGGCGGGCGGTTAGGAGCAAACACACATGCGGGAAGGCTTAGCACCCCAACATAACCGAAACCGGTGTTACCGGTATAACGGTATTATCGGTATATGGCAAACGGCCAAGGATGGAGGGTATGGGTCAGCCCACCTCCTCCTCCGCACGGCCCGCCTGGACCGCTCCCACCCGCCCATGGCAGCTCCCTACCCCTCCTGCAATTCCTGCATCTCCCTCCCGCCGCCCCACATCCCACTCATGAACCCAAACCCTCCATAACCGCCGCCTCCCATCCCCACAGTGGAATATTCACCTCCTGTTAATCCCCACTTCCCCCTCCCCCCCCTCCCCTCCTGCCACCCCCTCCCCACTCACCCTCCGCCAGCAGGCCCCCCAGCCGCTCCGCCAGCGCCCCCATGCCCAGCCCCGGCAGCCGCGCAATGCCCGCGGGGAAGGCCGCCCACCACTCGCCCCACCCCACCTCCGCCTCCCCCCCGAAGCAGCTGCGCCAAAGCAGCCGCAGCTCGGGCTGCTGCAGCAGGCGGGCGGGGCCGCGGTCGGCGTGCGCGGAGAGTAGCGCGATCGCCTGGGGGCAGCAGGAGGAGGAGGGGGAGGGGGATTGGAAGGGGGGAAGGTGGAACAGGGGGGGGGGAGGTGGGTGGGAAGCGTGCAGGAGCAGCAGGCGGCAAGAAGCAGCAGGAGAGGCAGGTACCTCTCCCAACAGCCCATGCGCCAGCTGCCAGAGTCCCCAGTACGCTCGGGGACGCTTGCTGCTACCCTCCCTCCCTCCCTCCCCCCCTCGCCCCACCAGCTCCCGGCTGATCTTGGATCCCAGACTCAGCTCCTGAATCACCAGCGCGGAGCCCAGGAAGGACTGGTCCAGGGAGGGTGGAGGCAGGAGGGGCGGTGTGAGAGGAACAGTGTGAGAGGGGCAGTGTGAAGGGTAGCGGCTGGCAGGGGCCGGGGCGAAGGAGGACGCGTGGCGCTCTCAGCACATTTGCATGGAGACGTAACATGGGGCCGTAACAACACTTCTCCCACCCCCGCCCCTCCCCGCTCCCACCTCGGGTGCCGCACACACTGTGTCCAGTCCGCCCGCCGCCCTCACCGCGCCCTGCAGCCGACCCAGGTGGTCCTGCGGGGGGGAGGGAGGGGAGGGGAAGGGAGGGGGGGAGGGGAGGGGGGGAGGGGAGGGAAAAGGGTTAGAGAAGAGGGACGACGGAAGGGAGAGGGTAGGAGGGGTGTACGCAGATCAACGCAGGGCCAAGGGATGGCCCATGCAACAAGGGGGAGGCAGGCAAGGACCGGGAGCAACAACAGCAGGTCGGATGACAAGGTGCACGAGTGACATGAGCCTAACAATTGCGGCAAGCCCCGGCAAGCCCTGGCAAGACTGAACCCCCATCCTCAGTCGCCTCTAGGCCGCCCCAGTATGCTCAACCTTGTATCCCTGTCCCGTACCTTATCCCCATAACCCCCTTCCCTTTCGCCACTCCTCCCCCTCCCCTCCCCTCCCCTCCCAACCCTCCCCCCCACACACCCACCGTGTACCCCGGCCCCAGCCGCAGCACCAGCAGCGCATCGTCCGCCCGCCCCGCCACCCCCGCCGGCACCGCCGCCGCCCCCCACCCCCGGCTGCCCCGCACGCGCGTCATCACATCATCCGCCAGCGCCGTCAGCGCCCCCACCAGTCGCTCGTACGCGCCCCGCTCCGCCCCCGCGTCCGCCGCCAGCATGTGCAGCACGCAGCCGCGGCCGCAGTAGGGGCGAGCCAGCGCCGACATGCCCGCCACCACGTCACGGAACCCGGACACCGCGGAATGCAGCCCCATGCCGCTGGCCCCACCGCAGGAGGACCCCAAACCGCCGCTGACCCCACCACCCCCCGTGTCGTACTCCTCCAACTCCTCCTGAGCTCCTGCTCCCGCTGCTGCCCCCGCTCCTGCTGCAGCCCCTGTTGCTGGTGCTGCTGATGCGTCCTGCAGCAGCTCGCCATACATGTGCAGCAGTGCCAGCCCCGCCACCGCACGTTGGCGCAGGGAGGCGAGGTTGTCGGCGTTGGCGAGGCAGGCGGCGGACTGGGTGGCCAGGGTGACGACCTCCCGGGCGGCGGCGCTCACTGTTGGGAGGAGGGAGGTAGGGGCAGGGAGAGGGAGGGGCAGGGAGGGGGCAGGGAGGGAGGGAGGAGGATTTCAGCGGGGAGTGGGGAGAGCCCGGAGGGGTGAAGGGCCAGGAATGCACATGGGGGAAGGGGGCAGAAGACGTGAGGAGTCAACATGTGGGGCTTTGGGGGGGCGGTTAGTGGTTGCGGAGGGTGGCAAGTGTGAGTTAGGCGAGATGTTCTTCTTCTGGTGCACCTGCAGAAGATGTCCTGGTAGACCTGCAACATGGGAACCCTCATGCGTCCCCTCCCCGCCTCCCCGCCTGCCCCTCCCCCCCCGGTCAACGCTCATCATAATGCTCATCACGCACAGGGGAAGGCCATGTGCGGCAGCGCCTCCTTCACTCGGTCGCGGATGTCGAATGCCTCTCCGCGAATGACGTCCTGGGAGGAAGAGAGGGGCAGGAGAGGGGCAGGGGAGGGGCGGAGAGGGGCGGAGGAGGAAGGAGGGAGAGGGAGGAGGAGGAGGGGTTGGTAAGGGAGGGAGGGACAGGGAAGGGGATAGGGAGAAGGGTAATCATGGCGGCTGGATAGCGGCGTGGGATGAGGTGTAATAACTAATAAGAGAGTAGGGAGACTGCACAGCAGGGCACTAAGGGTGACAGGGTGACTGCTGTCATCGGGGAAACACGCAACGCTGCCCTAAACCCACCTCACCTCCCCCACCCCCACCACCCACCACAAAGGGGCTATCCCTAGCCTGTGGCAGCGGCGCCGCCCCCTCCACAGCCGCTGCCACGGAGGGGCGGGCGGGCGTCGAGGAACTCCGGGGCACCCCGCCAGCAGCGCCGTCAGCAGCCCCAGAGGCATGGAGAGGTGGCAGGAGAGTGGCAGAGATGCTTTTGGACTTGCGGACAGCGCCCATGGGGCCGTTAGGCGTTAGTGCGTCCGTTAGCGTCACTGCGGCGGAGACTCGAGGACTGCTGCTGCCGCTTAGCGGAGGGAGTGTGAGGGTTTCAGCACCCGTAGCAGCAGCCGCTGCTGCCTGTGACTTGCTGCGTGAGGAGGTAGCGCTTTGAGCCCTGCTGGGGGTGGTTGAAGGAGCCCCGCTAATCGGTGCTGCGATGGATGTCGCCGCAGACAGAGCGTCAGGCGCCGAGGTGGAGACTCTGGTAGAGGCTGTGCCTCCCTGTGCGACGCTGCTTTTACGGGAAGGAGGGTTGGAGGCGGCGGCCGCGGCCGCTGGCTGGGCAACATTGCTGGGCGGCTCTTTGCGGGGGGTCAGTTGCTCGGAGCTGGTGACGCTTCCCTGCAGTATTTTTTTAAATTCAACCAGCAACGTGTAGGTAACCCTGCTATATAGCATTGTTAGAAGTCCACAGAAACCTTTCAAGCTGGCTCGTCAACCAGAGCGAACCGAATGCACTCAGCTTGCTTCCAGGGTTAAAGAGCGGCACGACAACTCATTGCATCAAAAATAGCCCTAAATACGTATTGGCAATTGCACACAACGCTTGCTCGCGAAGTTGGCTACATGTCGCGATGCAAGGTCCTCACCGAGCTGGGGTTGGGGACCTTCTCTGGAGCTTTGTTAGGAACATCAGGTGATGCAACCTGCGACGCACCGCAGCCCATTTCCTGGCTTCGATGCAGTCGACCGAGCACCGGGCTAGAAGGTCACTATGGAGGCAGCTTGAAGGGCGCGCCTCAGAGCCTCACGCACGCCTAGGTTTGTTATAGGCCTGAAATGTGACGCTTAATGTCCTAATAGCAAAACAATCTGCGGCAGCACAACGCACAAGAACCGAGTTATATTATTACTAGCTAGTTGTTACATAGAAGCCCGCCGACACTTGTCATTGTAGCGCTAGCTTCAACTACTTATAATAATGGGTTTTAGGCGGTTTGAAGACCTTGAACTGGACCCCAGGACAGGGCATGAGAATACAGGCCGCAGGAGGCGTCGTACTCCAGATAGTTTTGGTGTAGCAATCAGAAGACGCTTGAAACACCGACTGCCCTGAGGTGAAGCCGGCACAGGTATATGCTTACGGGTAATACATTTTCGTGCCCATAGCGCAGGCGGTTATCACGATGTTTGCATGAGCTTCTTCGGACGACGCGTGAGGGGAAAACGACGCGCGCAAACGAAGCGTTTCATTTGCCCGAAACGCTGTTGATCCGCCGAGTGGAACCTGGCGTTTAGGCGCCCGGCGCTCCGTTTCTCGACGACCGGCGTGCCGCCGACTCGTCGACGAAAGGCAGCAAACCTCACATATTTGTCGCAGAAAAGAACACGGTTATACATCCGCCTAACACTGCGCCATCCCAAGCGCAGCTACTCCCTCTATGCCCTCCTACTCTACCCTACGTTGATGACTTCCTGGCTTCCTACGCTGCCGTTTTCACAAATGCTAGATACAGACCCGCGGACGCGAAAGCCCAAAAAGCATGTGACACCTGCTATGCTCAAAGCGCCACTTTGAAAGGCGGTTGGCTGTTGTTCGTTCGACGAGAGGACAGCTGGACGAGCCCACAGCTGTGTCTTTCGGGGCCCATCCTGACGGCCCCGAGGTTGCTTCCAAGGAGCATGCATGTGCCGCCGACGGTCGCTGATGGCCCGCAGGCTGGCTGTCATTATCCGCTCAGATAGGGATGCGAATCGAACATGTTGCCTATTTCCATTGGCTGCCTCCTTAGGAGTCCTTGCGTGTAAAGTTGCTCGCAGCTAAGCCGCAAGGAGTGACTACCGGTGCTGTTCATATGCTGTACATATGCTAGCTACCGGTATTGACAGCCCATTGCCATTCAGGGGCCCTCCCCTCCTGCACCGGAAGTCCTGCCGGCTAGCATGACACCGCATTCGGGCTACTCGTGCCGCCCCCGCTGCCGCCCCCAACTAGCCCACCGCTGCTCCCCCTATCCAGCCCTTCTGCTGCAGCTCCTGCTCGCTCTGGTGATGTTAACAGCGCTGACAGCAGCAGAGCCCCGGCGAGCGTTGAGGTACGGGATTGATACCGGTACTTGCAATGAGGTGCACCGTGTGACCCGTGGGTCGGTAATGGCATTGCAAGCTAGTAAGCTTGTTGCGCCGGCCTGCGCACACAGTGTTGGCGGCTACTACACACGGTGTAACAAGCTAGTCACCTCCGCCTGGGCGAACTCTGGCCTTATCCACGCCTTATGCGCCATCCTACAGTACTGCCGGTAACCACCCTCCCTGTGGCCCCGCCCCTTTCCCCACATGCCACATGCCACATGCGCTGTATGATGTCATGAAACAGGCAGCTGGTAAGGCCCTGGTGGCATGAGGGGACTGGGCGCATGCACTGGGTCGAAAATAAAACCGGCTGCGGTACGGCTGTTCTGCTTGTAGTCCGCCGTACACGACAAGCAGGGCACACCACTTGCAGGTCCTAGGATAGGCCCTGGGAAGGCTGGGATACTGGGCTGGGGCGGGCGTGCCACATGTGCTACACCACACATACATATGAAGCCTGCAGCAACACCAGCCTTTTAATGGCTCACTGCCTGCGGGGGGTACAGCGCCATGCAACATCCTCATTCGGAGCTACCCAGCCAACCCGCGAAGCCTAGCTCCGAACCTCCCCCGCCCTAACTCCTTTCCCCTGCCTGTCTGGCGGCCGCAGGTGCCTCTGACCTCCTTCGCAGGGGCTCAGCCGCTGCCGCTGCTGCCCGCCGCGGGTCCCACCACCGCTGTCAACTCAGCAGCCGCTATCGCAGGTAGAGGAGACGGGAGACCCCTGTTCGGGCCTGCACGCCTGCCTGCATGCCTGCCTGCCTGTCTGCTTGCGGCAGATGAGAGCTGCTGCCCCGGGGCCTACTGCATCGCTACATCACTACTTTTTCCCAAGCGGGCAATCTTAAAAGGTCCACTCATTCGCATCTCACATCTTCCTACTGACCAAGCACCATCCTCGCTAATCCTCCGCGTTTCTTCCCCTCCCCTTTGCCCTTACTTGTGGCTTCATACTGTCTAGGATAACTTTGGCTCCCCCTCCCTCCCTTTTCAAATTCGTTTTCCCCTCAGGTCGCCGCGGCGCCACCAGTGCCACCCAGGTGGTGCTGTCACCCGCCGGGGGCCCGCTGGTGACATCCGTGGCGGAGTCGGGAGGCGGGGGGCTGCTGCCCTTTGCCCAGCGGGGAGCAGGGTTTGTGGGGGGTGCAGGAGGCATTGGAGGGGCGCTGATGGGCGGTGGCGGCATGGGGCGAGGTGCGGGTGGGGGTCTGGGTGGGGGTACGGTGATTGGGGGCGGTGGAGGCAGGGGGTGGGGGCGTGGTGGGTTCGGTGCCGGGGGGGTGGCGCTGCGGGGCTAGTAGGGAAGGGGCGAGGAGGGGAAGCTGGCGGGATGGTGATGAGATGCGGCAGCTACATATTAAGCAGCTGCATATTAAAGGCAGCTTTGGTGCGAGATAGGAAGGAGGAGGCTCGGAATCTAGCAAGAGGGACTTCCTAAAGCTTGCCGTGTAACGCGGGGAGGGACCATATGAGTGACCTTGGTGGTGGTTGCCAGCTCCATGCGCATTGCAGCACCGGTCCCATGCGCTGGCCCGTCCTGCTGCTGCAACCTCCCTGCGCACGTGACTCACTGCTGAGAGGGGCCGCTCATGCTTGCGGTGCGGCAAAGAGACTAAGACGTTTTGTGTAGTCGCTGCTTTCGCCCCGCCAGCACTGCTGCTGCCCACCCACGGAGCACCTCTCAAGTCGCACCTCCCCGTTCGAGGTTCCCAAAGCGAAGCGGTGGATATGCTCGTTGGGCTCCCACGTTCCTTACTTCCTCGGCACGTGGGGGCGAGCAACCCACCAGCTAGGTAGCCATAAGCCGGGCTTAATTGCGTGCATTCGCTGGTCCCATCCCGGAAGACTTGCTCCGCATCCTCGGAGTGAGGCTCCGAAGCCACACTCGGGGCACTCTCCGTCTTCCTCCACCAACTCCATCGCTGCTCCCTTGACTCCTATTGCGCCCACACCACCCATTCACCACCCCACATGCTACCTGCAAGCTCCTCTCAGCCCCATAGCCCCACCTGCCGCTCTCCTCTCCCCGAACAAAACAACCTTGCCCAGCAGACACGCTCCTGCACGACCTACCTCTGAAAAGGGCAAAGACACGTGCAACAGCACACAGCGTGAGCACACATATGCTCCTGCCGTCGCACATCCAACCTGCCGTGCGCTGTCACACATGCACACATGCGGACCCGCAGCCTGGTGCTGACCCAGATTGGGCCACGCCTGGGTGCCAGCGAGGACCTGCTGCTGCTGCTGCTCTTGGTGACGTACGGAAGATGTTAAGAGAATGTACTGTGATTGCCGGATGATGAAGTCCCCCACAGAAACGCCACAAGAAGTAGAGTCCGTTGGCTATGTAGTAGTACCGCTATCGAGTAGTATCGGAGTGAATGAAAAGCAGTAGTAGCAATGTCGAAAAGCGACCGGACCCAAGGAGCGGAGTAGTTTTTGGAAGTAGGTAGTAATGGGAAACCGTTACTGTCGTGTGCAAGCTGGAGGTGGCGCTGTCGCTGGACACCAGTGTGTAGGCCGCGCTGCTGCCTTGCACCCGGTATACCTTGCAAGGGCGTGGTGAGATGCTTCCCTGTCCTTTGGCAACGTGTGAGCGGCGGCAGCAGCGGTGGTACTTGGGCCCGGGAACAGTTCTGGGGCTCGCGGAGTGGAGACGGATGCAGTGCCTGCTGCGACGGTGGGCAACGTGTTAACACGTGTCAACGTGCCAGGCCGAGCGCAGCGCAACAAGAGGAATGGCGAAGCCATCTCAAGTGGTTGCTGCCACTCAGGGCTCCCTTGATACACGCGTAGTAATGACTATGGCCTTAAGCAACCGCCTCAAGCACACGCCTTTCACAACCCAATCCTTCTGTCGCTAACCTAGTCGTACCTACCACTGTCCACATGATCTCCAGAATAACAAAAACAGCTAGGCTAGTCCTAGCATTCAAACGCCTGATTAGCTCTGTGACACCCACAACGCCGCTCACCACTTGGCCCAACATACTCGCCATCCTCACCGCCCTTATGTAGCACAGGTGCGTCAGGCGAGCAAGCGGGGACCAAAGGCCGACCGCCAGCGGAGAGTGGGCACAGGCTCGTTCCTCGATATGTCACGCGTCCTCCTCGGTATGTGTGGCAGGCGCACCGCCAAGGTGTTTCAGGCGGGGCACGCAAAGTGGACAAATACTAGTATGTACCCTTTCGGCTATGGACGCCCAAAACGGGAGGCAAACATGATACCAGAACTTTGTACACCACATAAACAAAGCGGATGTACAGCTCATAAACGTATTACCCTCAAAAACACGCCAAAGAGCTATGAAAGAAGCCCACGCACGCACACTGGCCACATTGCAAGCATATGGCACCTGGTACCGCAGCAGAACCGGTATGTTGCTTCCAGGTTTGTACAATACCGGTACGAACATGTCTCTGAACAGCATGCGCAGACTGTTCCAGCTGAGCAGTCCTACGCACTCAGCAGCCACACGCTAGCAGCCCAAGCAACACATGCTGCCAGCAAAACATCGAATAACTCTCCTGCATGCGGCATGACACGCGCCTTGCGCGTGTACCGCAGCACCTGTGCGCCACATCCCCAGCCAAGAGAAAGACATCCAGCAGATAACAACTCCCGCGGCAGTTCAGCAAGCAAACCTGCAATCCCGCTCCACATGCCTGCCTCCATAGTGCTCAGCCATTGCATGGCTGCATGTCCAATCTAACGCCTCATTACCTGCAGCCGAAGACGCCACAGTCAGGACGTTGCATCGCTCCAACAACATCCCAGTTGCTCCGCAGACGCTATCCGAGTCCGCACTCAACCCCCCACAGCTCAAGTCCTAACTCCGAGACGTACAAAGACGCGCGCAATCAGGCATGTTCCTGAATCCGAGTTCCAAAGTCGCCACCCAACTCGTAGCTACACGAGCGCAGCAACCACCGCCAAGATGAATAGCACCTGCCCGTCTGCAGGCAGCCGGCACATCACATGCGCAAGCGCCCACACGCAGACACAGGGGCAGACGCGCTCACGCATCTGGGTCCGCTTACTAGGGGCGTGCGACCCATGGTGCGGCGAAGCGCTTAGGGGCACAGCAGTTTGAGCGCGAAGAGAAGGCAGCGCTCGGGATGTCCATGACCGCACGACCACGAGACACCCCCGCGTCCACCCCGTCACAATCCGTCAGGTAGCCATCTCCGCTTCATGGTACGTAGCCTCTGGCAGCGGGTCAAGAAAGCTAGGCAACAGCGGCTCCTGCCATGGCGCCATGCGGCGCACTTTAAAGAAGCCCCGCGCGCCCATCTCAGCACCCTATGCCGCTACACACGTCACACACCTCGAGGCTGCTTGTATGTCCAATCTATGTTCACAAACAATTCTTTACTAGGAAGTTCCGCCACCCTAAGATGGGGACGTTGACAAGAAAAACAGAAGCGGCTATTGCTGGCTGCAGCAGGAGCAGCGGGTTCAAAGAGTTGCATTCCTCGCAATCGCCTACGCTGCCTATCCTGTCAGGCTATATGCCACAGCTGAACGACCGGAGAAGCACCTCGACGCAGCAACGCCGCTTTCCGAACCACAATTAGACGCCACAATCAAAACTAATCCAACCTCAAGCGGGTAGCGCCATTCAGAAAATGATCAGGAGCGAACACGAAAACGAAAACTGCTCTTGGTTCTCTAGGCACTGATAACATATTCCAATGACACCCCTAGGGTTTCAGGACGCCATTCCGAAGGTCTACCATATAAACAAACGCGCACACGGTCTCTAAATATACACACATTACCTCAATTGTGCGAGAACTTATGCCGATGTCGGATGCATTGCATCCCCCTCACGTCGGTCGGCCGCTTACGCGGCCTAGTTCGCTGCCTTTGCCGGCCCATCAACCGAGGCGTCTAGGCCCACAACACCCGAGCTGGGGCGCTGAGGGGCCGCCGGAGCCGCGCCCTCGTCGGATGCGGTCGTGGTCGCCACAACGTTGCTCGAGTAGCCGCCCTCGGCCGTGCCGGCAGATACAGTGGGTGTGTTGGGCGCCGCTGGCTGCGCGCTACCGCCGCCGTCTGAACCCGTCGAGCCGCCTCGTCCATGTGCTGCTGCTGAATCAGGGTTGCCAGCCCAAGCTTCGGCTGCTGAGGGCGGCGGCGGGGGTGGCGGCGGCGGTGGCGGAGAAGTGATAGACAGGCTGTTCAGCCGCCCAGCTGCCGCGGCCGCAGCAGCCAATGCCTCATCATCCGGCAGCAACCGGCCCTTGGCGTGTGTTTGATAGCGCGTGCCGGCCGACAGCAGCTTCTCGACGCGCGCCACGATATGCTTGCCGTACGTGTAGCGCTTGAGCGCGTGCAGCTGCTGCCGTACGCGCGCCAGCATGATCTCGCGTTGGTCGTCGGAGCACACCTCCAGCACCTTCTGCACGACGTAGTTGCCGAACTGGTCCTTCATCATGACTTGCACGGGATCCTGGGGAGGGAGAGAAGCGACGAATGCAACATGTAAGCGTAGTTGAATAAGGACAGAAGGGCATGGCGGAAAACCTAAACACGCGGTATGTGCCGGTATGGGACACGTGTACCCCAGCCCATATAACAAAAGCCAACGGAAGTTTACGCAGCAGGAAGCAAAACCCACACAGCCACGTCAGCCGCCCGGCCACGCACCTCGACTTCCATGTCAGCGTCTACACCACCCGCAGCCGCCGCCTGCTGCATCTGCAGCGCCTGGGCGCCCAGCATCCTGTTAATGAGAAGGTCACGATCCGCCGTGCTGCCGTACGTCAGACACTTCTCGATGACGTTACTAGCAAACTTGTGCATGGAGAGCTGTACGACGGTGGCAGCCAGGCTGCCAGAAATGGACGAGCGCTCCTGGGGCGTACCGTGCTCCAACACGTGCTGAATCACGTAGTTGCCGTACTGGTCTTGCGTGAGCTGTACGGCAGACGCCAGGATGTCGGCCATGACGGCGGCACGGCGCTGCTGGTCGCTGACGTGCTCCAAGATGCGTTGAATGATGCGGCAGCCGAAGGGGTGAGTGGACAGGGGCACGACGCACATGAGGAAGTTGTCCAGTAGGCCGCGGATGCGAGCCGCGGGGACGCACTCGATGCACTTCTGGATGACGTGGTTGCCGTTCTGGTCGCGCACGCAACGCATGATGTGACCGTCCAGCTCAGCGACCAGCTCAACCTGAGGGCAAACAAGATGGCAGGTTTCATGTCGAGCGAAGAGGTTGGAAAGGATGCAGTCAACATGGGATTGAAGCATGCGGCCTACATGCGTGAAGTGACCAATGCATAGCCAGAGGGCATAAGCAGAACGCAGGCAACCCTCGTGCCCGCTACACGCACCTTCTGTTCCTCAGAGAAGACCTCGAGCGCCTTCTGCACCACACGGCAACCGTACATCTGCAAACTCAGCTGCAGGACGTGGCCATGGAGCGCCTTGGTCAGCCGTGCGCGCTGCTCCGGAGAACCTGCATACCGAAGGAAGAAGGAAACGTTGCAATTCCAAACTATTTTATGTTCTAACCATATCAATGTAACACTGATTACCTCCCCGCACACCTCGTGCCGCGCCCTTCCCGTCACTTCCCCTCGTACCGTGCTCTAGGAACTTCTGCACCACGTAGTTTCCAAACACATCCGTCATGAGGTGCATGATACGCGGCAGCACCTCGCTGAACGCGGCGTCCAGGTCCTCCGAGCTGACGCCCTCAAGCTTCTGCTGGATGAAGCGGCTGCCGTGCTGGTCCAGGCTGAACTCGTACACATGGCCCAGAATCTCCCGCAGCTCCCACTTACGGCCCGTCTTGTTGGTCTTGAACTCGTCAAGAAGCGTGTCTCCACTGCTGCGGGGCCCGCGGCCGCTGCCGCCGGCACCTTGGCTGCTGTTGCCGCCGTTGCTGTGGGGCTCGGCGCCCTCGGAGATGAGCGCATCGCGGCGGATGCTGTTGCGGCGCTGAGGCGGGCCGTCAGGTCCGCGAGACTCCCGATGGTAGCCCTGGCCACCCGACTGGCCCAGACTACCGGCGCTTGGAAGGGTACCGCTGCCCATGCTGCCCAGTGACATCATGTGGCCGTCATGCTGCTGAGCGCCGTACGGCTGAGGCCCTGACGCCGAGCGCAGGCGGCTGTTGTGCATGGCCGGCCCGACACCGGGAGCACCAAAAGGCGAGGAAGTGACCGGAGAGCCTGAAGCCGATGTACCGCCGCCAGAAGGCGAGCCCATACCTTGCGGCGGGATGGTACCACTGCTACGCGGCGTTAGGCGATCTCCCTCACGGCCGATAGAATTGTTGCGGCCGCGTAGACCCAACTCGCCACTGCCACCAGCGCCGCTCAAGGGATGACCGTAGGGTCCGGCGGGGTCGCCGCTGCCGCCCCTCTTGTCCTTGGGTGGAGGCGGCGGCTGCCCATGCGGCGGCGGCGGTGGTGGCACTCCAGCACGGAGGAGAGCCGCTGCTGCGTCGGCATCCTTGGGAACCCCGCCTCCCGCCATGGCCATAGCGGCGGCCTGCGCCTCCATCATCTTCTGGTAGTACGCTGCGTACTCGGCGCCGCCGCCCATCCCCATGGCCATGCCTGGCTGGAAGGGCGGCACCAGAGCGCCCGCACCAAAGGACTGCGGCGGCCGCAACCCTGCAGCCGCCAGTGCCGCCATGTCGGGTACTCCGCCCGCGCTGAATAGGGCGGCTGCACCAGGCGGCAGACCACCGAGCATGGCTGGAGGAAAGGCAGCGGCTTGCAGCATGGCAGGAGGTACAGCGCCAGGGATGACCGGAAATCCACCCGCTGCTCCCGGCATGGAAGGAAAGCCGGCCATCGCGGCAGCTTGCATGGCCTTCTTTTAGAGCAGAAGGATGAAGGATGAGGAAGGACCAAGATGGCAGAGGCGCATGTTAAAAAAGGGATACGCACGATGCCTAGCGAACATGTTAACGACTAGGCCACACTGAGACGACACCTATGGTACAAAAGAGAGACAGTGATATCTAGCCGTATACGCCGACCCGCAGACGACACACCTGGAAGCTCTGCTGCACCCCTGCCGTCTGTTGCGCCTGCTGATAATACATCGGGTACATCGCAGCCGCCATGTACATCGCCTGAGAAAGAGCGGCAAGGGGGAGAGCAAGCGCATTTGTGTTAGTGCGTCAAGCATCTGCATTTGTAATGTTATAAACGGTAACGAGCAAAGCGCCCAAACAGGTTTCGGTTAGCGTTGCGAAGTCGAAGAGAGGATGATGAGGTCCCTTGGCCCGGGTTACGCAGCCGCTCTTGCAGCTGTTCACCTGTTGCATCTGCTGCTGCTGCGCTCCAGCGCCACCAAGCAGCACTGCAGGCAAAGGGAAGTGAGAGGAGCAGGTAAGATGATTAAGCATGATCCGGCCGATTCAGTTCAATCTATCCTCAATAATGTAGACATGCCACTTGACGCGTCAAGGGGAACACGTGCCCAATCTTTAGGGCGCAGAAAGGGTGATAAACCATCACCAGCTGTATTGAATTTCATTCAGTCCTGCGTCGGCGAGCGACACAACTTGAATCGCACAGTTGCTACCGTGAACGTACTCACCCTCGGGAGCGACAAGCGGCTGGCCGTTGACGGGAACTCCCCCTTGGTCGCCACCACCCAATGCCGCGGCAAAGGCTGTAGCGGCCGCTGGCGGAAGATTTGTAAAAGCTTCCACCGCTGCTTGGACCTGTGCCGCCGCCGCCGCAGCAGCTGCGGCGGCGGCATTTTCTGGGTCAACGGCTGCACAAGCCGCAGCCGCCGCGGCTGCCGCTGCAGCAGCGCCGTCCGCGCCCGTCAGGCTGTTGAGCAGCTGCTGTTGCGGGTCTTGGTCGGCCACAGTGCTTCCAATGCGGAGCTTGGATGGCGTGCGCAGAGTCACTCGCTGGTCGCCGATGACGGAAGAGATGCGACCGGCGGGCCCCGGGGCAGGGTTGACCTTGGGGTCCTGCATGGAAGGACACGAGGACATGTTATCGGCAGGAAAATGTCGACAGGCACGAAAACACGCTGACCCAGATCGGCCGTGATCGTGGCAATCAGCGCACCTTGCCCAGCGTTCCCGCCCCAAGGCTGTTGCTGCTCACGGAGCGACCCACGGCGTCCAAGGACGGTGGGCGCGGCGAGTCTGGGTTGAACGAGCCAAAGAGCGGGTTGACGCCGCCATGCTGGCTTCCCATAGGAGTGTGTGGGTTGCTGCCAACGAAGAGGGACTCATGAAGGGTCTGTTCGTCTGCACTGTGGGCCTGCGGTCACGCAAGAAGGCAGGTTGCTTGCTGAGAGACTTGCTTGACAAGGTGACCAGGCATGGCCCGCTGGCGGAGGCCAACAGCCAAAGCATGCAACGGAGTTGCTTATTGGTCGAAAGGCCCACGTGGGTCTTTAAGAAGAAGTCGTTTGCTCCAAGCTGACCCAAATAACCGGCGTCGACACTCCTTACCGAGTAGAGGGAAATGCCGCTGGCCTGGGCGTTCAGCTCAGCCGTTAGCAACGGGCTCAAGGCGGTCGGAGGCTTCGGTGATCCGTACGCGCCCAGCAACTGCTGTGTGGCGCTGCTGGAGGCCTTTGTGGAGTTGACGTTGGCCCATGCAGCAGCAAGTGTGTCGGGAGGCTGCGGCGGAGATATGCCGCTGGCGGCGCCAAGGCTTGAGCTCGCTTGTTGGGCAAAGTCCTGCGTAGTGCACGCGACCTTAAGTTCACCAACAGGCATAGGAATAGGTGCAAGGCTGTTGCTTCGGCACGTCAACACGGCACGCCAAGTCCCATCCAAGCGATTACCATGCTGACCTGCCCTATGTAATCCGCGCCTCGTATTGGAATGGGCTCAGCACCGTCCTGTGCAAAAGCAAAGTACCGGTAGATAGTAGTGTAAAAAGGGCTAAGAAGCGTCTCAGCAACGCGACGACAACCTACCTTGAAGTTGCCGAATAACATGTTAAAAGTAGCTCTGGCCTGGGCGTCGCCAGCATCGGGCTTGGCCTGCAATTATTAGCCAACGCCCTTGTCAAACTCCTAGGATGAAGTTGAGTGCGAGGTACCTACTAGATGTACGCATACCATCCGTGACTGATGTGATTACAAGATACGCACCTGTGCGTCAGCAAGGCCATCGGAAGCCAGCGATTTACCGTTCTCAAACCATGCCGCATTGACGTTTCTTGCCGGAAGTGGAGGTGGGAGGCGAGGATTATTGCGTACGTTTGCGTAGTAATAAGCGACGTAATCTGGCTGCGACCTCAGGCTGTGTGGCAAAGGGGGTAGTGGTATCAGGGTCTGTCACGCATGCCGACGCCGCCCCTCCAAAGAAAGCTTTATTAGCCAACTTACGCTTCTTCAGCATCAGGTGCTAAGCCAAGGTCGTTGCCATCGAGGGCCCTGCACTGTGGAGGTGGCTGGGTACCGGAGGTGACAGCCCCATTGCTGCCATCCCTTAAGGGCTCGCCGGTAATAAGGTTGTATGCCGGTGCCCCTGCTCCCATAGGAGAGCCTGGTAACATTTCTGCTTGTGGTGGGGCGCTTCCTGGCCGCTTGGGTCCACCGGTTCCGCTGAAGACATTGTCTAAATGCCGGCTTAGGAGAATCCTCCTAATCTCGTCACCCTGGTCCCCTATCGCCTCACTCATAGCTGTTATCTTAGTCCAAGTTGAAATGAAAATACCTATCCGTTATCACGGCGGCGATACGCTAAAAAGGGAAAAAGGTTCTGTTAGAAGCGCAGTCTCGCGCTGCCATCGTTAAGTCAAAGTCTTAACTCTAGTATTCTGTATGGTTTTGTGCAACAGTACATGTGCGAAGTGCTCCATCGGTCTGGGAAATTGTGCCGTACCATCGCCCCACATGGCCCGGAATCATCAGGGTAAAATAGGATACCAGAAAGATAACCTCTTCAGCTGCAAACGAGACGTTTGATGTGCATCACAGTAGAGATAAATATTAACAAGGTCGACTGGGCATCGCTCCTGATGATCCTTGTTTAGCCCTATAACTTTGGGGGTCGTCGCAACCGACAGCCCAGGGGATACTGGTTTAAGCAATGTTAATGTTGGCTGAGAAGAAGGAGGAAGCAAGCCCGACGGACAATCTGCCTTAAGAAGCTGAGTTACTGGCATAGTTGCTCGCAACAGCCAAGCCACCGTTACCCAGCATCAGGTTGCACTTCGCTAAAACGGGACTTATTGTTGCCCATGTATCATTTGGACAAACCTGGGCATATTAGACCAGCGAGTTGCGACCGTATCGGACTGCGACAGCCCGTCAACCTTGCGCCCCGACTTGCGCAGTCGTACTGGACTTCGGGCGTGCTTGTGGTTGCCAGGAGCGATAACCTAGTTTAATAATCTAGTATGTGTAGTGGGATTTCGACGACGAACCTACCTGTTAGTCGCTAACGCTTTCAACCCTGGCTGCTTGCCCTTCTTCCGACGTGAGGACTGCGATACCTTGGCCGCGGACCTTGCAACAGTGTCCCAATGGCATGCTGCCTGTTACGAGGGTTTTGGGTGGAGGCTGTTCCGCGTAAGGCCTGCAGCATGAACAACCTTTACAAACCCAAAAGCACTTCATAGCCGTGTGCCAAACAACGCTACACGTGAAAGACCCGCTTACATAAGGAATCCTCCCGCGTGGATGTGCATCATGTCATCAGTCACCGCATCAATGCGCCATCTAACCCTCCCCAACACGCAGGGGACGCGGTACGCCACGCCACGGTACCACCACCACCCCCCACATCCCCTCGCCTAACCCGACCCACATCACCTCCCCTCAATACCCCAAACATCGCCCCCTGCAGCACCTAGGGGGCTGCATGAGTCGGGATTAGAACTTCCTTGTTGCGCTTATCTATAAATTTCCCCCCTGCAGCACCTAGAGAGACCCAGATCGCAGACCCGACCCGCGTACGATCCGTTGCGGCCATTTGGGTCGCTGGGTAGCAAGCTCCACCGACAATGATAGTCCATTGTATCACATTTTGCCGCATGCTATGCACCCTGTATTAGTACTGAGGTCTGCTCACATACCGATACACGCCGTACAACAATTGCCATCATAAAATGAGCTCATGCATCATCATCCGCGCTTATCTCTCACACCTCCACAAGACCTCCGACGCGTCATCCCATCATCCGTCACCCCGTCGCCGTGTACTTCTTGCCCTTCTTCTTCCCCACCCCGCCTACCGGCGCAAATAGCAGCGCCTCTCGAGCCGCTTTGCTGCCCACTGACCCCGGCCCCCCTTTAGATGCCGTACTTGCCCCCGCTGCCCCTACTGGTGTCGCCCTGCTGGCTTGTCGTCCAGCGCCCTTCCGCTCCTCCTCCTCATCGTCGCTGTCGCTGAGTCCTTTACCGCTGCTTGTTGCTGCCGCACCTGAAGCAGGCCCGTGAAACCCCTTGCCGCTCCTGGAGGGAGCTGACTGCCCTCCCCTGCCTGGAGGCCCGCCTTTACCTCCCTGTGGCACGGGAGCGGCGGCACCGGCACACACGAGTAAGGCGTGTGGGGACTAGTAAGGTCGCTAGTAAGGTCGCTAGTATGGCGCTCTACCCGCCCCTCGACACCTCTCCATCAACACTCTCGACAACACCCGACCCCAGAGCTAGAGCCCTGCCCCCAGCCGCACCACCACCACCACCCTGCCCCGCTTACCTTGCCGGCTGTCCCCGCTTCCTCCGCCTCCTCCTGCTCCGCCTGCCTGCGCGCCGCCATGCCCCGCTCCAGCCGCCGCCGCAGCTTGGTGTTCAGGGCGGTGGCCGCCTCCACCGCCTGATGAGGGGGTGGGGTGGACGGATGGGTGGTTAGGAACCGGGGGCAACACAGGGAGGGTTTAGATGAACTGAGCCGCGGAAACACTGAGGGGTGAGGAATACGCGAATGCCGCGGGCGTTGAGCACTGCGGGCATTGCGTCCAACGTGTGTCAGTGGTGCAGGGATACGGGGGCGGATTGGGTGGGGGGTGACTTGAGTAGTAGGAGTGTAGGACGACTGAAATGGCCACGCAGCAACAACGCGCACGTTGTGCTTCCTTGCAGTCCCCTTAGCAGCAGCACGACCCCAGCTGGGCGTGTGGTGTCACCGGCACGTACCTTATGGTGCGGCAGGTACTTGGCACCCAGACCTAGGCTGCGGGGAGCGAAGCAGGAGGAAGGAAGGGTTGGTGCTGCCGTGGCAACTGACGGTCCCCCTGGCCCATTCACCATCCAGTCCATCTGTATACCGCCTACCTTTCCGTCCCAGTTCAGCCTTCCCCTTCCACTGGCTGCGTAACACGGCCCCCTCTCCCACTCCCACTCACAACTGCGGTCTTCTGGCGGGCGCCGGCTCCTGGCTGCCCGCGGAGGGCCCCGCCTCCTGCAGCGCCTCCTCCGCACTCATGCCCAGCCACCCCGAAACCACGCACAGCGCCCGCCCAGACGCCACCACATCCACATCCCCGTCCGCGTTCGTCGCTGCTGCGCCGCCGGGACCGGCGCTGCTGCCCAAGGCTCCACCGGCGCCTTGTGACGGGTTTAGGTTCATATTGTAGCTTATTTAGGATATAGTATTTGTGCAACGGGGTACTAAGGAAGTCCAGGTAATTAGGTGTTTAGATGGGTCAACGAGGGTTCTTCAGGATTGTGCGCATTTCGCTGCGCAAGGGCAAATCTTAAACAGGTAATAACTTCTGCGCCTTGTTGCTTTAGGTTTAGCGGCGTGGTCAGCACCAGTCTGCAACTTGGCCGTATTCGCGTACTGCGTTCCGCGTACCTGTCACCCCAGCCGGGCGACAAACAGCCCGCACGACACTAGATCAGGTTAAGCTTTAACTAGGTTATCAATCTCTAGGTCTAAAGAGCAATTGCGTGAAGAAAACACCTAGCTAATGATTTCAAGCTTTTATTAGAAACCTATAGCCCTCCAGGCCATTCCTTACCTCCTGCTTACTTCCCTAGTCGTTCGCAATCGAAATCCATAATATATCGTTACTTTTTAACTCGGCGAACCGTTCACCCTTTTGCGTCGTTTCAGTGGACGCAGCATCAGCACTGTAATTAAGCACCATGGCATGTGGTGTAGGCAGTGACACCACTGGCTGAGCCCCGCGGCTATCACGGACAGGCCGCGGGTGGCTAGCACCCTCCCGCTGATGTCGGTCCCAAACTCTGTCGCTGCGCTCATACCCTTGCTAAAGGCGAACCCCAGCACCCAAACAGCGGAACAGGCTGCACAGGTATGAAGAAACGGCGTGGCGTATGTGCGCTTCCGCCCGTAAAGCCTTCGCCATGGCTTCGGTAAAGCCCTGGCTTGTCCGCGAACAACACATAACTTTCCTAAACAGCCTACAACATAACCCGCATTCGGCTATGAAAGTCTCTACCCCAATCGTGCCCAAACTTTTCATATCCTCGTCAACCGTCCACTTCCCGCGACCCTAACTAACCTAGCGGCCTACCTCTTCCCCTGCCCTTCCCACGCCCAACCCTCTCCTCCACTCCACCGCCTCCTCTGCACTCCTTCAATCAGCCCTCCTCTCTCCTCCTCCCACATCCCTTGACGCCCCTACCTCCTCCTCCTCCCGCCTCCCTCCTGCTCCTCCCCTCCCGCTGCAGGAGGCCAGCCTGCTTGAGGATGTGGCGGTGCACTACAGCAGCACGTACGAGTTCGTGTCCGCCAACACACCCGGCAGCAGGGCCTTCGGGGAGCTATTCGATGCGCTGGTGGGCCGGGAGGCGAGGGAGGCGGGGGATGGCGAGGGAGGCGGGTGGCGGAGGAGGCAGGGGGCGGGGATGACAAGGCACACCAGCCCACCCCAGTCTGGGGGCGATGTGGCCGGGGCTGGCTAGCTGGGTTGGCGGCTGCGGCGGGGGAGGGGGAGGGGAGGGGACGGTGCTGGTGGCTGTGCCGGTGCCCGGCTGCTGCTTTGTGGCGGAGAGCTGGCGGGGGAGGAGCCGCTGCAGGCCCCGGCAGGGGTGGGGAAGCTGGTGGCGGCGCCGGCTGCACGAAGCCCCCGGGTGCCCCAGCCGCCCTGCAGGCCCGCGGGAGGGCAGCACATGGCTGGGGTGCAGCCGGCTGGGTGGCTGGGAGGTGCGAGGACACACGGCAAGCAGGCCGCTAGGTGGCCGCTGGCAGCTAGGGCTCAGCCAGGCGCCCCCCCTCGTCCTCCCCTCTTACCTCCCGTTACCATCCCGCTCCTCCCACCCCAGGTCCGGCACCGGCTGGTGTGCGCCCCTTGGCGGCTGCAGCTGCGCCCCGAGCACCAGCTGCGGGTGCTGCAGGTCACTCGGCTGCTGGGGCGGGACGCGGTGCTGAGGCAGAGGCTGGTGGAGGCGGGGGGAGTCAAGGTGGGGGGGGGGGGCCGGAGGGGGGAGGGAGGGAGAGGCAGTAGGGGAGGAGGGCGAGGAGGAGGAGGACGAGGAGGAGAGGGGTGCACTGGCGCTCCTAGCGGAGCCGGTGCGGGTGGGGGATGCATGTGGGTGGCCTGGCGCTCGCACGTGCGCCTCATCAGGTGCTCTGCTGCTGTGTTCCGGGATGCCTCGCGGATCCCTGCTGCCCTCCCTAACATCTCTTCCCACGGGGGCTTCCTGTCCCGCCCCGCTCCCCCATCCCTCCCACCCACCCCCCCCGCCAGGTGCTGTGCCAGCTGTTCCGGGAGCAAGCGGCGGAGCACTTCACCGGCACCATCACGTCCTTCCAGGTGGGGTGGGGGGTAGGGGGGTAGGGGAGTAGGGTGGGGTGGGGGTGGGGAGAGGAGTACAGAGGTGGAGGCGAGGGCTAGTGGGATGAGGCGGCCGTGATGTGGGTTGGATCCTGGATGGGGCGGGTCGTAGAGAGGGGATGGGCCTACCAGTTACCAGGTAGGGCAGTTACCGTATGTCTCCCGCCCCACGCCGGCCCCTACCCCTGCCCTCACCTCCACTGCCACCCCCTCCACTGCCCTCGCCTCCCCCCCTGGGTCGGGCTGGCTCACATGTTGCCATGATGACGCCTTATCACTCAGTCGGTTAGTTGTTTCCTCTTTACCACCCCTCCCCCCGAACACCAGGTGGAGGTGCTGACGGAGTGCGCCTCCGTGGTGAAGCGGCTGGCGGGTGACGAGTGGGGTCTGGCCGCCCTAGCTGCGGAGGGGGCGCACCTCACGCTGCTGCAGCTGCTCAACAGCACGGACCCGGCGCTGCTGCCGCTGGTGCTGGTGGCGATCATTGGTGGGGAGGCGGGGAGGGGAGGGAGGGGCGGGAGGGGCGGGAAGGAGGGAGGGGAGGGAGGGTGGGAGAAGGTAAGCTGGGTGAGGTAGGAGGGTAGGGAGGCGGGGAAGGGAAAGGAGCTGGGCGAGAGGGGGAGGGGTGAGTTCTAGACCCGTTTGCTCGAGCTTTCTGACTGGAAGCAAGCGGGTAATGGTTGACCCTGGGCGCTGGTGACTCCCATGGGTGGGGAAGGAGGAGGGCATCGAGTCCCCAGCAGGTGCCAGCAGCCGGCCCCCACCCGCCGCCCGCCTGCCTCCCACTCTCCCCCATCCCACCCCTATGGTTTCCCTTTGGTTTGACCTATCCTAACCACCACCACCCTGCTCCCTGCTCCCCCCGCCCCCCCTGCCCCACCACCACTAGGCTTCGCCGCCCACCGCGCGCACTACGGCCTGGTTGCCGCCCCCGCCCCGCTGGAGACGCTGCTGCGCATCGTGACGCAGTACGACCTGCCCTTCAAGAGGCTGGCGGGTGGGTGCAGGCAGCGGGGCAGCGAGGGGGCCGGGTGGGGTGGGGTGGGAGGGGGAGGGGGAGGGGGAGGGGGTGGGGACAGTGTGTAGTGGTGGTGTGGAGGGGGAGGGCAAAGCGGAAACAACTGGCGAACCGTGTGATAGGGCGTCATCATGGTTTGGGAGGGCAGGGCTGCAGGGAGCGGTAGCGGTGGTAGGGTTGCCACCCCCGGAAGGCCCTCCCGCGGTGCGACCTCCCGCTCCCGTCCGCCATGTCCCTCTCCCCTGCCAGCCCTACCCGCCGACCCTAACCAACCCTCAACTCCCCGTCAGTCCCTTCCTCATTACCTCTCTACCTCCCTTCCCTTCCGAACGTGCGGTTTCGCATGGCTTGGTGACTCCCTCCCCCTCCCCCCCTTCCCCCCTCCCAGCCGACCTGCTGGCGCTGCTCTCCCGGCGCACCCCGGTGGTCTCGGAGCTGCTCGCCCTCAGCGGCCTGGGTCGCCTGGTGGGGCAGCTGGCGCCAGGGGGGGACGGACACCTGGCCGCCTCCCTGCTGCGCGTGCTGTGCTACGTGGCCGCCACCGGCCCGGAAGCCGTTGCGGAGATGTACCATGTGGGCTCCATCCCCGTGCTGCTGGCGTTGGTGGGGGCTGCGGTGCGGGAGGCGGCCGCCTGCCCCACCTGCCACTGCCTGCCGCCCGGGCGCACCACGGAGCTGCAGCTGGCCGCCACGTGCCTCACGCGGCTGGCGGAGCAGAGCGACGAGTGCGCGGCGCAGATCCGGGCATGCAATGGGGTGACGCTGCTGGGGAAGCTGCTGCTGGTGACGCCGGCGAAGCATGAGGGTAAGGTGGGGGGGGAATTATAAATAAATGCAACAACGCAATCCCAATCCCGAATCGGGGGGGGGGAAGGGGCAGGAAGGGGGGAAGAGGGAGCGGGGAAGGGGGGAAGAGGGAGCGGAGGAGCGGGGACTTGCTCCTCCAGGGTTTGCAGTGCACGTTGATAAGGTTGTGCGTATTGCATGTTGGTTTGCAAGCCGTATCTTCTGACTTTGTGTCGGTGCATGCATGCATGCGTATGCAGATTCCCGCGGGACCGACCCGAGGGTCGCTGACGCCAAATCGGCTCGCGAGGAGGTGCTGTCTCTCAAGGCCTACGTGTTCCGGGCGCTGCGATTCCTCTTCAGCGTTGAGAGGCACCGCAAGGTAGGGGGAAGGGGAGGGGGCAGAGTTAAAACCCAGACAGGGGACCGGAGCGGCTCGTGCGTTCGGCGGGTTAATTACGGTAGTCGCCCTGTAATCATTTAGTCGATTCTCTCTCCTTTAACCTTCCTTTACTCCCATCCTGCCTCCCTCCGCCCCCTCCTTCCCGCTCCGCTCCCCACCCTCCCCCACCCCACCCCTCAGATGTTCAAGCGACTGTTCCCGCCCGACCTGTTCGCCGCCTTCATCGACGCGGGGCACTACAACATGCAGCTCAACGCGTATGCGGTGCTGGTCACCATGTTTGAAGGTGCGGGTGGGGGAGGGGGTGGAGGGGTGGTTGAGGAGGGAGGAGGGAGGCAAAGACCAACGAACCATCCCGCTTCCTCCTACCCTGCCGCCGCGTCTTGCGGGCCCCCTACAGTGTTCACTGTTCTAAAAACACCCTCGTGTTGCCGGTATGTACTTTCCCCTCTCGTCCCTCTCCTGGCTAACCTGTGGCGTTCTTCGGTTTGGGTTCTCGCTTCCTCCCTCCCCTACCCACCCTCCTGTCAGAGCTGTCTGACAAGCAGAAGGCGGGTGTGTCGGCTGCTCTGGACGACGTGTCGGTGGACCGTGAGGGGAGCGGGTTGCGCTGCGTGGGCGGCTACGTCATCCTGGAGATGCTGGGCAAGGGCGCGTTCGGGGCTGTGTACAAGGCGCGGAAGTGAGAGGAGGGAGGGGCGGGATCAGGGAGGGACGGGACAAGGGTAGCGGAGAAGGGCAAGGGACGGCTACACTGCAATCTGAGGTGTAGGGCTGGGTGGTGTGTTGGCCGACCGGCATCAGGATATCCACCCCCTACCTCCTCTCCTCCCTCCCCCCTTTGTACCACTATCACACCACAGATCGGAATTTCTTTTCCCCCCATGCATCCATGCAGGACCCGCGGCGAGAGCCTGGTGGCCCTGAAGGAGGTCCCCCTGTCGGACATCGGGCTGTTCGGCGCCACCGAGAGCGAGGTGACGGCGGGGGTGGGGCGCATGTGCAAGGAGGTGGAGATCCTGTCCAGCCTCTCGCACCCCAACATTGTGCAGGTGAGGGGGTGGTGGGAGGAGGAGGAGGGGAGGAGAGGGGCATATGGGGAAGGGGGGCATACGGGGAGGGGAGGGCTATGCATGGCGGAGGAGCAAGAGAGTTGGGGTTGTAAGAGTTGGGCTGCTCCCTCCTCCCTGTTGCCGCATCACCCATGTGGTTGGTTCTTCCCCTCCCTCCCTCCCTCCCCCTACCCCCCAGTACTACGAGTCTTTCTCCGCGGGCCAGCACCTCTACATCGCCATGGAGCTGGTGGAGGGCACCAGCCTGCTGGACCACCTGCAGGTGGGAGGGAGGGGAGTGACCCGTGGGTCGCGGGGGGCGGATCTGCAACTGCCGCTTGCCTTGCTTTCGTTGTACATGCCACATGCCTGACTGGGCCTGCCTTGCTACAGGGCTTGGAGCAGAAGGGTCGGCGGATGGCGGAACAAGACATCTGGCAGGTGGGGTGGGGGGACTGCATGCAGAGGAATGAATGGATGGAGCACACCTGACACTTCTGGCACATGGCTCGTACGACATGGCTCGTACGACATGTCATGCAAGTGGGACCTGGCAGCAGGGTCTGGAGGAGAGGAGAGCAGGTCACTTGCAGCTGCGCTTGCATGGGGTCGGATCGGGGGTGCCAGGGGGCCACCTCCTAAACTCCTATACCAGTAACGTGCTGTGCGAATGGGAGCGGTGTGTGTGATGTCCTGATGTACGGCGCAAACACACAACGTGGTCCGTCCCCTACCTCCTCTCCCCCCCCTCCCCCCCTCACGCAGGTCCTCATCGCGGTGGTCCTGGCCCTCAACTACATCCACGGCGTCAAGAAGATCGTGCACCGCGACCTCACCCCCGCCAACATCGTGCTGGGGCAGGGCCCCGAGGGGCTGCGGCACACCAAGATTGCGGACTTTGGTCTGGCCAAGCGGCTCAGCAGCAGCGCGGTGGCGCAGTCGCTGGTGGGCACGATGCCGTACACCTGCCCCGAGATCATACAGCATGTGAGGAAGGGGAGCGGCGGGGGTCAAAGACATAACAGAACCACGGGTTAGGGCAAAGCAATTGGGATAGGGTGAGGGAGGCGGTTGGGCGAGGGATGTGAATGGGGTTCTTCGAACGGACTTGCCCTCGTCCTTCTGGCGGCCAGACCGGATTCCCCGGCTCACCTTGCTCTATACCCCCGCCCCTGCTCCCCCCTCCCACCCCCCCAGGAGCCCTACAGCGAGAAGGCGGACGTGTGGTCCCTGGGCTGCGTCACCTACCACATGATGGCGCTGCGGCCGCCCTTTGACGGCTCCAACCCGCTCTCCGTGGCGCACAAGATCGTGGAGGGCGCGTACGACCCGCCGCCCGACCCGCCGCCCGCCTCGGGAGCCCCGCCGTACAGCGGGCAGCTGAAGCGGCTGGTGGCGGCGCTCATGACGGTGGACCCCAACAAGTGAGAGGGAGGGGCGGGGAGGGGGTGGGAGAAGGAGGGGAGATACCGGTACTGATGAGCTGTATGACGAGAGGCTTTACCATGGATTGCAAGTGAAGAGGGGGGGCCCGTTTGCCTTTCTTGCTGCCCTCTCCCCACGAAGTCTCGCAGCATTCCGCTTCGTGCATGGCTACCGCTCCCCCACCTCCTATTCCCTCCCCAGTCCCCTGCCCACCTAAACCCCCGCTACCACCACCCCTCCTCTTACTTTGCCCTAACCTGTGGTCTCCTATGGTTTGGTTCGTGGTCTTTGAACCCCCTCCACCTCCAGGCGCCCCGGTATCTCGGAGGTGGGTGCGCTGGTGTCGGCCCAGCTGATGGCCTCCCTGGAGCGAGCGGCGCTCAACGAACAACGCATGACTAAGGCGCTGCAGGTGCGTCCTGGGGTGCTGGGGTGTGTGCGGGGGTAATGCGTACTGCCCGTGGCGCTTTGCCTGTATTTGTTGTGTTTAGTATCTGATGTGTTCACATCGATTCCTTGCCTCCTCCATCCCTCCCTCCCTATTCCCCTCACAGGCCCAGCGGCGAGTGGGCAGTGCGGGTGACGTGGCGGCGGGCAGCCCCCTGCGAGCGGTGGCGTGTCGGAAGGCCAGCCAGGGACATGGGCACGGCCCTGCAGCACACGCACATGCACACCAGCAGCAGGGACAGCAGCAGGGGCAGGGGCAGCAGCAGGGAGGAGGGCCGGGCGGGTGTCAGGGGCAGCCGGGTGCCGGCGGCGGCGGCGGAGGAGGCGGCGGGCCGCTGCATGAGGGCGCAGGCGGGGGAGGAGGAGGGGGGCCGGGGTCACCTCGCAGGTGGGGTGGGGTAGGTGCAGCAAGGCATGCCGTGCACGTGGGAGCCCTAGGAGGCTGAGTGCAGGGGCGGGAGGGGTGACTGCGCACCGGGCAGCTGGAGAAGCAGCATGTCGCGGGGTGCCTGCAGGGATCTGCTGCAGCCGACGTGTGCTGGCCCCTCCTGCTTCACCACCCTCCTGACTCCCCCCTTTCGTTCTCTTGTGTTTTCTCCTGCTGCAGTGCCGAGGGCGGCGGAGGGGGACCGGCTCTGGAGCGCGCCGACAGCGCGGGGCCCGGCTGCAGCGGGGCAGCAGCAGGAGCGGGGGCAGCGGGGGCAGCACCCGGGGCGGGAGCTGCATGGACGAAAGGCAGTTGTAGCGGGGCCGCATGCGCAGGGGAGGCGGGCGGGGCGGGGCCGGGACCCCCCTCAGTGCTTCCCCTCCTGCAGCCCCCGCACCCTCACCCCCAGCACCCCCAGCAGCACTCCAGCCTCAGTCCCACTGGGGCGGGAGGGGCAGCAGCTGCAGCCGGGGGGGCAGCAGCGGGCCCAGCAGGCGGGGGTGCCAGCAATGGCACAGTGGGAGGAGGCGGAGGAGGCGGCGGCGGGGGTGCGGCGCTGCGCACTGTGACGCTGGCCAGCAGCCGCCTGAAGCCCGTGTGCGACCCGCTGACTCAGATGCTGACTCAGCTGCACAAGGTGATGTGGGTGGAGCAGCTGCCGCCCGGACTGGCTCGGGACCACCGCAGGCGGGCGGTGGAGTCGTTCAGGAGACACCTCTTCGCGCAGGGTGGGTGGGACTGGGGGCGGGGCGGGGAGGCGCTGTGAGGGGGCTTGCACCGGGGTTGCGGTGAGGCCGCGCCTCTGCTTGAAAGTGAGCTGCGAAGCGCAGCAGCCGCGGGTCAGACCCGTGGGTCGATTTCCCCCTCGCTGCGCACTTGGAAGCGCCGGTTGCTGTGTTGTTGCGGTCCGTGGGGCTCCCCGCGCCATGCCCTCTAACGCGTCTCCTACATACCCCTCTATACCGCGTCGCCCCGCCTTACCCGCTGACGCTGACGCCTACCACCGCTGCCCCAACCGCCGTCTCTCTCAACCGCCACCGCTATCACCCTTTCCAACCCCCTCCCCCCCCTGCCCTCAGGCTCCAACGCGGCCACAGTGAAGGCCGCCCTGGCCAAGCTGCTGGCGGGGCACGGGGACCTGGTGACGGACGCGGCGGGACGACCCATCGACTTTGGATCCGTGCCCCTTGCGCCCGGGGAGGGGGACACCACCACCACCCTGCTCGCACCCTCCTCAGCAGTGGGGGTGGCGGCGGGGGCAGGTGCCGCGGCGGCGGCAGGCAGCGGCGCGGGGGTGACCGCAGGCGGCGGCGGGGCAGGGACGGGTGCGGGGGGTGCTGGTGCAGTAGCGGGCGGAGGCGGCGGGGGTGGTGGCGGTGTGGTTGCGGTGGCTGGGTTGTCCTCTGACGGGCACCTGACGTACGAGCAGCTGAGTGGGGTGCTGGAGAGCCTGCTGGCGGAGAAGGGGTACTACAGCGGGGGGCCGGGGGGCGGGGGGGTGCGGCTGGTGTCGGAGGCGGAGCTGCTGGACCAGCTGCCGCTGCCAAACTTCAACGCCACGGGGCATGCGGCTCCCGGGGAGGGGCCAGCGGGAGGAGGGGCAGGGGGTGTGGGGAATGGGGCGGGGGGTGCGGGGGGCGCGGCTCGGGGCGGGGGGTACGTTGGGTTGCCGCCGCTGGGTAGGAACCGGTGACAGCGAGGAGGATGACTGGAATGGGCGGTATCGGAAGCTCTTGATGGTTGTGTAATGTGTATGTTGTAATGGGGGCGGGCGTCCGATTGCGGGGGCGGGGATGCATGCAGGTGCCGTACCTAAAACAGCCGACTGCCGGAGTGTTGTAGTATCTTGTCTGCTGTCGTAGGATAGCAAGGATAGACCTTAAGTCTTAGGGTGGGGTTGCACCACCAAGGATAGGATTCGAAGGTCCTAGCTCCCCTCCAGAGTACTTACATACTCTGTTGCTAATGAGGGCTAAAACGACTTCAGGAGGTACGACAGACCCTCATCGGCATAACGGTACTGCCAGGCAACTATGTGGTTACGACACCATAACCGCCAAAACGGAACGTTTCACTTTCCTTGCATAATAACGTTTTAACGCACTTATGCTTTCTGCATAGTCTTTCAAGAAACGCCTTGACAAAGGAAATCATTGTCAATTATGCTACAACACGGAGCGAACCCGTACTGGACTATCATGTCACACGTGATGTACCCTGATGCATGCTACGTGTCCACAGGCTTGTGACTGCTGAGAGCTTACGGACTGCTGTGCGGATGACACACAGGATGGGCATGTGCTGTTTTACCTAGCCACCTTCCTACCGCTGCCGCATGCTTTGCAGGGCCTCATTGGGACCTGTTACGTATTTGTCTACTGCTGCTGCATCCGTGTGGACCCCTGCGCACGATGTCTTTATGCATGCTTGCAGAATGTGGGGTAGCCAGGGTTAGGGGCGGGAGACCTTACTGGGTGGAGGTAGGCGTGGAGTTGTCAGTCGTGTGGGATGGTGGGCTGTTCCAGACGTTTGGACAGGGCAGATATGAGGTATGGGACCGGGGGCAGGCTTTGTTTGTTTATTGTTGGTTTCCGTGCAACGATGTGTTTGCGCATGAGGTGAGGATGTGGCTAGGAATGTGCGCCGTGCCTTCTTCCTGGCAGGGCCATGACTTCTAACGAGGGTTTTGTGACGTAGGCATGAGGGCGGGTGGGGGGGCTACCGAATCAGGTGTACATGTGGGGGATTGCGGGGCTGGTGTCCTGGAAAGCTGATATAGGTTGCGAGCAGCGGTAAGAAACCGCAAGCTGTGGTTGCAACGGTCATCAGGGGCTGTGGTGACCCCTAATTCGAGGTAGAAGGCATCTGTGCCAGGACCCCTTTAACGGGCCCAAATCCGCGCCTAGCCTAATCGCCAAAGCAGCAAGTCTTTATACTTTAGACGTAGCCAGGCTTCCTTTTCCAGCTTGACCACCTCCCCAATGGACATGCACCGTGACAGCGTAATGACCTACCTGACACCAAGGAACTAAAGTCAAGCCCTATGCAGGGCCCAGGTAAACCGTAAATAATTGTATCGGTAAATTAAAATTACCGCTGCGCCATGTGCGAGCGAGCGTTCTCGGATCTGTGACCTGATCGCTATGGTGCAGCCACTGAAACGCCCGAACGCCATTGCAAACATTTGTGGTTCACAGTTACAGTGTACAACTAAGGTTTTCGTCCGGTGCCCTCCCTTGCGCGAAGTGCGCTATTTCCTTCCGTACCGTACGGCACCTTTGGGCATTCACTTTCAAGCCGCTGCCGCAATTTGGTAAATATACTTCTACCTATGTGTGGTGAGCGTCGTAAGCGTGATATTGGAGAGACGTTTAGGGTGGTCGACGTGTTACACTGGAGCAGATTGCCGGTGTGTGCTCGGTTCCTGTAAGTTGGTCCCCGTCCTCCTCACCCTGCGCAAGCAGGGGAGGGGAGGGCATCACCCCTGTGTCTCTCTAGTGTCGCTTTCCATACCATGCACGAACCCTACAGCATTCCGCGGAGCGTAAAGCAGGAACAGTAACGCAGTCCTGTAACCTAGAAAGCAGTAACCGCGTCATAGAACTATAAGCGTGCGTACATGTTGCGCGGCCACGTCACACGTCAAGTGAACGCCGCAACAACATGCTCTTATGTCATCTACCTCGGCCACACCAACAACGTCTGATCACGCGTAGCCAGCTGTGACCCCGTTGATATATCAGCATGGTCTGTGGCGCGCTGACGGGCGAGGGTTTCGGCGATGCTGGCTGCGTGGGCTTCTTCTTGTCCGCCTGGGTCGCCGCCATCTTCGTCAATAACGCGCTGCTCCGGCTTCAGCATGACAAGAAGGTGTGTCGCTGCTGGCGGTGCCCGAGGAGGCGCTGCCGGCGGAGGTGAAGGCGGGGCTGCTGCATGTGCAGGCGGGCGTCATGCGGGTGGCGAACCAGGAGCAGCAGGCGGGGCCGGAGGAGCTGGCCAAGGAGGAAGAATCAAGACGAGGAGGAGGTCAGGGGGCCGGCAGGCGGGGTTGGAAGGGGTTGCGGCATATTGTCGACCCGCCCAGCCGTATGTTAGATGGCTACCTGCTCGTTGCTGGCATTGCTGTGTTGGTCGGCATTTGCCGCCCTTCATCCCTCTGCTGCCTCCCTGTCGCCCTCCTCCCGCCCCCGCTCCCCTTCAGGATGCCGACGAGGTGACCCGTGGGCCTGCCCGTCCGTGTTACACAGTGGACGTTCAGACCACTGCACTGGGCCGCTGCAAGCATGGCGGTTGTTACAGTTATCAATACGGTGGCAGCGGCGGGCAAAGCCGGCGCCAAACATGAATGAGGAGGGCAAGCGGCGCCGGGGACGATGGCCACCTCCCTCCCATAGCACTAACATGGCGCGATAGCCAACCTACTACTATGATGCACAATGGATGCGTTCCTTCATGAAACCGCACGAGCCAAACCATTTGCATTCACAATGCTGTCATGCATGCATTTCTCCATACGTTCTATGTTTAAGCGCAAAACCGCATCCCATACTCTTCCTCTGCAATTTCCATGCCTTCGTACGCCAAACATGCAAAGCTTCTTCGCCAAGCCCCATGCCATATGCCCAATAGTTGGCTATGCAGGGTTCCAACTCCTTTTGACGCCATTGCCAACTTTCATCAACAATGGTGTACAACAATGTGACGTCCTTTAGGCGAAGCAACACTGTAAAGTGGTCCGACACACCGACCAACATGCATGCAATGGGGCATATGAGGCAGAGCCCTGCGCCAAGTCCCGAAGCGCACGAGCCAGGAGGGCCGTTGTTCCCTTGGGTCCATTCCTACTCCACACACGGCCAAACCGGTCAAGCAATAGCAAAGCGTCAACATCTGCACTGCCCTGACTAACACACGCGACATACGCTACTGGTGTGCTAAACATGTAATCGCAAGAGGGCAGGACAACCCACTTGCAAGCAGCACAGTTGGCCCTACATATAAGGCACTGCAAACCCTCCTCCTGCGAGCCCTGCAACATCCAAACAGCACCAACCCCTGCCTGCACGCATCCCGCCTTTGTAGGTAAATGTACACATTTGGTTAAATCAAGAAATGCATAAAAGGTTTTAGTTCTTCCGAAACTTGTCTATTTCTCAGTACCATGGCGCCATCGTCAGAGTTTCAAAGCTACTCCCATTGCAATGCCTGTCATGCTACTAATTCCGTCGGCAGCAATAGTACTTCGGATGCCAGCGTGCATCGTTGTCCTCATCAACAGTCAAAACCAGTACACGTTACACAGACAGATCCCCACACACACGAGTAACCCTCACGCGTACATGGGACAACTGCACACATGGTGTGCACCTTACAAAAGAACTCTTCACAAGACCCTAAGGAATGGTAGTGTGTATTATGCACGGTACCCATATGGAGGTGTGCGGCCCTAAGTATTCGACTAGGCAGCTCACTCTGCCTTGACATGGTCAATGGAAATTCACGGATGGGATGCATGGCTGTATGCCAAAGACACCATCTCTGATCTGGTAGTGACGGCTGCGGCGACTGCGACACAACCTTTACACCCACCACCTGCTAAACGAGTGGAGCTCACTGCTAATAAGGTGGCAGCATCTTGGCCACTGAATAACTGATCCAGGGGTCACCGACATACCTTCTGTCTATAGCTTGTTCCATGCGAACACGGCGATGAGAGTTGGATCTCTAGCAACTGCCTGGGCTAACAGAAGCAGCGCTGCCGGGACGAACGTCGCGCTGTGTCCACTGTCTTCGCACCCTCAGCGAGAGTGACGAAGCCTGCAACCTCTTGCCGACAAAAGGGGCACAGAAGCGGCTTTGGCCTCCCTTTGTCCAGCAGCCCTCGAGACAGTTCGGACGCGCACGCTAGGCATACTCCATGGCCGCACCCCGCCGGCGCCACCGAAACGGCACCAGCGAAGCACACGCCGCACCAGCCGTCCTCCTCGTCCTGCTTGGGGCGGCTGCCGGGGCGCTTAGGCGACGCCCCGGGTGAGGGCGCTAAGGAGGAGAGAGAGGAGCGATCTTCTAACGCTAGTGTTGCAGCAGCCAGCGTTGCGCCTATTAAGGAGGATGCTACGGTGTTGGTGGAGGGGCTGGACGGCAAGGCCGCCTGCTGCTGCTGCTGCGCTGCCCGCAGGTCCTCCGCCAGCTTGGCATGCAGCGCCGCGGCGGCCAGGGCTGCCAGTGCGGGCGGCCCCACGTGCAGCGGCGAGGAGCCCCGCCCCGCGCCCTCGCCCGCCAGCCCCAGCGCCCGCTCCAGCGGCTGCGCGGGGTGCAGCAGCGCCACCAGCTCCCGGTTGGAGGGGTGGTGCGAGGCGGCGACCTGCCATGGGAGCTGCTGGCCGTAGTTGCAACACAGGCGGGGGTCGCGGGAGGGCAGCCCACCTGGGGCGGTGCTCTGCACCTGCGGCGTTCATGAACAGGTCCGAATACCGTCACTGGAGAACAAGCATTGGCGCATAGACGCCCGCAGTTAGGCCACCGGACGCATGCTCATTAAGAAAGCAACGGCCTTAGTCCTTGACTCTCCCCAAATGTCTAGGCTTCCCAACCGCATCCTTTCTAGCCGTACATGGTATGCAAGGAGCCGCCGCACGACCCCCACGTTGCCCCGCACCGCAGCAAAGTGCAGCGGAGTGGACAACGGGTCGCACGTCACGTACACGTCACACGTCGTCACGGCGTCCAGCTGCGGGTCGTGCCGCAGCAGCTCCTCCACTGCGTCCATGTGATCGAAGAACACGGCGTAGTGCAGGGCTGTCAGGCCGCACATGTTTCGCGCATTGATGTACCTGCGTCGCCAGCGCAGGGGAGATGAGCGGGGTGCATCGACGCCGTGCAGAAGTGGGGATTTGGGGAAACCCGTATTCTCCTATTGCGTGGTTTTGTTAAGCCCCATGCCATCGCCCACCCACCTGACCCCTTGCCTCGTCATGTCCCTCGCGGGCAGGTGCTGCATGAGTGCCTCAATACACGACACGCTGCCAGCCATGGAGGCGTAGTGCAGGGCGGTGCGGCAGCCGCAGCGGTCCCCGACCCACGGGTCGGCGCCCTGTGTCAGCAGCAGCTTCACGAGCTCGGGGCTGCCCGCCGCGCACGCGTACATGAGGGGCGTCTGACCTGCGCGGTCGGCATAACGGAGGAGTGCACAGACAGGCTCAGGGCAGACCCCGCACGGGTGTTGGGCACCGGTGATGCGCGGAAGAGCACCGTAAGCGCAACCAGCATCACCCACATCGGGTTGCTATCGGTTGCTCCGGGCCTCCTTACCCTTGCAGTTGGTCATGTCCACGGCAATCCGTATGCCCTCCGCGACGGACGCAGGCAGCGGGCGCCCAGCTCGCCGGCAGTACGGCCGCAGCGCCTCCCGCACCGTGGACAGTGGAGAGCAGGACAGGAAGGAAAACATCTGTTGCACAACCTGGGGACAGGGAAGGCAGAAGTGTCACAAGGTGGTAGTGGAACCAGCCTGAGCTTACATCACGTTGCCTACGCCCGAAGTACTACAAGCATGTACATGCCGCCAAAGCCTATCAAATATAGCGCGTTGTCCGCATGCCACGGGATATTCGCAGAACTGGTTGCAGCATTCGAGTGTCTAACCCTGAGCTCACCTGAACCTGTTTTCGCTCACAGGCACTGTGAAGCGGTGTGGCTGCTGCACTGGAAAGCACTGATGTGGGGGTACTCAGGAGCCAAGGGCTGGACTCCAGCTTCTCCAATAAGAGGAAGTTGCCATGCCCGGTCCTGAGGGACTTACTAAGCTCCGAAGCTGCTAATGAAGACGTATAGCAGCCCATAGCCGTAAACCTACTTTACGGCGCCTGTCACGGGAGGAAAGGGCACGCATTGTAGATCTTTCATGGCGACAGCCAACCAAATGTGCTGAACGCAAATGTCTCGGACATACACAGCTGCCTAACGCTGAGGTACCTACGCTAACGATAACCATTTAAATTGTGTACAGTCTATTGAAAAACTTAAACCAGGCGTGAGGAACCAGAATTGACACCGCAAGACAACCGACTCTCAAGCAACTCGCCCCACCTAAGCCTAGATAAGCATCACAGATTGCAAACGTCAGGGTGTATACAGATCTGGCAGCAGCAAGCCAGAGGGAAAGAGTTTGTCGTTCAAGGCTTTTTGAATTCCATGAGACAGTGGCCCATAAGCATCTTCAATTGTGAGGCCCTTCCCCACCTTGATTGACGCGAAAGTTGCCAATGTCACTTTCGTTGGACAATTGTGCCTGGCAAAGTCGCCAGCCGAGTACCGGTACCCGAGCAAAGGACGCTCACGCTAGAGGAAAGACCACCTATTGTCCAATTTGTATTTTGAGACTAAGGTCGAACTGAATTAAGAAATGGACGACGCCGCTCTACCTGGTGGCTACACCTATCTATCGATATGTCTATTGCGGCATTTAACTTTGGGACGCCCTTCCAAAAACTTTAACACGGCGTGTTCGAAGTCCGGTGTGTCTTACTTTGCTTTCTAAACCTGAAGGCGACAGACCAGCTAGGTGTACGAGTCTGTTGGAACCGCGGATCGAAAAGAAAATAGTCCCGCCGGAAGTGAACAGTCATGAGAGAGCATTACAGTAACCATTAAGGAGCATGTTGTGACCTAATGGCTGCCTGTAAGGACTATCCCTGCGGGACGGTGTCGATGTTGCGCGCGCGACGAAGGCCTGGCAGGATTATGAGCACTTGCCCTATTAGTTACCCAATATGCCATACTTAGCAGTCAGGCAGATGCTTGGTACCGACTCCGCCCCGACAGGTGGAGACAACGTCTTACGTGGGTTCGCGCTCCAAACACCACGTGCAGATCACAAGCCAAATCTTTGCACACTGCCGCAAGCAACTTCCTGGAACTAAAGACTGTACACGCTGCGTTAGTATGCAGGCGAAGGGATGGGCGGGCCCGCTTACTAGTTCCTTAAGTCATGACTAGTGAGGGAGTAGGTAAGGAGGTGAGGGCTGAGCGGGGCCGCTTGCCCTTCCTCTAAGGTCACCTCCCCGCACCGATGCAAGAGACGGTGCAGCACGCCTAGAGTGAGGCGAGCATGAGCGAGGAGGAGGCAAGCACGCACGGCTGAGTCCATTGCAGTGGCACCGCAAAGATAGAGATAGGCGTCATGCCACCTTCGAAGCGCCACACTAGGATGCTGCTCCTCCTCTTTCCTTGGGAGCACCTACAGTGCACACCAAGCTAGATTCCCGAACCACATGCACACCCCGTGCACCTGCCATCCAGCCGCTGGCTGTGCCTGCTGGCCTATGCCGCAACACATAGGTACGGCCCCCTCGGGGATTAACGAGTGCAGCCGCGCGGAACAGAAGGTGCGGAAACTAAACCACAAGGGCAGTGAGGAGGGTGTCATAAGCAGCCGGTGTTATAGCCCAATCGCATCCCTAACCCGGCACTATAGCTTTGGTCGGAGCCACTACGCATGAAGCCTCGCCGATCCATGCCGGCATGTCCTTCTAAATACATTTACCCCACACCCCTTATCACAGTCAGCGCATCAGTCCCCAGCACCACTACGCCCCGGATCCGGAGTCATCGTAGCTGGTTTCCTCTTTACCGCTCTCAAGCCGTTCCGTCCATCGCCACCAGCAACGGTAGTTGGGTGTGGGGGGGTCATGTGAGGCAGTTAGGAGGAGGGCTACAGGGGTCCTGGAGGCAAGATATGTTAGGTGCGGTATTTACACGGCATGTTGGTTAGACACCAGACCAGCAAGCAGGTAAAGCAGCTACAACAGTCCAGGACGAGCCGACTTCACCAGCTCAGAGGGCGGGGCCCTTCCCTGCACCCACTGTTCTCCCTCCTGCTTCCCAGACCCACCGCGCAACCCAAACTGCTCTGGCGTTCAACTCCCTGTGGTGCCCTATCCCCTTCCCCTGCCCAACCTCGTGTCACGTCGGAGCGAGGCATGGGTGGACGCGCTAGCAGCCGCCCTCCCAGCCACCCCGACTGAGTGGAGCTGCCGGTCTTGTGCTGCTGCCGGCGGCATAAACAACATGGACCGACCACTTCCCAACCTTCACCAATAAGAACATCATGCACGCCACTATCACATTCTCAAATTCGCATCTCAATCAGACCTCGGAGCAGTAAATGTAATGGTACATGTTCATGGTACAAAAAGGACATAACGCTTCGGTTCGGACGATTTTGGGCGAACGCTAAGACTACGCCCCATAAAGGGGCGAGCCAACCACACAGACACCGAGGGGCCATGTCTGCCCCACCTTTCATGGCCCGACGACACTTTTGGGCACCGACTTGCACACCTAGTGCTCTGCGCATGCAATCGTTCTCCTCGCTTGGCCGCAGCAAGAACACCCAAAATAGAAAGCAAAGATGCTAGGTGCTTCCTAGAGATACAGTACCTCATTGTCGTACAGGTATGTACGGCACGCATTGGTCTCTCACATGCACGCTCAAAAGCAGTAGTACCGCAAACACGACACACAAACACGACACACGCGCATGCACACGCACGCTGCGAGCCCCTGACATGGGTCGCCTCGCTTTGCACACGCTGCGTCAACGGCAATGTCCATGCCTCATCACATGCCGCATTACGGCATTAGGCCACTCGGCAAGCCCAAAACAAATCTTGGGAGCCGTCTCACACGTCGTCCAAGGAAGAAAGAAAGGAACGCTTGAGAAAGGAAATACATCCTCTGCTAAAAGCACCCTATTCTGGTCTCCTAGCTCTTAGGCTATTTCGGTTATCAGGTATACGTGTCGTCAACTGTCGTCTTATCCACACTAGCACCCCAACTGGTGCTTTCTTTTTTCTCCCTGCATTTCTACTCTGCCTTCTACAGACCCACAGCTACAGTGCTTCATCTGCGACAAGAGTCGCCTCTCCTTCTCCTCCTCGTTGCGCCCGTAGCGGCTGCTCTGACGGCGCCGCCGCTGGCCGCCGGGAAGCAGCAGCCCCAGCTGGTGCTGTCGGTACCGCCGCTGCAGCGGGGCCGGCGGAGGTGGTGGAACTACACCTTAGTGATGTCACCGACGGCTGCAACATGCTCCGTCGGAGGGACGATGATGGTGATAATGCTTTTAACGGCGGCGGCTGTGGCGACCGCCACCTCTGCCACCGGCGTCCGTGACAAAAGCAGGCGAAGGTACAGCAGCGGAGCAGCAGGGGCAGCTGACGTACGCAGTACGTAGCTGCGGACGTTGTTGAAAAGGCCTGGCGCTGGTGGTGTTACTAGTCCCCGCACCCGTGTGTCCATTGTAGGCTGCTTCTTAGGGCCTGTTCTTTTAAGGTTACGGGTCTGCGGTACACGTTACTACTGGGTGAGAGTCGCACTGCAGGGGGTCGAGCTGTCAAGAACTTCGGAAGGACGCAACTCAGCAGCTGTCCTTCACCGCACACCGTGCAGCAGCTGCACAGGATTACATAATATGGTCTTGACCGTTCATATAGACAGCCAAAGGTCCACAAACGCGTTGCAAAACCTGCCGTGAAATCCTATGGGCCAATGGCACAAACTAAGGTCCAACCTTCCCCCAAAACTGCCATACTGTTGGGACGCAAGGAGCATGATGCATTAAGCTCTAAAGCCTGCCTCGTCTGTGTCGCTCCTGAATGCGACGCTCTCATGCTCGACCCGTCTGTCATTCATGCTTTCCACCCAGACACCGCAGGCAGCTGTATACCCACACTGTATACCCATCATGCCTAGTCCCCCCTGTGACCCCTGCACCTCCTGGCGTCAACCTTGGATATGTACTTTACCTGTCGCAAGGTTGAAGCCAGGAGGTGCAGGGGTCACAGGGGGGACTAGGCATGATGGGTATACAGCGTGGGTATCCGAAAACCGTCAGGTTACATCGTAAGTTTCAAAAGAAATACTAATCATTTTTCCCTTTCCTAAAGCATACAACCTCTCGCAGTGCAGCAAGTGGCATTAAACTTCTCTTGTTGCCCCCTCATAACCTCACAACCCCTTTCACTCATTTGATGCGCCCAAATGCACTCGACCGCCCCAGTGCTTCAAGGCTTGAAAGTTAAGAGCATGCGGGGGGGGGGCTTTCCCAGCATTGGAAACTCCTTACGATGCCGCTGCACCCAGCCATACGGTCGGTAGGATGCACGTACGTCAGCCATGAAGGGCGCCTCGGCACACGGCGCCTCAAAAGATAAAACCACTGCCTGCCTCCTTTGCCGCACGCCTTTCAGCGCTAGTGGCGCAGCACCACGTCCGGAGAAAGCTGCGGACGTATCAGAGGAAAGGCGCCGGAATTCGGTGGAGGACACGACAAGGATTTGACACAGTGAGGGAAAGGCTCGCATTGTTGGGTAGCGGCAAACGTGAGCAACGTATTCATTACGCAGCGTCCTCCCAATTCGCTAACCCCCGTTCCCAAATGCAGCACCGTCAAACTCACGTGCATGGATTAGTTTCCTATGCCCACCAAGTTTCCCCTACACGTGTTCCCTAGCCCGCCGTAAACTCGTCACCTCCCCTCAGCATCGTAACCTATCCAATGTCCGTTCCGCTCTCTACACACCTCTGCTTACCTTAGCGGAAGCGCTCAGGGAAGGAGCACTTGATGTCATTGTAAGCCTGGAGGAACTGGCACTCCTGCGGGCACATCTGCCGCAGTGCGGGGGTGATGTGGCCGAGCACCTCGTTGACCTCCTGCTCCAGGACCTCCAGGCTGCCGGGGTGGGTGAGGCAGTTCCGGCGCGTGAGCAAGTCATCCGCCTGCTGGGCCACCGCAGCCGCGTCCATGCCCATTCTTTGGGCAAGGCGCTCAAGCCCAAGGTCTTGCTGCTCCAGCATCTTAGTGTAGCAGTCGCTGGTTGTGGTCCGGAACTCCTGCTTGCCGCAAGCGTGAAGAAGAAGCTGTGCGTTAACGTTGCGAAGACGCAAGGCCCAGCCCGAAGCCAGTTGCGCGTCATGGTCGGCTAGCCTAGTAAGGACAGACTGGAGCGTTTCAGACATAGATAGGACCAGCTGCGGAAGCGTGCCCCTCGTCTCGGCAACCACCGTGACGTCCTGGTTTCCAACAAGGCGCTGCTGCCAGTTGGCCACTGGAGCCTGGGTGTCGGTAAACAGGACTTGCTTCACCTCCAGATTTTCACCCGTGCACCCTTGCGCTGTGGACAACGCACGCTCAACGCAAGAACCGAGGTTCTCATGGCCAGCTGCCTGCACCTGCGCGACGGTGGCTGCTGCCCTAACCACAATAATAGTCATTACGTGTGGTTTAGTGCACGCGCCCCCAGTAATGTTCCAGAAAAGAATCCTACCACGCACTGACAGCAAGCGGTGTCACGCTTCTGTGTAAAGTCACCAGAACGCCAACTAAGCTAATCTTTTGCAATTTACGCTTTTCAATGGGGAAAATCCGGAACTAACTAAACTATCGCCCCAAGTATAAGTGTATAACCGAAGCGAGCGTGCCGTACCTGTCGGCCTCGCAGTCCTAATCGCATCCTATCGGGGGGATAAATTTTCGATACGATGGGCATGTCTCAGAACAAACACGGCCGGAAGCCGCGCGATTTTCAAGATGCAGTGAACGAAAAAAGTCAAATCCTTATGCTTTCCGGGGTCAGTCGTCGCGGTTTGGGCATTTGGAACCTGTCTTGAAAATACATTTATTGAGCTTGCTATGACCCGAGGAAAAGGCAGTGTGTGGTTACCGGTTTGACTGGCATGGTCAAGTCAATGGTTAATGTTTGGCACCAAGCTCAAAGTGCTTTGCCGCGTACAAACCGAAGCAGGCTTATAGGTGCAAGCTATAACAGGCGTTGCTAGCGAAGTGCTGCCCGCACATTGTCTGGCCGACCTGTTTCCTGCATGCGCACTGGCTTGCCGGCGGTACAGCCGGCCGGCAAGCACAGTGCGTTGTACCACCTAGCACACGCACTCTAGGAAACAGGGTGATGCCCATGAAACCACCAGCTATGTAAGCCATTGCCCCTCACAACCCCTCACCAACTCCTGCTGATCTGGAACAGCAACACCCCTTTGTACGGTACGTGTAAGTTGCACTATGCGCATGCCAGATGTAGGCAGTAGGCGGAGGCTGAGAATGCAACTATGCACTTTACCACACCGTCTTACATCTCTTTGATCTCTGCATGCATGCATGCTAGTCCCCAAATGTATTCCTCCTACACTATAACTCCCTTACCCACTTCCTGCTGTTGACCATGCGCGTCCCTTAGTAATGAAATTTACAGTCACGTGTAATGGTAAACCCTGGGTAAACAACATTTTTTCGTTCGAGTCCATCAATGACGTACATGCATCCTAAGGAACACCCCCCTACCTAACTCCTGCAAACTCCATTGCCCACTGTACAACCGTGCGTACCCCATCGTATTGAAACTTACGCTCATGGGCACGTGTAGGGATACGCAATGCTATCCAAGTACATGCAGGTCCCTATGACCTTATTTGAACGGTTGCCACGTCAGGCATCAGTCCACTCGATCTTCCTGCAGCACCTTTTGCAGAATGATAGTCATTTGTATGACTCTCAGCCAAAAATTTGCAATGTCCGCGTTTGGGCTGAGAAGAAAGTACCAACGTACGGCACCTGATAGGAATCTTTTCTCATTTATTCCCTATCGCAAAACTTCCAACGGCAACAACGCCTCGACACCCCAACATCCCTTAGCTTTCGAGCACGTTCATTTTTGTGTGCGAGTCTTCTCCTGTCTTCGCTGACCTTACGGCGGCGGAGCGGAGAGAGATATAGAGGCCTCGCCTCACGGGCAACATCCCGAACATTGCAAGGTGCCAACATTCAAGCAGGCAGACGTGCCTGTAACCGTTTGAGCATCTGCGGACAACCAGAAGGTGAGTGTAGCGCTGTTCAATTCCAGAGGCAGTGTCGCCAACGACTCGCACATGTTGCACTCGAAGTAAGATGCATGTTACAGCCAAGCCTTGCGACTGAACGCGGCATTAACTTTCTAGGCCAACACGCGGCCCGCTTACATTCTGGTCTTAGCTCTCCTTGGTCCGGCTTACCAAGCCGTCTAGACTAGTCAAACATGATTCGGGGAAAGGTATCCAAACATGAGGTCGTCCAGCCTGCATTAGATTTCCGTTTTCGGACGCAAGAGGGAACGTGCGCGAAGCAGTCGGTTGGGCCTCTCACGCTTAATGATTCGTAACCAAAATAAAATAAACTATTCGTCCTGCACTATAGACTTATTATGAGGTCCTACGCGCATCGTGCAAGAGACGCTCAACTTAACGCTCCTTTTGTGCATGCGTTATCATGCGTTGGGTTGCATTTTTACATACCTTCCTGCTGTTCCCTCACTTGTCTTGCAGGTTGTTACACCGAGGCCGTGTGTTATCTTGCCAGTAGCAATTGGATACTTCTGCGCCCTTCATCCATCTCTTCCGATAAACCGTCAGTCAGACCGCCATGGGTTGCTCTGCGTCTGCTCTGGCAGCGGCAGATTTGAACAAGTCCCTCAGGGCTGGTAGTGGCTCTCCCGCCCTCCTGGACAAGCTGGAGGCGTGCCCATGGCTCCTCAGCACCGCGCCATCCGTCCTCACCAGCACTGCCGGCACACCGCTACATGTTGCCTGCGAGCGAAAGCAGCTGCAGGTAAGGTGAAGTAAACACCCCACTCACAACACCCAAACAGCAACCTCGGGTTTACAGCAGTAGCATGCCTTCCAGTCCCATTGCATGCGGGTCTGGCACATGTGAAGGCTCAGAGCCCCTTGACCGCCTTCCCTGTCCCCAGGTTGTGCAGCAGATGTTTTCCTTCCTGTCCTGCTCTCCACTGTCCACGGTGCGGGAGGCGCTGCGGCCGTATTGCCGGCGAGCTGGGCGCCCGCTGCCTGCGTCCGTCGCGGAGGGCATACGGATTGCCGTGGACATGACCAACTGCAAGGGTAAGGAGGCCCGGAGCAACCGATGTGGGTGATGCTGGTTGCGCTTACGGTGCTCTTCCGCGCATCACCGGTGCCCTTACACCCGTGCGGGGTCTGCCCTGAGCCTGTCTGTGCACCCCTCCGTTATGCCGACCGCGCAGGTCAGACGCCCCTCATGTACGCGTGCGCTGCGGGCAGCCCCGAGCTCGTGAAGCTGCTGCTGACACAGGGCGCTGACCCGTGGGTCGGGGACCGCTGCGGCTGTCGCACCGCCCTGCACTACGCCTCCATGGCTGGCAGCGTGTCGTGTATTGAGGCACTCATGCAGCACCTGCCCGCGAGGGACATGACGAGGCAAGGGGTCAGGTGGGTGGGAGCCCCTGGGGATCGGGATCGCCAGAGCTGGGACACAAAACCGCACCTGATTTGATCCTTCCATGACACATCGAGCCGCGTCCCGCCTCCCAACGCCAAACCGCTCACCCCTCTTACATGCTACGCACCGCCTCCGCACCGCACAGGTACATCAACGCCCGCAGTCTGTGCGGCCTAACAGCCCTGCACTACACCGTCTTCTTCGACCACCCGGCCGCCACGGAGGAGCTGCTGCGGCACGACCCGCAGCTCAACGCCGCCACCACTTGCGATTCGTACGATGTGTACGTCACCTGCGACCCCTTCTCCACCCCGCTGCACTTCGCGGCGGTGCGCGGGACGGCGCCCATTGCGCGACTGCTGCTGAACCACTATGTGAGTGCCGCGGGGCTTGATGTGAGGGGCTTGGGAGGAGTGCGGAGGCGAGCAGAGCGGAGGAACGGGCGTCCTGGCGTGCTTTGTTTTGGCTATGTACCTATGTTGTGTTTTGGCTGTGTCGCAACCCGTGCGTGCAACCCCTGCTGACATGGATATTCTGCGTCGGCTCGTGTTGGCTCCCTCTGAAACCCCCACTGTTCTCCTCTTCCTCCCCCCGCCTCTCCCCCCAGTTGGTGCACGGCCCCACCCTGAGCGGCTCGCCCTCCCGCGACCCCCGCCTGTGTTGCAACTACGGCCAGCAGCTCCCCTGGCAGGTCGCCGCCTCGCACCACCCCTCCAACCGGGAGCTGGTGGCGCTGCTGCACCCCGCTCAGCCGCTGGAGCGGGCGCTGGGGCTGGCGGGCGAGGGCGCGGGGCGGGGCTCCTCGCCGCTGCACGTGGGGCCGCCCGCACTGGCAGCCCTGGCCGCCGCGGCGCTGCATGCCAAGCTGGCGGAGGACCTGCGGGCAGCGCAGCAACAGAAGGAACAAGAGAAGGAACTGCAGCAGCAGAAGGAACAACAGGAACAAGAGCAGCAGCGGCACCAACAGGCGGCGGCTTCGTGCGCAGCAGGAGGCGGCTCAGCCGCGTCTTCATCGCAGGCAGGCGAGGAGGAATGTCCGCAAGCCGCTGCTGCAAGCGACAACAGCAGCTGCCCCGCGGCATGTGCAGCAGCAGCAGCCCCACCTGCCGCGGTCACCGCCCTGGGCCCCAGCACCGCCACTGCGCGCCAGCCGCATGCACCTCCTCCTCCTTCCCCCCAGCAGCAGCAACCCGCAGGCCACCTGCTTCACAAGTGCAACCGTGTGATGCCCGCCCTGCCGCATCCACGCAAGGTGCAGGAGGCGGACGACGAAGACAACCTCTGCGGGGTGTGCTTCGCGAGCTCGATGGAGGTGGCGCCGGCGGGGTGCGGCCACGGAGTGTGCCTAGCGTGCGCGTCCGAGCTGTCTCGAGGGCTGTTGGCGGGGCCCCGACCCAAGCCGCTGCTGTGTCCCTTCTGCCGACAAGGGGTTGCGGGCTTTGTGTGTGTTCCCAGGGAAGCGAGCTGATGCGGCTGTTGACGTAGGTTATGTTGGGAGCGAGTGCGGCAGGCGCTGCTGGTGCTCGTACTTCCTTTTGCACGGGTTGTGCTGTCCCGGTACTTGTAAAGCACTGCTAGCGGCTGTCAGTTGCACGGAGTGTTCTCTTCCCCATCTCTCTCTCTTGGCTGGCGCCCTTCTGCATGACAAGGCCGCCTCGGCCTCAGTCTCAGAGTGTACCAGGGCTGATGTATTGCGGCGCCTTCACCGTCGCTCCGTGTGCTGTGTCTTCATTTCTGTTTTCGTGATGAGGCGCTGCGCCTGCCGGCTGTGTGCGGCCGGGGGGGCGGGTGCTGGAGGTGTGAGAGCGCTGTTACCCGCGCACGTGTCACCTGTTGGCGGGCTGTTGCTGCTGGAGGGGGCGGAGCAGGTGGCGTGTGAGGAGGAGTGGGCGGCCGCAGCAGCAGCCCTCAGAGGAGGAGTGATTTTATAAGCCTCGTCGAAGTCGCTCTGCCGGGTTGGGTGCGAGTGGAGGAGTCAGGAGTGGCGAGTGCGCATTAGCAAGGGCATGCCCGGCAGTAGGCTGTTCCAGTAGGCTGCCTGCGTCAAGAGATATCCCGTGTGTTGTGCGCGGGTGCGTGATCCACAATGGCCATGCAAATGCGTGTGCATATAGGTGTCCGTTGTTATAGCGTATTAGTTATTGGAGTCCTCTTGGCCAATGCGTATTGGTTGGGGGCTATTGGGCTGGTGGCAGCGGCAGTGGCAGTGGCGATATCGGATGGAAAAGGGATATCGCAAGTTTCGACCCCCGCCCCTGCCTGGTTGCCTGCCTACCGTCCTTACATAGTGAGGGCGGTGGATGGGGGATTCGCAACATTGTATTCTTTTGCCGCATGGAGCGCCTGTGGGTTCGGAGAGCAGGTGGGACTAGTGCGCGGAGCTCACACTACATATCGTCTTGTGAAGCAGTAGCTACGCCGCGTGCATAATAGGGGCGATGTGCGGTGGCTTTGGCCGACACTATAACTCTGTCGTTGTGTGTGCAACGTGGAACTAAGACCTTGAACAAGTCAATATCCGGTACCTTGCCCACCGACATGCGGCGTGTCACGTGCGATAAGTATGTAGATTTATAGCCATCATAGGGTTTATCCACGTTATAGATCCACTTTGAAGGATACCCTGACTGTGAACACAATAATTGGATCCTATTGTACCATGCGGTATGCGCCCTTGGGCGTGTAGGAATAGTGGGGGCTGGCTGTAACATGTGGGAGGGTGGCTGTTGGTTGTTGTTTCTGGTGAAAGCGGTCCTCCTCCGTACAACAACCGGCAGGCACCTCTCGCAGTAGCAGGAGGACGGCGGTGAACTTTGTAGTCTTGTATGGGAGCTTGGCTGCAATAGCCTTGTAGCTGCAGCGGTGTGTCAGGTTAAGAAAACCTGGGCTAGCTGCGTGTGTTACTAGCACCCCTGCCCGCCATGTAACGTATTCGACACGCCCTCTCCCGTGCATGAAGGGGCATTCAGATTAAAGGAAGGCCACTCTTGGCAGTGTTGTGGCCCATCCTCTTACCAGGAGCCCAGCCTTATCCGACTGGGCACGTTGCTTAGTACCGCTACCGTCGTCATGGAGACAGCTTCCCTTAAGATACCGATAGTAGAGGATGGGGCCAGCCTGCCCTATCAGTTACAAGGCAGCTTTGGACGATCTTACTAGCGTCAGGGGCGTCCTGAGCGCTTCCACGGGCTGGGGCTTAAGGAGTATGCGAGTTTTACAGGAGAGTCAGAACTCCCCTACGGAGCCGCCCGGAGCATCGTACACCGTCCGCTTAGCAGCACTGTTGCCTGGTAAGGCGTCATGGCGTCCTAACCAGGGTATGCAGGGAGCTCACGTCCACGTTCTCCTCTCCAGCTACCTAGCCAACGTGCCGGTACGCTTCCAGATTGTCAGCCTAGCTATGTACATATCCACATATGCGAAGTCACCCCAGAGTTACGGATATCCTCGTCACCGACTGCTGTCACGACCGCAAGAACCGAATGCCAATATGCCATACACAATGCACACACAGCGTCATAACACGCACTTCGCAACCCACACGCACGCACAGGCCTGGTTCTCCACCCAGCCGTCCAGCACATGCCACGCGGATTCACCCTACGTAGGCGGTGGTGGTGGAGGCGGCGGCAAGCCTCCCTCAGACGGAGCAGTCCCACCTGCATGCTGCTGGGGTTGGCCATGCGAGGTGCTGCCGCTGCTCCCGCTTGTTACCGCCCCCCGGTTCCTGGACGCGGGCTTGGGCTTGGGCGGCGTACCCAGCGGCCCTCCTTGCGCCGCTGCCGCAGCAGCAGCGGAGGCAGAGCCCGGGCCCCTGCTACTGCTCCTGCCGCCGCTGGACACCCGCGGGGGGTGCGTGGTGGCGGGCGCTGGGGCCGAGGAGGTGGACGAGGAGGCGGTGTTGGCGGCTGCATGAGATGAAGAGGAGTCGCTGGGTCTCCTGGGAGCTGGGCCCCCTGCTGCGCCGCCTGCAGCAGCACTGCCCCCAGTCCTTCCACCGGCACTGCCTGCAGGGGCGAACAGAGGGAGGCCGGTAGAGGTCGCTGCGTTAGCGAAGCCGACCGGGCACGCCAACAAAAGACTTCCTTACTCCACCAACCGCCAACAGTCCAACACGCAAGAGGGCTGTCAACCTGGCAGGCACTGGCTGTTACACTGGGGCAGCCGCACCCTTCTTCCCGCTCCCCCTCCGCGTACCTGAGCTGGCATGCCGCGGCGCCCCTGCAGCTGCTGCCCCGCTGCCGCCTGCTCCGCCGCCGTTGCATGCGAGGCTGCTGCTGCCGCCGGCGTCAGGCGAGGCGTGCGCCGCTCTGCTGCTGCTGCTGGTGTCCCGGGTCCCTGTGCCTCTGGGTGCCTGCAGGGGGGCGGCAAGGCGGCGGCGATACCGGTAGACTATGAGGAACGCTCATGGGATTTGCAGCGGAGGATACCGGTAGCTAGGAACGAAATAGCACAGCCTGAACGGGAGACTACCAGGGGGGAGCCGGACACAATTACGGTACTCAAGTAGCGCCACCGGGTGGGAAGGAGGGGCAGAGGAAGCCCCCTTCTGCCGCTGCACAGTTGGATGCGAGCAAGCCACACCAACACCTCTCCTCCTTGGCCGAAAGGACTCCGCGGTCCCAAGGCCCCGGCATGTCCCTCAACCGGTCAACCCCAACGTGTGGCGAGCCGTCCCGCGACGCCCAACTCACCCTGCCGGATTCCGACACCCGGTTGCCACCGCTCGCTGCCTGCTGCTGCTGCTCTTGTTGTTGTTGTTGCTGCTGCTGTCGGGCCTTGCGTGCGCCCGCCTCCTCCTCTTCCGCCTTGCGCCGCTGCTCGTTCAGCTCCTGCGGCAGGTGGGGCAGAAGAGGAGTGTGACGGCGGCTACTTGGGACAGGACCAGTCAGCGAAAGAACTACATAAGAGGCGGCTCCACAGCTAGGGGCCCTCCTTTACCGCCTTGCCCCCGGGCCCGCCCCCCCACCGCCCCTCACCTGCAGCCTCTTGCACTGCTCTACCAGCACCCGCAGCGCCGCCTCCCCCAGCCGCACCACCTCGCCCGTCTTGAGGCTGCGCAGAGCCGAGTCCACATCGCGCTCCCTGCAGCCGCACCGCGCATCAGGGGAGGGCGTCGAGAAGGGGCGGGAAGAGACGGGAAAGAGAGGGAAGGGATGAAACAGGGGTGGCGGGAGGATAAGCAAGGAAAAGGAAAGCATGGGGTCCGGACCGCATGGCATGGGGATTGCCGATTGAGCGAATGAGTCCAAGCGAGAAAGGCGCCAAAGCCAAAGCCCCACGCCCAGTACCCCTGGCCCACCTGCTTGCAAGCTCCTTGGCTAGCCTTTCCTCCCGCAGGTAGTCCCGCTGCCCGCCCGCCGTCACCACGGAGGCAGAGCTGCCGCCGCCGCCCGCAGCGGACCGCACACTGCGGGGGGGCGAGGCGGGCCGCCGAGAGGACTGCTGCGCGTGCAGCTGGGACTGCGGGGAGCCGCTGCTGGGGCCGGCGGCAGCTGCCGCAGCACCCCCAGGTGATGAGGCGGTGGCTGCTGGGGACGTCTCCTCCCCAGGCTGCGGCTGCCGTACCTCCTTCACGCCCTTGAAGTCCGCTAAGGAGCCGTTTTCGTCCCACACATGCTCGGATTCAAAGGCAGCCAGGCGGGCGTTGATGGCGCGCAGGGCCCGTGCAGCGACCCGTGGGTCATCGTACACGAGGCCGGGGAGCAGCCCGCCGCCCAGGCCCTCCACGGAGCTGCCGCGTGGGGTACTCCCCGCTGCTGCAGCAGCGGCAGCAGCCGCCAGCAGCGCCGGGTGGCCATGCAGCGCAGCGGTGGCGAGAGCTGACATCCCTCCCGGGGTGCCGCTGCTGGTTCCGGGGCGGGACCAGGAGGCGGACGCTCCCAGCGATACGGACGCCGCGGAGTGAGGTCGCGAGGCGGAGGTCGCCGCCGCGCCATCATCAGCGCCTCCGGCGCCGCCACCGCCGTCAGCGGAGGAGTGGTCTTGTAGCCGGCGCTGCAGCATGGAGGGTGTTCCTATGAGTGAGAGTCCGGTGGTTCGCGCGGAGGGAGTGGGGCAGCAGGAGGTGGCGGCGGAGGGCAGTAGCGAGTCCAGATCCAGGTCTATGTCATCAGGGCTGGCGGAGGCGCCGCTACCGCCGTCAGGTGCCGTTGCCGCCGCCGCTGCTGTGCTGCTGCCGCCGCCGTTACCGTTGCCGTACGGCGCCGCGGAGTCAAGGTCGAAGGGGTTGATTGCGGCGCCCTCGTCGTCATTCCGCCGCATGACGGCTTCAACTAGGGCCTCCTCCTGAGGAAGAGTGGTGGTGTGGAAGGTGGGGGAGGTTGGGGCACGGACAGGGCGAGTGAGGGCCAAGGTTACGCCTACTTGTGACATGTCGACCTCCGAACGAAGACAGGAATTGCATTACCGCTTTATCGCCGATGTTTAGCATCAGCGCCTATCCGTCTATCCCCCTACACCGCGTGCATCTCCCGAAATGCCGTACGCGTACCTCGGGTTTCAGCACGAACAGGCGCGAGTAGGTGGACGGCTGGATCGCTAGCGACCGCTGCGACCCATGGGTCAGCGCCTCACTGGGGTAGGCCACCAGGGACGAGGCGGGGCCGTCCAGGGAGGTTACCGCGCGGGCGAGGCGGGCGGCGCGCAGCCGCTTGTGTCGCTCTCGCCTGAGAGAGCAGGGGGGTGGACAGTGGAAGGATTAGGAGGGAGGAAGTTCATGTGACCGTAATCTTTTCGCGGTAGTGTGAGGAGCTGGACACAGGGTAAGCCTCTTCCTCCTCTTCAACATCGCCTCATGCGCCCATGTCCCCCCCAACCCGAACCCTACCCTAGCGCCCCAACCCCGGCCGCCCCCCTCGTCAGTTTTCCTTATTTTACCCCCAACCCACTTGAGTGCCTCCTCCACCCCGCGCGAGTGCCGCTCCAGCCGCCGTCGCTCCTGCTCCACCCACTGGTCGGGGAAGGTCTCCCGGTGGCTGATCAGCGCCGCGATCAGCCGGTCGTTCAGCAGCGAGTCCAGCTCGCGGATGCGCTCCAGACCCTCAGCGACCCGTGGGTCGGGGTGCTCGCAGGGCAGCTGGTTGATGGGCAGGTCTGGCGGGGGGATGAGGATAGAAGGCAAACTCGATGGCCGAGTGCTAGCGGCAAGTTTTGTTTCACGGAAACCGGAAGGATGTGCCCATGCAGAAGCCATTGGGAAGCATGACCAGGTGTCAGGCAATGGTTGAAAACGCATCGCACCATGTCACCTAAACGCATACCAGTATAACAGGCACAAGCGCCCCAGCCGCCGTCTCTCCAACAGCCCCCCGCCCCCACCTTCGAACCTCCTGGGCCCCAGCCAGCCCTCCAGCGTGGCGTACTCGGCCCTCCGCTGCCGGAACAGCCGCTCCAGCATCACGCCCCAGTCGGCAGGCAGCTCAACCAGCCGCCCGCCCGACTCGTCCTTCAGCTCCTGGGGGGAGGGAGGGAGGGGCCACATCTTGGGTAAATCGCAAAGGGCTGTAATGTTTGAGGGAGGGGGCGGATGTGGGTCAGAGAAGTGGATATACCGCACGGCCGGTCCTAACAGGCCCAAATTATTCCTTCACACCCCCTCAACCAACGTCCCGCCCCCCACCCGCCGCCCCACCGTGAGTGCCGTCATGTACTCCCCCAGCTCGCTGCGCCGCTGCGACTGCTGCCCCTCAGCTCGCGCAGCCAGCGCCGCCACCGCCGCCCTGCTGGCAGCAAGCACCGCCGCGTCGTCCGCACCCGCAACACCGCTGCCCTCCTCCTCGCCCACCTCCTCCTCCTCCTCCTTCACTGCCGTGGCGGGCCGGCTGGATCGCTCCCCCTCTCCCTCCATGGATGTCGCCCCCGCCTGCTGCTCCTCCTGCTGCTGCTGGTCCTCCTCCTGCTGCTCCTGCTGCTGCCCCGGCTGCTCCTGTGTGACGTACAGGTCGCGGATCACCAGCAGCAGCGAGCGGCGGGACTCCTCGGTGTCCTCCTCCTCCTCCGCGGCGGCGGGCTGGGGGGGCTCCGGGTCGTTCACCTGTTGCATGGAGCCAGCCAGCTCAGGAGGGCCCTCGCCGGCGCCCTGCACGTCGGTCCCGCTGGCGCCGTCGCCGCTGTCGTTGTTTGGAGCCGGCCCCTGCAACGCCTCCGCTCTGTCCCCGGCGTCTCCCTCACCCGCGTACTCGGCGAACGCGGCGTCGTCCTCGTCGTCACCTGGGGAGCCGCATGGAAGCGAGAGCCCGCACGGTGGGGCTCGCTAGGGTGTACACAGCAGGGCTCAGCGCAACGCGCTACATAACATCCCCCTTCAAGCGCCCGTGCATGCCCCGGCCTCGCCTCCCCTCACCCCTCCCTGCTCCCAACCCCACCCCTTACCATGATCCGACGAGGTGGGGCTCTGCATGGGGTTGAGCCGGCTGCTGACCACGGACATGAGTCCCAGCCGGGACATGCGCGCAGCCCCCTCCGCGCCCTCGCCGCCTCCCGCCACCATGCCAGCCTCCTCGAAGCCGGCACCCAGCTCCTGAGACTCGTCCACCCCGGGTCCGTCGGGACCGAAGGAGCGGCGCAGGTCCGTGAAGAAGATACCGCCCACACGACCTGTGGCGTGTGCGGATGTAGGGGGTTAGGCAGCAGGGGGCGTCAGGGCCAGGCCAGCTGCATGGCTGGATGGATGCCGGTATTGGCCTGACATGCCTCGAGTAGGGCGGGCTGCCTATAGGTGGGATGCCGCGGCCGCTTAGGCGCAGTGAAAGTCACCACCCTAACGCCGACCCGCGTACCAGCACTTCCCTGCTCCCAACCTTCCCACTCGCCAGCACCCCCCACCTGACGCCACCGACGCGGGTGTCCCCGGCGCCTCCGACGCCTCCCCCGCCAGCTGCTGCCGGGAGCGCCCGGGTGTCCCCACAATCCCCCGCTCCGCCTCCCCGCCGCCGCCTCCAACCCCCGGCAGGCTCCCCTGCTGCAGGTGCTGCTGCTGGGACGCAGCCAGTGCAGCCTCGTAGCGCCGGGCGCTGCTGCTGCTGCGGCTGCTCCGGGGCCCCACAGTCGCCGCTGCTGCTGCTGCCCCGGCATGGCCGTCCCGCACATGCATCCGTGGGTTCTCCTCGTCGTCACCCTGCGGCAAGAGAAGCGGCGCAGCAGCGAAGCTCTTGGCCTGCTTGACAACACGCATGTAAAGGGGCATGCGGTGGCAGCGCGTGACTTGGACGCCGCATCATGTCCCGGACGGCCCAGGCTAGTTCCATGAGCCCCATGCGCAATCCTTAGCACCCCCCTCTCATGTTCCAGTCGCTGCGGCCACCTGTATTTTGCACACCAACGCACCTCTGTCACGGGGTTGAAGCGGCAGGAGGCCTGCGACATGGTGGTTTCGGGGCGATCGGGGGAGCACACCCGCGGGTGAGGTGGATAACCCCCCTGTGTGGCGGAACGGAGGGAAGAGGGCGGCGGGTGGTGATGCCGTTAAGGAGGAGGATGAAGCGCAAAGCAAGCCTGGGCAGGAAGAAGGGTGCTACAGCCACCTCCCCCCACTGCTCTGCATGGGTGCACACGGCAGCAGGCAGCAGGCAGCGGGCACCGGCACTGCGACCCTCTGCGTCCACCTTGCCTCTCACCTGCGCCACGGAGCTGCTGCTGCTCCCCAGCGCGCCCGGCCCCGGCGAGTGGGCTGGCAGCGGCAGCAGCGGCTGCATGTGGCTGCTGGAAGCCCGGCTGCCGCCGCTGCCGCCGCCGGTGGAGGTGCAGGTGAGCGGAATCACCTCGTGAGGGCCCGCGGAGCTGCGCCGCCCGTCCGTGCTGCGCGTCCTGAGGGTTAGGAAAGCCACAAGGACCCTCCGGTGAGGGCAGCGACAACTACTTCCCCTGGGGCCGCACCCATGGGGCTGTGGCAATCAACCAGTGGCTTACCCCTAACATGCAGTACCCCCTGGCTCAAAATCGGTATCCTCCTAAGTGCACCTCGCTGCCCGACAGCCTGCAACCGCACCTGCTGAGCGGCACCGGCACACGTGGCCTGGCGCCGTTGCTGCTGCCATGGAAGTCTGCGCATGGAGGGGTGGGGGTCGCTGGTAAGGAGGCTTCCATGACAACACCGGGGCTACTGGTGGCGGGAAGGGAGGTTTGAGATACGAAAGGCCTGCGGCAAACCCTGACCCCTGGTTTGGAGAGAGCACCCCGCCAAGCCATCCAACCCCTTGTAGCGGAATTGAACCTCTCCCCTGTCCTTCACAAACTGGCAGATCACCTTCTGACCGCCCGAGGGAACCGTCAAGCAGCGGCATTGCGCTGTGCAAGGAAAAGAGATGGGGTAAAGAGTTGTTGGGAGCTCTCAACGACGCAGGATGGTTGACTGGAATGCTAATTTAACATAGGCACAGGGAGTCCAATCAGCTTACCGCGAGTCAGGTGGCAGGACTTCCATCGAGGCCGTCAACGGAATTTCACTGCCTGCAAGCGTAAAATGTTTGGCACCTCCGTAAGCCTAAGAACTGAAGCACTACCTAGGCGTGCACTTGACGTGTAATTCAACCTTACAGGACCTATGACCTACCGGCGCTGCCTGGCCTACCCGGCCCAACTTTTGAGCGACGCACAGGGGTTGAAGGCTTTGACATTTTCGAATTCCTTAGCAGCACAGCAAGCTAAGAAAAGGACTGCGCAAAGTCATTAAAGGTAACAGCAACACCCGCGGTCTCTCATTTCCTCTCCTGTGCTTCAGGAAAATTTGTACGCAAAGGAAACGCGATTAATAGATTTAGTTATATTGTCAGAAGCCTGAGGAAGGTAGGAAGAGTGGCGTGGCACCATTGCCCAAACTCGTACGTTCAAGCGCATCTTCTAACTTTAAAGGGGCATGTTGCCGGCAAGTATTGCGAATGTATAGCTGCAAAATGAAAATAACCCTGGGCTATTTCGGAGGAAACGAGAAATGAAGCGCTTAACTACCGGGACGCTCCTTGAAAGCCACCTCCATGCCCTTCAACTCACTTCAGGCGCAGCATCGGTAAGGTATGCATGATCAGCCACATCACACAGCCAAAGTATTCAAATCAGGCTTGACAATTACGTCCTGGCATGCAACATTCCGCCATGCTAGGTCCGCCCGGCTCTTCCTAAAGCTGCTGATTCCCACCCGGACAGCGGTTTCCATCGTGCTGTTTTTTCATGAAAGTAAGGCGCCTTTTGACGTTCGCCCTCAGGGCGCGGCTGTGGTGGAAGTGCTGCCTCCGTTCCCAACCGACGAGCTAAAGCCAACGCTGAAGTGCAAGTACAAGGACGTCAAGGAGCTCCTTGCAGCGACATTCCCGAAGAACAGGGTTGAGGTAAGGTTTGTACCCAGCGCCTTCGTCCGGATACCTTCTCAGAGACTAAAGAACCCTGCGTCCCATTATTAGTCCTGCCCCATTTTAATAATCACCATCTCGTCTACCGCGATTTGCCCCATCGCTAGAGCGACAGGCCTGCATGCCTGCTATTCTCTGCGCTAACCATAGCAGGCCTAATTGTCTTCCCTCTCCCCTTCCCCCCTTCCTCCCTACACAGATCCACGATAGCGTCTACGGCGGGCGCAATGGTGGCAGCGGCAACTACAGGTGCGCTGTCCCGCACCGGCCAACGGACGGATGCCTAACGCCCATTGCGCCTTTCTGGCGTAGGTAATGACCCACGGGTCGCTGCTACGCACTTCGCCCCATCCACCTGGGGCCCCGGGATGTGCCATCATCTGTTGTCGTATGTCGCTATAACTGCTCCGTGCCGCCCTTGCCTTCGCCGGGCTCGCCCCCTGCTGCTGCTGCCGCGCCCCTCCCCGCAGCTACCGTGCCTGCCTGGCCGCCGGCGTGTGGGTGCGGCACGGGGAGGGCCGGGGTCGCATCCTGTGCGCCGCACTGCTCCGCCTCAACCTGAAGCTGGACGCGGCCAGGACGGCGGAGGCGAGCAGGACACACGTGCAGGTAGGTGGGGAAACCGGGGTGCGCTGCAAGACAGGGCTGTACTTGAGGATGTATCTGAGGGGCGGGGGGCCACTGGTGCAGGAGGCCCGCAGGTAAGCCAGGCTGCCATGGGGTGCTGCTCCCGTCCGCCGATGCACCCCTCCGCTCACCCCTACGTCCCTCAGCTCCTCTACCTGGCCACCCGCCCCGACTGCCGCCACCGCGGACTAGCCCGGCTGCTGCTGCGACACATCCTGCGGGCGGCAGCGGCGCAGGGACACCAGGTGAGGCGGGCGGGGGGCAGCGGGGGGGCGAAGGCGGTGCTTGGAGAGGGCTGGAGGTAACGTGAAGGATGTGGGTGTCATCGCTGCGACGGCGGGGGAGTGGGATGGGCAGGGCGGAGGTGTGTAGCCGCTCCCCTCTCCAGGCCGACACACTTTGACCTCTCCTCCCTTGCTCCTCCCTTCCCCCCTCCTGCGCACCACCTGCCCCCTGCCTCCTCTCCTCCTAGTGCGGTAGATATCCTCTTAATCCCCCTCCTCCTCCTGCAGTACGCCTCCGTGGTGGTGGGCGGGCGGGATGTGCAGGCCTACTGGTGCCGCATGGGCTTCTCCGCGGGGCCCGAGGGCTGGCAGGAGCCGCCGGGCGGGGTGCGGCGGGCTCGGGCGGGGGAGACGGAGGCGGTGCGGGCGGTGGTGGCGGCCAGTCGGCAGCACCAGCCGCACTCCGCCATCTGGGTCACACCGCTGCAGCCGGAGCCGGGCGGCATGACGTGGGAGGAGCGGGTGAGGGGGCGGGGGGAGGGGGTGTGTGTGCATGGGGGCATGGGGGCATGATGAGGTATGCCGCTTGGTAGCGTTAGGTGCCCCAAACCCTGGGTTTGCTCAGGTCTCCCCCCCCCCCATGTATTCGTCCGCTTGCTGCTGGGTCCCGCAGGTCGCGGCTGCGGAAGCCCAAGTCAAACTGTCCACACCAGCAGCGCCAGCAGCAGAGGCAGCAGCAGCAGCAGCAGAGGCGGCGGCAGCAGGAGGAGCGGCCTCGGTGAAGCCGGCGGCAGCGGTGCAGGGGGCGTCAGCAGCGGCGCAGGGGGCTCCGGGGGGCGTGACGGCAGCGATGGAGGTAGGGGAGGCAGAGGCAGCAGCAGCAGCAGCCGCAGGGGCGGCGGCGGTGGCGGCTACAGCAGCAGGGGCGCCCCCCGCGGAGGAGCTGCCGGAGCGCTCCTTCGTCTACAACAGGGGCAGCTCAGATGAGGAAGAGGACGAAGAGGAGGTGGAAGAGGGCGGAGGGAAGGAGCAGCAGAGCGTCATTGCTTCGGCTGCTGCCGGGGCCGCAGCTCAGCTCCCCTCGCAAGCCCCGCACACCTCCCCCACCGTGCGCCCACCTGCACGCCCGGGGCCGAACCCGTACGGCGACATGTTTGGTAGCGATGACGATGGGGAGGGGGAGGAGCAGGTGGATGACGATGGGGAGGGGGAGGAGCAGGTGGATGATGAGCAGCGGGAAGCCAGCAGCGGGCGGCAGGGGCGGTGGGAGCGGGTGTGCGTGCAAGAGCAGCTAGGGCAGGCAGAACTGCGGGGGCAGCAGCCGCAGCGGGAGCAGCGGGAGGAGGGCAGCGAGCAGGACCAAGGGACGGCGGAGGAGGAGGCGATCTCCTCCTTCACCCACGTAGATAGCGGAGGCGAGCTGGAGCGGGGTCGGGGGGCGGAGGGCGGCACGGGTGCCGAGGGTGCAGGAGGCGGAGGGGGCGGCGGGGCTGCAGGCAGGGAAGGTGTGTGTGTATGCATGTGTGTGGGGTTGATGGGGCTGTGGGTCCAGAGGCTTGCTCGTGGTGCACCTGGCTTGGCAGCCTGCCTGAGCATTGGGTGGGGAAGGGTTTCAACTCCCTTATTGCGGTTATTGCGGTACAGACGGGGGGCAGGTGCTGCTGTGCTTCGGCCCTGCGAATTTGCTGCCGCAGCATACATCCATTGTATGCCGTGTGTTAAGAAAACTGGCCGCGAGTAGGAACGTGTATGAACCCTTCCTTCACCACACCCTCCTTCGTAACAGCCCCATGGCCCCCCGCCTCCCGCTTCCCTCCCCCCAGCCTGGCCCTCGCTTCCCCCCCTGGAGCCCCCGCCGGAGCTGCACACCCCCCTGCCCCACCTGCCGCACCTGGAGTCCCACCTGCCCGCCCACGCAGTGCCCCCCGCCCTGGCGCTCAGCTGGACCCGGGAGGTCGCCCGCCTCAGGGCCATGGTGGCGGAGGCGATGGAGTCGCTGCGCCGGCAGCTCTGCGCGGCGAAGGTGGCGCAGGCCGCGATGGTTGCGGCAGTGCGTGTCGCGGCGGCATGCGAGCAGTGCGGGGGTCGCGGCGGCGGCGGCATGAGCAACAGCGCAGGAGGAGGAGGTGGAGGAGGAGGTGGAGGAGGGGGCTGTGAGGGCTGCGGCTGCCTCCCGGACAGCGCCCGGGTCCTGGGGGCGCAGGGGGCGCTGGCGGTGCTGTGCGGCGGGCTGCACTGCCGGGTGGGGGAGGTGCTGCCGCTGTCGGGGTGCGGGCTGGACCTGCTGGGGGGACTGCGGGAGGCCATGCAGCGGCACGCGGGGGGAGGGGAGCAGCAGGGGCCGCAGGGGCAGGGGGTGCAGGAGCGGGTGCAGGAGCGGGAGCACGTGCAGGAGCAGGAGGGTGGGCTGCAGTCGGGGTTGGGAGGGCCGCGGCAGTGCCCCTGCAGGGAGCCCCCGCTCCAGGAGCCCCGCCCCCGCCCCCTGCCCGACCACCCCGCTGCTGCCCAGGCGGGTGAAGGATGGCCGGCTGCTGCTGCAGGTGCCGGTCTGGCGGCAGTGGTGGCGAACCAGGAGGAGCTGCCGCAGTACGGGCTGCTGCATGGTTGCATGGCGCAGCAGCGGCAGCGGTCGCCGCCGGTGCCTGCAAGGGCGTCTCAGCTGCAGCAGCAGGGACAGCAGCAGGGACAGCCGCAGGGCCAGCAGCAGGGGCAGCCGCAGGGGCAGGGGGATCCTCCGTCAGCGGGTCGGCAGCAGCTGAGTCCCGGCGGCTGCTCCTCCCGGGCCCAGCTGGCGGCGGAGCTGGCCGAGGCGGGGCGGGAGATGCTGGCGGCGGCGGCAGCGGCAGGAGCGCATCAGGGCTCCGTGGCAGCAGCAGCAACGGCAGTGGGGGGAGGAGGGCCCGGCAACAACAGCATCGGGGGGCAGCGGCGGCAGCGCTGGGGTGAACCGCGCGGTGGCGGGGGTTGCGCTGCGGGGGATGGCGGCACGGGTGTGAGCATGGGAGTCGGCGGCATCCCCATGCCCCCCATCATGCCCCCAGCAGCCACCGGCCACGAGCCGCAGCCAACAGTGTCGTACAGCACCCCACAGCCGCATCCCAGCGCCCCAGCTGCAGCTGCCAGTGGTGCCACCGCCGCCGCCGCTGCCAGGCCCCCGGGATCTTCTACCCCCCTCACCCCCACGCCGCAGCGCCCAGCTCCCCCCTGGCTGCGAGTGGGAGTGAATGCGGCAGCGGGTGCGGCCCCCAGGCGCCCCTCCGCGGGGGGTGCTGCCCGGGTGCCTCCGGGTGGCCGGGAGCAGGCGGGCGGGGGACAGGGGGGTAGCAGCGGTCGCAAGCGGCCGGCATCACCGCGCGAGCTACCGCGGGTGGAGGCCCTGGCACCGGCCCAGGAACAGCACCAGCAACAGCTCCACTGCCAGCAGCAGCAAGCGCAGAAGCCCTGGCCTCAGGTGCGGTCGCCCCCGCCCCTGCCGCCTTCCTCGCTGCAGCAGCAGCACCCCCACCAACCCCCGCAGCACATGCCCTTCTGCATGGGCATGCCGCCGCCGTCCATGCCGCCGCTGTCGCCCGGTCCTGTGCATGGCCCCATGCCGGGCATGCAGCCTGCGTTTGGCCCCATGCCGGATATGATGCCCCATTTTGGCCCCATGCCTAGCCCCATGCCGGGTATGGTGCCGCCTGGAATGACTCCCCTGGTTCCTCCCATGCTGCCGCACATGGCAGGCCCGGTGCCGCCCCCTGGTGCGGCCGGGTGGCCCTTCCCTATGTGGGGCGGGCCGGGGGGGTGCTGACCGGGATGGTGTGTGGTGGCGGCGGTGGCGGGGGTGCGGCTCTAGCGCCTGCCGGTAACACGCCCGCAAGAGGGCTTCAACGTTTGGAAGTTTGCAAATACGTGCAGGCATTACGGTATGCTTGCGCATGTCACATTGAACCTGTCGTCGATGCATTCGACAAATGTTGTGTATGTTGTTTCTGTAACTCCTGATACTGTGGATGTCGTACACAGGTGCCCCACGAGTGGATCTTTCATTTTATGGAAACACCGGCGCATATTTGCTTTGCACGTTCTCACCCGGCCGCGCGGTGGGCTGCAAAGGCGTGCGCCAGCAGCGTGTTACCTGGCCGGATGGGTCGATGTCCTCGCAAGCATGCCCTGCGTGTAGGAAGGGCAGGCATGGAGGGAGGGCAGGAGGGAGGGCTTTCATGCCCTCGCATGCAGGACATGTCAACTCCAATTTTGGCAGGATGTTGCACGTACAAGTAGGAGTTGCATGGTGCTGTATAGTAGGACGCTCCCATATGCGTGGAGCCTGCCTGCTTGCCTTTCACTACTACCCTGCTTGGCGCAACGTGTGTACCGCAGTACCGGTGGTATGTGTTTTGGTGCCAGTCGCACAGCGGGGTTGAAGGCCACGTCATCGTCATATTGAAGCTGGTTCTTAGCCGCCAAGGGTATTGAAGTGTCGAGCATTGTTACATGACGAACTGTCAAGCTCTTGGTACTTTTTCCGATAGATGCAGGTGTTACGCTAGACCTTACAAGACCAGGCAGCAAGTTGTCAGTGAATGCCGCATACATACCCTTGTAAACCCTTTGTAACACCTGATGGGTAGCATGTCGGATTGCATGGTGGCGAGTTTGGCTTTGGCCTGATCCACGTCCTCGCCTGTAGTGAATTGTATTGCTGCGGTGTTGGTAATCACCGACAGTTACATTGCTTAATAAAGCCTCATGCGCTGTGACATGGGCAGGATGTCCGCCAATCAGAGCAAGCAGCTGACCCACGGGTCAATTAATAGGCCCCTACATCGCCACAACCGTCACGGTGCGATGTCATGAGGGTTCGTTTCCCTTGTCCATCATCGTAGCCCTTCTTACATCTCCTGCCCATTCGTCACCGTGGACAGCGAGCGGACAATAGCAGACAGCGCTGTGAGGGGAATGGAGCCTTCATCAGGTGGGCCCGAGGAAAACGGCCGCATCCCCTGACTTGCACATCACGGGCCGCTAAGCCCTGCCAGGGGCTCGTGTAGTGCACGAACCCGACCACGGTCTCAAGCCTGCTCGCCCATACCGGTAACGTTTAGCCGGACTCTGGTCTTCCATCCACGGGCTAAGGCGCTCGCCTCAGGAAAAGCTCATCGGGAACGCCTTCTTGATTGCGGCGTAGTTCTTCACTACCAAACATTCCCACTTTGCCAGCTTCTCCATGTCCGGCGTGATGAGCTCCAGCACCTCCTCCACCTGCTCGTCCAGGTCGGCTATGTGGCACGGGTGGACGGCCTTATTGCGTCGCGTCACGATGGCGTCGGCCGCATTTTTGAAGGCCTCCGCGGCGACGTTAAGCGACCCAGCCGCATTTTGAATGCAACTGTCTAAGACATCCCGCTGCTTGAAGGGCGTGCAATCAGATTCCCTGAAAGTCTCGCCCGCGGCGACGAGCATTACTTGGGTCGCGGTGTCGCGCAGCTTGGACAGCTGGGCCTTCGCGTGCAGGAGAAAAAGCTGAGCAATCTGCTTTCCCTGTTCGTTGATCTGCTCCTGCTGCTGCTGCAGCTGCGGCAGCTGCTGCAGAACAGTTACGTTGACTACAGCAGCCTGCCCCAACACGCGACCCGGGTCGTCCCCGGTGGTCATCTCCTCTACCGTGCGTGCGGAGTAAACCGACTGAAGCTTATAGTCAGGGCCAAGAGATTTAAGAGCTGAAGTGGCCGCAAGTTTCAAGGAATCCCAGGCGGAAAGTCACTGGCGTGAAAGGACGCAAGCTGCGCGCACACAAACAACAGGCATGTCGGTCTGGCTAGGGAAGCATAAGCCAGCACAGTCGAGGTTCTGGTTCAAGGTATAAACGAAATGATAGTAAAGAGTTTACGTAAGCATCTTCCGGGTGCAGACGCGGAGCAAAGTACACTAGCGTCGCATGTCGGGCCCACTAAGCCAGTGGATCCTATGTCCACTGGCATCTCCCTCCACGCAACGTACTTCTATATTGGCTCACGGCGAGTGTGCCCAGGGGACCCATTTACCTCTTCCTAACAGGCACATAGGGTTGTGCGTCGGACTTGAGTCATTCTGACTTCCCTGTACTACTCGCATTGTCCTCCTGCCCCTGCTCCTCTTCCTCCTGCCACCTCCTATTCCTGCTCCTCTTGCACCCCCTCGCTACCCTCCTCAGGGGCACAACAGGAAGCACTCCGACTGCACATCCGCCCGCCTGCCGGCCCGACCGCCGTACACTCGCGCTAAATCCCCCCGCTCCACCCGCGCCTCTGCCGCCGCCGTCGCACCACCACCACCCCCCTCACCACTCCCTGACACAGCCAGCACCTCCCCGCCACTAGTCCCCGTACCACCCCCGCTGCCGCGCCTCACACCGCCAGCACTATCCACCTCCGCGCCCCTTCCTTCCTCCGCACCATCCCCTGCCGCTGCCCCCGCCGCCGCGCCCCTGGCCTGCCGGTATGCCAGCGCCGCCATCAACGCCCCGCGGGTGCGGCTATCCCCCGCCAGGGCCACATCCGCATGCAGGCGACCCAAGCTGCTGCTGCTGCTGCTGCTGGCGGAGGGGGAGGACGGGGGAGGGTTGGGTGATGGAGTAGCCGTGGCCGCCTGTGTTGCTGGCTGCTGCTGAGAGGTGGGATGGGGTGAATGCATGGTGAGTTGCTGCTGGTGTGGGTGCGGTTGGTGCGGCTGCGGCTGCCCTCCCAGGGATGCCTCGGGAGGGGCAGGGGAAGGCGCAGCTGCTGACAGCGCATGAGCCCCTCCGCCCGCCTGCGCCTCCACGCCAGCAGCAGCACCCAGCAGCCCCGCAGCAGCAGCAGCGGTACCGCCCCCACCGCTACCTCCGCTGCCGCCGCTGCCGCCTTCTCCATATCCTAGACCCCCTCCAGTGCGGTCGCCCGCCCCAGCCCCCCGCCACTGCTCCAGGGGCAGCGGCTGTAGCACCTCCCCCGGTGATACAAGCTGCTGAACGGCAGGTGGGCAGCAGTGCAGTACGTCACCCTGCTGGGTGTACGACAAGCTGATGTCGTCATCAGCCTGCTGGAGCCCCTCTGCATGTGTCTGCTGTTGCTGCTGCTGTGGGGCCACTGCCGAGTCCGCGATATGCAACTGGATTGCGCTGTCCAACATTGCTACTGGGGCAACAGAGGCGTCACTAGCAGCCGTTGCGCCATTAGCAGCTGGTTCCGCAGCAGTGGTAGCCAGGCGGCGGCGGTAGCGGTCAGCTCGCAGCCAGGTGGCCACGGAGTCGACCCGCTGCTGCTGGTGCTGCTGGTGGGGCTGATGATGCCGATGAGGCGGCTGGTCGGCTGGGCTAGCCCCCCGGGAGCCACCGGGCTGGGGCCGAGCAGGTGCATGCAGTAGCAGACCCTGTCCTCCCTCCGCTGCTGCTGCTGAGGGGTCCTGCAGCCGAGGCCGCAGCCGGGGGAGCTCCACCTGCGATAAGGGGGGCAGGGGTGGGGTCAAAGACCATACCGAACCATAGGAAGCCACAGGTTGGGGCAAGACAATGGGGATGGGCAGGGGTGGGGGTGGGGGGAAGAAGAATCCCAATGTGTTTAATGATGCTAGCAAACACATCATCATTGCTAGCATCATTAATGCTAGCAATGATGCTGAGGGGGGTGCAGGTGGCTTGGGGGGGGGGATGCAGGTGGCTTGGGGGGGGGTGCAGGTGGCTTGGGGGGGGGGGATGCAGGTGGCTTGGGGGGGGATGCAGGTGGCTTGGGGGGGGTGCAGGTGGCTTTGGGGGGGGGGGATGCAGGTGGCTTTGGGGGGGGTGCAGGTGGCTTGGGGGGGATGCAGGTGGCTTGTGTGTGTGGGGTGCAGGTGGCTTGTGTGTGTGGGGTGCAGGTGGCTTCACGGGGCTTCTGACAGCAGCACAGCACAGCACATGGCGACATGCGGTGGAGGGTGTGGAGGCGGTGGCAGTGGCCACCGCCGAGGGCAGAGGGATACCACAGGTGGCCCAGTCAAAGACACTTGTTACCGGCATCCCATGTCATGCAGGCTGGTTAGTTGTGCATGGTTATTAACCCAATTCGCACGGTCGCCCCGTCCACACCCACCATCAGCCTCGAGCGGACCTCCAGGAGGGCTGTGTAGCGGGCGGCCAGCTGGGGGCCGCCCTGCAGGCGGGCGTCATTGGGGGTGGGCGGCCGGCCGTGTTGCGCGAAAAAGGCAGCCTGGGGGAGGAGGTGGTGGAGAAGGGGAGGTGAGAGACTGTTAGCAAGGAGTGCGACAGGCACCATGCAGGTTGCTCGCGGCTCACCTGCCAGTCACCTATCTGCTGCTTCAGCTCCCGATAGTACCTCAGGGTGGATTGGTAGTCAGCAACGAGGGCCTGCGGGATACGAGGTGAATCCGACAAGCTGACCCAATTGCGAATGACCTAAAGGCACTAAATACTTTTCGGCAATACCTTGAGCCCCATGCGTTTGATGTACAGATAGTGAAAAAGCCTCGTTTCTACTAAGCGAGCGGTGTTCTAGTCGCTCGCCGCGTCGGCCATGAAACCCTTACCCGGTCAGAAAGAGGCTTTATGTCCCTTGCACCGCCAGTACCGGCATAATTAACATGCTCGTTTATTAATTGCGGGTTTGCATCTGTAATGGGAGACGCAGCCGCTGACACTCCAGAGTTTACTGGAAGTCCACCTGTGACCGAGCGGGGCGGCAAATTTTCAATTTGAAAGCTGAAGTGTAACCGTCTGGCAGTAAAAGGAGTTTCAGTAACTCCAGCTGAGATCTGTCTAGTGCTTGCACGTCGGCCGCCTGCGGTTGACGGCCGAAACTCAGCCAGAAACATGGTTAGGGATTCACTAGCATCAAGAGGACGTCTAATAAAAGGTTGTCCATGACATTTGGGCCGGATTGCTGTGTTGATTCGCTCTGCCGGTACTGCATTACTGTGCCGTACAAGTGTGGCGGCTGGCGTCCACGGACGGGCACACCGGCATCACTGGCCGCCTTTGGTCGCAGGATTCCGTGCGCGTCACTTTGTAAAGTGCCGGCCTTTCCTTGAACATATACTCCCCCCTAAGCGATTACACCAGGTGAGTTTTGTCGGGGCTGAGTACGACACACTTTCACACTGCCATACACCCCACACCTGCGAATGCCCCATGCCTAGGGACTCTCTTGCTGCCTGCCTGAAAGCGGCTGGCAAACTCCCGTCTAGTCTTATTCGAGCAAATCTTGCGAAACACGGCAGAATACCATCATAAGTAAACACCGTTCCATTTGGTAAACAATTCACCTTCAGCCATGCACAGCCCACTGCTACCAACTGCAACGTTAGTCCAAATACTCTTAAATACACATAGCATCTTTCCAAATCGACATGCAGGACGCCTCCACATTCCAGCGTCAAAACACGCGAGTCCTCAGTGCCGCCCCAAGGGCCCTTCCATCCAAACCACCGACGTACTTGAGCAACGAGGACATCCAAACCCAACGAACACCCCCCATTGCACAGTGCGTCTTCATCATACGACCGTCCAAGCACCAGTTAAACGGTGCCCAAGGGTTGTGCCCAATATCCAGCAACCGAAGGACAATTCCCAGCAGGCACCAAACAGGATAGCGCATGTTCTTATCTGCAATCCAATTCAAACACCGACCACACCATGACACCAATTATACGCAATCACTATCACGAGCCATCTACTGCCCGCAACCCTGCAACCAATCACGTGACAACAACAGCGCAGCGCTGCACGCACGTTCAAAACAAGTCTGTTTCGCCTCGGGGTAGGCGAATACCTGAAGTCATCATGATCGTACATCAGTCCGTACACCTGCATGTGTTTGTCATCCGCACAGGGCTCGTACTATCTACTCTCACAAATACTCTACTGCTCAACTCCTAGTGTCATGTCATTCGCATGCAATGTTGCGCCACACAACGGCATTAACCTAAGAATGTAATCAATAAACCGTACTAGTCGCTACGGCGGCCACGCAAGGAGGCACATGAAGCCTGCCCTTGCTCGCCGCCAGCTATGAGGCATGTGCCTACCCCTCCGCCACACACCCTCGTGCAAACACCTGGGTTGCGGAGCCCTCGCGCGATGGACATCCGTGTCCCCCGTTCCACACAGCTGCCAGCCCCACACAGGGCCGCAATCGGGGCAACACGATGCGACTCCGCTCATGCCTACCTGCCTAACCGGGTTAGTCATCAATCAATGGTACATGCGTGTCATGGTCACCAGCCCACCCAATAGTCCCCCATCCCTAGTGCAATAGTCTACAGAGACAGCCAGTGGTGTGTGCCGCTCCTACCTGCCTACCTACCTGCTCACCTAACCTAATGCCCGCCTCGTCCTTGCCTACCCTAAGCTACACTACCCTGCCCTAAGAAAGCCTCCACCTGTCCAACTACACCCGCGGACGTGGGGGCAAGACATGCCTCCCCTGCCACAGCGTCAACCCCTCATCAAGACCCACGGGAGCCCCCGCGGAGCACCCGCATGCGTCTACCCGGCCAGCCGGGCCACCCGACGCGACGCGAGGTGAGGTGATGTAGCAGCACCACTGCGCCCCGAGCAGCAAGGGGGGATCAGGCTAGCTGGTGACGCGTCCCGACGATGATGCAGTGCACCCCTCCGACAATGACACCAGCGACCACGGTGGCGATGCCCTACCTCTCATGCAGGCTCTCTCCTACCATGACATCGGCAGGTCCGCATGTGCCTCCCTGCGGAGCGCCCCAACTCTTGCTATTCCCGTCGCACTCACCTGCCTGCCCACCTGCCTACCGGTGCCTCCAACATCACCAGCGGCAAGGGACCACCTGGCATGCCGTGCCACCGTGGGCCACTCAAGAAGGTCGCACTTAGCCCAATCCTAGCTTCTAACCTTGCCTCCACATAAAAATAACGAAACAGCAATCAAGCGGCGCGCAATATGCGCGCCAGCGCAACACTGCTCCCAGCCCTCCTCTGTGCCCTCACACCCCTCGATGCGCCCCTCCTCTCAACACACTCTCCGCAACAACCTCACACCAACACCCTCCTCGAACACCAACACCAGCACGACCAATGCGGGTGCGCCAGCCCTCCACCCGCACCACCTACTCCGCAGCCCCCACATGGGCCTCACCGCTGCTGCTGCTGCTGCCCCGGTCTGCTGCCCTCACCTCCCGCTCCCGCAGACCCCGGCCTGCAGGGTGAAGCCGTCGAGATGGAGGGCAGCCGCAGCGGGGCCCGCCGCGCCCTGCTCGCCTCCCCACCTCCGCCCCCGCCCGCCAGCACCACCACACTCAGCGACTCATGCGCCCTGAGCCCCTCTCCGCCCCCTCCCAGCGCCGCACTGCTGCCCCCCATCGACCCCAGCTCCGACCTCAGCTCCCAGGAGGTCGTGGCGCCCGCAGGCGCATGCAGGTGGGTGCAGCTGCCGGTGCGGCTGCCGTAGGGGGCGATGCGCGGCAGCTGCTCTTCCCGCTGCTGGCCGCCGCCGGGGGCCGGGGGCAGGGAGGTGGCGGAGGCGCGGAGGGGCTCCAGGGCGGCTAGCCGGGGGGTGAGGAAGGGTGTGGGCAGGCCGCTGGTGCAAGGGGAGTCCTGTTGCCGGGGCGAGTCGGTGTGTTGGGGTTGCTGGGGCTGCGGGTCCCTGACGACTAGGAGGGGTCGGAGCGGGGAGCGGGGGACGGAGCTGAGGCGGGGTGTGTGGTAGGGCCCGTGTCCGTCTGCCTCCGCTCCCCGGCCGGCCGCCACGCCCGGTAGCAGCAGCTCCCCACTGCCCTCCGCACCCGCCTCGCCGTCGTCCGGAGGAGCCTCCCCAGAGCAGCAGGGGTGGCTGTCTGTCTCCCCTCCGCCTGCCCCTCCTCCTGCTCCACCACCCAGCCCCGACTCATGCGAGGCGCGGTAGCTCCCGATGGCGCCCATGCAGCTGAAGCTGCTGCCGCTGGAGGGGGTCCACCCGCGGTTGCAGTCGCCGTGCATTCGGGAGGCGGCAAGCAGCACGGGCGGCAACAGCGGGCAGGAGGACAACGTGGGCTGAGAGGCGGCGGCGCGCTGTCGTACGGGAGATGCAGCGGCGGATGGTGTGGCTGACAGCCCGGGGGGTCCCAGAGAGGAGCTGCGGCGCTGTATGGAGAAGGGTCTACTGAGGAGCTGCGCGGGGGCGCCTTGCAGCACCACATCTGGGGACATGGTGCCTGTGCTCGAGCGTTCGTTTGAGCTGTCGTCGTCGTTGCCGGAATCGCTGATGCCAGGATATACATGTTTTGAAGCACTATTCGTAGGATGGTATTGTTGCTGTTTCAATGTGAGCATCGCGGGCGAGTGTGTCGGAGCATGGCTTGGCGCGGGCGCGCCCAGCGCTCGTATAGGCATTAAGAGCAACGTTGGGTCGTAGATGCTGGTCCGACGAGCGTTCCTGACGCAGAAATTGGCGTCGTGCTTTGACTGCTTCTTAACGGAAAAGCTAGAAAGGCTGCAAGGTAGGGCGACATTGTCCAAGTTTTCGGCCTGTTGCCCGCCTCCTTCACCAGCCTTGGAAAAGCTCACGAAGAAATCGTAAGGCGCCAGAGGACGGCCTTGGGGAAGCGTGCTACAGGCACGTTCCCCGTCCAATCGGAATTGAGGCGGACATGCTAAACTGTGTTGGCTGCCGCTGATGCCTCGCCGTCTATGAGAGGGGGGCCGCATTCTTCACGGAGGCAAGCGTGCCAGGCCGTTCCTCCTCAGTCGTAGGTGACCAGTATCCTACCTACCTATCTACACTCTTAAATTTAGCCACGCATGGAAACCCTTTCAACGTAATTCTCGTCAAAGTCCAACCATAACAATAGAAAAAAGTAGGACTGCTACGGGTAGGTGATTGTAAGCTCTTTGCTGCATATTCAGACGCGCAAAACCAGCTATGCCATTAAAGGACCACAAGTCCAATTAGTATTAGCAGTGTTTACAATCATACACTCGCTATGCGCGCATAAAAGTTTAGGGTATGAAGAGATTGGTTCATACTGTGAAAAGCCGTAGTACCGGTGTTGTACTTTGTATGTTGCCTGTCCAGAACTTTGCGTGCAAGATGACCCCGAACAGATGAGACCTGGTCATATAAGAATTGTGCCCAGCTCGCCATCGGTTGATGAGTACTTGAGGAGGTACGAGTACATGACCGTTACAAGCCGCTTTCCCTGCTTGACTCTCCACTTATTGCGCGGTTATCCGGTGCAACAAGATACGACCCGCCGTAGTCGGATCATCTAGAGCCGGGACATGATGGAAGCGCACGGTATCGTTCCAGCCATCCATCGCTTCCACCTTCAGCCCGCTCTCAGCCGCGGTGCGCAAGAACAGCTCCATGGTAGCCGGGTTACGCAGCAGCGAAGCCACGTACGCCTCCTGAGCCTCTCCTGCACTCCCGCCTCCCTCCTGCTCCGCTTCCCTGGCGCCTCCCCGCCTCCCCAGCAACCGCCCCAGTAGACTCACAAACACCGGCACCACCTCTGGGGGAGCGGCAAGCGGGCAGCGGCAGCAGCGGCAGCGGAGTCCAGGGAGGAGCGCACAGGGGCTCGTCTTCAGTCAGGCGGCCAGCTAGCAGGTCAACACGGCGGCTACCCCTCCGGGCCATGGGTCTGCTGGGTTTCCAGTGCTTCATTCTACTACAGCATTCCTCGTCTCCCCCCCCGTTACCCCACCTGGGTCGTACAGCACGTCCGACGCCACCACCACGTCCGCCCGCAGGCCCCCGGGCGGCAGCGGCTCCTCCCACGCCAGCCGGCACACCGCCACGCCCTGTGGAGGGAGGGGGAAAGGAGCACACCCAACGTGTTGAATGAGAATGGCAATCATGACGACAAGCTCCTGGTGAATGGGACCGAGTAAGTCGAGTTAGGGGGGAGGGAGGGGGTGCAGAGCTGGTTATGAGGCAGCAGTGGCAGAGTGGCGAATAAGGGTGGCCGAGAGGGGTCAACGGAGGAGGAAGGAAGGAAGGCTGGAGCGGTGTTGGCGCCACAGGGAACGACCCTACCTGCCACCCCGCACCCCTATTTCCTTCCCCTACACCCCCACCCCGCTGCCCTTACCTCTCTCATCCCCGCCGCCTCCTCCAGCTCCCCGCCTGCTCCGTCTTCTCCGCAGCTGCATTCCCGCACCTCCCCCCCGGGGCCGTTCAGCCGCAGGTTGGCGGCACACAGCGCCAGGGCGGCGGGCGCGGCGTCCGAGGCCAGCAGCGCCGCCGCCCCCGCCCGCCGCACCGCCACACCCACCAGGCCCGACCCGCACCCCAGCTCCAACACGCGCCGACCTGGGGGGGAGGGAGGGAAGGGCAGTAGCCAGGAGGGAACACCCGGAGCATGGGAACCAATCGAGGGAGGCTACTAGCGTCATCCGAAGAAGCAGGGTGGCAGGGGGGGGGTTGTCCAGCAGGAGGGCTGCAGCGGGAGCAGGGGCTCCGGTGAGCAGGGGGGGTTGCAGCAGCCGGTGCGGTGGCAGTACTAGCAACCCCTCTCCCGACCGCTTCCCACCATCCAGGCCCCTCCCCTGCCCCTCCCTCCCCTCCCCCCTCTCACCCCTGACCAGTTCCGGCCGCCCCAGCAGCCACTGCGCCAGTGCGAAGCTCGCCTCCCACTCGTGACACCCCGTGCTGCCCGCAAGCAGGTTGCCGGACACACGCAGCGTGATCAGCCCGCACGCCACAGGCGCCTCCGACCCGTGGGTCATCACCGCTGCACCACCACCACTGGGGGTGCTGGTCGGCCCCGCCACAGCGGCGCTGCTGCTGGTGCTGCTGCCGCCCACCTCGCCCGCCTCACGCGGCTGTTGCTGCTGCTCCACTCCGCCGCCTTGCCCCGCAGCCCCCTCCCCGCCACCGCCCTCCCCCCTGCTGCCCCCTCCTCCACTGCGGCCCAGTGCGGCGGCCAGGTGGGCCACGTGGCGCTGCACCACACCAGCCGGCAGGGGGGCGGGGCAGGGGGAGGAGGAGGAGGAGGAGGAGGAGGAGGGGGCGGCACTGCCGCCAGAGCTGGATGCTCCGTTAACAGCAGGGCCGGGCGGGTGCGGCGCGGGGCCGTATGCGAAGGTCTTGAAGAGCCAGCTGCTGTCCCGCGGGTCCACACATGCAGGGAGCTGCGGGGCGGGTGGCGGTGGCGGTGGTGGTGGTGGTGGCCGCACAGCGGAGTGGGGGCGGGTTAGGCGGGTCAGGCAGGTCAGTGGTGCGGCGGGAGGTTGCAGGGGCAGTCGGCAGGAGGTGAACCAGGGGGTTGGGCTGGTGGGCCCCAGCATGCCTCTGGGAGCGGGTGTGCCAACTGGCCGCAAAGCTGACCATGATCATGACGCGAGGAGACGCAGCATGCCCCTGGGAGGGGGCGTGTGCAGGGGGCTGCCTGAAGGGACCCTGCAGCGCCCCCTGGAGCCCTCTGCCACAAGCGCCCCCTGAGGCCCTTCACGCGCTACCGGTGCCCCCTGCACAACCCACTCCTCTGTCCTTCCTCCCTCCACCCCCCGCCCCATGGTTTGGTATGGTCTTTGACCCCCCCCCCCATGCCCGGAGGTCGAAGAGCTGCAGCCCTCCAGCGCACTCACTCCCGCCAGCGCCGCCTCCTGCTCCTCCTGCTGCAGCTCGCCCCCTCCCGCCAGCAGCTCCGCGTACCCGCCCGCCAGCTCGTCGCACACCGCCAGCCGCCGCGACTCAACCTCCGCCAGCAACCGCCGCAGCAGACTGCGCCGGTAGCTGCGCCGCAGCCCCAGCAGCGCTAGCACAGGGTCCGCGGACAGCAGGTGCAGGAAGGCGCGTTGACCGACCTCGTTAAGGGAGTCCGGCTGGGGGGAGGCGTCATCTGAGTCCGGATCCTGCTCGTCGGCAGGAGGGTCGCTGCTGATGTTGCCGTACGCGATGGCAGCCGAGGGTGGGAGTTGCTTGAGTCGTTCGATGACCTGGGTGGGAAGTTAGGACATGGCGTTAGGTGAGTTATACCAAAGATTGGGGGAAATCGTGGGGGGCAGATGTTCAACCTGAGGCGCCGGGACGGCACCGCGCAGCATGCATCTTATCGGCCACCATATGGCATCCGCGTCATGTGGTGGCAGCATTTCTGCAATCATGCTTAGTGAGTTTAGCAGCCAGGGTTAAGCGTATCAATTAGGAAAGACGTCACCATCATTGTTGTACTGCTTGCAAGCATTCCAGGTTGAACTTCTTTTAGCACCTAGAAATTATTCAATCAAGTTCCTCCCAATAAATATATATATAATCTTGGTTTCAGTGTTGAAGTTGGCTTTGCTTCGCCGACAGGCATTGTCACGACATTGTTTGGGACTTCTGATACCTAATAACCTTTTGAAATGCGTTCCTGTTCACGAGAGCTCATTACACTTCAAAGATGGATAAGCAATGCGGCCACACACAGCGGGCGGCATCATCAGTGCAGCAGTCTAGTCGCGCCAAGCCTAGAGTCCTTGCCCAGCACAAGTGGTCGTGTGGACGGCGCTTACTTTCTACAACGTCTCGCCTCTCGGAGTTACTCGGCGAAAGCTGAAGTCGCGCGAACAACTGAGGTGGGGACTCGGGGAGGCAAGCACTAGCTGCCAACTAAAGACGTGTAAGGATGCTTAGGAAGACGCAGTCGATTCGCCCAAGCAAGGATGGCAGCTGGCGGACGTCTGCGCCGTGCCTTCCACAAAGCGTGTCGAGAGTTCTCGCTCTGCCTCCTACTGCGCCCGCACAAACGGCAGCTGTCTCTCCACACCCTGACTCTTACCACGCCCGCCCCCCGTCTCAGGCCGCGCCGGCGGCAGGAGCAGACAAAGCAGCAGCCGTCGCATCTCCCTCTTCCTCCTCCCCCGCTCCCTTCTACGCGGGCCTAGCGCAGCGCTACCCCGACCCCGACCACATCCCCGAGGCCACCCTGCAGCGACTGCGCAACGAGCTGTTCGGGCGGCCCGTGCGGCCGCGGGAGACCACCGGGCGGCGCGCGCTGGCCCGCCCGCTGCAGGGCCGGCAGCTGGCGGACTGGTACTTCCTGCCGCCCGCTGAGGTGCCGGGCTTCCATAACGAGGAGAAGGAGTAGTGAGTGGGGGAGCCGGCGGCGGCTGGCAGGGGCAGGGGAGCCTTTTGAATGGGGGTGTGGCTAGGGGCTAGGATCTGAAGCGGGCAGCACTGTGAATGCGTGTGGAGGATAGGGCGTGGGAGAGGGGGCTGTGGTATGGGATGGGTCGTGTTGAGTACAGGGGCCACACCACAACCCAGGACGGGCGGTTGGAGGGCCGGGGTCTCTCCCTCCACATGGAAGGGAACCGCATCAGGGGCATCACCACGCATCTGCTTGCCGCTCACCCTTCCTCTTCACCGCCCCCACCCTCTCCCCTTCCCCCTCGCAGTGAGGTGAGCAAGGCCATGAACCGGCGCCAGCGCAAGGACGCAGCGGCCGAGGAGGCGCCCGCCAAGGGCAAGAAGAAGAAGTAATGGGCTGGTGGCTGACGCGGCGGCATTGAGTGCTGCGAGTATGTGTGTCGTGCGGTGCGGGTTGCACAGCCAGCGGCAGGGAAGGGGGGGGGCTAGCTGCGAACGTGGTGGCCGGCGTGGGGGCTTACGGGTTGTGGTATCCGAGTCCTTGGGAGGAGTGCTCGGCTGTCGGAGCTGCCTCTTGGACGGGTTAGGTCGGCATGGCTGTTATGTGGGTCGGGGTGGCAGTGCGCTGCTGGCTGCCTAGCTGTGGGTGGGGCAGCAGCTGTGTGGAGGCGGCGTGCGACTGTGGACTGTGGAGGGTAGGCACCTGTACCGGTACTCTTCCTGCTTTAGAGGCGAGGCCCCCTTCTGACACGCAGAGCGGCAGGAACCCTTGTTATATACTTCTTCGGATAAAGCTCGCTGTTGCTGCGACGGCTGCTGCTACTGGTGTAATCGCTCAGCGACGGCGCTGGTGGGGTGAGGCCCGGGCCGCACATGAGGCACGACTGCCGTTGCTCCCCGCCTGCACGCGCGGATGCCGCCACTGGCAGCTGTAGGGTGGAGGATTCGGAGACCGTGCCGGGCACGAGGAGGCAGATGACGGTGTGCATGCGGAGACTTTTGGAGACTAGGAGGGGTGCTGCGTCGGATGGCAAGGCGTTTGTGTTAGGACTGTGTCTGTGTGACCCTTGACAAGTGCGTCAACCTGAGCGAATGCCGCAACCGCAATCTCAGCGGTAGGGAGCCGACCTGCCGGGACTTCGGAGGCCTTTGGTCACCCGCACGCAACGCCTCTACAAAGTTGTGTCAGACAAGACGACCCCAGTAACATCATATAGGGGGAAAACATGCGCCATGCAAACGAACCAAACAGCTCCAACGCAAGCCAACTTATAACGCATAAAAGTACAAAAGAAGTGCCTGCTGCCGCTGTGCCCCTCCTCCGGCAACACACACAGCCGGAGGAGCCGGCACCCGCAGCAGGTGCATGCACGCACATGCAGCAGCCCACCCACCAACCCCATGCGGAGTCGCGGGCAGCGGTGTACGGCAGCGTCGTTGCCGCTGTCTCCGAACCTCGTCAAGTCCTCGCACGCTGTGTGGCGACGTGGGGAGCGCCGCAATGCGCTATCAACGCATCACACACTCGCAGCAACCTAGCGCAGCACTGCACTGGGCTTGGCTGCTGCAACCTCAGCGATTTAGCTACACTCCAGCCACAAACTAGTTGGTTGTCACGAACCGAAACAGGCAACATAACCCAAGCCAGCGCGCGCCCCGCCCGAGCCGCACCCCTGGCTGCATAACACGGCAGCGGCGGCAGTGCCGCCGACACACACTCGCTCTCTCCTCCGACGCCCTACGCTCTCCTTTCGCTCCCTCCCTCTCAGGTCACCTCGGGACTGCCTGCCCCGCAGGAAACACGCCATCTCTCTTTGATCCATACTTACAACCCTCACCTCTTGCTGCCTCATCTCGCTTCTCAACCCTCGCTGATCCCCTCACGACCCCACCCGGTCACGCCCAGCTCGCGCTGCTCCTCTTCCCCCAACCAATCCCCAGCATTGATCTCCCACCACCCCAACCCTACCCAGTGCCGGGCCCCACCTCCCACAGCCCCGCCGCCACCGCCGCCACCTCCCGAACCCCTCTGCCTCCCGGCCAACAGCTGCCCAACAGCTGCAGCTGCCAACCGATGCTGCAGCTCGACTGCCCCCGCAGAGTACAACGCCAGTGCGGCCCCCGCGCGCCCCCCTACCCCACTCCGCCCCCCCCCACACACGCTCGTCAGATTCCCCTTTCTGCCCCACACGCTCACTCCCCCTGCTAACATGCGCATGCCGCACCATGCACCTTGTCACCTGCATGCCCTTCATGCCCCCCTCCCTCTCTCCCTGAAGCGCTCAGCTCGGCGCTCCCACCCCCCTCCGCCGCACGCTACCCACTCCCCATACCCTTTTCCTTCCTCTTCCCCCTCGTCCGTTCATCAGTTCATCAGTTTCCTCATCTTAACCCCCCTCTCCCCCTCACGGCCCCGCCCGCTGCAGCACCAGCAGCCTGTTCCCCGCCCGCGTGATGATCACCTCCCGCGGCCCGCCCAGCCCCGGGTGCCCCGCCGCCGCCGCCGCATCCGCCGCCGCGTTGGCCAGCGCCATGGCCTGCAGGTTGGCGGCGGCCAGCTGCTGAGCCAGGCGGTGGCGATAGAGGTCGAAGGCAACACGGCTGCGGGCGACGGAGGAGCAGGGGGTGGGGGGAGCATGGAGGGAGGGACGGAAGGGGTGAGGGAAGGAAGGGCAGGAGCATGGGATGTAGGAGAGAGGGGAGCAGCAGGGGGGGAGCGTATGGCTCCTGGTGAGTGTTTACACGAGTTAGGGGTGAGGAAGGAGGTCGGGAGTCAGGCAGGGTAGCAGCGGCTGCACCAGGGAGGGGAACATGCCGGGAGGCGGGAAGCACCCCTCCTCCCGCTCGCCTGCCCCTCCCCTCCCCTCCCCTCATCCCTCCCGCCTGCCCAGCAAAGCGCCCCAAATTCCCTTCCCCCATACCGGTACCCGCCCGCCCCCGCCCCCGCCCCACTCACAGGACCAGGTATATGGGCAGCACCACCAGCAGCACCTGCCACAAGGTCATCTGATGGAGGGAGGGAGCGGATTGGAGGGAGGGGCGGTTGGGTGCGACAGCTTCCCACACAGCATCATCAGCAGTCCCTCCTCCCACCCCCTTCTCTCCCCTGTCCTCTCCCCTCCCGGCCCCCTCTCCCTCTCCACTGCCGCCCCTCTCCCTCTCCCCTCCCGGCCCCCTCTCCCTCTTCCCCCACCCACCATCCAGGGCTCCTGGCGGCCCCGCTTGGATATGACGGTGACGTAGATGATGGCGAACAGCAGCAGCAGCAGGATCAGCGCGTAGGACCTGGGGGAGGGGGGGAAGGGGCAGGGGTAAGCGGAGGTGGAGGGCGGGGAGGGTTCAGGGCAGGGAGGGAGGGAGGCCAGACAGCCCTAACAGACAGACCTACAAATACTGCACCACACGCCCAACACAACTCCCGCACCAGCTCCCTGCTTCCACTCGCTGCCCTATCCCTTCCCACGCCCCACGCTCTACCGGCATCACCCCCCAACTCCCCTCCCTCCCTACCCGTCCCTTCACTCCCGCCCCTCCGCCCCGGCCCCCCCTCACCACATGTTGCGCCACTCGCACAGCGGCTGCGGCTCCAGCTCCCGCGGGTCCGCCATGCCCACCCCCGCCGCCGCCACCACCGCCGGGCCCCCGCCGCCCACCCCCGCGTGGTGCTGCAGCAGCGGCCCCATGGCGCCCGGCCCCAGCCCCACCCCCACCGGCATGATGATAATGGGCTGGCCGTCGGGGGTGCTGCAGGGAGGGGAGGGAGCGAGGGGAGGGAGCGAGGGGGGGGAAGGAGATGAGAGTCAGTGGTGAGGGCAGATCAAGCATAGCGACAGAGAACATGAGAAGGGTCATCCGCTTACGCGGGTGCGTTGTTAGCAAGCCAGCTCCTGCTACATTGAGCAGCTCCGCCCTCCCCCACTTCCCCCTCCCGCCCTCCCCCCCCACCCACGTTAGCCGCCTGGGTGCGGGCGGCGGCGGTTGCGGCGGTATGGATGCCGCCAGCTCGCTGCCGTACGGCTCCTTGTAGAGGGTGCCGCACAGCTCGCAGTGCACGGAGCGCTTCTCCATGACCCAGGTCTGCAGCGGGGGAGGGAGGGGGACAGAAGCATGCCACATGCGTTGAATGAGGATGGCACACAGGGCGATAAGCTGCTGGCAAACGGAATCGAGTCAGTCGAGCCGAACGTGAGGGACATGGGAGAGGTGGGCATGGGAAGGGAGGGACGCTGGACTACCTCTGGGAGGGTAGGGGGTAGGTGACAGGGTCAGCGACGGCCTGCTGCACGACATGCCCCCCAGATGCCGTGTACCCTCCCCGCAGCCGCCCCATCCAGGAGTGCTCTCACCCTTCCCCTTCCCCTTCACACTTCCCCACCCCCCGCCCTTCCTCGCCCCAGCCCCCACCTTGAGGCACGCCATGTGCGCGTACGCCAGCGAGCCGGTGCACCTGCACGCCGCCACCAGGTCCCCCAGCGGCTCCGACAGCAGGCAGATGCGGCACTCGGGGCTGAACCCGCCGTCACCGCTGCCGCTGCCCACACGAGCCAGCAGCCCCGAGCCAGCAGCCCCGCTGCCGGCAGCTGCGGGCAGGGCGGAGGCAGCGGCCGAGCAGGAGGCGGCAGGGGGTGCTGCGGAGGAGGAGGAGGGCGCCGTTGTGGCTGTGGTGGTGGCGTGGGGCAAGTGGTTGGTGGATGGAGAGGACGTGGGTGGGCAGGATGGAGCCTGGCTGGGGCTGCTTCCGGCGTGTGATGGTGCTTGGAGTGCTGGGTTGGGCCCGGATTGCCCTGTGGTTATGTTGAGGGTTGAAGGCGTGGAGAGTGGATGACCGGAGGCTGGTCTGGAGGCCAGGCGGGCGGTGGATGGAGATGGGACTGGGGGCATTGCTGCAAGTGGTGGACTGCTAAACCCTATCTGTCCCCAGTGAGGCCTAGCGCCATCTTGTGAGTTCGCAACTGAGTTGTCTTGTTGGCTGGCGCCTGAGCTGATAACCATTCGACTCATGGCTCCAGAAGCGACAGTGTTTGGAAGGGATGTGTCAGACTCAAGCTGAGCCTGTTCACTGAAAGCACGAACCGTCGGCTGGTTAAGATGTCTGCTGCTTCCTTCGTGGCAAGAACTGTCCATAGAGCTAACGCGTAACGTTTCACAGCGGTTGTCTTGCGGGCCGTCGTAATGCCCAAGCATTCCAAGCCCAAAGCTAGAGTCTACAGCACGCAACTAGTACGAGATGAAGTGAAGTAAGCTAGGACGTGCAAAAACCTGCAATGTAACAACACCGTGTGACGCAACACATGTGATTAGCCATGTATGCGCTAGGTACAATCTGTTAAAATTTCATCCACGAGGTTGTAATAGCAGACAGGTAGGTTTCTAGAATGTCAGCTCACAGGTAGGTACCGCCTACCGCGTGTCCGCGTCCGCTGCCGTATACCGGTATGTCAGGACTAGAATTCCGAGCAAACGCTAAAGCTGCATACAACAATTCAATTGCGCTTCTCCCAACAAAGCGGCTGGGCTGTTGTAGGTGTTTACAGCCGCGCTTAGTCAGTATGCGGTAGGCGGCCCAGTAACGTACGCGTTGACACAGTGACCCCGGATACATATGCTTTTATCGCGCACGTAACCTGACAGCCAACAAGAAATCACCCTTCACTGCTTTAGGAGCTATCGCCGCACGCGCCTCCCTTCCCCACCTTTCTACCCTTGGAACACCCCGAACTGCACTCGCGTTACCCGAACCTTCAGAACTGCGCCACGACACCAGAACCAACACGTCTCCCTGTACGGCGACTTCCTTCCAGCCGACGCCAAGCACTAACGTAGCCCGGCTGGCAAGCCCAGCGCCGACTTCCAGGCCCCCCCCCGCAGCTCCCTCCACGCGCACATGGCCTTCTGACACTCGGCCGCCTAGGCTGCGCTAGCACTCGCTGCTGCGTTGGCGCCCCGCTGCTCGTCCTGCTGAGCCGCCGCCTGCAGCTGCCGGCGGCTGTAGCCAGGTGGAGGGCTGACCGGCGCGGCAGCAGCAGCACCACACCTCTAGCAGTGGCAAGAGCGGCATTAACAGCGGCAGCCGTAGCGAAACCCCCACAGCAGCCATGGTAACCGCTAACAGCTCCCAGGGCGTGTCGCCTCCTGTCGTACCGCACCCGCAGCGGCACCCTCAGACGCAGCAACTCGCAGAGCATGGCGCAGCAGGCGAGATGGAGTTGCGGGCGGCGGGCAGGGAGGGGCACCAGCAACACCGGGGGCAGCAGCAGCAGCAGCGGCAGGAGGTGTTCGTATCCACTGCGGGTCGGGAGCTGCTAGCCGGGTTCGCAGCGGGGGCGGCGAACGTCACCAGCGGCTACCCATTTGATACGGTCAAGGTGGGGAAGAGAGGAAGAGGCGGGGCAAAGCCTGGGTGTGGGGTGGAGCCAGGGCGGGCCTTGTGGCAGGGGGCACACCGCGTTCATCCCTTACACAACCCTCGGACCTATCCCACCCGCTCGGGGCCCACCCCCCTCCCCCACGTTTGGCTGGACGCACTTGCACCCGGTCGTCAGGGGCATGCGTCACGGGTCACGGGTTGCCACTACCGTTGCCTAATCTGGCCGCACTCATGTGTTCGCCCCCCCCCCCCGCAGGTGCGGCTGCAGTCCGCCGCCCCGGGGCGCTACCGGGGGGCGCTGCACTGCGCGACTGAGGTGGTGCGCAGCGAGGGGGTGCGGCGGGGGCTGTTCCGCGGGCTGTCCTCGCCGCTGGTGGGCGGCACCGCGGAGACCGGGGTGAACTACCTGGTGAGGGGGAGGGAGGGAGCAGGGGAGTTGGGAGGGAGCAGGAGAGGTGGGAGAGAGCGCCGTGTCAAGGTTTCACAGGGCTGGCAACCCGGATCACTGCAGCGCGAGTGATAGATCCTCGCAGGACTGTTAGGCTGGTTCTCTCTGTTTGCAACGTTGGGTGCCTTCGGCCGCTGCTCATGCACCTCCGCGCTTCACGCCGGTGCCGTGCCCGCGGCCCCCGCCCCACAGGTCTACTCGCGCGTGCTGGCGGCGCTGACCCCGGCGCAACTGACCCCTGGGTCACCTCCCCCGCTGGAGTGCGTGGCAGCTGCGGGCGCGGTGGCGGGTGTGGCGCTGAGCGGCATCCTGGGGCCCACGGAGCTCGTCAAGGTGGGGGGCAGGGCGGGGTGGGGGGGAGAGGTGGGAGGCAGTTGGGGAAACCGCCTTGGGTGGTAGAGGGTGGAGCTGGTGAGGCTGATGCGGCGAAGAATGGTTTTCAAGTGGGTTGGGTGGGAAAGCGGGCAAGCCCTCGGAACCACCTCCCTCGCAAGGACCCGCCGCACCCCACGCCTCGCCACACCCTTCGCACCTCTCGCCAACCCCGCGCCCCACCCCCACAGTGTCGCATGCAGCAGGCGGGGTCCGCTGCGCGCTACCCGGGGGGCCCGCTGCAGTGCCTGCGGGAGGTGGTGGCGCGGGAGGGCGGGCTGCGCGGCCTCACTCGCGGACTTGGGGCCACCCTGACGCGGGAGGTGCCGGGCAATGCGCTGTTCTTCACCGCGTATGAGGCACTGAGGTGCGGTTGGTGGGAGGGGTGGAGGAGCGGGCGGGGGTGGGTGCAGGGGTGCGGTGGGTGGGACAAGGAGCATGCGGTTGCGGTGGGTTGTGCAGGGTGGGGGATGGGGTGAGGCAGGGAAGTTATGAGGTGATGCGATCTGGGGCAAGGGCTGCCGGGCTTGAGTGGGCGTGTGCACGACGGCATGATGGAAACACAGCGTGGAAATGCCCCTTCAAGCTTCGTGTGGTGCACACCGGCCCGCAGACGCAACCTGCCGGACTCGAGCGGGCCTCCTCACGGCTCAAGCTCGGGCTCGGGCGGGGCAGCACGACCGGAGCGGCACTGGTTGGAGGTGCGTCGGGAGGGGGGCTGTGAGGGGAAGGGGCAAACCTCGCCGACCTTGCGCACACTGGCGCGCATGCTGGCTTTCCATGGTTTGGCGTGGAACGGTGCTTTCCACTGCTCTGCACCCCTCTTCCGTGTGCTGCCTGAGCCCCGACGACGACATCGGCCCGCAGGAGGCGGCCTTTGCCATCTTCTGCGGCGGAGCGGCGGGAACCCTGGTGGGTGGGGCTGGCGGATGGGGGCGGGGAGGTTAGTGCATGGGCATGAGTAGTGCAGCGAGCCAAACCGGGTGGGGTCCGGGGACTGCTGGGGCGTCGTACAGCAAGCCTGTACAGAATATTGTCCTCCTTCTTTACTACCGGTAGGTGCGGGCCGCGCTCCCTTTCGGGCCCCCAGGGCTGCTCCTGCGCTTGTGTCACCTCGCTGACCTGCTCCGGCACACCTCCCTCTCTTCTTACCCCGGCCAGATGTGGGCTGTGGTCCTGCCAATTGATGTGGCGAAGACCCGGCTTCAGACGGCGCAGCCGGGCAGCGAGTGGGACGTGGGACTGCGCAAGCACTGGGCCATGGTAGGCGGGGTAGGGGCTGGGTTGTTGTGCGGGGACGTGGGCATGTAGAGTCGCCTCGGGCGCTGACCGCGCATGCGTGGTGTGTGTTTCGACAAGCAGGCCTGGATGTCACTGCAGCTATCATTGCAGCTGCGTGCCGGCTACGCCCTTCATGCTTCCCATCCCCTGTGCTTTGCAGCTGTGGCGCGAGGGCGGAATGCGGTCGCTGTACGCCGGCCTGACTCCCACGCTGGTGCGTGCCTTCCCTGCCAACGCATGCCAATGGCTGGCCTGGGAGCTGGCCATGCGGGGGATGCGGGGCGACGGCGAGGAGCAATGAGCACCTGGGGCGTCGCCTTGGGAAGCAAGTGTCATTCCTTACGCAGCGGAGTCGGCCTTGGGTCCGAATTGGAATGCTCTTATAGGCCCAAGGCGACGAAACCACCTGGGGCAGACCTGGCACGTACGATGAGGCTTTTGCTGCTGTCAGTGCAGATGTAAGGTGGATGAGACGAGAAAGGCATGTCGCACTGCTGAGGGGTAGAGTCGTGGCCACGCAGGGCCCACCATATGGTGCAGCTTGGGAGTCCGTGTCACGGACGTGAGTCGCGTGCAACAGATGAGACGCGGTGTTGTGATTGGCGTGTGCAAGCGCGCTAGATACGGCTTAACTATGCGACGCTATCAGATGGCGTAGATTTCCGCGCCAAGTAATGCTAGGGTTTTGAGTACTCTGATTACCCAACCCCCCGTATCACTTTAGGCAATTTTGAATGCGGTTAAGTTTACATGTCCGGGACTGTATGTACAGCTGTCTAATATGTCGCCATTATTATTGCTACTGCTACTCCTATACCTTGTGGAATCAGTCTTGCAGAGAATCCTCCCAGCAAACGCCATCCCACCTAGAAACCGAGGAAAAGCCAAAGGAACCAATATTTAACCATTCAGCGTGACGTCGTCAAGGACTCGCTCCAAAACACCTACATGGACCATACTGTTTGGCACGGAAAGTCACTCGGTGCATCCCTGCATCGTTTCCAACAGCTTTATTAACGACATCCTTCGTAAAGGTCAAAGAATAGATCCGAACTCGCCATAGACATCCAGCGACAGGTAAAAAGCTCACGGCGGTGCCCATGACCAGCAACCGCACTCATTAAGAATCGCGTAACCAGACTGCATCGCACCAGGCCATTGGTCAGGGCTCCCCTGAAACGAGTTATATTGACAAGGGACAGATATACCAAGATGAATGGAGAGATAGAAGAGATCCCGCTAACGTAAAAGTCGAATCCACACGCTACCTAAAGGGCCTAGACTAGGGAATGGAACTTATAAACCGGGGTACGGTACCGAGGGTGCTAACGCTGTAACTAACAAGACGTAACTGTACACAAGATGACGCGCTACAAGTGAAGGACTCCAGAGGCGCTTCCACCCTGCCTTGCACACGCTTTCATCCGACCACCAACCGAACGGAAAACATGCGAGCCTGCATCAGTTGGCTGCGGCCATTGCGGGCTTATCGACCAGGACGCAGACAACGTCATCCACGCTGCAGGACTCCTCCAGCGCCTTGCCCTCCTGCACGACCTCCTCCACAGGAACACAGACACCACTACCGCGACGACCGGAGGTCCGGCCGGCGGGAATCACAGTGCTGCGGCGCACGTCCGTGACGCCCGCTGCCTTACGGCTGATCGCAGCGCTAGCGGACTTGCGCAGAGACCCGTAGAACGGGTTCACATCGCTAGCACGCAAGCCGTTGTCGTTGACGCTGGCAGCGCCGAGGCGCTTGTAGGTATGCAGCTCGGGCTCCGCAGGCGACGTGACAGGGCGCGCCAGCGTAGGATTCGGGCGGAACGGCGACGAGAAATCCGGCATGGGGCGGGCCTTGAACACCAGCGACTTGCGGAAATCCTCCACCTCCACCTCCTCCAGCTCTTTGGCCTTGCGCTCGGCCTCCTGCAACCCAGCAATACGAAGAGAGGTTACACCATGCATGCAATAGGAAGGCGAGGAAGTGCCGCTCCCCAACGGAATACGCAGTGCCGCTTTTAGGGTTGGTGCGACGCCATGGGCACAGTCCAACTTTGCCCTTAGTGCCAAACACAACAGCAAAAGGCTTCAGGTGCAAGCAACACTCACCAGCTTCTCCTTCTGCAACGCCTCCTCCTTGGCCTTCTTGGCGGGCTTGACAACGTCGTTGTAGTGCGAAATGCGGGCCTCACTGGCAAAGACAGGCGCAGATCCGCGGGTCGTCCCGTTAGCCGCTGGCTTGGGGGGCGTCAGCGGCTTCGCGGCAATGCGCGCGTCGAAGGCACGAGCCTTAAAGCGCCGCGCCTCCGCCTCACGGGCAGCCTCCTCCTCGGCCTTCTTGCGCATCTCCTCGAGCTGTGCAAGGGTAAGAAACACAGAGTATGTCAATCAGCTGTCGCAGCAACGGCGAGCAAGCACAAGCAACACAGGGCGAGTCCGATGGGGTGGTCTCATGCAGGGTTTGTGTGTGCGACACGATTCCGTCTTCAGACGGTTGCCTCACCTTCTTGTTGTGGCGCTCGACGGAGGCAAGCTGGAAAGGAGCAAAGACAGCATGTGGGTCCTTGGGTGACGACTTTGGCTGAGGCGAAAGGGGCTTGGACTGGAGCACGTGCTTGGGCACCGGCTTGCATCTGCAGATAGATAGCATCAATGGAATCGTTCAACAAGAAGAACGGGGTCTCCCAACGGAAGAAAAATGTTGCAGAGAATACAAAACATTGAAGCCAGCAGCCAGGTCGTATCCTTGTACAGGGTCTCCAGTGAAACAAAAAACGCTTACTTGAAGGCCTTCTCCCGCGCCTCCACCATATCCAAGTCCTCCTTGCTCAGGGCGCAAGTCTTGGGCCGCATCTCGGAGCGCAGGTTGAACGGCGCTGGGCGCGTGACGCGCTGACCCTGTGGGCTGCAGAGCACAGCCTCCAGCTGCATTGAGACCTTGCTTGAGGCATCTGCGTTGCATGGGCACAGAAGCGGCGTCAGGAGTGTTGCAAAGCTGGTTTTTTCCAACCGCAATTACAGCAAGCAAGCGTTAAAAGTGTAAGCTCCGTACACAGAATGAGGAAGACGGCAGCTATACCGCAGCATTACGTACGGTCGCAGTAATAGTTACCTTTCTTAGTCTTGCTGTCCTCGCCGCGGCCGGTCACACGCGCCACGAAAGCCTGCGTCGGCGCCAACAGCGTCGATGCAACGCGAGAAAATACGTTGTCGCGGCGTTGCCGCTCCTCGGGCACTGCAGCCAGGCTTGGGGACTTCGGGCTGTCGGCCTCTTTGGTGCTCCGTGCCTTGTGAGCGGCAGTAGGGCGCAGGTACGACGGGACAGCTGCGGAAGACGACCCAACTTTGGGCGACTTGTCTGCAACGGTAGCGGCGCTGGAATCGCACGAGATGGTCAACTCCTGGGGCTTGGCAGCCAACCTGGGCTGCGTGGCACAGGCTGAGCCCTCAGCGGAGGTTGCCTTTGGCGGCGGAGTGCTGAGGGAGTCCTGCGAGTCGACCTTCTCAAGCGGCGGAGTGTTGACGGAGTCCTGCGAGTTAACGGCCTCGAGCTGGGGGGTGATGACAGAGCCATGCGGGTCAGCCTCCTCGCGCTGCGGGGTGGTGGCAGTGCTAGATTCCAGCGTCTCGGCCTCCTCGAGGGTCGGAGTGCAGTGGCTGGCCTCCTCGCTGGCCTCCTCAAACGGCGGGATGTTGACAGCTATTTCGACGCTGACCTCCTCAGGTTGCGCAGCGCTAACGCAGGCCAGAGAGCTTGCCTTTGAGGGTGGTGCAGTGCTGACGTGGGCCTGTGAATTGGCCTTTGAGGGCGGCGCAGTACTGACGGAAACCTTGGAGGTGGTCTTCTTGGGCTGAGGAGCGCAGAAACGGGCCTGTGAGTTGGCCTTTGAAGGAGGCGCGGTGCTGACGGAGACCTTAGAGCTGGCCTTCTCGGGCTGCGGGCTGTTGACGCGGGCCAGAGAGTTGGCCTTCGAGGGTGGCGCGGTGCTGACGGAGACCTTGGAGCTGGCCTTCTCGGGCGTTGGCGTCTTGGCCGAGGCCTTGGAGCTGGCCTTCTCGGGTGGGGGAGCGCTGACGCGGCTTCGGGATCCGGTCTTCTCAGGCGGGTGAGTGGAGATGCGGCCGTCCTTTTCACCGACAGAAGCGCAGGCTGGAGGCTTGACCGGAGAAGCTTTGCTGGCAGGAGCGGGTTTCTGGCCGGCAATACTTGCCCAGGTGCGCGTGACCACAACAACTCCAGCGGTGCCAGCATCCTGCGCAAAAACCAGCAACCGTGCTTTAGACGTCAATGAAGTATCAAGGCAGATGAATCAGCCCATACATGTATGACTCTTAGTCTCTTACGCAAGGAGCTAAAAAACCACGATATCGGTACCACAATGATAACACTCACGGTCAGCGTATCAGCCGTCGGTGATGAAGCCGCCACTTGCTGATCTCCCTTGATGGTAAAGCGCAGATTGACGTGACCAGACGGAGACGCGAGCAGGCGGAGAGACAGGTGGTCTTGCTTCGCTTGCTGATGCTTTCCAGCTACAAACAAAAGAAAGGACGGTCATCGTGAAAACATTATTCAAAGCTCTATTACTGGCGTATGCCCAACATCTAATTGTCAGGTTGTCAGGTTGGGCATAGGATGAGCGAAGCAAACCCCTTAAAAGCTTTGCGCAGGATTGCAACATTATGCCTTTTCATAACCGGCTCATATGCATTGTCACAAAAGCAGACAGCCACTTCCTGACATCTATTGGGACGGGAGTAGCAACTCTAACAGTTAGCAGCCACTTAAGAGTAGCTTACCGGATATCATGGAAGCGCAAATGTCCATAACCGATTTCGCCTCCTCCATCGTGAGGTATAGCTTGTCCTTGAGGTCGAGGACGGGCACAAGGCCATTGCCAATGGTTAGAGCATTGAGTCCATGGTCGAACGCCTGATCACTTATGGCGTCAACCAACTCAGGATCGCCCAAGGCATTCCTGAGGCAGGAAGAGAGAAACTCTCTTGATTCGAGCTCGGCGGTGTTCGCCATGGTGTTCGCCAAAGGTGAACAGAATATAAGCTTTTGACAATTATATAATATAGCTTTGTTTAGAGTTGTCGTAAGTGAAAGGGCTGCTCACTGTGGAGTACCCTGCGTTTCTTGACCAAATATATAGGGAACAGGCGGTACGACAGTGAACACCGGTTGTGCAACGGAGACATTCCGCAGAATCACCAACGCATACGCAACAGGTACCTATACTAGTTTAGCCGCTCGCCGAGGCCTGGCGTGCGCCCACCTGGTAACCGCTGCCTTCAGGTTTTGCAGGCATGTCCGTTACTCCGACGGTCGTCCTCCCAATGCCTGAAAGCAAGCGCAAGCATTTCTCTTGTATCGTGCTTTTGGTATATTATTGGTTAGCGGACGCTTGAAATAGCCTATAAACTCCAATAACAAAACCGAAGGGCAGGATGTGCAGGTCGAAGGCAGCGGGGACACATCTAAGCCCAGGGACGCACGGTTGGCACCATGTTTTGGATATGAGTGACAGGTTAGATTTGCTTACAGCCTGACATTGGTGACATCGCGTGAAACTAGGGTAACCAACTGCTTCGCAACTGGGCCCCTAGTTAGACGGTGCTCCTACAATCGCTAGCGCCATAACAATCCACGCTCCTCAACCATTTAACTTGCAAGGTCGCAGACTTGCAGAAGCATGCGCAGTTGCATCGCTAAACACCAGCCCAAACACGGCTCAGCACCCTTGCTGTCTTCCGGTATGTTGAACCCGTCACCCATCACTACCCTAATTGCAACCGGCATTATGTATCCCTGCCCCTACTTCTTTGGGCCCAAGACATGACCAGAGCAGCTAAGCATGCAAAGGGGTGACCCTGGTGTGAACGATCGTGTGCCCTGATGAATGGCTGCCTTCTCAAGCGGCTAAAGAGGAAACAACCGTGTGCGAATAGGCGTGATAGGCGGCTGGGCTGGCGAGCCGCATGAGTCAAGAGGAGCGATTGAGGGCGCGCGACGGGGCACTCATCAAAGTCAAGAAGGACAAGGATGGGTTGCACTGCCTTAGCAGTACAGTCTGGCAGTAAAAAGTGTTAAGGTACCCCATACCCTACACCAGCACGCCCTATGATGCAGCACCAGTTACTGTTTCCGTCCCCGAAGTGGATCAGCACCCCTACACACCCGCGACAACCGGTATGCACAGCCGAGGACGATTGGAGCTAGTCATGCACACCCAACCTAACCGTTCATATCTTCAGCTAGACTTACGGTGGTAGAGGGACTTACAAATTCACTTTTGTGTTATGTCATAGTAGACGTTATCCACACTAGGTCAGTGTGTAGTTGCATGCACTTCAACTGCTGGGGTGGATTGCTCTGGAGTGCAAAAGCCAGATCCAGACCGCCAATGCTTGCATCGCTCTATTATGTTTTGCAATTCTCTAATAATTTCTTGCTTAAGTAGTCACATGCACAGAACATGCCTATTCACCTGTGTGATCACCGAGTAGGGCATTCGACAGTTTCCGCTCCGAGGCCCGCGAACGTGCACCCCAAAAATGGCCACTGAGTCAGTGCGTAAGCGACTATTCGTATAGTGATGTACTGGTAGTTTAGAATGACTTAGGCGTTATGTTTATCTTATAACGAAGTGCGGCCTTAGGTATTCGGTAACTCTACAAATGTTTCGAGCGGGCTTCTCCAGCATTGCCTTCACGGACCTGACCGTAAACTCCGCTTGTGATGACCTCTTTCCGGTATGTAGAGCTTAGTTGACAACGGCATGCAGGAATGCGCTACCCAGCACGGAGTGTAGTCCTCGCCCTTTATCGTGGCTTGCCCCTGCACCCAGGGCGTTGAGGACGTGGACGCACAAGCCACGCTGCAGCTGCGCGCGGCTTTGGACGCATTTGATGAAGGCGTGTACGAGTATCACAGCCGAGCTGCCCTTGCAGCAGATGGACGCAGCAACAACGATGCAGGGTACGCATGCGGCTGGTCCAGCAAAGAGGGTGGTGCTTTTCCGTGAAGGGATGTCTCACGCGTCACTCCGTGTTCACATAGCTTGGCGGACGGGGGTGTGAAGCCGGGAACATGTTTACATACAAACCGTCATGTGCTGTTCGGGGCCTTACACTCCGCCGCTGCCCCCCTGCCGCCCCGCTTGCAGGGGCGCAAAGGGCCGCGCGCCCCGTAGGACCCGCCGGGAGCAGGTGCGCGGCGGGGTCGGGGCGGGGCCTAGTGGAGAAGTGGGAGGAGCCAGAAGGGAAGTGCAACAGGCGGCTGAGGGTATAGGGTTACATAAGGTCGCGACGACTGTGGCCTGTGACATGGGATTGTACCTCGCACACCGGAGACTTATGTCGCTACGTCCCAAAGTTTGTATTTGTATCCCCGCCGGAGCCCCTTCTACCGGTAGGCTGGGCCAGTGAGTTGTCATGAGCCGATGAGCTCCCCCTGAGCCCCGCCCCGCCCCACCCCCCACAGGCCTACGCCAGCCGCATCCCCGAGGACCGCCAGTGCTTCCGCCCCGTGGAGCAGCAGAGCGCCGAGTGGGCCGCATTCAAGCCGCACCTGTGGCTGAGGGGGCGGCAGGTGGGCCGCCAAGGGGGGAGGGCAGCAGCAGGGGGGCCCGGTAGGCGGCTGGGGGAGGGGCATAACCGAAACGAAGCTCCTACGGAGGCTACCCTGTCGCGGGCGGTACCCTGCCGCCCTAGTGACCCTAGTTACCCTAGCCCCAGTACCGTTGGGGGCTGGTGTGCTCGCGCTTCAGCTGCTGTCACTGGTGCCCCGCTGACCCGCCACATCTCGCCTCATGCTGCCCCACCCCTGCCCAGGTGCTCCCCCCGGAGGCGCACGTCCACCCGCACCCGCATGGGCCGCCAGGACTGCACCATGCACCGCCTGCTGCTACTGCTGCTGCTGCGGCGGCGGCGGCGGCAGCTCGGGTGGCCCCGCAGGCTGCAGGGCCGGAAGCCGCCCCGCATGCCGCCTCTCCCCCACCAGCCGCACCCTCGGCGGCGGCAGCAGCCGCGGACTCGGAGCTGTGCCTGCAGGGCGTCAGCATGCGGCTGGAGAGGGCGCCGCAGGGCTTGGAGGTGGGTGTTGGGTTGCATGGATCTGGGTTGTCTTGGGGTGGCGGGGTTTCTTGCCTGGAGCTGGCCGCGAGTGCGTTTCCAGGCATGCATGTTCAGCGGCGACCCGCTTGCCGCATGTTGCGGACGAACGTGGCGAACGTGTCGCTGTTATGTGACACCCCGCCCCACCCTTCATGCCGTGCCTCTGCTGCCGCTGTTGCTGCTCCCGGTAGCATGCACACCCCTGCCCCGCCGCTCCCATGCTGTCGGCGTACCCCGGTGCACCACCAGGCGTCCCCTGTACCTCCCCACCACTCACCTCCCCGGTTCCCCCCCATCCCCATGTTGTCGTACCCGGTACGGCAGCAGGCCCACGAGGAGCTGCTGGCCGCTCACGGGGACTTCGAGGAGACCTTTGTCGTGCAGCACGACGAGTGGGAGGCGCACGTGCCGCCCCACCTGCGCCGCCGCCGGGGCCGGCCGCGTGACGAGAAGGCGGTGGCCATTGGCTTGCCGCCCTTGGAGCCGCGGCAGGCGGTGATGTATGATGTGGCGGAGACGGTGGGGCGGGGTGGGGGTAGGGTGGGGTGGGGTCTCTTGTGGATTGGGGTTAGGGCGGCTGGTGTGGGAGTGATGAGGCGGCGTGGCAGTTGCGGCTGGCGGCACCACCCTGCGGCACCCACACCACCATGTGTGCTGTTGGAGACCTTCCGTACTTTTGTAAGGAGTATGAGGATAGGCTGCAGCCCTCCTGCACCCCTGCAGCCTTCCACGCCCCTCTCCCTCATCCGCACCCTTTGCCTTGCTCTAAGTTGTGGTTTGGTATTCCCGTGGGACCCCCCTCCGCAGCTACTGCCGGAGCTCTGGGCACGCCTCGCGCCGCTGCTGGCGCCGCTGCTGACCCAGTTGGCGGAGGAGCGGCAGCGGCGGCCGCTCACCAGTACGACATCCGCATTCAGATCCGGCGGCGGCGGCCGCGGCGACGGCGGCGGCGGCTTCGAGATCCTCACCTTCAGCTCCGGAGAGGAGGACTTTGCGGGCGGCAGCGGCGGCGGCTTCGGACCTGGGCCCGGCGGTGACATCGGCATGGGGCCGGACATGGTGATATGGGGCGGCAGCGACGGTGCCGGCGGCGGCGAACATGCCTCGTTCTACAGCAGCGGTGTGGGCGGCTGCGGCGGCGTCGGCGGCACGAGCTTTGGAAGCGGGAGTCGCCGGGTGGACTCGGTGTACGACACTGACGGCGGCGAGTCGATGTCGTACGATCTGGGTCTCCTGCATCCTGCCGCCGGGGGCGGAGGCGGAGGCGGCGGTGGTAGCCACACGCACGGCAACCCAGCCGCCGCCCTGCGGCCGACGTCTCCAGACGCGCCGTCGCCGCTCAGTCGAGCAGGCTTCCGCTCGCCTCCGCCCCCGGGTCCCCCGCCGGTGCTGCCGCGGGACCACTGGCCGCCCTCCGACCCCGCCGCGCCCTCCGCCTTCGCAGCCCCGCCGCCCCTCAACGCCCCGGGGCCGCTAGTGCCGCTGCAGCGGGCCGCCGGGCCGCCGCCCGCCTTGACCGGGGCGGGCTCGCAGCCCTCGGCCGGGACCACCCCCGCACTCTCGCCCCTGGCGTCACCCTCGCAGTCCCGCAGCACCCCCTACGTCCCCCTGCGCCCCTCCCTAGGCAGCTGCTGCGGCGGCAGTGAGGCAGCGGCGGCACTGGCACCGACACACGCAGTAGGCGCCCCTCTAGCACCCCTGCTGCAGCTCTCCTCAGGACCCGCGTGTCTCAGCTCCGCGACCCATGGGTCAGCCACCGGATCTCCCTCCCCGTCCGGCCATGCCAGCCCCCACCCCCACCCCCTGCAGCACGCCTCCCCAGTTCCCTCCCAGTCCCGGCTGCTGCACCACCAGCACTCCCCGCCGCACCTCTTCGACCCCGCCCCGCCCCAGGCTGCCCAGCCGGAGCAACGACTTCCCCCCGGCTGCCTGCTGCCCGCCTCCTCCTCATCATCATCATCACAGCCACCGCAGCTGCAGCAGCTGCACACATCCGGTGGTGCAGCGGAGGCGCTGGCGCTGCTAGCGTTGGGGCCGCTGCGAGGCACCGCCGCCGGCACCGCCGTGGTGGTGTCGCCGCACGCGCAGCAGCCCGGGGGCCCCGCGCGGCGGGTGCCCTCCCTGGAGGCTCGGCCAGCGCCTGGGCATAGCTCCTCGCCGCTCCCCCCGGCGGCGGTGGTGGTGGCGCAGGGGCAGGGAGGACCTGGCTTGTTGGAGGTGGGTAGGGGGCCGCGGCCTGCTGGGGAAATAGGGGGGAGGAGAAGGTGACGCTGTTGACGAAGGCGCCCGGAAGAAGGCTTCATCCGCCGCCGTTACTTGAGTCGTGGCCTCCACTTTCTCGCCCTTCCTTGCCTCCGCAGGTTAGCGGCATGGTGCCGGCGGGAGCAGCCCTTGGGGGCAGCGGCGGCTCGTTCACTCGTATGTCGGCCCCCGGCGGTGTTGTGAGCGTCGCAGGCAGCAGGGTGCAGCCGCCTGGCGGAGGTGCAGGGCCCGGCGGCGGCAAGGCCACGTGGGCCGGCGGCGGCGGCGGCGGCGGCGGGTTCGGGTGCGTGTGCTGCTGCTGGGGTTGCCGTACACCGCCGGAATCCCCCCGGCCCTAGGTGTCCTACGCGCCGTGGTGGGCTTCGTTGGGCGTCGGCGTGTGGCAGGTACCGCCCCTGCCGCCGACCACCCGACCCGTTCCCTAGGCGCTGCCCCCAGCACCCGACCCTGTTTCTCGGACCATAGCGTTTAGTACACCTTTCTTCCCGTGACTCGTACAGCAAAACACCCGTCACATCTGCGGTTGTGCTGCCACCCTATCCATCCTTCCTGGCCCTTGCATGACGTACCGTCGTCTTCCTCCTCCTCCGAACCTCCCCAGGGTCGGCAGCGGCGGAGGCGGCGGGCACCAGACCCCCAGCCCAATCACCTCCGTGGCGGCAGCGGCCTTCGCCCTGCACGCGCGCTTCCTGGGGCCGCCGGGAGTGGCAGCCGCAGCAGGGAGCGGTGTGGGTGCCCCCGCGGGGCCGGCAGCAGCGGGGTCCTATGCGGGGGTTGTTGCGGCCGGCGGAGGTCCGGCGGCGGCGGGGGTGGGAGGGCTGGGCGGCGGCAGCCCCACTGCCCGGCGGCTGGGCGGCTCCAGCAGCCACCACCACCTGCACCCCGTGCACCTGGCGCCGCTGGGGGGCGCCGCCGCCGCTGTCGGGGCGGGAGCTGGAGGTGGCGGCAGCGGCGGCGCCGGGAGCCCGGCGGCAGCGGTGGCGGGGGTGGCGGCGGCGTCCGCTGCGGCCACGGCTGCAGCAATGGCGGCGGCGGCGGCGCAGCGACGGCAGCAGCAGCCGGTGGCGGCGGCGACAGTGGGCGGCGGCGGCAGCGGCGGGCCGGGCATTGCGATGCCGGCGGTGGGTCGCAAACCGTCCGGCGAGCTGCTGCCGCCCCCGCTGAGCCGGCCCTCGCTGTCGGGAAGCCAGGAGGTGGGACCCCTAGCTAGGCTGCTGCTGCTGCTAGTGATGTTGTTAGTGTGGTGTTGTCGGGAACGTGCGGTTTGCGTGCGAGCACCCAGCAACCCTCCGCCCTTTTAGCACGCGCAGCTGCTTGCTTGCGCTCGCCTGAGTCCTGGCCTCCCATGGCATTCTCCTCACCCTGCCGCCAAGACTTGTCCATATCAGCGCTCCTCACGCCGCTACCCCTCTCCCCCCCTCTCTCTCCTCCCCCCTGCAGCCCCTGCAGGTCCAGCGCCGCTGCAACAGCATCACATGCGCCTCCTCGGCACCACCGCACAAGACAGCGGACGGCAGTCCGGGGCCGGCACCGGGGCCCGCCAACAAGAGCGGCGCGGCACCGCCCCTGCAGCCCCAGCCCACCCTCCCACCCCAGCCCTCACCCCCGCCCCCGCCGCAGCCCCCGGCCTCCAGCTCCTCGGGTGCCACCACACGGCTACCGGCGCTGTCGCTGGCCCGGAGCACCACGTCCGGCAGCGCTGCGGGGTTGTGAGGGGGACTGCGGGGGAGGACGGGGGAGGACGGGGATGTGGACCACGCAAGTGGGACATGGAACAGAGCGCTCTAGGGGACACCGCGAGGGAAGGGTGTCCGGATGGCCAGCATGCACAAAGAGTCCTGAGCCGGTGTGGATTGCGGGTGAGAGAGGTGGCGAGTGGGGCGTCTGGGCAGCCCCTTGGCGGTCGTACATAAGTGAAGAGTGCCGGGTGTTTGGAGGTTTGGTGTGGGCGGTGCGGAGGTGCGCTGGTGGGACCCGGGGGCGCGGCTGGCGCGGGGGGCCGGGGGGAAAAGAAGAATCCCAAGGTGTTTAATGATGCTAGCAAACAAGCGGACGAGCTCCTGGTGACCTGAACCGAGTTAGCTGAACCTAAACGTCTACAGCGGGACATGCATCCAACCTACCGAACTTACCAAATATGGCTCTACTTTACCATTAGTCGCCAGCCTTCTCGAATGCTGATTACGACGGCGTGAAGTCCCACCGCGCCGCCGAACAAAGACAAACAACAAACGAAAGCAAGGTACGCAACACGTAAGACAGAGACTGATACAAAGGCGACGGAGGGGGGAGGGGAGTGCATGAAGCCGCGGGGGCTGCGGGGCCTTGTGGCTGCGGGGCGCAGAGTGCCGACATGCAGCTCCGATGTGGATACTCATGAGCGTGGGGCTGGACACTGGGTACTGGTGCTCGCTGCTTGTACGCACAGCTCAGTAGGCTGGCGGCCTGGCGCCAAGCCCCGACAGCCTCGAGGGTGATCTTCCTTTGAGTTCTTCCTTCGTGTCATCTGCTGTCGGCGCACGAACGTCTGGGGCCGCCGTGAGCATCGGAAGGGGATGTGGTTCAGCAATGCGCCAGCTGGTACACCCCCCAGACCATCCTACTCCGCCGCGGCCACACGTCCTCACCGCAGCCGTTCAGGACTCAACTCAAGCATACCGGCATGCCGCATGCCGCATGCAACCTAGAACCTAGAACCTACACCCCCGCCGCTCAAAACCCATCACCGCGTCACAGCCAGCCCCCACCCCGCGGGCCCCTACTTCCTCACGGCGCGTCAAACCTCGCCTCCCCCGCCGCCACCCCCCGCCACGCCGTCAGCTCCCCCGGCAGCCCGCCCTCCTCGTCCCGCAGCGCCGCCTCCGCCGCCAGCCGCCCCAGCCAGCCGTGGTACACCAGGCCGCGCGACCCCAGCCCGCCCACCAGCCACCAGCGCCGACCAGGAACCAGCCGACCCAGCAGCGGCAGTGACCCATGGGTCGTGCGTGGGGGTAACGCGCGGACACCCTCCCTGCATTAAGAATTGCAAGGAGGGATCGCGAAAAGGGTGATACATTAACCGCGGCGTTTGCAGCTACCTAAACACAATGCCTGCCCCATCCCACCTCATGTCACCCCACCTCGCCCCGCCCCCTGCCCCACCTCACTCGCTCCAGCTGCCAGCCCCGCAGCGGCTCCCACACCTCACACGCCGCCCGCAGCAGCGCATCCACCTCCTCCTCCGCTTTCTCGCCCTCCGCCGCTGCTGCTGCCATCCCGGCCGACCCATGGGTCACCTCCGCGTACTCTGACCTCCCGCACGCCTCCAGCGCCGCCTCCGCCGTCCAGCCGTACTGCTTGGTCGCCCCCACCACCAGCCGCCCGGGGCCCTGCGCCGCCAGATAGGGCTGTCCCAGCAGGCTGGGGCGACCCGGGGGGTACGACGGGGCGGCGGGCGGGGCGGGGTCGGCTGGTGCAGCGGTTGGTGACACCATATCGCGGAGGGGTGGGGCGGGAGGGGTTGTGGCAGCTGGCGGTGGAGGTGCGGGCGGCGCCATGACTAGCGTGAGGCCCTGGGTGAGCGGTGAGCGGGGCGCAGGTGGGGGAGTTGGGGTCATGGATCCCATGGTGGGGTGGTTGTGCAGCCAGGAGGTCAGGTAATGCAGCGAGTCCAGGATGTGTAGGGATTCGCTGCACCCACGAAACCACATACCCGTCCCTCCCACATCCATCCCCGACCCCCCCTTCCTATCTTTCCCTCCCATCTCCCCACCTCCCTCCCACCGACCCACCTGGCACAGCTGCAGCGGCAAGCCCGCCCGCCGTACCTCCGCTAGCGTGCCCGCCGCTGCGCCCGCGGCCACCATGACGATGTCGTACTCGCCGCCTGCGGGCCGCCTGCTGCCGTACGTACCGCCGTATGTGTTGTTGGAGGAGGCACCGGAGGAGGAGGCGCCGCTTCTCGACCTGTGCAGATCCGGAGCCGTCGCCACCTCCGTCGTTGCGCCACCCACCCCGGCAGCAGCAGCGGCAGCTGCTGGTGGCTGCTGCTCCCCCTTGCACCCCTTGCGCTGACCCGCTTGACGAGCTGCCCCGCTGCCCTCCGCAGCCCCTGTCCCCCCCTCCCGCTGCTCCCCCTCCCCCTCCTCCTCCCCCCACCTCAGCCCCTCTAGCGACTCCACGCGGCGCAGGAGCAGGCGGGCGGCGCTGCCGTCCCCGCGGGCAGCCGCCTCAGCCTGGCTCCAGGGTGGGGTGGGGTGGGGGCAGGGGTAAAGGAAACCAGCAGGGGACATAGGTGGTGCCCCTCTCCCGCCTCCACCCCTCCTCCTCTGTGCAGCCCGCCCGCCCGCTGCCCCCCCCCCCCCCCCACCTGGCATGCCCGCCACAGGGCCCGCAGGTAGCGCCCCACGTCCAGCACCAGACCCTGGGGAACGTGATTGGGGATGGGATGGGTCGGGGGGAGGGCGTTGCATGGCCATGAGCGTTAGCGGACGCTTGTGGTTATGTGCGAGGTGCTGGGTGGGAGGCAGGAGACGAAGCAAGAAGCGAGGAGTACCCCGCACACCCTGCCCCACCCCTGTGCTCCCACTGCACCCCATCCCCCTCCACCCACCCGTGGTATGAGCAGTCCAGCGTGCTTGCTGGCGTCCGCTGACGAGATCGTGGCAGCGGCAGTAGCAGCGGCAGCGGCGGCCCGCCGGGCCCTCCGGTTGGCGCCCGGGGAGGCACCTGGACCCGGGGTGGTGCGGCCGCCCTCACAGGGTTCCGATTGCTGTGGCTGCTGCTGCTGCGGCAGGTGTTCCGCAGGCGGTCTGAGCCCGGGTAGCAGGGCCTGTAGCCAGGGAGGGGCGGGGGGGGGGGCGGGGTTCGGGGGAGTGGTCGGGGGGCATGACTGGCTTGACGCAGTGTCACCGGAGCATAGCACGGCGGCGGCAGCGCCTGCAATCGTGGTGTTCAAGACATGTCGTACCTCCTCTTCCAGGAGGCAGACCGACAGGAGGAGCAGGGGGGGAGTCGGCATCCATGCGGCCTTATGGCGCCGGTACTGGCTCCCCCAGGGATGTTGCGCCGCAGTGTATGGCTGCCCCTGCAACCCACCAGCCATACACTGCGCACGCCCCCCACCGGTACCCACCCGCATCTCCTCCGCCGTCAGCGTCCGCACGCCCCCACCGCTCACGTCGCCGCTGTCGCTGCCGCCACCACTGCCCCCGCCCACACCTCCCCCAGCAGCCCCGGCAGCCCCCGGCGGACACGATGACGCCTCCTGCCACGTTTCCTGCCGGGCAGCTACACCACCTGACGCAGCTGCAGCGGCGGAAGCGGCGGCAGCGGCAGCTCGCGCGAAGTCCGCTGCCTGCTTGGCGCTGGCTGCAGGGCGCAGCAGCCCGTAACGCCACACGAAGGAGGTGCAGCACTCACTCGGTGATGGTGGGGGTGGGGGTGGATGTCGAGCGGCATCCGCTCCGCCTGCCTCCCCCGCCTCCGCCTCCGCAGCCTCCGCCGCCGCTACGAGCTCCTCCGCCACCGCCATCGCCTCCTCACCCCGCCACAGCAGCTGCATACACACGCACAGCACAGCACTGCGTAACACACCACACCAGAGCTTCTCCTACCACACCCAGTGCCGGTGTGTGCTTCGCGGCTCAGTTGCGGCTCGAAGCACACAGCCCACAACGCACGGGTCGCAATGCAATGTCCCCTGGCCTCGCCGCCTGCCCTCACCTTGCCCCTCGGACTGTAAGGGTGCAGCAGCCCGGCAGCGGCTCCGGAGCCCCCTGCGGCGATGCCGGCAGCATCGTACAGGTGCAGTACGACAGGGCGGCCTGCAGGTGCCGTGCGCTGCGGGGGAGAGAGAGGAGCGTTCAGGAGGGCGGTGAGATGAGAACGTACGGTTGGGACTTGGGAGGTAGCGGGATGGGAAGCAGCGCCTTCGCGCCAGCCCTGCAGCCGCCAAAACTCATGCGAAGCCATTGTGCACACGGGTAAGAGGGAGGAAACGTCCCACGCACGTCTGCCCTCCAGGGGGTTTACCCACCAGCAGCTGCCAGGCCACGGCTACTCCCGCCAGCCCCGCTCCCACGACGGCGATGTGTACGGCATCGCGTTCGGTTCCACACGTGCTGCTGCCTAGCTGTGGAGCGGCGCCAGGGCGCGGGGCTGGACCGCGCGAAGCAATGGCTTTGGCGCGAGCGGGAGCGGCGGTTAGGGCGAGACCGTTGGTTGGAGAACCCGCCAGGGCGCCAGCAGTAAGAGGTCCTGTAGTTGCTACGGCCACTGCCGCAGTTGCTGTGCGGTTTCCAGCTGCGTCCCGGTGGGGCCCAGAAGCGGCATGTGATGCATGCGAGGCCAGTAGCTTCGTTTGACAGCGCACTGTCGCAATTTCCTTCAGCATAGAATGCCGTGTAAGCTTCATTGGCTGGCGGAAAATTCGAACGTCGGTCGGGCTGTCGCAGCGGACATTATGCTTCTTGTGGCCGACGACACACGAAGTCGACAGCTTGAGCGCAGCAGGATTTGTAACATTCATATGTGGAAGCTAATTGAACCCAGTGAAAGCACCTTCGGTGCGAGAAAATTTCCGCATCGTCCATCTTCGGAGCAATCGGTTCTAGTTAGCTGGTCTCTCTGGACAAGCACCATAAGGTTCCTGGCGTAGACCAGGGCCATCCTTTATATGCAACTAACACATCTTTGGCGTGATTTGATGCCTTCGTTGGAGGCCGTAGGTTCAGCCATTGATCATCGTATGCTTGTCTGTCACCCGCTGTCACCTTTTCACGTCTCGCCTTCGCAAATCTCCTCATCATCCCTTTTGCTCGCCAGGCCATGTGGGCAGATACTTTCTCACAACCCCCTCGGGGCATCACATGACATGGACGTAGCCAGGCCATTCGGGCTCACCCCTTCGCGCATCTCCTCGTATTCCCTTTTGCTCGCCAGGGCATTCGGGCGAATCCCTTCTCACGACCCCCTCGGGGCATCTTTGGCTGCCGTTGCCAAGCCATGCGGGCATATCCCTTCGCACATCATGTTGTGGGTAACGTCGCGGTAGGTAGTTCGTTGCACTACACGGGATAAGGGCGCGGCTACGAGCATTCCAAACTCTGCTCCTGGAAGCCCATGTTCCGCCTCATCCGCAGCCCCCCACAACCGCATGCATTCCCACCTGCCTGCCCTGCCTACCGCCCGCTGCTACTCCACCCCACCCCCAGCTTCCCCCGACCCCCAGCCCCCTGCCCCCTCAGCCCTTGCCCACGCCTCCGCCTCCTCCACCCACCGACTGTTCACCTCCTTTCCTCCCCCACCCCACCCGCCCCCAAGCTGCCCGCCATCCCCCGCGGCCCCCCCAGCAGCGCCTCCAGCACCGGCAGCAGCAGCCCCACCCCAGGAGCCCGGCACAACAGCCTGCGTGCCGCCTGTCCCTGCTGCCCCGGCTGCTGCAGGGCTGCTGGGGTCGGCGAGCGCCGCCTCTTGCTGCCGCTGGTGCTGCTGCGGGGGGGAGAGGGGTTACAATGTTACCATGTTGCGATATTACCATGGGGGGGAGGGGGGTTGGGTGCACATCTTGTGGCTCCACACGGATGCGTGGTGCGCACAGGAGGCGGCGGCAAGGCAAGCGAGCCCAGCGGGCTGGTTGCGCCCCCACCCGCTCCCCCAGCCCAACATGCGCCGTACACTCCTCAACCCTCACGCCACAACGGGCCTGCGCCCCCCTCCCGCCTCCCCTCCTCCCTCCCCCCTCCTCGGTACGGTCTTTGTCCCCCCTCCTCCCCACCTGCAGCCTCTCCTCCCGCCGCTCCCTGCGCCCCAGGTCCGCCGGCCGCTCCAGCGCAAACGCCCCCAGCGCGCCGCCCCGCCAGTCGCCCAGCAACCGCAGAGCCGCGCGGTCCAGCTCGCCGCGGGGCAGGCAGGGGTCGGGAGCCGGCAGCTCGCCACCCGCCTGCTGCTGCGGCAGCCCCCCCTGGCCCCGCCCAGGCTGCCCCCTGGCCGCCAGTGCCACTATGTAGTCCTCCGCACTGCACCCGCACTGGGGGGGGACAGGGGGCAGGGAGCAGGGGGGTCTGGTCAGCGAAACATGCGACCCATGTGCCGTGCAGCCTGGCGGGCCTGCCGGGCTGCCCGTGCAGACCAGCAAGCAACGCACCTGCCCACAACCCAACACGCAACCCTCAATAATCCCTTGTCCCCATTACACATCATCAAAACCCTAAACCCCACCCCCCTGCCCCCGCCCCCAGCCCCCCTACCAGCGGGTTGAGCCCGTAGCGCCGCTCCATCGCCGCCACCACCCCCGCCATCACCCTGCCTCCTCTCTCCCCTCGCCGCCCCTCCCCCTCCTTCTTCCCCGCCTCCTTCTCCTTCTCCTCCTTCTCCTCCGCCGCCGCCAGCTGCTTTATCCGCAGCACCAGCGCCGCCGCCACCGCCGCCGCCAGGTAGGCCGCCTCCCCAATGTCATTACACATGGCCAGTCGCTGCGCCGCCAGCTGGTCGCGCATGGACGCGGGAATGACGCCCGGCGCATCCAGCAGGTCCAGCTGCGGGTCCACACGCACCCACCGCAGCGCACGAGTGACGCCCGGCTTGGGTGCCGACTCCACCGCGCGCCGCCCCACCAGGCGGTTGATGAGCGCGGACTTGCCAATATTGGGGAAGCCGATGACGACGGCGCGGACGGGGCGGGGCTGCAGACCGCGGCGGGCGCGGCGGGCGTTGAGCTCGGAGGCGACCTGCGGGGGGTGGGGGTGGGGGGACGGCAGAGATATAGCGGAACCACAGGTTAGGGCAAAGCAATAGGGATAGAGTGCAGCAGTTTGTCCCGAACTTGGGGGGGTGGGGGTGGGGAAGCAGGGGGTGGTTGGGTATGTGACATGTGGGTTGTGTTCGATGGAATGTGATGGGAGCAGGGGCTGCATCCCCAAGACCCCATTACGGTAGTTGCATTCCGCCCCCGCCCTGGATCCTCAAGACATTCACCACCTTGAGCAGCTCCTTCTTGACCGCCTTGACCCCCTCGCCGTTGCGTCCGTCCGTCCACCACACTCGCTGCCCCCGCTGCGCGAAGTGCTGCCGCCACGCCGCCAGGTCGGCGGGGGAGACCTGGTCGGCCCGGTTGAACAGCAGCAGCCGCGGCTTGGCGCCCACCCAAGTGGACACCTGCGGGCGGGAGGAGGGGAGGGAGGGAGGTGGGAATGGAGGTACCCCGGGGGTGGACGTGAGCAGCGAGCGGGGGTGGGGTCCCCACGGATGGGGGGGCCTCCCAATGCGGCGTTCAGTGCTCGCTGGTGGGGTTGAGGGGAGAGGATGGAGGAGCGGATGCATGCGTGCATGGGGAAGGCCGCCTCACGAAAGGCTGCAGCAGCAGCAGAAGCAGCTAGCACGAGGGATGCCGGGGCAGCCCCTGAGCTCCTTGTCCCAAGGGGATCCCAGGAAGCCCCTCCCTGCCTCCCGCCCCCTAACTGAACCAGATGCCCCCTGCCCCTCCCATGATGCAACCCTGACGAGGGAGCCTTCCTGTCACAAGGCTGGTCTTTGCCCTCTCCTTACCGCCCCCTCCCTCCCTCCCTCACCTGCGGGTGGTGTGTGGACACGGGTATGCGCGCGTCCCGCACCTCCAGCACCACATCCACCATACTCAGCTGCTCCTGGGGGGGGGGGGACGTAGGGGGGGACATGGAGGAGAGGGGAGGAGGGCTCAGGCGGGCGCAGCGCTGGTGCGGCGCATGGCGAGGGCAGGCGGGATGCAGGGGGATGACTCCCAAACCCCACACAGCCCCTGTAGCCGCTGGCTGGCTGCGCGTGTCTCACCCACTCGCCCTTCTCGAGGCGCGTCTGTACCCCTCGCCGCCCCTCGCGGCTCACACCGCACCTCGTCACCTTCACCCGGCGTGTACACATCTTACCCCGGCTACCCAGCTCACGACCCCAGCTCCCCGCCCCCCCCCCCTCGCCCCTGATCGCCGGCCCCCCTGTCCCCCCCCGTCCCGCTACCTTGAGCTGCCGCTCCGCCCGCGCGATGTGGCCCGGGTACCACTGCACCATGCGGACCTGCGGGGGGGGTGAGGGAGGGGGTGAGGAGGGAACCCGGCAGCAGGCGCCCAAACAGGGGTGCCGTCAGGCGCCAAGACGAGGCAGCAGTGAGGAGAAGGGCGTGTCTTCAAAGCAGGCGCGGTTCAGGTGCTGTGCCGTAGCAGGGACCTAGGTGGACCCGTACAGTGCATTCATGAGGTGGTTAACAATCCACCCCAACAACACGTCTCCCGCCTTGCCTGGAGCGACGCATCGGACATGTCCGAGAGCTGCATGAAGTTGCGAGCGCCTTCAGCAGCCACAACAGCGTCCTGCTCGTCTAGCGCTACGTCGCCAGCTAGCGCATCGTCATTGAGCAGCGCATGGGCAGGAGACAAAAGGCTGCCGCGCAGATTCCGTGATGACCCAAAGGGTTTTTGGAATTTCCGTACGTAGCCATGACTGGAAAGGCCCCCTAACTGTGCAGCGAGGGCAGTGTCCGTGCAACGCGGCGACGTCGACGCATGGATGACCTGCGTAGCGCCTACTGGGCGAACGTGCGACTCGCCCAAGAAAGCTGAAGAAGCTTGTAAACGTGTAGTGCTGAGCATAATTCACATGAAATAAGCAATTCGCGGACGGCAGAAGTGGACCATATGACACCTGTGAACCCGGACACACTACTGCAAATACCTACTGTGCAAACTTCATAGTTAGTATTGACGAATCCAATCAATCTTTTCCGCGAGCAATTGACAGTAGCCCTCGCTTGTTTACGGTGTAGTACATTTCAAAGCATTACAGATCGGCCGAACAAGCTTGCACGTTCGCATACATATTCAATTTCCACATAGGAGCATGCAAGCACGTATATAGTTACTACCTGAAAGCTGTAAACCCCTCACGAGCAGCCCTGGGACTGGCCATCTCAGCAGGCCACGGCGCTGTCGCGCCTCCACCTCCTCTCCCCAAACGAACGTCTTTACACGTCTCCCGCCAACTTCAATCCAAGTTTCTATCCTACTTGCAACTCAGCCGGCCTCGACCGCTGCCATTGCCCCGCACCGGCGGCATCCCTGGCCCCGTCACCCACTCAGCCTTGCTGGACGCCGCTTGGTCCGCCACCTCCCTCCTTTCCCCAGCTGAAACCCTGCCTCCCGCCGCTGACTCCACCTTGGTTTCCGTCCTTACCTTAAGCTCCACCACCGTAGCCCCTTCATCCTCCTCCTTCGCAACCACCTCCTGTGCAGCCCCCGCCACCCCAATGCCCGCCCTCGCGCTCGTCCTGCTCGACTCCCTGCTCAAAGTAGCTGGCGGCGTAGCAGTCGGCTGGCTCTTGCGCGACCGAGCTGCCCGCAAGGACTCCTCCTCCTCCTCCTCTGAAGGCAGCACTCCCGCCAAAAAGGGCGGCGGCAAGAAGGCCGCCCGCCGCGCCGGCGCCGCCGCCGCAACTGGCTCCGGGCCCGTTCCCCGTCCCAAGGAGGAGCTGAAGATGGTGCTGTGCGTCAACACCAGCCTGCGCATGGGCACGGGCAAGGTGGGCGCGCAGTGCGCACATGCGGCGGTGGGGGTGCTGTGGGCGCACTACAGCAGCCACAGCGTGGCGATACGGCAATGGGAGATGTACGGACAACCCAAGATCGCACTCAAGGTAGGGGCGGGGGGGTTGAGGGATGGGGTGGGGCGGGCAGGAAACAGGGTAGCTTGGGCCGTGTTCCCTACACCTCCAGCCCTGCTGGTCAGGCAGTGCGACAACCGCGGGTACTGCCCTCGTATACACCCTGTCCCACCTTCCCTGCCCTCCTAACTCCTCCCTTCTCTTCCCTCCCCCTTGCTCCCCTTCCTCTCCATCCGTCTCTCCCTCCCTCTCCACCTCCCCTCCACCCGCGCTCCCGTCTCCCCCCCTCCCCCCCTGTAGGTCCGCGACGAGGACGAGATGGCGGAGCTGGAGGCGCGCGCAGTGTCTCTGGGGCTGCCCACCTACATTGTGCACGACGCGGGGCGCACACAGATCGCCGCGGGGTCGCAGACGGTGCTGGCCATCGGGCCCGCGCCCAAGAGCCAGCTGGACAGCGTGACGGGGCACCTGAAGCTGCTGTGAGGAGGGGGTGGGCGGGTAGAGAGGAAGGGGAAAGTAACCGTGTGACATGGGCTTGGGTTGCAGTGGGGGGGCCGGGGAGTACCGGTAACGGAAACATTCAGGTATGACGTGGGGGTGGAGAGAGGAGGTGCGGTACCTGTGTTGTGACCCATGGCAGCGGCTGTTGCAATGAGGGAGGGGTCTAGGTGGGAAGAAGACGGCAAGGAGGGAAGGGGAAGGGGGTTGGGCTGGCAAGGGGGGTCCTGGTGGGTATGTGTTCGTACCGTACGGCAGGATGGCACCGTTGGTTGTACAACAAGCAGCTGTTGGTTGGTGGTTGGACCTTGGGTGCACGAGGTGGTTGCGAGGTGGATGAGAAAGCGGCGGTGATGGAGCGGGGGAGGCGGGCCATATGTCGGAGTCCTCGGGTGAGATGAGGTGAAGAGGAAACGACTAATGAACCGTGTGATAAGGCGTCATCATGGTTTAGAGGGGTGGCTTGGGTGGTGCGTTGTGCGTGTGTTTCAGAACTGCAGCGCAGGATGGCCAGTGCTGTGCCGACACTGGTTTGTTTCCAATGTAGGGAAGGAGGAGGCGTTTAAGGGAGGGATGCCGTCTAGGGAGGGGGCAGGCTAGCTGCGCATTCAGGTGTTGGGCGTGTAGGGAAGAGAGAGAGCGCCGGGCTGCCAGGACCGTTACATTGGTTGTGAATGTCTTCCTTTGCGTGATCGAGAATAGGGTTCTAGGGTACAAGGGGCGGCAGTGAAAACTGCAGCCTGCTGAACCAGCGGCTGCGTTCGTGTCTACCGATGTGCGCTTTTGTGAGGCTTCCCAGGCGAGGTGACAAGGCCCCGCTTACTGGAACATGATGCAAAGCGTGGACTTTTCTGTTATCAATCAGAATCCGCTCGGCTAAGGATTTGGCGCTGTTTAGTACGGCACTAGCGACAACATTATTACTCATGTCTTATGCAACAGCGAGTTGTGACCCGTCAGGCGCAGCGAAAGCGTTGTAATTTATAAGCATTGTATTTTATGTACGAAATTACAGCAGCTTCAGGCAGCTTAGAGAGTTGTGAGCATTGGCAACTTGCGTCGTCCAAAGACCACAAGTGGTAGCTTCGCAGCTGCAGCTGTCTCTCAACGCATTTGAACATGTCCAGCAAGGCTCTTGGCAGGTTAACACTCTTACAAGATACTGATCAGACGGGTAAGGCGGTTGGCGCCCTGATCTCGCGCGGTTACGGAGCGGCAGAGAGCAAAGAGCGGCAAGCGAGAGCTGCCCACCTGACTGACGCTCCTTCTGACAGGCGAAGCCCTGCTAGCCGCCAAGCCGCACTTCAAGTCGACCCTTCTTTGGCCTCGAGGTGGCGTGCTGGTGGGCCGTGACCCGCTGTGTCGCATCGTGGTGGACCAGCCGCAAGCCTCGCGCAAACATTTCCTTCTGACGGTACGGATACTACTGATAAGGAAATTTATTACCAGAAGTTCTTCTTCGGGGTAACCGAACCCGAAGTATTACGCTTAACGGTGGCGTTCAACGTAAGATCGACCATCATTGTTACCGCTAGCGCACCCACTTGCCGATCTGGGTCGGCCCCTTTAAGCCGAGCCCACATGGCAACATGGGAATGAAACCCATGACTGATTTGGGTCAGCTTCGAAACAGCGTCCCCAGCTCGTAACCACGCCGTGTTTTTAACGTCTATCACGGCACCGAACAGTCCCACATGCCCCTCCTTTCTCGAAAGTATACTCTCCCTCCCACTTGCGCCATGTGTCAAGTAGTGTTAATCCACCGCCTCTCCTCCTCCTCCTCCCCTTCCCTTCTGCCCCCTTCTCCCGTCCTCTGCTGCCAGGACGAGGGCAGCGGGCGGGTGCGGCTGCAGGACAGCTCCACCAACGGCACCCTGCTGCTCCCGGAGCAACCCCCACAACACCGCCACGATGCTGCTGGTGGTGGTGGTGACAGAGCCCCAGCCGCAGACCCCACTACCGCCGCCACCGCTGCCGCCAGCCCTGCAGCAGCTGCAGCTGCAGCCGCATGCGACCCCGCCCTGCACGCTGCTCGGCTGCTGCTGCGAGGCCGGGGGGTGGTGCAGCTGCGCGGCGGGGGCAGCCTGGAGCTGAGTGACCTAGGAGGAGGCGAGGGCTGGGGCGGGGGCGGGGAGGTGCGGGACGAGGCAGGTGGTGATGCGGGGGGCTGCTGCAGCTGCCTGATGGTGGTGGGAGGCGCGGTGGGGGAGCAGCTGAGGCTGCGAGCTGGAGCAGGAGGAGGCGGACGGCAGGGAGAGCGGGAGGGGCAGAAGGGGTGTGGAGCAGCTGGGGACGCAGCGGCAGCAGCGGCGCTCGCTGAGCTGCTGCGGGGCGCCACCATACTGCGCTGGCAGCCGCTGGGGGCCGGTTGCCGCAGGGGCAGGGGCAGCAGCAGGGGCAGCAACAGAGCTGCGTGTCCGGCTGCCGCCCCAGCGCTGTCGCCCGCACCCGGTGCACCCCAGCATGGGCAGGAGCAGGAGGAGGAGCAGGAGGAGGAAAATGGCAGGCGGGAGGAGGAGGAGAAGCACCTTCTGTCACGTGGCGACAATTTCAGTGAGGGTGGGGACGTGGCTCCTGCGGCAGCTGCGGCTGAGGTTTTGGTTGGCCTGGCAGCAGGGCCGCGCAGAGTCCCACAGCTGCTGCAGCGGCCCGGAGCTGCTGGGGGCGGAGGGGGAGGCGGAGGGGGAGGCGGAGGCGATCATGGGGGCTCAGCACCCTCGCAGCAGCAGCCCCAAGTGTCATCTGACTCCCAGCACCACGCCCTGACCGACTCGCAGTTGCAACCCGCTGGCGATGCCGACACTAGCGCCTCGCGGCGCCGTCAGGACGGCAACGGCGGCAGAGGTAGAGATGGTGGCGGCGCTGACAGGCCGCGAAAAAGTGGGAAGAAGACCGTACGGCAGATATGTGACGCCGGTACGGCACACGATGGCGCCGTCGTCTGCGGGGGGCTGGCGGGCGCTCCTCACTCGCCCCGGCGGCAGCGGCACTCGGCCCACCAACAGCAGCAGCAGTACCAGCAGCAGCAGCGGAGGCGAATGCGGGTTTCGGAGCGAGGCGATGCGGAGCGGCTGCAGCAGGCGTTTAACGCGCACATGTTGCCGCCGCCGCGGGGTGTGACGTGGGGGCCGCTGCCGCTGCGGAAGGCTGATGCGGGCAGGGCGGCAGGGCGGCGGGGCAGGTACGCGCCGCTGGCTGTGACGTCTGCAGCCGCCGCCGCAGCAGCAGGAACCGACGTTCGTGAGGGTAGCCTGGAGCGGGGGCACAAGCAGCAGGTGCGGCGGCGTCGGAAGCGGTTGCAGCTGGAGCCGCCGGGTGGAGGGAACTCGAACACCGGCGACGAGGAGGGGGCGGGAGGCGGGGATAGGAGCGGGCCCGGCGGCCGGGTCGGCAGCCCGGCTGCTGACCTGGATCGACGGCAGCGGCGACAGCGGCGCGGGGGAGGTGAGGAGTGTGAGCTGGCTGTGGCGGGGAAGGAGGAAGGGGCGGAGGCTGGGGTGCGTGAGGGCGGCGGGAAGCGTCTGGGTGGTGGTAGGAGGCGGGTGCAGCAGCGGGAGGGAGAGGGGCTGAAGGTGCAGGTGCAGGTGCAGGGGGTTCCGGAGCTGGGAGTCAGCGGTGGGGGCAGGGGTGTGGACGAGGGCGGCGAGCGGGCGGATGGGGAGCAGCCCCACGAGGCGGCAGCCGGAGTCAAGGTGTTCAAGCGGCGAGGTGCCTGACATGCCGCTAGAGGCGGCGGCAGTGCATGTTACAACGCTTACCCAGCAGGGGATTGAGATAAGCCGGACTTCCTTTGCAAGCTCTTCAGGACCCATTACGCTATGCTTAAAGGCTGTCCTACCCGTGCCGTCATGCCGTAAACAAACAGCCCTTCGCAAGCGCCTGTGTCCAATCCGTTGTCGTACATTGTGAGAGACCTCGGATCTCTGCATCTGCCACTTCGCACAAGCACATCTGGAGACCTGGTAAAACTCCCACATACATACTGCACAACGCGCACGAAAGAACAGCAGTACAAGTCGCTGCCGGCGTCACGTACAACACGAGCAGTAATCGATCTAAGTATACAGGGAGACGCAACATAGCAGTGCTTTGATAAAAGAATTGTACACTCTCGCTTATGGGGTACAGTAGAACGAACAACACGCTTGTCATGAAATACGGTTGCGAGATATTAGTAAGATCTACCGAACGTAGCAGCCCGTCAACTGGCAAACTGCTAACTAAACAAATACACGAATCTATTGCAGCATTCGATTCCGCTCCATCCTTACTGGTACAAAGGTTTACAGCACATTTCAAGTTAAGTAACATAGCCTTGCGCACGATCACACGCTCTATTTTACAGCCTCACCCAGGCCTGCCTGCCATGCGCCGGATGCCGCTCAGTACTCCCGCGCTTCACCACCCTCGCGGCCCTCACAGCCCCGCCACCGAGCACTCTCTCACACGCTCCTCGCTCCTCGCGCACCCCACCTCATTGCGCCCACAGGCTCCTCACGTCCTGCCCCTCGCACACCCACTTGTCTGTGTACCAGTAGCCGTCGTAGCAGCCGCCCAGCCGCTGAGGGGGGCACGTGACCAGCATGGCAAAGCGGGTGCTTATTGACGGCGGAGGTTCACGGGTAGAACACACCGATATTAACGCTTTGCTGATCAAAGTTCCTTCAAAGGAGGCGAGCGCCACAGCGCATGCTACTACCTACCCAGGACGCCCCGACAGAAACAACGTCCATACGCCCTGCCACATGCAAGGCTGCTGCCATGTAATTAACCCTCCAATACCCCCCCCCCGCCCCGCCCCGCCCATCTCCCCCCCTGACCTGCATCATGGTGATGTCGTACGTGCGCTCCTCCAGCCGGTGCGTGTCGTACACCAGCACGCGGGCGCACCAGGTGCCCTCGTCAACCTGGGGAAGGGGGTGGTTGACGCAGGTGTCAACATACCGGTACTGATATTCATGACCCACGGGCCTACTGATTGTAATATGTTATCTGTAAGCAAGGAGATCGCCAAGGCACGTAGAGGTGGACCGGTCGCTAAGCATGGGGCTTCTCGCAGGGTACAGGGCCCTCAAGTCATCGGGTTCTATGAGTCAGACAGCAGCTGCCGGGCCCGCCCCCTCAGTCCGCCCCCCTCTCAGCACCCGCACCTGCAGCGCGCTGAGCAGCTGCCAGCCCGAGTGGTCCAGCAGGGTGGAGTAGGCGGGCGAGTGCATCACGCGGCGGAAGCGCTCGAACTGCCTGGCACGGGAGGAGGGGGGAAGGGAGAAAATGACGAGTGGGCGGTAAGGTCAGGTCTGTGGCTGGCGCCGGTGAGGGTGGTGGACCCTGCGACCCGCGGGTCACCGGGGAAACGTCAAAGCGACGAATCACCACTTGAGGTGCTTTTGGGCCATCATTAGCCCATGGGTGCTGTTGGGGGGCAGTGCCGCTGGCGTGGTGTGCACGTTGAAGCTAGGAGGTGGTCCGCAGGAGGTTGGCAAAAGCGGTTGCAGGAGGTTGCACGCCCCTCGCCTCACCCGCGCTCACCCTAGGTCCAGACTCCGCCTGCGAACAGGGCAGGTGAGTGCGGGGGGTGGATGAAGGAGCAGATTGAGTGGGCCAGGAATTATTGAGTTAAGGGCAATGGCTTTCTGGCTGTAGTTGGGGGCTGTAGCTGCCTGGCCAGTCAACAGGGGTGCTACCAGGAATTGATGGCCTGTGATAGTTTGGTGGCCCCCGTCTTCTCGCTTACCCGAAGTAGTTGGCCCGGGTGAAGGGGTCAAAGTTGGCGAAGCGGTACAGCACCTCCACGCCGTGATCCGCGTACGGCACATTGTTGCGTTGCAGAGCCTGTGTGGTGTACGACATAAAAATCGTATACGGCATGACATACCGGTGCAAGATTAGGGGATGGAGCCATGGAGGTTTGGGGAGCAGCGGATACATGAGTTGGTTATCAACACAAAGCGTTTGGTAACGTCTGTTGAGCTGCAACGTCCTTGTTGCTTCTGCTGACGCTAGATCCGCCCCTGCAGCCCAACCAAGTCGCACCTCGAGCTGAACACGCAGCGCGTCCTCGCACGAGAGCTCGAAGCAAGGTCCTAGCTGCGCGCGCTTCTTAGGAAAGGCCAGAACCTCCCTACAAGCATTGCAAGCTTCATGTACAGCTTGTGGTGGTTTGAACAACGCATGTGGCCACAAGGATAAGTATTCAGCTCACCCGTTGTTCAGGAATAATAAGCCGCCATCGTCGCCCATTGCAGCAGCGGTCGCAACCCGGCGATGATGGGGTCGGCAAGCACTTAGCCGTGACAGGGAAGGAACCCCTTGACAAGCCCCTGCAAGCAAAGGTGATATTGACTGGCGAACATTTGGTAAAGGGCGTCCCCCGAGTCCCATGTGCATTGACTTCACGACCGGTTGCAAATGATGCTGATGACCACCGTTTTCAAATTTTCGTTACACTCGCTACCTTTTTGAGCAGATGTGCGTGTAAGACCTCCAAATTTCGGAAGGGAAGTCATGGCTCCACAGGGGCAGCAGTCCAGTAATGACGCAAGGGTTCACTAACTGCAACGTGCAAGCGTTAGCAACTTTTTGGATTTAGGACGTAGATACAGTAGTCACAGAAGACTGACTGGGACCATGTGCCGGCTGTCCCTCTGGAAGTTCTGCCTCCTGTTCCATGGACCATGTTTGATGCGTACGACGACTTCGTTGATTTCCGCAGGATGGGTTCAAGGCGACCCCTGAGAGCTGCTATGTTGCAGCTGTGGTAATAGTTGAAGTCCATGGGGAATGGATGCCAATCGTCGACACCATAGAATAGGAAGACTGCCTCTGTTACTTGTTGCCATGACTACACAGTTCACTTATCAGAATTGCTTATACTAAATGTTGCGATAAAGGGTAGCAGTCTGTATAGATTTCAGCTTGCCCATTGGCCACAATTGACGAAGAAACCCGGTCGCCCCTTGTGCGGGTAGGAAAGCTTAATGGCTTCACCACTGACTCCTAAAATAGAATCCTTAGTTCGTGTAGCAACCCATTCAACACCTGATGATTGCTGGCTTACTTTTCTTCAATAGGTGCTCACAACGGTGATGGAGACGGAGGAGGCACAAAGTTACTTCAGTAAGCCAAGCGATGCTGCAGAGCACCCCGATTTCGCCATACCGGTTCAGGTACGCGAAGGGCAGGGTACGCGGGGACCCGACCCCGACCCATCGAGCGGTTGCGCATGAGACATGCAAGCCGCAAGCCACGCAGGGGAGGCGGTGATGTGGGTCACCGCGGTGTGACGACGCCGGCATGCACCGCATGCCTGACCGCAATCGCTGCAGCTATCCCGTTATCCACCCTTGCAATCCCTTTTATTCCGGTCCCTGCACTGCCCGGCCGGACGCCATTAACAAGCATCATGAGACGTCTCCAGAAGCAACCGGGCGCTCCAGAGCACCCCGTCCTTGATACCTACATTGTCTCCCTTGATCCTGCAGGGGCAGGGCCGGGTGCAGGAGCAGCCGTGTGGTGACGGCGAGCAGCGAGGGGAGCAGGACGGGCGGCTGCCGCATGTGGCGCTGCGGGAGCCGGAGGAGCAGCGGGCGCTGGGGGAGCGGGAGGAGCAGCGTGAGGCCGCGGTGCATGAGGGGCTGATGTGCGGGCCGCCGCATGGGGCCGAGCAGCAGCAGCAGCAGGTGCAGCAACAGCATGCGTCGCAGCAGCTGGAGCAGCAACAAGTGTCGCTGCCGCTGGAGAGGCTGCAAGACCCTCAGCAGCAGCTGGCGCAGGATTTGGCCGCTGCGGTTGGCATTCCGGAGCAGCAGTGGGAGCCACAACTTCCGCAACCCCAGCAGCCGGGGCCGCCATCTGAGGAGCAGCAGCAGACCCCGCAGCAGTCGACACCAGCAGCAGCAGCAGCAGAGGGACATGTGCCTGAGCTGCTGCAGGGGCCGCCCATGGCTGAGCTAGGGTTTGGGCTTGCACCCTCGGCATCTGGGCTGGGGCTGCTAGGGCCGGAGGAGCAGACGTCTGAGGGGCGGGGGCAGGCAGCCGTGCATGAGGCGCAGCAGCAGCAGCCACAAGTGGCGGGACAGCCGCCGCTGCAGCCGCAGCAGACGACGCAGGCAGACCCGGAGGCCGCAACGACGCAGGCGGAACCCACATCCGCCGCGCCGCCGGCGGAGGCGTTCGGGGCGTCTGCAGCAGCGGCAGATGCAGTGGCTGCGGCGGCGGGTGCAGTGCGGGTGCAGTGCGAGAGGGAGCACATGCAGCTCCCTAACGGGAATCCGAAGCCGGAGATCTCTCAGCAGCTGCACCCGGGGTCCCTTCCGGCGGCCGGGGCGGGTGCGGTGCCGTACTTGCCCGGGAGTAGCAGCATCAGCAGCAATGGCGACGCGGGGAGCAGCTTCATGCCAGTAAGTGTGACGACAGCAGCAGCAACAGCGGCAGCCCCGACGATGGCGGCGGCGAACCCTGTGTTTGCTCGATTCTCCATGCCTGCCGCCGCCGGCACGGAGGTGACAACCGCGGCCCATACGGCTGCTGCCGTACTGCAGCCCCGCTACTCCGGCGGAGGCGTCGCTCGGAGTGGCGGCGGAGGCGGAGGCGGGCAGCCAGCTGGGGTCGGTGCCAGCGGGGCACCAGGGGGGTCGCTGCGTGGCTCCATGGCCGCTGCCGGCGCCGCCGTCGCTGCTGCTGATGCCGATGAGGTTCTCCTTATAGACCCCACAACAGCGACGACCCACGGGTCAGCGCTGCTGCATGATACCGTACCTGCTGCCAACGGCGCCGTACTGCTGCACGGCCACATGCACTCCGGACCGCTGGGCGGAGGCCTCCCGGGTGCCGGGGGTCACTTCTTCGGCTCTTCAGCGAACGGAGCAGCAGCGCCGTACCCGCATCTGGTGACGTCAGCAGCGGCGGCTGAGGGGCCGGGTCATGTGGCGGTGGCGGCACCTCTGTCCGCCTCGCCTCGTGCCCTCACGGTCCCTCACTCCATGGTCCCCATGCACGGGCAGCAGCTGCAGCCCAACCAGCAGAAGCCGGAGTCGCTGTTCGTGCCTTCGCCCCGCCTCCCCGGGTACGGTGGGGCCGCAGCAGGGCCAGCTGCTGCTGTGGGGCTGAAGACCGAGGAGGAGGAGCGGCAGGTGAGGGTGGTGTGTGTGTGGGGGGGGGAGGGGGCGCATGGGAACCAGCAAGAGGGGGGGCTTTGCATGCACTAGGCGCAGCATGGTAGCGCGCACTCGCCCTGAGCTCCCAACTTCCTCCGCTTCTCTCTCCTTCCCTCCCCATGCAGTCCGGTGCCGCCCCGGCCAGTCCGCCGGCCCGCACCCCGGGACCCGCCGCCCCCGCCGCCTCAGCGCCCCCTGTCGTACCCGCCGCCGCCGCAGCAGCAGTGGCCAGCCCCCGCCCCAGCCCCAGTCGCGGCCCCAGCCACGGCGGCGTGCTGCTGCCGGGTGGGCGCTGCGACGTGTGTCGGCGGCTGAAGAAGGGGCGCTGCGGCACCAGCACCTCCTCCCTCAAGTGCGAGTACCGGCGGCTGAACAACCTGCCGTACGCTGACCCCGTGACAGGTGCGGGGCTGGGGGCGGTGGACTGGGGGTGGTGGTGGTGGTGGACTGGTGGTGGTGGTGCGGGGTTAGGGGGGTGGGACGGAAGGTGGCAGCGTAGAGGGGCTTTGGTGGCGGGCGGTGGTTCATAATGGGGCTTAGGGGCGACTGGGGGGCCTCGGTACCCCTGCAGCTGACTGGGACCTGCCCCCCCCCAACACCCCTCTCCTCTCCCCCAGGTGAGCGAGTGCTCCCCCCGGGCTACCTGGTGTCCTCCGAGGAAGACGACGAAGCGGCAGCTCAGGCGGGGCTGGGGCAGGCAGCTGCGGCCGCCGCCGCCGCTGCCGCCAGCGGAGGCGGCAATGGGCCCGCGGCGCAGCTGCCCGGCGGCGGACACTTCACGCGTGGAGGTGCGGCGGCGGCAGCGGCAGCTGCCGCCGCGGCAGCAGCAGCAGCGGCGGGAGCCCCCTCGCCATCCATGTCCATTGACGGGGAGACGGGCTCTGCCGGCGGCGGTGGCGGCGGCGGCGGCACCCCCACCAAGTCGGCACGCAGCGGCGGCAGCCGGCCCGGTCCCCGTCCTGGAGCGAGGCTGGCGGCGCGAGGTGCAGGGGTGGCGATGTCGCCAGCCGCCTCAAACGGCTCGCCGCATAAGGGATTAGGGGGTGCGAGGACACCCAAGTCTGCAGCCGGTGGCGGCGGCGCAAGAAACCATGCTGGCGGCGGCGGTGGCGGCGGGACCAAATCCAACAAGCAACCCGGCGGCGGCGGCGGCGGCGGCACCAAGGGCGGCTCCAACCGTGTCGTCGCCAACCCGGTCATGGAGCCTGAAAGCGAGCTCATCTTTGACCCGGACGCTGAGCTGGCTCTGGCGGCTGCGGCCATGTTCGACACGCCCTCGCTTGGCGGCAGCGGCGGCGACGGCGACGGTCTCATCGATGACATGTTGCTGGGTGGCCTGGGCGGCATGCTGGACGGCCCACTGCTGGAAACAAACGACATGCCGCTTCCGCTGCCGCCGCCCTCAGCATCCTCCTCGCTGCAAACCACACAGCAGCGCCCGCAACAGCAGCAGCAGCGGCAGCAATCCCAGCAACGGCGGCGGAGCAGCAGCGGCGACGATAACGGCGACAGAAGCGGTGGCAGCGGCGGCAGCAAGCCTGCTGCTGCGGCGGCGGCGGCACCTGGCGGCAAGGTTCAGAGTGTGGCGGCGGCGCAGGCGGCGTTGCAGTCGGCCCAGGCGGCGCTGTCCTCCGCTCAGGCGCACCTAGCTGAGCTGGACCGCAGCTGGCGGGGCGCGGAGCAGCGCACGGCGGAGCGTAAGAAGCAGCTGGCGGAGGCCAAGGTGGGCGCTGGCTCGTGTGTGGTGGTGGTGGTGGTGGTTAGCCAGTATGGGTAATAGTTTAGCATAGTTGGCTGGCCGGTACGTGCCTGAGGTCGCACAGCCCGCTCTCGCCTACCGATTACGCTTGGCGCTTCTGCCGCATGCCGACCCAAGCGCGTCCGTCCGCTGCTGAACGCACTCACTTCCCGTGGTCGCTCCCCCCCTACCCCCGCCACCTGTTCAGCTTGCACTGGTGTTTGGGGTTATGGTATTTTGTTTCTTTTTCCCTGTTCCCGCTATACCTTGCCCCTTCCCCGCCGCCCAACCACGCGAAACGCCGCCGCCCCCTCTCCCCCGGCACCCCCTATCCCCTCACCCCCGCACCCCCAGGCCGCCAAGCTCCAGGAGCTGGATCAGGTGCAGCAGGCGCTGGCAACCCGGCAGGCGCACGTGCAGCAGGCCAACGAGGCGGCGGCGGCGGCTGTGGAGCTGCGGCGGCAGCTGGAACGAGCCCGAGCGCAACTGGCGGCGCTAGGGGCAGGAAGCGCAGGAGCGGCAGCAGGGCAGCAGGCGGCGCTGATGCAGCAACAGCCGGGTGTTTGCGGCGGCGCGGGGTCCGGGGCGGTGGCGGGGAGTGCGGGTGCGGCAGGGAGCGGAGCAGGAGTCCCTGCCACCGCCGCCGCCGCTGTCACCGCCGCCGCTGTCACCGCCGCCGCTGAGGAGTCCTCCTCGCCTGCCTGCGACACCGCGGACTTCCTGGTGCAGGGGGACGAGCCGGGCTGCGAGCAGGCGCCTGCGGTGGCGACTACGGCTGCACCGCCGCCGCCGCCAGCAGCAGCAGCAGCACCCGTGGCAGCGCAGGTAGCGGCGGGCAGCGCAGGCGAGGCCGGGGGCACTGCCGAGGGGCCTGGAGGAGGCGGAGGTGGAGGCTTGGCGGCAGCGGATGGAAGTGCACAAGGGCCCTCTGGTTTCCCGGCAGCTCAACCGCACGGGGAGGCGTCTGCTGCTGTTACCGCCGGCGGCGGCGGCGGGGGGCCCTCCTCCAGCCAGCTGACAGCCCCGCAGCACGCAGCCCCGCAGCAGCAGCAACAGCAGCCTGCTGAGCAGCCGGCGGCACATGCCTCTCCCGCGGCAGCAGCCTCAGCGGGCCCCTCGCGCCAAACCCCGCCGCACCCGCACCCAAACACTCACGCGCAATACCAACAGCAGCAGCAGCCGCAGCAGCAGCAGCCGCAGCTGGGCTCCCCACCTGCGCATCCGGCCGTACCACCATCCCATCCGCAGCCACACCAGCAACCCCAGCAACATCCCGGCGACAGGAACCCGCATGGCGGCGGGGACAGGGCCGAGGCAGGCGCGGCCCATTCCACTGAAGCCGGAGCTGTTCGTAGCCCGCACGCGCCCCCACATGCGAACCAGCTGCTGCCACCGCAGCCGCAGCCAAGCGGGCCGCATGCGGTCCAAACATCGCCGCAAGCCCAGAGCTTACAGCAGGAGCAGCAGCATCGGCAACAGCAGGAAGCGATGCAGAAGCAACAGCATGCGATACAGCAGCAGCAACAACAGCAAATGTTGTTACAGCAACAGCAACAACAGCAAGCGTTGCTACAGCAACAACAGCAGCAACAAGCATTGCAACAGCAACAACAGCAGCAACAGGCGCTACAACAGCAGCATGCGATGCAGCAGCAGCAGCAGCAGCAGCAAGCGCTAATGCAGCAGCAGCAACAACAACAGCAACAGCACCACCAGCATGCTTTGCAGCAACAGCAACAACAGCAGCAGCATCACGCCCTGCAGCAACAGCAACAGCAAGCGCTGCAGCAGCAACAAGCGCTACAACAACAGCAAGCACTCCAACAGCAGGCCCTCCAACAGCAACAACTCCTTCAGCACATGCAGCAACACCAGCAGCACCACATGCAACACATGAACCCCCTCATGCAGTTGCCTGGGGCCCCACAGCAGCAACAGCAGCAGCAGCAACAACAGGTGCAAGCCTTGCAATACCAGCAAGCTGCCGCTGCTGCCGCTGCAGCCGCCGCTGTGCAACAGCAGCAACAGCAGCTCCTGCTGCAGCAGCAGTTTTACGCCACCCAGCAGCAGCAACTACACATGATGCAGCTGCGGATGCTCATGCAACACCAGGCGCAGGCACAAGCCCAAGCTGCAATGATGCGGCCCCAGACGCCCCTCGCAGCAGCAGCGGCAGCCGCCGCTGTTGCGCACCCTCACCCACACGCCCAAGCAGCACCGCCGGGCAAGTCGCCTCCTGCGCTGCAAGCTACAGCACAGGCGCCGCCCGCAGCAGCACAGGGCGCCGTGCCGACTCACGCGCCTCCTTCGGCGCAGCTTCACGATCCCGGGAGACCCCAAGGAGCCTGATGGGAGTGCTGTTCGGTGGCTAGAGAAGAGCCGAGCGGAGCTGAGCGGGGTGCTTCGAGTACCTCGGCACATGTGGTAGGCTTGTTAGGTGCGGCCTGTGGTTTCGGCATTTCGTTGTGCAATGTGGATCTGTATGGGCCTCGGGGATGACAAGGAATGAATGCGCTCGGCCGCGTATTTAGAGAAACGGATGGCAGTGTAACTTGGATGTGGGCGTCGCGATGCTGCGTGGCGGGTTTGGTACCGGGTCGTGTCAGGCCCAGTTGCCGGGCACTGCCGCCGAGTGTTGTTCGGGCTTCTACTTAAGGGCGCTTTAACCTTGAGGAGCGACGGGTGTTTTTACCCGAGGAAGCGAATACAGGGAGCGGTAGAGGAGGAGTTGACTGAGCGGTATGTTTCTCGGCGGTTGCAAGCATATCACATCCTGCACCCTTTATATTGGATGACAATGTTTATGTTTTGTGGGTTGTGTAGGGATCTGTGAGGCATGCGCGCCGCGAGTGGTGGGTGTCCTAAAATGTTTACGTATTATGACGGACATTGCTTGGACCCGGTGATGCAGCGCCGTAGCGCCGTTTCAGGCGATAAGAGACAGTTGAAACCTTCCAAATACTTGGACTTATGACGGACGATGCGTTGCAAGTTGCGACGAAGTGAGCTCTAGCGAAGGACCTGCTGTCTATCTTAAAGGCTTCATTTTGGCGGATGTTGGGGTTGCCACCCAAATGCAGTTCATGCTTGAACATTTAGCCGTATGTCGCCTTCGCTCGGTTTGTCGGGTCGAAGTTGGCGATTGGTGGCGCGGTCGGTTCAGTTCCCGTTCACGGCCGTTTGTTTCCGTTAAGTATCTTCGCATAACGCTCTCCTCACCCACCATCAGACATCACTTCCACATGGCACTGTTTAGCACTTTCATGATCATGTTCTTGTAGCATTGTCTTAGTCCTTCTCGAGGTCAGCCCCACGCACATCTGCGCGGCTCTCCCGTTCTCCGGCTGTCGTGTCAGAGAATGCTTAGTTCGATATATAGGTGGCTGACAGCTCTTCTATTAGCGTAAAGCATTGTTGCACCTTACCGCTCATGCCCACGACGACAGTTTGCGTAGTAGTAGTCGGCTGCGCCTGCGACGGCCTGATCATAAGCAAGGCGATCTCAAATTATAGCCCGTATAGCCAGTTGGTCATAATTGCAGGTACGAAAGACGCAAGCCTTAGCTTCGAGGTTATCGCAACCTTCTGACGAAGCATCTGAATTGCGCGCAGAGGATGGCTTATGCCACGGTAGCCCGCCACGAGCTTACAATTCACAATCATGTACAGTCGTTTTAGGTCGCGTCTTGCGCATCACTGATGCTGCTCCTCGCGTCGGGGCTCAGGTGCGATGCCGGTACGTACATCACACACATGGATAGATGGCAGTTGACAGCCGTCCAGTCTCCTTTATAGCCAGCGACCCAGCGACCCATAAAAATACCCAATCATTATCCTGACTGTTCTGTGCATCTCTGTGCTGGACGGTTGGCCCTTACCACTGACACAGAACTTCACCACATGTTCACCGCCCCAGGTTGACTATATCGCCAACACGAATAGTACTTCCAAGCAAAGTACGGCAACCGGCCAAGCCGAAGACGGGCGCGGCGAGTCAACAACCCCAGGCGGCGGCCGCATCCGCCGGTTGTACGGAGACTTGGTTGTCCTGCTCAGGACGAATCTGGAGCCCCTTGTCATTGAGCCAGCCTGCTCAGGAGACGCGGACCAGACGGTAAGATAGAGCGAATGCAGACATAACAACGACGCCGTCGCGGCTAATATAGAACCTTTTTGCCTGTTTCCTGTCACAATCCGGCAAACCCCCTTGTCCATCCCTTTTGTGTGCGGCAGGCTTCCACCGCCGTCAGTCCCACCTTTGCCCGGCTAGCACTGCAACTGCAGCCGCGGCAGCACCAACGCCGGCGCCCTTCATGGCTGCCTTGGAGCGCACGCAAGGCAAGCAAGCCCCAGCCAGCGTCCAGCTGGGAGCCTCCACCTCGGCACCGCTGCGCCGCCTTCCCCTTCCTGGACCCGCAGCTCTTGCGACGCCTGGCCGCAGCAGCGCAGCCCCTGCCGCCCGCACCTCCGGGGCCGCCTGCCCTGCCAGCAACCCGCGACCACATGCCGATTTCTACAGCGGCCAGGGAATCCGGAGAGGTCGCTGCTCCTTCTTTCTCACAGCCCGCAACGTCCGTACCTGCAGGGGACAACTACACCAGCGGCGGCTGCGGCGGCACCTCCGCTCAGGCGAGCAGCAGCTGCAACAGCGGCGGTGCCGGCCAGCTGCTGCTATACCGGGGCCTGCTGCCGCCGCACCTGCCGTACCTAGCCTTTGCGGGCGGGGGCTGCCGACAGGGCTGCGTCGGGAGGTATCCCGGTGGGGACACCGCCTCAGCTGCTGGGGTTAGCGCCGATGCGGGTGGTGCTACCGGTCTTGGAAGCCGAGCTGCGCCCTTGCTGGGGGCAGCGGACCCGACAGACGAGGACTTCCGAGCCCTGCTGGGCCGTCAGGGCGCCTGGCTGGGGCTGCTGCTAGCAGGGCGGGTGAGGCTGCCCTCGGCTGCGCGCATGGCGCGCTCGGCGGAGACAGCAGCAACTGCGGCCAGCTGCCGAGGTCAGTTTCGGAGGAGCGGTTCAGGCGGTGTGGCCAAGGCTTCCCGGTCGCGCGGGTGAGTCAGAGGGAAGTGGAAACGGGTGATGTGCCCTGCTGAGAGTTCCTCTGGCAAGGAACGCCGTCGACTTGGTGGGAGAATTACCCTTAACCCACTGCCCCAGACGCCCATGAATGCCTTGTGCGCATGTCGCGGCGTCAGTGTTTCCCACCCTCCGCGTGCCTGCTGCCCGCAGGGCGTCCAAATGGCTCGGCAGGTGCTTCGGCAGGAGCAGTCTGAAGCGGGGCAGCGCGCGGCCAGTTGGAGACGGGCTGCGAGGCAGGCGGCTGCCGCAGCCAGCAGCGCAGAAAGGCGGAGCAGCAGCGAGTTCACAGCCCGGAGACTTGTCTTGCATGCAGCAGCAGCAGCTGATGCAACAGTTAAATTTGCAAGAGCTCGAGCAAGACATACTGCGGGCGCTATCGTACGATGCAACAAAAAGCCAGGTGCGTCAACGTGAGGTGGGCAGCAGAGAGTCAGCCCCAAGGAAGCCCATTGCGGTCGTGCTGTTCGTGTGCTTAACTTGCTGGGCAATGCCAATAGGCTTCTACGCATGCACGTAAGCGCAAAGGAATGCAACCATTTCGCCTCGCCCTGTGTCACACACGCCCCTCTACACAGCAGGGCGCCTGGAAGCCGCCTGGGGGCTGCCTGCCCGGCCTGCCCGGTCTGTGTTTCCGGTCGGCAGCGCAAGAGCAAAGCAGCTGCCCGACCGCGTCGGCATCGCGTGCGCTCAGGGACGCGGGTGACTTCCGTGGCTTCCCCGACAGCAAAGACGGGGAAGCAGAACATGAGGCAGACGGCGGCGGCGGCGGCGACGGCGTTGGCGGCATGGTCGAGACCATTGAGGACTGCGAAGGCGACGGCAGCTGCTGGGATGCGGCGCAGCGCCTGTCGCCATCAGCAGCGGAAACGTACGACAGTTGGGCTGGCGGCGTGACGGCGGCGGAGCGGGCAGTGGCGGAGGCAATTCGCCTCCGTCAGCAAGGGAGGTGGCGGTCGGCCCACACGGAGACCAGCGACGCGGTTACTGCTCAAGAAACTGCTGCCACTACTGCTGGCACGGCTGCTCCTGCTGCGGAGGAGACGGGAAGGCGAGAGGAGCAGGAGGCAAGGGCGAATGCTGAGCAAAGCGTTGAGGTTGAGGTCGGCGAGGGCGGCGCTCGGAGGGACGCTGGACTGAACCGCTTTCCCGCCGCGGGAGACGCATTGCAGCTGGGAAGCACGGAGGCTGATGTGCGGGTTTCGGGCGTTAAGGAAGCCATGCGAGCATTGAAGCAGCCCGGTGTTGGGGTAGATACAGATGTGGACGAGACGGGGACTACTTGCGGGGCGGCGCCAGCGCTGACAGCACCTGCAGATGTCCATGTTGCAGCTGACATGGAGGGAATTGAGGACGCCGGGGCTTCATGCGTTGACGAGAGGAGACAGGGGAATGAGCCCTCGGGCTGCAGTCCTGCTTGTACGGGCGCTGCCGTACCTCCCGCATGCACGCAGCGCAGCACCCGCGGCGCTGCCTGCACCTCTGCAGCCCTTCCTGCCGTACACCCCCTGAGGCGGCGCAGTAAGACTGAAGGCGGGTATGACTGCAATGACTGCGACCCGGGCAGCGCTGAAAGGCTGTACTCTCTGCTGGCGGGGCCACCAGCGGGCGCTGAGACGCAGGGCAGGGAAAGCAGCCACGCCAGCTGCAGTACGAACCCTGGTGGATGCAGCGGTCTTCTCCAGGGGGGCTTGTCGGTGGTGTTTGAGGTTACGGCAACTAGCGCTGGTGCCGTAGCTGCGAGGGGGGCTGCAGCTGCAGCGGACAAGAGGACGGCGCCCGAGCTGCTGCAGCTGCCCATCTCGCCGCTAGGGGCGCACAGGCGAACGGTGTCGTCGGGTGTACCTCTGCCGTCCTCCCCCGGGGCGGCGACAGCCGCCGCCCCAGCAGCAAGGGCATCGTGCAGGAGCAGGGAGCTGCGGAAATGCTGTACGGCGGTCGTTGCACCGCCGGCAGCACGCCCGCTCCGCCACAGCGGCAGCAGCCTGGGAAGGAGTCACCACCGCCGCTGCGGCGATGAAGACTGCTGCGATGCGGTGGACGGCGGGAGGCGAAGCCTGCCGGCGCACCGAAGCAGCTCTGTACTGCGTTACACACATGATGGGGCCGCGGCGCTTGCTACGGATTGCGGCAGTCAATGGGGTGGGGTTACTAGCTTAGGCGCCGCGCACGCCAGGGCTGCTTGCGGGATTCACGTCGGCGATGTCTTGCGCGGTGGCGGCAGCGGAGGCGCCGCTGAGGGCCGTACGACCAGCTGCGGCCGCCGGCAGCTGAGCAGCCGGGCCTTGGACCGCTACGCCGCCCTGACGGCCACTAGCCCTCGTTGGAAGTACACGGAGATGTACGACAAGCATGATGCCTTGCTGTTCGCCCGGCTGTCCTCCGCTCGCCCTTCGTTCGCTCGCTGCAGCATGGACAGCGGCGCCTCAACACCCGCAGCGCTGGCCTCCACACCGGTCTCACCACGCACCCCTGTCGTGGGCGCCGCCGCGGCTGCTGCTGCTACCACCTCCAATCCGCTGCTAACGGCGACCGGCCTTCTAGGCTACAGCAGCGCAGCGCGGGTGTCGTCGTGCCGGCTGGGCGGGAGCTGCACGACGCGAAAGATGCTGCTGGATCGCGCTTTTGCAACCGCCTCCCAGGGACGTAGCGCCTCGATTTGTGGCTACAACTGTCATGAGAGTCTCAGCGGTATCGGCGGCATCAGCGGCACCAGCAGAAGGACTCGTGGTTGCAATAACGCGGCCGCCGGCGCCTCAAGCGTCACTGGGGAGAGCGTCATCATGTGGGGCTGCAGCGGTTGCGCATGCGAGGAGCCGAGCATAGGAACGCATGCACGAGAGCGAGAGCAAGCGGCAGTGGAGAATGAAGAGGAGGAGGAGGAGGCCTTGCCGGCGGGCTGGCTGCCGCTGTCTGCAGCTGCGCAGCACGCGCAAGCCCGCCGCAGCCCCCGCATCCCTCCAGTTCCTGCAATAAGCCCTGCTGCTAGGGGGCGTCGTGGAGCCGCCGCTGTGCCGGCCGGATGCGACCCCGAGCGCTGCATGACGGTGCTCGAGCTCAGCCCGCAGCAACAGCCTGGGCGCTTCGGGCCCTTGCCGGATGGCCAGACCCACCGCAGTGCTAGTGGGCGGCTTCTGCACGGCAGTAGTGGTGCGGCGGCGGCGGCCGCCAGCTGCGGGCATCGGGCCTGGGGTGTCGCGGGGGTGCAGGAGGACCGGGCATGCGAGGATGGCCGGCAGCGGGGGCCTTTTGAGGCTAGCTGCTGTGAGATGATGGGGGGTCCCGAGTGCGGGCTTGCAAGCCACCAGATGCAGCGGTTGGGTCCGGAGGCACATGGAGGGGAGCATGGGCAGCAGCAGGATGTGGGAGCGGAGGTGGAGGAGGAAACGGAGGAAGGGCTGTTCGCTCTGGCTGGCGGGTGCGAGGGCGACTGGGCTACGGACAGCCGAGCAACGCCCCGGCTGGAGGCCAGGCTGCGGCAGACGTCGGCTGGGGCCTGTAGCTGGGGCCAGACACTGCATGTAAGTGCGTGTGGTGTGGTGTGGGGCCCTGAGGCTGGGTACCGGCGCCTGCCCTTGCAGGAGCGTGTGCGGGATTGGGACAGTGGGTCTTCAGGTAACACAGTACGGCATCATAGTGGGATGCTAGTTTGCTGTTGTTCAGGCCTTGATGGGTTGGGTTGGAAGATGGTGAGGAAAAGGGTACCTCCCAGCCGTCCCGGACTCTTCAAGGGCCGACCTGCCGCACTCCTGCAGGCCTTGGGCCAGCAAGCCATCGTGGGCACAGGCAGCCGCTCCAGCCGCACCCGAACCAGTCATGCAAGCGGGTCGACACTGCTGCTGCTGGCAGCCGCGGCAAACCAGTCCACAGAGGGCGGCGGCAGGGGCAGCAACGACGACCGGGACAGCGACGGCCGGCTGAGTGCGGGCCGGGACAGCGGCGGCCGGGGTAGCAGCGCTAGCCACAAGCTGAGGAGCCTGTTGAGCAAGCTGCGGGACCGGAGCCGCAAGGCGCACCCAGGTAAGGCGCTGGACGGGACATCCGGGTGGAAGGCATGGGCATACAGAAGCACTGGGTAAGGATGGCCGGGAGGCAAAAGGGTAATGTATGAGACCAAATCAGGGGAGGTTCTGGGTTCCGTCAACACGCGGTGTTATGGTAGCGTCACAGCGCCCCTACGGTTACCGGTAAGAGGTATGCGTGCACGTTGCATCTCCAGATGCCATAACTGACTACCTCGCCGTGTCTCCGCAGATGGAGCATCAGCGCCCCATGACGCTTCCGGCGTCTTTGCCACATTCGCAATGAAGGAGTCCTGTACCGCAGAAGTGCCGCCGCGACCCGTCGAAGCACTGCAGGCACAGCATCAGGATGAAGCGCACGCGCGCTCAGCGCTGCTGCCGGCATCGCCACCTCCATCACCGCCCTCGCGGCAGACACCGCAGCCACACTCCCTGTTAAGTCCCTCGTCCCCACCCCGGACCTCCCCGCCGCTCCCTAGCGGCTCCTCCGTCGCCTTCCCGCTGCACAAGCGCCATCAGGAGCTCAGGCACGCGGCCTTCCCAGCCAGCCCCACCCGCTTTGCCAGCAACAGCCGCGAGGTGACAGGTCCTTGCAGTGGCAGGTCCCTGCACCACTACTTGTCCGTCAACAACAGAGCCCAGTCGTCCAGCGGCTGTGTGTCGCAGCACTCCATGCGGCTGCGTAGGGACCCGGGGCTGGAGGTTGCCAACGATGCGGCTGTAGCTGAGGTGTGGGGTGCAGCTGTGGGCGACCTGATTGGAAGCGGGGTATTGCCAAGCAGCGGCGGCCCTGGGGTAGCAGCCGCGCGTGAGACGGTGGGCCTGGTTGCTGCCTCAGGGATTGCTCCAACTGTCAGTGCCCCAAGCCGCCTGTCGACTGTGGTGCGCTACCCCAAGCGGATGAGCTGGCTGGACTTTACCGGGCGCGGCCGGAGCTCGTCGCCTGATGTCGAGGACGAGGCGCCGCGCCGGGAGACGTCTAGCAGGCTGGTTTGGAGCAGTTTCCGAAGCCCACACGGCAGCTCCAGCTCGCTGACCGGTAGTACGGCTGGGCGGTCGCAGCGCTTTTCCCTGTTTTCCATGCTGTCACTGCGAAGTAGGCGACATGAGCTTGAAGGGAGTCAGCACCATGGCAGCGGTGCTGGGAGTAGCGGAGCCAATAAGGAGCCGTGTACTACAATGCGTAAGCGTGCTAATACAGCTGGTCCTTTGATGCAAGAGTGGGCACCGCTTGCGGACTCGCTTCTATTCTCTGGGAGTCGGTCAAAGGGGCAACCGCACACTGAGGCCAGCCTCGATACGGAGGTCACGGCATAGCGGGTTCTCCCGTTCAAAGATGGCAAGACTGCATGCGCACCTGCACACAGGACTGTACGGGTGTGGTTCCTCGCCCTGTATAACGAGCGAAGAAGACTGCGCATTCATGATGGTGGTGGGCTGGTGGTTGGCAGCGGTGAGCGGGCACGAGACGGGGAAACCCATATCTTAAATCCATATATTTATTCTTCGCTTTGTCGCAGCATTGCTACAGCTCGCCATTAATGGTACAGTTCACTTACTAGGGGTCTCCATGCAACCACAGAAAATAATAGCACACGCACGAAAGTGCTTCCAAAAAATGGTCGGATCGGCATTGTGAAAACAGCCACGTCAGAAAACAGATGGGCTCCAGCATTTGGCCCGTGCAGAACAACGATCAAAACATAACACGCATGGGAATACACAATCCCGCGATGGCGCCTTCCTAGATACCATGCAATACGCATTAGGCTACGTTCTGGCGTACATCACCTGCAAAAACATCAACAACCTATACCACAACGCAACATATACCGCAAACCCATATATCACCGGTCTTCAATGAATGTACAGCACGAGCTGCTACCACGGACTCTTACACCTTGCTATAGAACTCCAGAGTCTGGATGGGCAGGATGGGCGCCTCGTGCGCGTCAATGTAGATCTGCTTCAGGTCCGCAATAAGCGGGTAGCGCGGGTTGGCACCGGTGCACTGGTCGTCGAACGCCTCCTCAGCCAGCCTGCATGCAGCAGCAGTCAAACCGTATAAACGAATGTTCACGTGAGCCATAAGCCAGGAAGCACGGGAAACCCAGCATGCAAGCACGTGGGCCGTGACGACCTTACAGGGCCTACCCACTTACGTTTCCAATCGCTGGAAGTATTCCTCGCTCTTGGCGGCGTCGTTGAAGATATCCTTGATCGTGGCCGGCACATCGCACTTCTTCTTGAGGTCCTCCACGGCCTCAATCAGCTTGACAACCTGTTGCAAGGAAATCGAGTCTAGCCTTTAACGTATGAACGGACTGACTAGGCAACCGGAAACGGATGACAGCGTCACACTACAGGTCAGACAGGCTGGGGGGGGGGCTATCCACATATTCATGCTTACCATCCCAAGCTCACCTTCTCATCGGGGGTGCTGCCGCCCAGGCCCAGCATGGACGCCAGCTCCGCATAGTCGGACTTGGCGTTGGGGTACTGGTACTGCGGGAAGGCCGCCTGCTTGCCGGGCATGTCCGTCGCATTGTAGCGGATCACGTGGCTGATCAGCGCTGCGTTGGCCAGGCCGTGAGGCACGTGGAAGGCGGCACCTACGAAGATTCAAGTAACATAAGAAGTTAGAGGTTGCAGCACCGCAAGGCGAAATCGGCAGACTAGCTGCTAGACAGCAGTTACCAAATGGATCCCATGTAAACAGCAAGCAGCATAACTAACTGCCAGAGTGTATGATTTTGCCACACTTACCCAGCTTGTGCGCCAGGGAGTGGCAGATGCCCAGGAAGGCGTTGGCGAAAGCCATGCCGGCAATGGTGGCGGCATAGTGGACCTTCTCACGCGCCTCAAAGTCGTTGGCACCGTTGGCGTAGGCGCGCGGCAGGTACTTGAACAGCAGCTGGATAGCCTCGCGGGACAGACCCTTCGTGTACTCTACAATCAACAAGCGAGGAACAGAGTCAAGAGGCAGTTAGCTAAGAGGCTTAAGGAGGGTGCCTGGTTATGTCCATGTTCCTTGTAAGTTAACACATGCAAATACCCACCAGTGGCGCAGGTCGAAACGTAGCTCTCAAGCGCGTGCGTGAGGGCGTCGATGCCGCCCCAAGCAGTGAGCTTCTTGGGGATGTTGAGGACTAGCTGAGGGTCCACGATCGCCATGTTAGGCGTCAACGCGTAATCTGCATTCATAACACCGTGATAAGACATTCAGGACTGAGCGAGAACCAGTAGTAGTAAACCAGAATACAATGCAGTTACAGACACGGGGCGCCATCATCTACAGCCATTCCCAACTCCTCACCCGCCAGAGGGTACTTGGCACCCATGCGCTCGTCCGTGACGACAGAGAAAGGAGTGACCTCGGAGCCGGTGCCACTGGTGGTGGGAATGGCGACCATAATTGCCTTCTTGCCGAGCTCCGGCACCTCGTACACACGCTTGCGGATATCCATGAAGCGCATCGCCAGGCCGTCGAAGCGGGTTTCGGGGCACTCGTACATCAGCCACATGATCTGTAGAAAAGAGGGCCAAAACGAGCTAAAGCTGACCGAGGGGAACGAGAACAGTGGTCTCCCCTGGCATGATGACGCATGGAAGTGCACACGACAGTACATGGGGACACCAAAGCTCGGCATCCGAACCCTTCCATAGCCAGCTGCCATATAGCTGCAAACCAACCTTGGCCGCATCCATGGGCGAGCCGCCACCCAGGGCAATGATGACGTCAGGCTTAAACTCCAGGATCTCCTTTAGACCAGCCTGGATGCAGGCCAGCGTGGGGTCGGGAGTGACGTGGTAAAAGACCTGGTGGTGCACGTTGATGCCGTCCAGGACATGGGTGATCTTGTCCGCATAGCCCAGGTCGAACAGCGGCTTGTCCGTGACGATGAACGCGCGCTGCTTATCGGCCAGGTCGCGCAGAGCGACCTCCAGGCAGCCGCCCTTGAAGTAGATCTGCATAGCAGCAAGCCCAGCAGCAACCATGAGGCGTACGGTAATAGGATTGCTGAATGGTCATACGGTGGTGCCTCATGTTGAGCGCCCGGCGTTGACACAATTAGATATCCCCTCCTAACAATTGTTCAGTCCCCGTAGCCGTCGCCTGGGACCCCTTAGCAACACCACCGCCGCACCTTGGGAGGCACGCGGAACCACAGCATGTTCTCGCGGCGGGCCGTGACGGTCTTGACGTTGATCAGGTGCTGCGGGCCCACGTTGGTGGACACCGAGGTGGAGCCCCAGGTGCCGCAGCCCAGCGTCAGCGAGGGGTCCAGGTGGAAGTTGTACAGGTCACCGATAGCGCCCTGGGAAGCCGGGGTGTTGATCAGGATGCGCACGGTCTTGACGATAGACTCGAACGCCTTGATGTGCGCGGTGTTCAGAGGGTTGGTGTAGAGGACGGAGGTGTGGCCAGCGCCGCCGTACATAATCAGGCTATGGGCGAGTTGAAGCCCGTGGTCGAAGTCGTCGGCCTTGTACATGGCCAGGATCGGGCACAGCTTCTCCTGCACAGCCCAAAGAGGGGTTACACGTCAGCTCGTGCTCTAAAACCACATTCGTACGCGGTGTCTCACTGCTGGACCTTAACACCTGCTGTCTGTCCTAAGGGCCACATAACACTCCCATACCTAACTGAAAGGCATTTCGGGGTTCATGGCCCGACGGTTACCGGTATTTGTGGTAACATTAAGACGACACCCAAATCGGAGTGCCAGAACCATGCAACAAAACACTTATTAAACCACGCTATTAAACTTGCCTGGGACAGGGGCTCAGCGTTGCCGATGGTGTCCACCTCGCCGATCAGCACCTTGGTGCCCGCGGGCACCTTGATGCCGAACAGCTCAGCCAGCTTGGGAATCGACTGGCCCACGATGTTGGGGTTCAGGTGGCCATCCACGACAACGCCAGCCCGCACCTGTCAAGTGGATGCAGCATACAGTTGTTAGTGGATGCAGCATACAACTGTTAGGGCAATCTGGGGCAATGTACCGAAGGGTAAACTTTTAAAGGGTGACAGTAGACTGAACCTGCAGAAAGCCTGAAACAACAAGAAGCTTACAAGTACAATTGCATTTTCCCCCGTACGACGCCGTCCTACCTTGACCTTGTCCTCCTCGGTGAGGAAGTAGGCGCCGCGGCGCTGGAACTCGGCACGGACGGCGTCGTACGACTTGGCGACCACCACCACCGACTGCTCCGAGGCGCAGATGACGCCGTTGTCGAACGTCTTCGATAGCAGAATGGAGCTCACAGCCATCTGCACGTCGGCAGTCTCGTCAATCAGCGCGGGCGTGTTGCCAGCGCCGACACCAAGAGAGGGATGGCCGGACGAGTAGGCGGCCCGGACCATGGCGGGACCGCCGGTGGCCAGGATGAGGCTGATCTCGGGCGCCTGCATCAGCGCCTGAGACACCGGCAGCGAGGGGGTCTCCACCCAGCTGATGATGTCCGTCGGGGCACCTGGGGGAGAGCCCGGAGAGGGATGGAGTTTCGTGTTAATCTAGTGTTAAACAGGGATGGATTTTTAAGTTAAAACTTGAAGCGTGCCCTTCATAATCGATATGCACCCAACCGCTAGAGCCTGCGTATGAAGAGTGGCGTATGAAGGGTGGCGGCCATGACCGCTTACCAGCAGCAATAGCGGCGTCACGCACAATCCTGGCGGCCGCAATGGTGGACTTGGCAGCACGTGGGTGCGGGCAGAGGACCAGCGCGTTGCGGGTCTTCAGCGCCAGCAACGACTTGAAGATGGCCGTCGAGGTGGGGTTGGTGGTAGGCACGATGCCTGGCAACAGAGAACAACAAGTTTGGTAGTGTTTGGCACGTTTTCCTAGCCGCTGCTGGTACAAAACATCAGATCTCCAGTACCACATAACGACATGAGCGAACTCGCCATTGCATGGGTAGTGCATACAATACGGCCGTTCGTATCCTTTGCGTCAGTGCTCTGCTAGCCTCGCGGGCCTTAAGGGCGCGCATTGCCACGTACCGGCAATGACACCGACGGGCTCCGCAACCTTTTGGATGCCACCCGCAACATCCTCCTCAATCACACCGCAGGTCTTGGTGTGCTTGTACTTGTTGTAGATGAACTCAGAAGCGAAGTGGTTCTTGACGACCTACAAGCAATACAACACGCGCTGCTAAGACAGCCCTATGATGTAGGGACGCAAACACCTAAACCCTATGGTACGGTTCAGAAACGCCTAGGGACTGCCATACCTTGTCCTCGACAACTCCCATGCGGGTTTCCTCCACGGCCATCTTAGCGAGAGGAATACGGGCAGCGTTTGCTGCCTCAGCGCACATGCGGAAGACCTCATCGACCTGAGGACGGCAGCCGGGATTGCGGGGCTATCTGGGTACAGGGGCATGCGGGCAACACGACGCTGAACATGCATAGGTAGGACCCTCACCTGCTCCTGGGTGAAGGTGGCATACTTCTGCTGGGCCTCAGAAGCGCGCTTCAGCTGTGCCTTTAGCTGGGCGATTTGGTCATCTGTGACAGGCGCACGCTCCTTCTTAACTGGGGCGTCCTGAGCAACCCCCTGCAATCATGCGCCAGGAGCAAGATTTGTGTTGTGCTGCGACCATACGAACAAGCTCATGCGACGAACAGGGCTTAGCGCAATGCCCGCTGGCACCGCAGCGCTGTTTGAGAGCACCGGACCACCGCTTCCAGAAAGCGAGCCAGAAAGGAAATTGAGGCTCCGCAAAAGGTGTTGCAAAAACGAGCCTACCGACTTCGCAGGCGCAGCTGATTCGGGCTTTGGGGCGACCGGCGACGGTGAGGCAGCAGCCTCACACACAACGCGAATTGGCCTCCGATGGCCAAGGCCGCGCGGAACGGGAGCGACGGATGCTCTCCGTGGAGCATGCGCCACGGTCCCCTTATATGAGGCAAAGCTCGTTGACATCATTTTGGAACCTGAGGCCAAGGGGCAAAGCATGCGCCATTAACAGACGCGTTGTAATGCTGTGTTGCACCGCTTCAATTTAATGCAACGGTTGGATGGAATGGTAAAGAAGACATTCTGTATTTAAAACTACATAGTAAGCAAGCAAGCTGAAAAGGCGCATGCAGGTCCAGCAGAAAACTCAGCTAACCTTGAGTTAACCAGAAAAGACGAGCCTAGGCACCAATTGCAACTTAATGCTATTGAACGGTGGCTATCGGAGTCTAAACAACGAAGGAAGGTTGTGCGAGGGAGTGTCGGTACACGCAACCCTGCCGCAGGGTAAGCACTAGCAAGCGTGCTCTGCAGAAAAGCTTGCAATTAAAGTACAATTGAGGACGGAAGGCGATCCGGTTTTTTGGTGCATAACGTTCCGGAATCCTTCCGTACATAATCTTTTCAATTATTGCATAAGCTTACGCTGTATCATGGCAGCTACGTTATCTCGCAGCACAGAATGAGTTCTAGGCCCTAACGTATTATAAGGATGACACCTTTTATGGATTTGCAGCTGTCAGCTCATATGCAAGGTAGTCCGTCAAGACTGCGAACGTCGTCTAGACTGCACAATGGGAGCTACATTATCTCGGGAGCACAGAAATGACCTATAATTCCCTTGTGCATTCTAAGGATGGCACCTTTCGGACTTGCACCTTAGTGCTCCGTAGTCGCTCCGATCGCTTGCCAGGCAGATAATACTGTTATACTATACAGGGAGGCTAACCGTCGGTGCATTACGGTGCTTATACAACTGGGGAAAAAGCACTCAGTGTATTTTACAATGCCGCACGCGAGGGCGCGCGGGGGTGAGTGGAACACGGCATTGCCAATTATATCGTTTTTCGTACGTAAGATGAAGCGATATCAGGGAAAGAATACAAGCACTTACGGCATCAATGTGACGCCAAAAGAATTACCAGCAAGCTTGAGGCCCGGCAGCTACTCCCTGTGACCCTTGGTTCACTCATGGGCACATGGAGCATCCGCTAAAATTCTTGGAACCGCACGCACTCAAAAACAACTGTACAGCCACACAGAACTCTGTGCGCTATTGACGCGCTCTGAAAACAATTGAACCCTGCAATCCTCAGGCACTCTTTTAGCTTCGTACACCATGCTCGTCACCATAATGCGGTATGAGTACTTGGGTGATAAAAAAACAGACTATACTGGGCTATACAACGCTTACGAACGTATTACTAATGCACTCCGTCTTCTTCCATGAATAACTACATTTCATTTACACCTTGCTGAAGAACTCCAGAGACTTGATGGGCAGAATGGGCGCCTGGTGGGCGTCAATGTAGATCTGCTTCAGGTCCGCCATGAGCGGGTAGCGCGGGTTGGCACCGGTGCACTGGTCGTCAAAGGCATCCTCAGCCAGCCTGCACGAGCAGCACATGAAACGCGAATGACGTTGTAAGCGGCGAGTCAGGCGATGTACTTGATACACAGGGCGAGGACAGTCGCTGGTAACACAGCTAAATAATGATACTTACGCATCCAGGCGCTTGAAGAACTCGTCATCCGTGGCAGGGTTGTTAAAGATCTCCTTGATCGTGGCCGGCACGTCGCATTGCTTCTTCAGGTTCTCAACGGCCTCGATCAGCTTGACGACCTGTAGACAGGCAAATTGCAAGTTAAGCCCACGCAATTCAGGACCCGACAACAGACGGTATACAAGGGCAACCCATACATTTTGCATCCTATGCATTAGGTGCACATTTTATACCTTCTCATCGGGGGTGCTGCCGCCCAGGCCCAGCATGGACGCCAGCTCCGCATAGTCGGACTTGGCGTTGGGGTACTGGTACTGCGGGAAGGCCGCCTGCTTGGCGGGCATGTCCGTCGCATTGTAGCGGATCACGTGGCTGATCAGCGCTGCGTTGGCCAGGCCGTGAGGCACGTGGAAGGCGGCACCTACGAAGATTCAAGTAACATAAGAAGTTAGAGGTTGCAGCACCGCAAGGCGAAATCGGCAGACTAGCTGCTAGACAGCAGTTACCAAATGGATCCCATGTAAACAGCAAGCAGCATAACTAACTGCCAGAGTGTATGATTTTGCCACACTTACCCAGCTTGTGCGCCAGGGAGTGGCAGATGCCCAGGAAGGCGTTGGCGAAGGCCATGCCGGCAATGGTAGCGGCATAGTGGACCTTCTCACGCGCCTCAAAGTCGTTGGCACCGTTGGCGTAGGCGCGCGGCAGGTACTTGAACAGCAGCTGGATAGCCTCGCGGGACAGGCCCTTCGTGTACTCTACATTAAGGATACGCAGGTATGCAGCGGAAAACAATTCGGTTAGGCGCAAGCGGAAGGCGATGAGGCAACACGACTGCCGACAATCACCCACCAGTAGCGCACACAGACACGTAGCTCTCAAGCGCGTGCGTCAGGGCGTCGATGCCGCCCCAGGCAGTGAGCTTCTTGGGGATGTTCAGCGTCAGCTGAGGGTCCACGATCGCCATGTTAGGCGTCAACGCGTAATCTGCAGGCAACGCGTTCAGAGCGAGTTCTTTAAATCTTTGAACATCTTAAAAAATAAATGAGCAGCTGCAGGTATGTTGCATGCAAGGCAAGATGCCCGATGTTATGCACGAAAGCTGCAATGTACCGAAACATGGGCTTTACCTGCCAGTGGATACTTGGCGCCCGAGCGCTCATCCGTGACGACAGAGAAAGGAGTGACCTCGGAGCCGGTGCCACTGGTGGTAGGGATAGCCACCATAATCGCCTTCGAGCCGAGCTCCGGCACCTCGTACACACGCTTGCGGATATCCATGAAGCGCATCGCAAGGCCGTCGAAGCGGGTTTCCGGGCACTCGTACATCAGCCACATGATCTGTGGAGCACAAAGAATGTGCGAGGACAAATACAAATCATATAGCTAAAGGATCTGGGCGAGGTTCATACCGAAGGTTAATGTGTTCTGACAGCAGTACCCTTTCACCTGATGCCAGTACCCTTATGCATGTTGTATAAGCAAGTACATAGCGCAGCCATTCCGAAACGTCAACTAACCTTGGCCGCATCCATGGGCGAGCCGCCGCCCATCGCGATGATGACGTCAGGCTTAAACTCCAGAATCTCCTTCAGGCCGGCCTCAATGCAGGCCAGCGTGGGGTCGGGAGTGACGTGATAGAAGACCTGGTGGTGCACGTTGATGCCGTCCAGGATGTGGGTGATCTTGTCCGCATAGCCCAAGTCGAACAGCGGCTTGTCCGTGACGATGAAGGCGCGCGACTTGCCCGCGAGGTCACGGAGGGCAACCTCGAGACAGCCGCCCTTGAAGTAGATCTGGAATGCAGAGAGGATGTGACCGGGAGCTACTGTATGAACTAAGGGCTCGCGGTGTGCCTTCAGCACAAAAAAGCATGCATACCACTCAACGATCCCTGACCATACAATGGGCCCTATTTCCGAATAGGCCAAAGCAACATCAACGCCGCACCTTGGGAGGCACGCGGAACCACAGCATGTTCTCGCGGCGGGCCGTGACGGTCTTGATGTTGATCAGGTGCTGCGGGCCCACGTTGGTGGACACCGAGGTGGAGCCCCAGGTGCCGCAGCCCAGCGTCAGCGAGGGGTCCAGGTGGAAGTTGTACAGGTCACCGATAGCGCCCTGGGAAGCCGGGGTGTTGATCAGGATGCGCACGGTCTTGACCTTGCCCTGGAAGGCCTTGATGTGCGCGGTGTTCAGGGGGTTGGTGTAGAGGACGGAGGTGTGGCCCGCGCCGCCGTACATAATCAGGCTGTGCGACATCTCCAGGCCATTGTCGAAGTCCTTGGCCTTATACATGGCCAGGATCGGGCACAGCTTCTCCTGTACGAAACAAAAAGGTTGCCCATTCGGTTAGTTCATACTGCGATAACGAAGTTGCTTCAGCTTCCTGGACTATTGTCCCTAACGGCATTAGCTGAGAAAACTGTGTGCAAGCAATGGTGCCCCCGTCTCCTACTCCTGGCATCATAGCCCGGCAGTATGGCCCGGCGTCATGAGAGGAGAAGACAAAACAGTTGTCAAACTTGCCTGGGACAGGGGCTCAGCGCTGCCGATGGTGTCCACCTCGCCGATCAGCACCTTGGTGCCCGCGGGCACCTTGATGCCGAACAGCTCAGCCAGCTTGGGAATCGACTGGCCCACGATGTTGGGGTTCAGGTGGCCATCCACGACAACGCCAGCCCGCACCTGTCAAGTGGATGGAGCATGCAAATGTTAGGGCAATGTACCTAAGGACAAAATGTTTAAGGATGAAAGTAGACCGAACCTTACAAACAAAGCCTGCAAGAGTGAGAAGCTTACAAGTACAATGGTAAATACATTTCGCTGTACGACGCCGTCCTACCTTGACCTTGTCCTCCTCAGTGAGGAAGTAGGCGCCGCGGCGCTGGAACTCGGCACGGACGGCGTCGTACGACTTGGCGACCACCACCACCGACTGCTCCGAGGCGCAGATGACGCCGTTGTCGAACGTCTTCGATAGCAGAATGGAGCTCACAGCCATCTGCACGTCGGCAGTCTCGTCAATCAGCGCGGGCGTGTTGCCAGCGCCGACACCAAGAGAGGGATGGCCGGACGAGTAGGCGGCCCGGACCATGGCGGGACCGCCGGTGGCCAGGATGAGGCTGATCTCGGGCGCCTGCATCAGCGCCTGAGACACCGGCAGCGAGGGGGTCTCTACCCAGCTGATGATGTCCGTCGGGGCACCTGGGGGAGAGCCCGGAGAGGGATGGAGTTTCGTGTTAATCTAGTGTTAAACAGGGATGGATTTTTAAGTTAAAACTTGAAGCGTGCCCTTCATAATCGATATGCACCCAACCGCTAGAGCCTGCGTATGAAGAGTGGCGTATGAAGGGTGGCGGCCATGACCGCTTACCAGCAGCAACGGCAGCGTCGCGCACAATCTTGGCGGCCGCAATGGTGGCCTTGGCAGCACGTGGGTGCGGGCAGATGACCAGCGCGTTGCGGGTCTTCAGCGCCAGCAACGACTTGAAGATGGCCGTCGAGGTGGGGTTGGTGGTGGGCACGATACCTGTCAAGGGCAGCGGTAAGGTCTGGGCGTTGGAACGCAAAGGTGCTCAATCATAAGGGCATTTATAACAGCCTTTGAACGCAGCATAACACGCAGCAGCTACATGCGCATTCCCATTCTGACCCAAAACTCTGCTGGCACGTACCTGCAATGACACCCACGGGCTCAGCAACCTTCTTGATGCCGCCCGCAACATCCTCCTCAATTACACCGCACGTCTTTGTGTGCTTGTACTTGTTGTAAATGAACTCGGAAGCAAAGTGGTTTTTCACCACCTGGAAGAAGAGACCACCAGCCGTAAGTAATCCTTCTCGGCTAAGTGGAGGCTTTTGCATTCAGCTTCTTGAGGGTCCCCTTACCTTGTCCTCGACAACACCCATCCGGGTCTCTTCCACGGCCATCTTTGCTAGAGGAATGCGAGCAGCGTTGGCTGCCTCGGCCGCCATGCGGAAAACCTCGTCGACCTGAACATAAGAGGACTTACATGTTCATGACAGCTGGCGAGGAACAATGTCGCTGCGACTAAAGCAAATTGCCAGTAAGGTCACCTGTTCTTGAGTATAAGTTGAATACTTCCGCTGGGCCTCAGTTGCCCTCTTGAGCTGCTGCTTCAGCAGGTTAATTTGGTCATCGGAGACGGGCGCCCTCTCCTTCTTGACTGGCTCGAGCGGGACTGGCGCAGCAGGCGCCTGAAATAAACATGGGAAATAAGGTTCAGACTGAAAGCGGATGTCGACAAGATGCTAGCGTCGAGACAAACTGCTTGACAGACCAACGGCAGTTTAGATAATCTTGTCAGATCTAGACAACCCACCGGAGTTGTGACGGCGCTGGGACCAGCTTTAGGAGCAACGGGAGTTGGCGACGCAGCTGCCTCGCAAGCGATGCGGACAGCCCTGCGGCCGCGAATCGCCGTGGAGATTGGAACAGCGGCCGACGGGCGCACAGTAGGCGCCGCAACCTTCTTGCAGGAAGAGAAGCTTGTAGACAACATGGTTGGCGCCTGACGGGGAATGAGGTAAAGGAGGGTTTGTCGTCGTGAGCTGCCCTTGACCCTTCAGCAGCAAGCTAGGCAAATGCAGCAACAGAAGCTAGAGTAATAATCCAATTGCACTTTGCATCATACAAACACTGATCACGCAATGCCCCAGCAATGGCGGTTCAGATTCAACAAATAGACCGTGAGGCCAGGAGCCCGCACCTGATCTACGAAGGACCTTAAGACTGCCGGATGAGGAGGTTGAAAAGATTGAAATGCGCGTTGACCCTTATAGCGGCTGGCCTGGATTCGATGAAGCCTTATGGCAGAGCTTCTCCTGCTAGGTAAGCAGTGCCTCAATCTCTTACAGAATGCAGTAAGCCTAACAGATGCGGCAATGTGACGCAACTTGTGCACCTTCCGAAATATATGCCCCGCGAAATGGAGCTTCCGTACGACATTCCATCGTACATTGAAAATCCTGAGGCATGTGGCCGTTTGGGTCTACTGGGCTTCCTCTTCCATACCCTCCTTGGTATGCTGTAAATATAGCCATGCTTTGTAGGAGTAAGAAAGGGCTTGGCGTGAGACTGGCAAAAGGTTTGGAGCGTGACGGATATTACGCCGTGTTACGCGCATAACACAATGTCCATTTAATCCAGGTTCCGCCGCTCTTTGCTGCTGTAAGCGAATTGCCCAAGATATTATTGTGTATGCTTTTAATTGGAGAGGGAACGAAAATATCCGCGAACCCTAGATTCTTTCCTTCCTGTTCTGTACTGCGCACTCATTGGCTACACAGTTTTGTCATTGTTCTGCATTGGTCACTGTGAGCAGCTGCAACTAGGGGTTTACACTGTTGGACGGGTAGGGTCGCACTGCAACACCCACGTGTTTAGGGACCTCCGCAATCGGCTGAGGTCTTTAAAAGTTAGATGCTTGGCTTGTTGAGCATATACCTTCGCGTAGCTGTGTCGCCGGTTGTCCTTCCCTCTTCCGCCTTCTTTGGTCCCTGAACCGGCGTGTCCCTTCCGCAGGGCAGCCTTATACCACTCATAGTGTGGGTTCACTCCAATGGGGCTAAGTATGATCATTGTGTTAGTATTCACTTGGGCCACCACCCTTGACTCTACGATGTACTTTAGGACAAACGCAATGCCCAAGTACATTGCGGCTGTTATTACAGCGTGCACAAGCAGGGACAGTGGTGGCAGCGATGCGGTGCCTGCCCCTCTGCAAAAATCTTTAACGTGCGAACCGCAACACCCGCAGTTGATGCTATTACCTTAGCATGTAGGGCAAGTTTCCACAAAACATGCTGCGTGTTTGAGAGCGAGGGCCCTGGGGCGACAGCAGCGGTTCCGACCGGACTGCAGGGCCGCGCGTGTTGCTGCCCGGGGGCTGTTGTGAGGCCCCAGCGCTCAGCACACAAGGGGACGCCGTACGGTTGGATGGCCCACAGGCTGGTGTGCCCCGCGTGCACCTTGGAAGCCCAAGCTGAAGTTCGCAAAGTTTCATTTGCGCAATGGGGGCGGGGGGCGGGAAGCACAGATGGATCTACCGCACCGAGCTAGGTTTAGGGGGGAGAGGCTGAAGGATGCCCTGTAAAGCAGCGTGGCTTCATGGGAATGGGGCGGCTTTGGACCAGCCAGCTTGGGTGCGTGGGAGGCCTTACGTTCCCCTGCCGCTTTCCCGTTGCTCATACATGTGGACGTGGACTTCAACTCAGAGCCGCACCGCGGCTAACCGTACTAGGGGGTTGTGTTTTGAGGGTTGTAGCAGTTCCCCCCATGCAACAAGACGGCAGCGCTGGTTACCCGGCGACACCTGTTAGCCGCACGTGCTGCCAGCACCTCCACCAATGCGTCTACCAAGCAGCACTGCGCTGCTTCAATGTGCCGCAGAATAGCGCACCTCCCCACGAAAACCATCCTGCATGCTGTCTGCAACGGAAGGAAACCAAGCGCACGGCCAGGGACCGCTCATCACAGCCATCGCCGTTAGCTTCTCAAATCACTCGTCATCTTGCTCGTCATTTCATTTCACAACAAGATGAACTGCCCTTCCCTCCAGCTCACCCAACGTAATGTGTTTACCGGTACAGCCCTAGTGCGTGTGCATGCAAGCACCTCCGCTCAGCCCCCTCGTCCCGCCCAACTCAAAGCCCTACTACATAAGCCACCTCTACCCCGCGGCCGCCGGCTGCCTCCTCCTCCGCAGCAAGAACACCCGGATGTCGGGGGTGCGCCACTCGGGGTGCAGCTCCTCGGGGGGTACCTGTGAGGAGGTGCGGCGCAGGCAGGACACCAGGGACACGGGTGGCGGGGTCAAAGATTATCCCGAACCATAGGGAATCCACAAAAAAAACACAATGCGCACATGGAAGCCACGTCACAAGCCAAACCGTGGACGAACCTGATCACGGCCACATGGGTGGTATGGACAACGCTACCAGGCATTGGCCTAGATTACTAGACACGGCCGCACCGACCCACGGGTCACCTTACCTCCTCAGACGCCAAACCGTGCTGCTCGCACAGCTGCGGCAGCTCCTCCACACCCGGCCGCATCTCGAAGCTCAGAACCGCCACCGGAAACCCACCGCAACCGCCGCTCCTGCTGCTGCCGCTGCTAGGGTTACCGCCGAGACTGCTGCCGCCCTCCCCGGAGGAGTCGTGGCTGCCACCGCCGCCGCCGCCCCGCAAGCCCGACTGTCCCTCAGCCAGATCTCCGTCCTGGCCAGCTGGGGGCCCACACACCCCGCCCGGCCCGGAAGAAGGTGCTGCCTGCTCCTGCCTTTGTCCCTCCTGCAGCCCCCCTGCCTGCGACTGCTGCGCCGCCTCCTCTTGCTGCGCTGGTCCACGCGAGGACACCGGCAGTGGCGCCAGCAGCGCTGCCAGTGTGGCGAACAGGGCCTTCCTCGCCGGGGCCGTGTACACCACATCCGAGGCGAGCAACACCTCGGGGGGCTGCTCCCGCTGCGGCTCCCGCTGCTGCAGCTGCTGACTAGGGCATGACTGCGGCACGCCCTGCGCCTGTGGCGCCGGTGCGGCTGCCGGCCCTGCCGCCCCCTCCTCGGTGTCCCCCCGGAGCCCCGCCAGGTGCGCCCCGTTGCCCCAGTGCAGGAGCAGCGGGGCACACACCCCGCCCAGCTGGTTGGACTGGAGGGGGCCGGGAGAGGGGAAAGAAGAATGTGATGGGAGGGGAGGGGGTAACATACATGCACGGGGGTGCTTGGAAGGAGCTGTAAGTGTTGGGGTAGGGGTGCGGGAAGGTGGAGGGGTGGCCAGAGTGGCGTAGGTGGGGGCAGCAGGCCGGCGACGCGGCCGCGGCTGCGACGCAAAGGGCATCTAAAAGACGATGGCAGAAGACGCTGCCTCTGGCGAGCATGTTCAATGACTAAGTGTGCAGTTATAACCCTCACACGCCTGACAGCGGCCGAGGGGGTGGCATGGCCCGCCGCAGCTGCCTGCCCCCCGCGTTGCAACAACGGCCTGCTTCACATCCGGACACTTTGCATGCATGCTTACCGTACATGCATCCTTTCGTAGCCCCTGCGGCTGCTGAGTGCCGACCCACCCTCCTAGTCATGCACCGGCAACCACCCCCCCACCCTGCCATGCCGCGACCTCGGTCCCCTGTCCCCTCCACCCACCCCCACCCGTATCTCCGCGTGGTACCCTCTTCTTCTCCTCCCCCCCCACCCCACCCCCCACCCGTATGTTGTCCCCGATGTGGTCCAGCAGGTGCGGCAGGTCGCTGAGCAGCACCCGGGCGGCGCCCAGGCGGGCGGCAGCCAGCCCCACCACCCCCGTGCCGCTGCCCAGGTCCAGACAGCGGCGACCCAGCACCAGGCAGCGACCTTGGGGGTGGGGCAGGCAGGGATTAGTAGGGATGCATGTTGCGGATTAGGCTGGTTTATAGGATTGCGCAAGTAGGTAGGGAAGGGAGGGGAGAGTGGGTTAGAGAGACACCAAACAATAAGTGAGGCAAGACAAGGGGTCTTAGGGGCGCCTCCTTGCCCGCCCTGCGACCCGCTCGCTCCCACCCAGGACCCGGGACCCACCCACCCAAGGCATGTTGGTGCGCCAGGTAGTACGACAGCACCAGTCCCGCATCCCAAACGACAGCGCCTGCCTCGTCCTGGCGGTTAGGGGAGGGGAGGTGGGGAGAGGGCCGTGGGAAATGGTGGACAGCGGGGTGAGGGCGAAGAAGGGAATGTGCGGATGGGAATTATCCTTGCATGCTTGCAAGGACCGTCAACATCATGTAGGTAGCGGCAGTGGTGGTAAACGTGTGGTTACCTGCAGCTGCGTAAACTCCTTTATCCTGAGGGGAGGCCCCACGCCGAGGTCTAGCTCCCGCACGGCGCAGCCATCGTCTTCCGCCATCGTCCGCCTTCGTCGCGAGCGACGACTTGGTTTACCACTTGTAGCTTCCGCACCGGCTTAACTTACAGCCACAATTAAGGCGGTAAGTTGAGTGCGCCAAAGGCTATAGCTGCACTGACGACGCAGTAGCAGCCGTCTGGCTGGGATGGCAACTTACTCACCCAGACCACTTGAAGCCAAATGCAGTCGCCTTTGCAACCTGAGCCTTTCGGGTGTAGCCTTATGATGTAATCCTGTAACAGTCTGCAATGGCAGCATCAGGGAGTGCAATGGGCGGGAAGCGTACGATGGGTAGTATGTCGCTTCGTGCTGCGTGGTGAACGCCCCAGTTGCATTGTTTGCTTTGTGTTTACTTTTGCATTTAATTGTCGTCAATTGCATTGCAACCACCAACCGTACTGAAGTATTTCGTCAAGTCGGAAAGCTGGCGTCCCTTAGCAGCGGAATCCTTATAAACTGCCAAAATCGCATTATCCAAAGTCGAATACTGCAATTAATCCAACAAAAGGCTGCGGGCATTGACATCCAGGTACGAATCCACTATGGCCATCGTTAGACCAGGCAACACCCGGCCCGCATTAGCCGTGTATCGCTCCCTGCTGCTCTTCTCTCAACACGCGATTATACATTACATCTATCTAGCTTTTGATTGGTGGCGTTTTGGCCAACCGCCCTCGCACAACCGTCCATCCCAAATGCCAACCTCACGCTCTCACGTAGCCCTTTGAGGAGCACGCCTATGAGTTCGGCGGCTGCGAGTACCTTCTGGTGGCGGGGCGGGGAGGCGGGCTGCGGCTGCTGCTGGGCCTGCCGCAGCTGGAGGGCAGCTTCCAGCAGCAGGTGCAATCGGGAGAGGCGGCAGCAGAGGTGTATACCTGGCGTCATGTCGGCCTGATCTTCGCCGATACCAGCGATAGCCCTCTCACTCCCTTGTCTCCTACGTTTCCTTCTTCCTTGCTCCCCCTCCCTAGGTGCTAGGCCCCGATGTGATGGAGGCGGTGGCGGCCGCATTCCGCGGGGTAGCCACCGTCAGCCAACCCAGCACAGCACCCGCTGCAGCAGCAGCAGCCGAGGGGGACCAGCAGCAGCAGGCACAGCAGCAGCAGGTGAGCAGCAGCTGTCTTCCCCTGCGCCCCGCCTGCTCCCTCCCTCCTTTCCTCCCTCCTTTCCGCCCTGCCTCCCCTCGGGCACCTCGGGCTGGCGCCGGAAGGGGTAGTGCTAGCCTCCTCCGTGCACTCCCTCCAGCCGCCTCCCTCCCTCCCCGTTTGTCACACCCATGTGTGTCTCACAGGCTCCCAACCTCCCACTTCTCCCTTCCCGCCCCGCCTCCCCCTGCTGACCCAAGGGTCGCTACCAGGTGGCTCTGGATGTGGACCTGGCGCTGCTGTGCCGGCTGAGCGGCGGGCAGCGCGAGGGCTGGAGCCGCAGCCTGGCCTCGCTGCGACTGCTGCTGGCAGGGCACCCGCTCAGGTGGGGGAGGAGCAGGGGACGAGAGGCGGGTACTTCCTGCGCTCGCGCACTCGTGCCATCCCCTCAGCCACATCGTCCCTTCCGGCCTGCCCCGCCATCCACTTCCCACACCATGCCCTGTCCCGCCCCTGTCGGCCCCCCACCCGCAGGCAGGTGTTCCGCGCACTGGAGGCGGGCAGCCTGAGTGCGGGGCCTCCCGTGGTGTGCTGCAACACGCCGGGGCAGGTACGCGGGCAGGGCAGGGGAGGGCAGGGCAGGGCAGGGCAGGGGAGGGCAGGGCAGGGCAGGGCAGGGCGGGGACGGCAGGGAGGGCTCAGTGGGGAGCGGACTGGTTGCAGGATGGCGCTGGCATCCGCCTGGGTGGGCAGGCAGGCAGGCAAAGAGCTTCCGGGACTTGCAACTGCGGTTTCTTCTCCTTCTCATCTCCACCCTCCCCTCACCCTCTCTGCCCCTCCCTCCCCCCGCACAGGTGTACATCATCCGGCCGGTGTCCCCCGACTGCGTGGCGCTGGTGTTCCCGCTGCGCTTCACCAGCCGCCAGGACTGCGCCATCGGGGTGGCGTGTATGCAGGTGGGGGGCGGGGACGGGGGGGCGGGGAGGCTGACCCCATGCAGCTGGGGCAGCAGGAGGGCTGGGGGGCTGCAGGTTGGAGCGAGAGGCTGGTGCTGCGAGGTTGAAGGCAACATGCTGCCTGTGCTTAGTCATTGAGCACCCGCTGCCACCCCTGCCCTACCCTGCCCTGCTGCTCCCCACGCTGCCATGCAGGAGTTCGTTGAGGCCCGGCGGGGCGCCTCGCTGGGTCGGGCGCCCTCCTGCAACTACCTGGTGCGGGAGGTGCCGCGGGAGCTGGCAGGTGGGGGGGGGGAGGGGGGAGGGGGTAGCTAGGGTTTCGTGACATGCAGGAGGGTGGGAAGGACGTATGGTCCTCCCCTCCCCCCCGGCCCTTTTGCTTTCTCCCCTTCCCCCCCCGTCCTCTCCTACCTCTTTACTCGGTGTGCCGCGTGCTGCCCCTCACTCGGGGTGCTCCAGGAGTGGACCTCAGCTCCCTACTGGGCAGCGCGGGTGGCGGCAGTGGCGGCGGCCACAGCGGCGGCTACCTGGTGTTCAGCCTCACTCGGCGCCACGTGGCGGGGCCGCAGATGGAGGGGGTGGTGTGGTCGCTGGCCACCCTGCACCAGTTCATTGCCTACCACGTCAAGGCAACCAAGGTAGCTCCTCCCCCCCCGCTGCTGCAGGCTGCTCCTGCTCTCTGCTCTCTGCTCGCACAGCGCTGTACCAACGTTGCACACACACCTTGCTCCCTTATCCAGTCGACCCAACCGCGCCGTCCCCAATCTTCCTCCCCTTCCCCCGCTGCTGCCTCCCTTCCCACTTCTTTCCCCCGCCCCCCGCCCCCAGGCCATGATGCACAGCCGCATGCGCAGGCGGGTGGCGGCCATGACAGACCTGCTGGGGGCCGCAACGCCGCTCGCGGGGGCAACTGCGGCGGCAGCAGCAGGGGGGGCACCCAGCACGCCCATGTCCCCGGCGCCTGCATGCGGGCTGCAGGCGGGGTGGTGACAGCGGGGAGGGGAGCAGGAGGGGGGAGCAGACGGGACAGCACGTGGGGAGGCGGGCTGCTGAGGGAGGCGGCGGGTATGGGTTCAGCTAACAGGGGGGGCGCGCCGGGTTCCGTGGGATGGTAGGAAGATTGAGGGGGGCGAGCGAGGGAGCTGGGAGGGTTAGAGGTGATGCAGCATGTTCGGAGCTGGGCGCTATGAAGGCTAGGAGGTGGTGTTAGGTGGTGGGGATGCGAGCAATGATAGGCTGCAGGATCGGCAATGTGTGCGCCTAAGTCCGTGGGACCGTGATACTGACTTGACCTTTCGCCGGGCTTCCGCACGGCTCTCTTCCATATCTGCACCTCCGGGCGTTGGCGCGTTCCCTTCGAGCGTGGGAAGGGGAGGGGCGAGATCCTTCCTTCCTTCATGCGTGCGAGGCACACCGGTGCATATGTTACATGATGCGCAGGGGAGGGGCATACGGGCTGCAGGAGTTGGCCCGTAAGGCTCCTGGGTGGAGAACGGGGAGAGCCACGAGCCGTCCCTTCCTAAGCTGCTGCATCGCTCTGTTCGCCGTCCTCTACACTACGCGACCTAGCACACGCCGACGTAGCACGCGCCGACCTGGAACCTACCGACCTAGCACCTACCGACCTAGCACCCGCCTGACCCATGGGTCTATTAACGACACGACGCGACACAGGCGGCGAGGGATGCGACTAGTCATAAGTACTGACACAACATGCACGGTAATTGGGGACACTCAGTGCGCCAATTCCTTGTACCATCATCATTTCGCATTTCGCAATTAACCCCGCGTCCCACCTACAGCGAAAAGAAGACCCTCGAACAGCGAAATGCTAAGGCAGCCCCGCCGCTGCTGCTCTGTCAACACACCGCTGAGCGGCAAACGAACAGTGGACTACCCTGGCAACCCGCAAGCTACCGCTGGCTCCGTCAAGCGGAAATACTCCCTTCCAAACAACCTTACCTAAAATATCGTACACCTGCTCAGAGGCGCGAGCGCCAAACCCGGTACCCGAGAAACCTCCCCACCCACCTGCCAGCGAACTAATAGGAACACGCACTCCTGCAGCAGGGGCCTTCACGCCACCACGACACCCCGATGCCACACCCTGATGCGATCATTACACCCCCTAACACCCCAACCCCAGCTACCTCCTAGCTCTGAAGTCTCGTACTACAGCCTAGCCTCCAAGTCTTATCAAGATACATGGCCGCGCCAAGCCCGTCCGCACAGCACCTGGGGTGCTTGTCTGTACAGAGGCGCACTCCTCATTTGTACAGCTAGTCATTATTCTCTCTAGCGAATGGCCGAACAGGGCCAGCCATCACCCTAATCCCTCAGATCTACCCTAATCATGGTCATGGCAGGGATGTGCTGTGTCAGCACAATGTGTATGACCCAAATGCCATCCCCGCTGGGACCTCCCCGCAGGCGGAAGCCGCCGCTGCCGTCCCGGCCGCCGCCCCTCCCATGCTGCCGCTGCTGCTGCTGCTGCCCCCGCAGAGCTCAACCGGCGTCAGCTGCAGCACCTGTGGCCGGCGACAATTGGGAGGCCAGATGGAGGGTCAGGTCAGGAGGGTTAAAGGGGGGGGCAGCGGCGGCCGCACCGGCGAAAGGGCACATATGCCCAACCGTATGCCTAGTACCAAACCTACAGGAAGAACACGAACACATGGACACACGCAGCTGGCCCAACACCCGCCCGCATGCATCCACCCGCCCATGCATCCACCCACCCACCCACCTGCAGCGGTGCCGATCTCGAGTCGTGGTAGTAACCCCCGATGGCGCCCGAGCAGCGGTCCAGCGACAGGTAGTAGAAGCCGGTGATGGTCAGTGGGCAGTCCTGCAGGGGAGGGGGGGGGGGGTAGCGGGTCACGGAGGGGCCCATGGGGGGAGTCAACACACCTGCCCTGCCGTACCCCCTTTGCCACATGGTAAACCCGCCCTGCCCAACATCCCGCGCCCGTGTGCGGCAGGGCCCGTGTGCTCCCTGGCCAACCACCGCTCATGTGCATGCAGCTCAAGCAGGCGTCGCTTCCGCCGTCCCCACAACCAACATGCCCTACTTCCTTGCCCCTTTCCTCCTCGCAGCCGCATGTCTCCCACCTGCGGCACGTCTACAAAGAAGACCTCCTTCCAGCGCATGAAGATGTGCTGACAGCTGCCCAACTGCGGCGCCCGCCCGTCGTGCCGCTTCACCGCGTTGCGCAGCGCTCCGCTGAAGCCCGGGCAGCGCGACCAGTACCGCACGTCGCTCTCCCGGCTGGGGCAGGTGCCCCACTTGCAGCCCGTCCAAAAGGAGTGGTTGACGTTGTCGATGATTTCACCCTGGACAGCGGTGTGAGCAAGGTGTTGGTGGGGAGGAGGATGTTGTTCTTCATGGGCGTGATGAGACAAGCCGTTTCAGAGCCACACCCTTCGGACCCGCAATGCAGGCGTGATAGAAGGGTCAAGGTCTGCAAATACATCCCTCCGACCCAAATCATCTTCCTTCGCTAAACCTCTCCGTCATGCGACTGGAGAGTCGTACCTCAAAGTACGTGACGATAGGCCGCTTGGCAACAGGGTTGTTCTGGGCCACCATGCTGCCTGTTAGTAAGCCGCGCTCGAGATCGCAGCTGTAAATGGTTGCTGTCACGGTCCAATCTTCTTGCTGGTGCCGGTGCGGAGCAGAAAGCCGCTGTTGCCCTGTAAAGGACCTGCCGGGATGGAGATAACTGCAAGGAGATGGCCGGGGAGGGACGCTTGGAAAGGCCGCGCCCAGTTCAATGTCCTCCTCCATCTCATCATCGGAATCGTCTTCCTCTTCGGGGTTGTCGTCGTCATCGTCCCCGTCCGGTGAATAAGGAAGCAGCCCCAACCGTCCCCTGAACTGCTCCCTGTACTGGTCTGGATTCGACAAGGCCACTCCCTGTACAGTAATTGCTTAGCTTAACATCAATAAGTAACGCCAGATTAACTATGTTGGCAACTCACAAGTCTGCTGAGGCTGAGGAGAAGCTCCCGTCCAGTCGTCTCGCGGAACCTCTCCTCGTGAACTTCCATCGCTTACAATCACACCTACTGGTTATTCTTTTTTAAATGCCGAATTTACTATAGGGGGTCACACGAGTGAAGCACGAGGGCGAGGCACTAATTGCGCGGGTTAACGTTGTGCCTACGTTGGCAAGATACAAACCTGATAAAGGTAGACTGTAGATCGTTCTTCGTATGCACCTTAATCGGCAGCTAGCTGATGGCAACGTACACGGCTGGCCGTACCGTTTACGATCAGTGGAATCGATGCCGCAGGGACATACAGCGCGTCATGTCACAGGATGTGACTCGTGGGAGGTCTCCGCTGGTGATTCCTGGCTCTAAAATCATGGAGGGGGCGGCAGGCGGGTAGGTTCTGCAGCATGGGGTTTGGGAGTAGCCCGGGCGGATAACGGTACACAGAGCAGGTTTGGTATACGGGGCCGGCTCTTCCGTGAAGCTTCTATACAAGGACGTGTTTTCCCACAAGGTCAGGATGCGGCAAAGATTGCTCACCTGCGCTTGGCACTTAGAGACGGCTTTGACGGCTGATGGGAGCACACAGGCGGCGGTGCTATGAGGCTGCACGCTGAGTGGTTCTTTTGTTGTGTTCAGCGCCTGCTTCCCGTCCGAGCCATGCGTTCTAATAAGGGTTGAGGGCGGGGCAACGGGGATCACCGACATGCCCGGACCCAGACCCAGCTGCAGCAACAGCCATTCAGCATTAGGGCTTCAGAGCCCCAGCTTTCAGCCAGCCAGCCAGCCATCCAGCCTCAGCCCAGTGAACAGCACAGCATTCTCAGCAGCAGCAGCAGTATCAGCAGCAACAGCGGGTTTCGGGGATCTGGCATGTCTTGCGTTGTGCTGCCGTTGTGATCATCCCCGTGTGGCTTACGTTGCGGAAACCCCGACCCTTGCTCCTGTGCTCCCTCCCCATGACCTCGCGCACCCCGGGACATGCTGCATGCTCGAGGACACCGGAGCTAGCAACCTGATTGCGGCATCACGTTGCTGCAGAGCCAATGGGAGCCCCGGTGCCCATGCATGTAAGTGGGAGGCAGTTTTGGGGTACTATGTTGGGGCTGTCCATGACGGATTGTCCCAATAGCGGCTGTCCAGGAGTTTGAGGGTTCGAATCCCTCGAGGACAACAAGGGTGTGTCCAGTCCAATAGTGCCGCCTCGGGGTTCTTACCGGGGAGCCGAACAAGGGGCCCGAGAAGGGTAGCCAGGGTTAGGGAGGACTTAAAGCAGCAACAGCAACGCAGTTCTGTAACGTAGTAAGCAGTAACAAAAGGCACTAGGCTTTCGGCATGTACCTTGCCAACCCCTCATATTGTTATAAGAATGCGTACATGTTGCGGGGCCACGTCTCGCGGTCAAGGCAAAGTCAACGCCGCAATAACATGCTCCCATGTCGCCTGTAGTACCTCGGCCACACAAACCATCACTTCCATCCTGGGGACACCGTAGACCGTTATAATGCACAGCTAGGGAGACCACGTGTAGGCAGCTGCAATCGACCCACTGAGTTCCGTTGTCAACCGTCATACGTACATGGCCAGCTTGTGACAGCCATCGAAGTCGACTGCTGGTGTTAATCCAGCCTTTCGTGGAAGCATGCGCCCAGCCATCCTCTTCCTCTTCGCATCCCGCTGGAACGTGTGGCGCATGAACTGAACTGACATATGCGTTCATGGCTGGTACGAGAACCGGGTACGACCGCATCTGATCACCGGTGGCTTCCCTCATGCCCTTACATGGCGCTGTAGGGCGCAATTGACGGCTGCCTCGTTTTGTTATACGCAAGCCGACAGGTAGCAAAGCCGGTCCGGTAGCAGAGTCTTAACAGGGCATTTCCTTGCCTGCGTTAACCTCCTCCATCTTGGCCTCACATGCCCCGTTCTCCCCCTGTGTAAAGACCTCAACCGCTCTACCGCCATCTCTTGTCACATACAGGTCCACAATCCCGAACATACCCTTTCCTTGTAGCCCACCTTCCTCAAGGCCCGGCAAGAGGGCTGCCCCAACATGCGTCTCACTGCACGAACGCACCTACCTGCACCTACCCGCAGCAGCGGCGGTTGTGGGAGCCTGCCACCTGCTGCTGAGGCTGCTGCCATCCGTCCCCCTCACCCATGCCTCACATCCTGATGCCACTCCACTTCACCCCGTCCTCCATCCTTCGCTAAGTTACGTGAGCGACATTAACACCCGAGTTAGCGCACAAAGCAACCGAGCAGCGTTTCACACGGCTGCAGCAGAAGATAGATTACCACCCCCCACCCGCACCCCACTCCTAAAGTGAAAGCCCCATCACTAGCCACCCATTAACCCTCCGGCCCATCACTCCCGCGTTTCCCTACACCTAGCAGCACCACCTGCTGCTTCTGCACTCTTCCTCTTCTGCCGCTGCAATTGTAGTCCATCCATAACCACAGCGAAACAACCGCACTCCACCTCCAGCCTCCCCTCCCATCCCCCTCAGCCTCAGCCACATCAATCCCGCTTCTTGCTTCCCTCCAGCTGTCGCCGCTGCAGCCGCTGCAGGTCGGCCTGGTAGACCATGTAGCCCTTGGGCGGCGGCACGGGTGCGGGGAACAGTGCCCGCAGCAGCCGCTCCAGGTGCCATGTGAAGAGGAAGGCGACGCAGGAGAGCACCACCAGCTGGAACTTGATGTTCTGAGGGGGGGGAGGGGGGAAGGGGGTGACGGGGGGGGGGATGAGGAGGCGGGTAGGCGGGGAGGTGGTTTAGGAGCACATGCCTTACTCGACAGCAGCGGTGGTTACAGGGACACCGAGGTTACACGATTACACAAGGGGCCCGTGAGAGCGGTTAGGAGAGGATACGCCCTGCGCTGACCACCCTTGGTCCTCGCAATACCCCCCCAGTCGCAGCCCCCCCAGCTACCGGTATCCCCAGCCTTGCCCTCTCCCCCCCACACGCCCTCACATCCGGGATCTCCACCATGCCGAACGAGGCGTTGATGCTGGGCATCAGCTCCGTTGCCACCACGAACAGGAAGGCGGCGGAGATGCGCAGGCTGTTGAAGAGGCCGCGGTTCTCCGCGATGGAGGTGTTGAAGGGGTGCCCCACGTAGTTGACGGCAAAGGTCATCATCTGAGGAGGGGGACGCAGGGGCGGGAAGATGGGGCGGGAAGGTGGGTAGGGTGGGCGCGAGGAGGGTTGAGAGAGAGGAGGGATGCGCGAGGCGGCATGGCGAGGGGTCGTTACTCGTTAGGGCACGGCTGCAACGGAAGAGCGGAAGCTGCGGGCCCCCATGCTGCAGATCCCACCGTATCATGAAACCCGCTGCCCCCCCCGCCTGCCCCCCCACCTGCACCACCGCCTGCACCAGGTAGCACACCGTGTTGACAAGGTTGGGCTTGAACTCCGCCTCCGAGCTCAGCCGCTCGCCGGAGGGCATGGCGGCCAGAGCCATACGGTAAAAGTAGATCTGGGGGGAGACGATTGGGCGGTTGGGGGGGAGGCAGGGGTGCAGAGGGTGAGGAACAGGTCGGTCGAAGGCAGGCAGGGCAGCTGAGTAGGATTACCACCACCTCATCCCTCCCCGCCTCCTGTCCACACGGCTAATACCCCCTCCCCCCACCTGACACCCCGCCCCCCCCCAAACACCCACCAGCAGGCCCAGGTGCACGGCGAACTGCCCCAGCAGCGATCCGAAGAAGTAGGCGTTGAAGATGGAGGGGTGCGGGCGCACGGGGCTGAGGCTGTCCAGTGGCTTGGCCTGGCTGATGAACAGGAACTGCGCGGCGGACAGCATGCCGCTCACAGTGGCCTGGGGGGGGGAGAGGTGGGGGAGCGGTCAACAGGGTTCAGAGGTAGGCGTTGGAGTATGGCACATGCAACTCGAAGTGGCAAGGCACGAGCATGTAGGGGGTGTAACGGGTTTAACGGGTGGTGATGCTTGTGAGGGGCGTGCGCGATGGGAAGGCGCAGAAGTAGGCATTGTGACAGCTGGGGGTCCGGTAGTCAGTAAGACACCGCTCGGGAACACCGTGTAGACCCATGGGTCGCTCGCCCTCACACCTCTCCACGCACTCCCTCCGCCCCATCCCTCACCCCCCCTCCCGCACCTGCGTGTCGCTCAGCTTCACGCCCTGCAGGTACAGCACCGAGAGGCTGTAGGCGGTGGAGAGGCAGGTGAGGCCCAGGATCTTGAACATCTGCACCGTGGTGACCAGCGTGCACCTGGGGGGAGGGGCGGGGGGGGCGGGGCGGGTGCGCGGGCGGGGGGGAAAGATGTCCAAGAGGAGGTGGGGAAGGGTATGTGAAGGAAGCGAAGCTGAGCATGGAGGTATGAGGAGTTGCGAGGCTCCAATAGACATGCAGTACATGGCCGTGTTCAGTGTGGGGCATGTGGTTGCTCCCACCCGGTGGGGGGCTCAGCAGTTGAGTTTCTCAGCAGCGGTTGAAGCTCTGAAAATAGGTAAGACTCCCCCGGGCCCCTCAGGGACCCCGGGGCAAGCATCACGGCCCACAGCACCGCACTGTCCTCAGTCGTGTGAGGCACCCCATGCAAGTCATGTGAGGCGCCCCATGCAAATCCCTTCCTGTTCCTCCCTGGTCGTCCTAGACAAGAGGGCTCAGCACAGAAGTGATTCCTCAATCATACGGACTTTCCTCAGCTAAGAGGGTGTAGTACTTTGTTTGCATCATCGCCCTTTGCAGAGGATGTGCGTATCACGCATCCCCTGGTCTTTTCTCTCCCTACCCCATTCCTGTTCCCTACCCCAAGCTTCCTACCTGCCCTCGCCCACAGCCCACCTACCACACGTTTACAACCGCCTTCTCCTCAGCCGCCACTCTCCCTCCCCTTCCCTCCCCCCCCCCCCTCCCAGCCCACCTGCCCTGCTTGATAATGTCCGTGCACGGCTGCACCGAAACCGCCTTGGCCGTGAAGGGCGAGGCCATGGACGCGTCCCCCGGCTTCAGCATGGGCACCTCCCCCTCCAGCCCCCCCGGGCCCCCCGCGGCGGCGCCCGCAGCCTCCATGCGATCCAGGTAGGCGGCCATGCGCTCGGCGGCCGGGGTGATGGGCCGGTTGGAGGCGCGCAGCTTGGCAAGCATCTCCTGACCCGCGGGCAGCCTGCAGAGGTGGGCGGGAGGGGGGGGAAGGGGAGGTACCGGCGTGACGGCCGCCCTCAGCTCGGGAACAGCACAACAGCAGCTACTCAACTCCCCCCCCCTGCACCGCCCGCATGGCCCCTCATAGCCTCTCCATCCGCTCTCCCCCTCCCCGCGCTCCCCAACTCACTTGCCGCCGGGCGCCCCCGCCCCCGCTGCTGCTGCTGCTGGTCCACCGGCTGCCGAGCTCCCCGCCTCGCCTGCCCCCGCGCCCCCCGCCTTCTTGGCGCCCTTCTTGCCGCGCTGCTTGGATGCGGCGCTCTCGCTGGCACTCAGCAGCGCCACCCCCACATGGGCCGCCTGGGGGGGAGGAGGAGGGAGAGGAGGGGGTGGGGAGGGAAGGAAAGAAGGGCCCGGGAGGAAGGTTGTGGAGACGGGAGGGGGACAGGTGGGCGTGCGCCGTGCAGGGGGGGAAAAGGATATACGCATATACGGACAGGCTGTATGTGCCGTATCCTGACGCAGTTGCGAAACGTCCACCGCAGCTACCGTGCAAGCTACGCCCTTCCTCGCAAAGCCCCGGGCCGCACCGCCCACCGCTCCGCTGCCCAGTCCCCAAGCACCGACCACCGCCCTGAGCGGCCCCTTCCCTCTCACATGCGCCCTAGCGCCACCTCTTCCCCTCATCTACCCCCAGGCACACCACCTAGCACCACGCGACACGCCAAGCTGGGTTTGGGGAGCTGCGGGCTCCCCCCCTCCCCCCTCCTCTCCCTGCCCCCACCTTGAGTCCGCCCACGTCGTTGGTGCCGTCCCCGCACATCAGCGTCACCGCGCCCGTGCCCCGCAGCGTCTTCACCACCAGCTCCTTCTGGTCGGGTGACACGCGCGCAAACACCTGGCACAGCGGGATGAGCGGGGCGGCGGCTCCCACGGCGGCGGCGTGCGCCAGGGCGTCACCCGAGACCGCCAGGTCGTACTGGGAGGCCACCTGGGGGGGGCGGGAGGGGGGGCGGGTGAGGGGGGCGGGTTGAGAAGGGTAAGCAGGTACACCCTGAAGAGTGAGGAACCAACGTTCAGCAGTAGGGCGCAAACCAACGGACGGCTCAACCCCTCACCGCCTCCGCTCCTTACCCCTGCCCTCTCTACTTCTACCGCCCTCCCAGTGACGTATCGTCCTCTCCACCCCTCTCCCCGCACCCCCCCACCCCCCACCTCCAGCATATCCTCCCACTTGCGGCTGAAGGGCAGGCTGACGCGCTCGTCCGGACTGCTCCAGCGGAAGGCGCTGTCGGGCTCCGAGCCGGGCTGCGGGGGGGAGAGAGGGGAAGAGGGAGAAAGGGAGAGGTGTGGGAGGCGAGGTGGAGGCGGGGTTCGTGACCAAACAATGCAGGTGAAGCAAGCAACACGCAAAATAGTGTGGACAGAGGCAGTCACAAAAAGCCAGTAGGAGTGTCGGCATCTTGATACCAAGCAGACGCCCGTCCCCTTTGCACCGCCTCCCCTCCCCCTGCCCCACCTCCTTTGCCCCCATCGCTCCGCCCCCCGCGTGCCCCTTGTCCTCCTCAACGTGACCCAGCACCAGCACCGGCCGCGTCACGATGTGCACCCGCGCCGCCGCGTAGCAGGCCGTCAGCGGTGCGTCGCCCGTGATCATAACCAGCTGGTGCGCGGAGGCGGCCAGGGCGGCGAGGGCGGGCTCGCTCTCGGGCTTCAGAGGGCACTGGAACACCGCGAAACCTGCATGGGAGGGGCCACATGGGGGGGGGTGCAGATGGTGGGGTGGGGGCGCATGGGAGGGCATGGGGGGGTGCATGCAAGGGGCGCAAGCACGCCAGGGTTAGGGCATGGCTATGTTACATATGGCGGGTGGGATGGTCGGCTGCAGCTGCTCCAATAAGCCGTTACCAGCAGCCCTCCCAAGCGACGGTGACGACTCCTTCCCTCCCCCCCCCCTCCCCTCTCCGCCCCCACCGACGAAGTGCAGCTGCGACTCCACCTCCTCCCGCGGCATGGAACGCAGCGTGGCGGAGTCCAGGTCCTGGGGGGGGAGGGGGGCAGGGGGGGGGGAGGGGGGCAGGGGGGGGGAGGGGGGCAGCGAGGGGGACAGGAACAGGGGCAGGTGGGCTGGAGCAGGGGCAGCGGACGAGTGAGGCGGCGTGGGCAGGGATGAGGGGAACCGGCGGAGACGGCCGGGCTAGTGCAAGGGCAGGAGCAAGCGGCGATGGGTGCGTGGGAGGAGCGCAGGGATAGGAACAGGGGCAAGCGAGGCGGTGTTGTCGCATGCAGCGGGCCCCTCAACCCCCACCTAACCAGGGCTCAGTGACCCCGCAAGCCCACCTCCAGTCCCGCCAAGCCTTCCAGCCCTTCCTTTACCCACCCATCCCCCTTGCATCCTTGTCTCAGTCGTACCCCATCCCCGACCCGGCCCTCCAAACTGCTTTTACCCCCCTTTCCCCTAGGGTCACGGTTTGCATGCTTCATCGCCGCTCAGCTCAGTAACCCCCTCTCCCCCTTTCCCTCCCCCCCTCCCTCCCTCCCTCCCTCCCGCCCTCTTACCGGCGACAGGGCCTTATGCGCCAGTGCGATCACCCGCGCCCCCTCCGCCGCGTAGCGCTTGTACTGCGAGTCGTAGTCGGGGGGTACGGAGGCTGCGGGGGGAGGGAGGTGGGAGGTGGGAGGGAGGTGGGGGGGGGAGGGAGGCAAGGGGGAAAGGGAAGGGGGAAAGAGTTCGTGACATGGGATGGACATGGACTGCTGAGTGATGATGCCGGCATGAAAGCAAAAGCGTACGCCACCTCCCTACCTTGCCCCCGTGTGGTCTTCAATACCCCCCGCCCTCCCTCTCCCCCCCCCACCCACCCAGCAGCCCCTTGAGCACCTCCGGAGCCCCCTTGGCCACCACCACCAGCTGAGGACCCAGCATCGCAGCAGGACCCGGGGCAGCACCCGCGCTACCCCCCGCCCCCGCCCCCGCCGCGGGTGCGCCTTCGCCGTACACGTACGGCGAGGGCGCCAGTCTCAGCCCCGGCGAGTCGTCCTCCACCCGCAGGACTGCCGCCATGCGCTTGAGGTGGGATGAGAAGTGGAAGCGGTGGAGCAGGGAGGCGCGGACGCGGCGGTCGGGGGAGAGGGAGACGTCCGCGGAGCCGGCGCCGCCCGGGCCGCCGGTGAAGGTCCAGCCCACCGACTGGGGAGGGGGGGGGGAAGGTGAGAGGCAAGGGGTGCGAGGAGGAGGGAGGTAAGATTGAAAGGAGCTTAAGAGTACGGAATGCTCTGTCGATGAGGTTGCACTAAAAAGTTGCAACTTGAGAGGAGACCGATGACCGGCCCCCCTCATGACTAACACCTGTACATCGTGGCTTTTCCTACCTCCCCTGCCGCACCCCTCCCTCCCTTCCCCCTCACTCCCCTACCTCGAGAGCCGCCTTCTCCAGCGGATCTCCCACCACCTCGTAGCCCCCCTCGCCGCCCTTGCCTCCTCCCTCCCCTCCCGCCGCCGTTGCCCCCCCCGCCGCCGCCTGCACCTGCACCTGCACCAGGCTGTGGCAGGCGGCAAGCACCAGCGTGGCGCGGGGGCCGAAGCGCCTGCGGGGAGCAGGGGAAGGCACAGGGAGGTAAGGGAACACAGGGAATGAAAAGCGGGGGACGTGTGGGGATGCGCAGGGGTGCGGTACACGGCAAAGCATGGCCCTCAATCGCCCCTGGCCACCCCAACCGTCACACCCAACGCTCAAACACCAATCCCGTCCTCCCCTCCCCCCTCCAAACCCATACCTTGGATCCTTCACCAATGCCGGGTCCGCCAGTTCGTCCTCATCCGGCCCCTTGCCGCCCTCACCCAGCAGCTCGGGCTCGTCCCTGAGGGGGGCGAGGGGGGAGGCGGGGGCAGGAAGAGGGGTTGACGAGGAAGGTATCAACACCAGGAGCACCGCCACGGGACCCACACCTATGGCACACCCCGCCCCGCACCTCCTCCGCGCAACAGCCCCTCACTGGCCATCCCCCTCGTCACCCCACCCGCCCTCGCCCCTTCCCTTCTCACCCTCACTTCTTCCCTCCCCCCCCTTCGCACCTGAACGTCACCTTGCGCTCCCTCGCCGCCCCCTTGCCGCCCTTCCCTCCTCCTCCCCCCGCCCCCGCCTCCCCCTCCCCTGCCGGCGTGCATGCGGGCGGCGGCGGCGGGCGGGGCTCCGGGTCGCCCACCAGCCCCTCCAGCAGCAGGTGGTCACTGGTGAGGGTGCCCGTCTTGTCGAAGCAACACACCTCAACCTGGCAGGGTACATGGGGGGTGAGGGGGCGCGGTTGGGGGCGCGGTTGGGAGGACACACTTAAAGGCGACCCGAGAGGGCAGGCAAACGTAGCAGAGGCATGCAGCAGCACGTGTGCTATCGAACCCAAGCCCCAAGGCCTCAGACCCAAGCCTCAAGCTCCATGCCCCCCTAGGTACGGCACCTCCTCCCGACTCAGCCCACCTTGCCGGCAAAGGGAATGCGGAAGGGCTCGGTGCAGAAGACCCTCTTGCGCGCCAGAGCCAGCAGCGAGGCGTTCACCGCCAGCGAGAGCTCCATGGGCAGCTCGGGCGGGATGACGGAGGTGACGATCATGATGCAGTTCAGCAGCAGCTTGAAGCGGGAGCGGGAGGGGTCCTGGGGGGGGGTGAGAGGAGGGAGGGGAGCACCAAACCGCAAGTGAGGGCAGGTGGTGGAGGGAGGCGAGGCGGCAGGGTGCCGTAACACAAGGGTTGGTGGCCCTTATCCAAACCGCGGAAGGGCTGCATGAAGGGGTGCATGAGAAGGTTGAAGGGGGGAGGAGCGCCGGGGTGGGTGGGGGCACCCGCGCTGCCTCACCTCCAGCCCATTGACCAGCACGTAGTATGCGGCCGACAGCGCGAAGAGCATGAGGAAGGCGATGAAGAGCCCGGCCTCCGCGTTGTTGGCCGTCACTCTCTCGGTGGAGAAGAGGATGGTGCGCATCAGCCGCCCCTGCGCCGTCTCGAAGCCGGTGCGCAGCACCACCGCCAGACAGCCGCCGTCGGGGGTGCTGGCGGGGGGGAAGGGTGGGGGGTGAGGGTGAATCAATGGATCCAAGGGCGGGCGGGCGGGAGGGGCCAAGAGGGGGCACAAGGGCACATGGGCGGCCTTGTCCCTACCGCTCCTCAGTGCTCCAGGAGCTCATTGCCTCCCTCGCCTCACCGCCCACACCCACACCGCCCTCAACCTCCACACCCGCACTCCCTCCGTCCCTGCGCTGCACCCACAGCTCTCCCCCGCTCCCCTGCACATCCCTGTACCCTCTCCCCCCCTCTCACCGAATGCGCGCGCCCTTGTCCCCCGTGTGCTGCAGGATCTTGGTGCCCCCGAACAGGATGTGCTGCTTGTGCGCCTTGGACGACAGCCGCTCCCGCGCTCCCCCCTCGCCCCCCGCCAGCCGGTCCCCGATGTGCGTCTTCCACTGCGGGGTGCTCTCGCCAGTCAGCACCGCCTCCTCCGCGATGCAGCTGCCAGCCAGCAGCAGGCAGTCGGCGGGGACCACCTTGTCGCCGCCGGCAGAGGTGGGGTCTGGCAGGGGGTGCATGGGGAGGCACGTCAAGGAGCGCCAAGGGAAGGAAGGAGGTGTGCAGGTGTTAAAAAGGGGGTCTAGGTTTGTGATGGGGAGGGCTGTAGCTGCATGGCTCCCCCCGTTGTGCGCCTCCTCCCTACCACCGCCCCTCCATCACCGCGACCGGGTACCATGCTAGCGGCGGTACGTCCCCCCGCACACGCACACGCACGCCCTCCTGCAACCCAGCCCAACCGCTCCCCACCCCCACCCTCCCCCTCACCCGAGGTGGGTCGGCCGATGGAGATGACGTCCCCGGGCAGCAGCGAGTCGCCTGGCAGCAGCTCCCACTTGCCACACCTGGGGGGCGGGGGAGGGGAGGTAGGAGGGAAGCAGCGGGAGAGGAACGTGCACCCCGACCCCACCAGCATACCATCATCAACCGAAAACCCCCTAACAACAACCACTCCCCCACGGCCCCACCTCGACCCCCCACCTGTACACGTGTATCTGCTGCTTGGGCGTCTGCAGCGAGCGCAGCTCCTTCAGATTGCGCAGCCGCTGCCCCACCACCGTGCTCTCAAAGGTGACCAGCATGAACAGCGTGAACAGCGAGTAGTAAAAGTACTCGTCCAGCATCCACAGCATCACGCAAAACACCTGGGAGGGGAGGGGCAGGGGAGGGGAGGGGATGAAGGAGGGAGAAGGAGGAGGAGGGTGGCAGGTAAGACAAACATGATGCCTCCTGCATCAACAGAAGCGCAGCCCCACTGTTGGCGCCCCGCTGTTGCTGTACATGCGTAACACGAAGCAAGGCGCCTCCCGGCCTCCGGTCGCCCTGCCCCCAATCCATTTCCTCCTCTTTGCCCCCCGCCTCCCCGCATGTCCCCGCATGTCCCCCCTCCCCCCTCCCCCCCCACCTGGAACACGAAGAAGGGCGCCACCAGGTGCTCCTTCATGAGGGCGGAGAAGGCGGGCAGCGGCACGTCCACACGGTTGAGACCGTAGCTGGGGGGGTCAGGGGTAGGGAGGCAGGGACAGGGAGGCAGGGGCAGGTGGGCGGGCAGCAGGAAGAGGAGTGGGTAACGGGGAGGTAACTAACAACGGACGAGGGGGAGGGAGCAGCAGGGCGGATATGCACGTCGGGATGAATGAGCAGTCACGACTGCCTACTCCAAGCAGCAGGCAGGCAGGCAGACAGGGGAGGAGGGGCAAGGCAAGCAAAGGGCCCAGGGAAGCAGGCGCGCGCGAAGGAAGCAGGGCAAGGAAGCAGGCGGGGGTCAGCGGTCAGGGCCGTGTGGGAACGCACCGGTCGAATGCCGCCAGCTGCTTGGTCTCCGTGCCGTGACCGCTGGCCCGACTGTACGTCTCAAACGTCTCCTGAAGGGAGGCGGGGGGTTGCGGTGGGGGGGCGGTTGGTCTCAAGTCGCGTACCCGGGTTGCGGATCAGTCCTGCACTGGTTACTGGTCTACACGGCCTATCATGTAACCATATGTGGCTGCCACCCGGCTCCCATGGTGCAGAAGAGGCCCACCCAATCCGCACCCAGTGCCTACCAACTCGGTGCCCCCCCCTAGCCAGTGGGCACTACACGCGAACCGACGCACCTACGCAACTCTACCTTCACCCCGCCCGCCTCTAGTCCTCCTCCTCCGCCGCCGCCGCCTTCCTTCCCCCCCACACACACCCAAACACGCACGCACAGCGCACCTTATCCGGGAAGCGCAGCTTCTCGAAGCAGTGCCGCTCCGCATTGTACACGAAGCGCTGCCGCCGGAACTCGAAGCTGAGCTCCTCAACTTCATGCAGCGTGTCCTTCTGCGGGCAGGCGGATTCAATGAATGTTTGGATTGCTGTTGTACTGCTTTCATCAAGCCCGTGATGTGATTCAAGGGGTGGCGTGAAGCGCCGGGCCGGAAACTTTGGGGCGGGTTAGCACCCATCCAGCGGATCATGTGCAGCGAGCCCGCACCCACCAGACTCCTGCGGTCAAGCGGGACCAGCTCCGTGCTGCCGTTGAAGCGGACTGGCACCACCAGCACCACCTCCGCGTCGTCAAGGTCGGACACGTTGGCTGTCGACACCAGGGCGCGGAAGCGGATGCTCCAATGAGTGAACAGATGCGCCAAGATGTTCAGCAGCGCCACGCCGGCTATGCCATAGCAGTGGTAAGTGAAGAGATCCCTGAAGGTGGCGGAAAGGGTGCATGCGTACAGTTACAGGGTAAGTCGTCGCATGGCCCACTCATAGGACACGGGTTCTAACTCAATCGCAGCTTCAAACGTATTCTATAAGACATAACCAAACTGCTGCCTGCTCCTACCATTCAAAGCGGCTTGCGTGGTAACCGGTCTTAACCACAACCAACGCGTAAAGCACGAGAAAAGGAGCCACATCCAGTCTCCGAATTCCAGTCACTCGTCGTTTCAGAACAACGCGTTCTAGGCCCTTCGCCAGCACTGCTGGCTGCCCAGGAGGACCCTCGCCGGCGGCCGTTTCGCTCATTCCTTCCTAACTGGCAAAGGTGAAATCCTTATGACGTCAAGATCACAAGCTAGAAGCTAATGCGCCTGTAAGTGTTAAGCTTGGCCTCCAAAAGTCAGGCATGTGGTGTGATCTGGGTACCGGTGTAGAAGTGGTCAGGTGCCATTCCCCTAATCAGTGTGTAAAGAACTGGGAAAGAGGTTTACAAGCTATTGGAATGTCTTAAACATCTATGCCTGAACGTACACAGCACCCGAACGGCATCTGCGAATGGTGATGGTAAAAAACCGGGCTGTGTCTGCAGGAGCTTCTCAATGCAATTGTCTTCAAATGGCTTATTGCGTGTTAAAGCACATCGCTTGTGAAAAGTCTTCCCCAGTTTTGCCGCACGAGATATTACAAACAACTGGTCCGGACAGTGCCACGCGAGTATGTTTACAAAAACATAATGACATCCGTATGACTATTTAAGGGTGCAATAATTTTGACGTGTGGCGTCCCTGTCGCGCAGTTGTCCCTTGGGTCGCTCGTTCTCTCTCTCTTACGCAGTCGACGCAAGGGACTACAGCCTACCGGTACTGCAGTGCCCAGCCAAGTCGTAACAGGTAGACAAATAAAGTTCGTACGGATTACATTTAATCATGCAGCCTTGCTTGCCTTGCGCAATTGCATCCGTCCAAGACCCTGAGCTGGTCTTTCCTTGTAAGCGTAAACAAAACCTTGTGTAACCACCGTCAGCCCGCACCATTGCTATCGCATTATCACGTCGAGTGCTGAAGGGGCACCGGTGGGCACCTTCAGACGCATGCCCGCCTTCCAGGTCAACGTTCACACTCCAGGCAGGGTCAACTGAAGAACCAGTATCCAGTCAACGAACTTCCCTTCCCGGCACGCTTGCTGTCAAGTTGGTGCGCCCTGTGCAGTAAGCAAAGCATCGTACGCTGATGAAGAGTCATGTTGTGATGTTGTCATCATCATGTCGCCTCCCAACCTTGCAGTTTCCCCCGTACGGTAACCAGAAAGCCAGCCACCGTCATGCCGTACTACACTCCGTACACCGACCTCCGTACGCACGGCACTGCTGTGCTCCGCAACCAACCGTCATCGTCACCCTCCTGTCAAGGCCCTCCCTATCGTTCCGTTATTGCGTTAACGGCTAGTACCGAACATAAGCGATCGCCACCTCCTGCTGCCTCCTGCCTTCCCTCCTGCCTCCTCAGCTTGACCTGCGGCCGCCCAGCAGCGCCCCGCCCACGGAGCCCGCGCCGTTGATCAGGTTGGCTATACCGTTCAGCAGCGCCGCCTTGCCGCCCGCAGGGCTGCCGGCGCTGGTGGGTCCGCCCAGGGCGCCCACCTTGTTGAGGTCCTTGTTGACGTTGGGGTTCTGAAGGAAGGAGAGGGGGAGGTGCAGGCGGGGGGATGCGGGATGAGGTGCAGGGGAGGGTAGGGAGTTGTAGATGTGAATGGAGGGAGGAAGGTAGGCTAGGCTAGTATAGGATAGAACAGGATGCGCGGGATTTAAGTATTTCAGCATGTTTTCAAGTCATGCACGCTTTCACACGCCTTTAGTCACCCACCTTGATGGTGATCGGGTTGGAGATGGAGATGGGGTTGGAGCTGACGACGTTGATGCCGCCCGAGCCCACCGTGGTGGGGGTCGCCGCCGGCGCCGCCAACGTCACCTGCTTTTCAAACAACGGTTGCGCCTCCATCTGCTTTACAAACACCGGCTGCATTTGCGTGGGTTGCGCCTCGATCTGCTTTACAAGCATCGGCTGCATCTGCATGGGTTGCGCCTCAATCTGCTTTACAAACATCGGCTGCATTTGCGTGGGTTGCGCCTGCATCATTGTCGTTGCGACCGGGGAAACCGCCATGGGTTGCGCCATGGGTGCGTATGCCATTTGCTGCGGCACCGCTTGAAAGGGATGTGTCGCCACAGGCATCATTGCCGTCGGAGCCGAGGCGGTGGCTGGGATGTATACCGCCTGTCATCGTGAAAGTGCGGGGATTACGGGCGGGCCATTCAAAAAGCCATCAGGTTTGACTATCACTCCTAACTGCACGAGGACCCTCATCTGAGCAGGGCACCTCCCCCCCCCGATTTGCATGCATGCATGGGGTTCCCACGCGCCCCTTCTTACATTGGTGCCGGCCGGTACCGCTGCCGCCGTGTCGGTGGCCACCTCAGCGCTTGCAGGCGCGCCGAGCTCTAGGGATGCTGCGCTGGCGGCGGAGCTATCTGAGCTGCTGGTGGTGTCGCCGGCGGCACCGCAACCCGTGTCAGCACCGCCGCAGTCGGTGCTGGGGGCGGCGACGCTGGGGACGGGGATGCTCGGGACTGGGATGCTGGGGACGGGGATATCGGGTTTGGCGATGCTGGGCAGCACCTGGGCGATCTTGGATTCTTCGATTGTGGGGACGGGGATGTCGGGGACGGGGATGCTGAAAGCGGTGACGTTGGGAGGTGCGGTGCTGGGAGCTGCTGCGGTGTTGGGGGCGCTGCTGGCGGCTCTGCACGGCAGGGCAGGGGCAGGGCAGGGCAGGGCAGGGCAGGGCGGGGAAGGTCTGCACGGCAGGGTTGAAAGAGCGAACGAACTCATGCAGGGCACGGCAACACGCGTTTGTGAAGGGTATGTGATCAAGGTATGTGTGGCTGTGCAGCGAGTACACCGACCACGGCCAGGCACACAGCTGGGTTGGTTAGCAGGAGCCAATGCAGGTGCCGTACTCACGTAACTGCTCCCACCGTAACGAGCGTAGCTCGCTAAGAATGCCACTAAAAACACCTTGCGAGCTAGGCCTATCCAGTCCCAGCCATTTCTATTCCAGCCGCATCACATGCATCCCCTGCCGGTCATCTCTCCCGTACACAGAAGCTCACTGGTCAAGTAGAAGACGGGTCGCGTCCACTGGAGGCGCCATCCACAAGCAGCCCACAGCCGCAAAGGTCACCACCACCAGCACCACGAAGCGTGTGAGGGACAGCGCGCGAGGAGCTGCAGCTACAGACTGGGAGCCGCCGGTTCCGACGCCGGAGGGACGGGGAGTCGAAGGAGTGGTTGAGGTGGACGGGGGGGATGCGGCGGATCGGTCGCTGCCATCGCTGGCATTGCAGGCTGCAGCTCGTTTATTCCCGCCGGCACGCCTCGACGGCGCCATGTCTTATAGCACTGGCTCGTTAATGGTTAGGCGGTTTTGTACGCTGCAAAATTGGTCGATTAATAGGTTGATGAAAGGCTGCAGAGCTTTTCGCTGGCCCCAGCTCGCGGTAAAGCAAATGTTGCTAAGGTACTGGACCCATAGAGTGCGAGCCGGAAGCAAGGGCTTCCTCGTATCATTGAACACGACATGTTGCGGACGTTGTTGATAGATATTGATAGATAGCTGGTACATCATCCGGGCTCAGGCAGGGCGCGCATTGTGTGATGGGCGAACCGTCGCGACTGATTCGGCAGTTGAAAGCCGTTGAGAGGCGACTGTCTGTAGCGTCCAAGCGGCAGCCACGGAGCCAGCCGCGCTCTGCTGCCGACCTTTGCATGTGTATAATTGCGCTAGCTTCCTCCGGTCTACGGTTTGCTCGCTGCAACAAACAAAGACAACTTTGGCTTTCCCTGGCAAACTTGCTGCTTCAGACGCTGCTCGTGCATCGCTTCCTCATTCAACTCACCAGCCTAGATTGCATAGCACATTGCACACCAGCCGCTCACGCCCCCGTGTCAGGGGTGCCTCATGCCGCCGCGGGAGCGCGGCCCTAGCTGGCCCCTAGCAACCTGGCATGGAAGCGCGACATGAACCCACTGGGGGCTTTTCGTCGCACGCGCAAGCAGCAGCAGCAGCAACAACAACGTTCCAACCAGCCCAAGCAACACTGCGGCCTCTACATGCAGCGGGTTGCAGCTGTTTCTACGTGCCTAGCCGAGTTGAGCATGAAGGTTGGCATCGCGACCGACCCGTGGGTCGCTGTGCCGCGGCATCTGCCCCTACCGCGTTCCTCTGGCAACCATGCTTCCGGCTGCATGTACCGCATGTACGTGCCCTGCTGGTGCTGGCGCTGCTAGCAGGGCTGGCAGGTACGGCAACCGGGGTTCCCATCCGCGGTGTGGGTGCGGTGCAGCTGCAGGCCTCCAGGGGCAGCACGGACGCAGCGTGGGGGAATTCTGCCAGTGACAGGGGCGGCGGCAGCGGTGCTACTAGACTCCAAACGGCAGCCACTGGCTATGAGATGGGGACCGGCCAAAGTAGCGCGGCATTGGCATCATGGCAGCAGCACCGGCGTGTGCTGGCGTTGAACGGGGAGGGGACGGGTCAGCAGCAATCCAGCAACGGTGGTGGCAGTAGCAGCGGCAGTAGCAGCAGTGGCAGCAGTGGCAGCAGTGGCAGCGGCAACGGGGATGGTTCCAGGGGCGGCAGTGCTCGCTTGGCCGCCGTTCCTTCCCCCAAGTCGCTGGACCCCGTAGCAGTCAACCTGGCAGCAATCCTGCTTGGCAAGGTCTTCTGGACCAATCTTGTCGCCATACAGCAAGGAGTCAACAGCCTGGGTGCTGGCAGCAGCGGCAGCAGCGGCAGCAGCGGCAGCAGCGGTGCCAGCCCGTCGTTACCCCCACCCCCACCGCCACCTTCACCTCCGCCCCCACCGCCTCCGCCGCCTCCGCAGCTTTCCCAAGGCCAGCCGTCAGCTGCCGTACTTGCCCTAACGCCCTCCAATGCACCTGGCGGCAGTGGCGGCAATGGACAGTCCACCGGCCTTCCTGCTGGAGCAATCACCGGCAGCCCGACATCCGTGCCTTCTCTGGCGTCGGCAACAGCACTGCCTTCGCAGGTTTCCCCTGCTGGCCCTCAGCGCCAGCAAGCGGCGCCTATTAACAACTCTGGCCGCAGCACCCCTAGCAGCAGTGCGGGCAGCGGCATCAGTGTTGGCAGCGGCGGCGAGTACCGTCTCAGCATGCCGGGCGCTGCTGACCCCGCGCCCATGAGTGCTGCCGTACAGGCAAACGATCCAGGATCCGGACTTGCCATGCAGCAGTCGGCGACGGCGCTTCCAGCTACTGTTGGGTCCGCATGGAATGGTGCCGGTCGTGTTGGCGGTAGCGCCAGCAGCAGCAGCGGTATTAGCGGTGCTAGCGGTGGTGGCACGGGAGCAACGACGCCTGCTGCTGCCACCCAAAACATCGGAATGGAGTACCTGCAGCAAAACACGGTGCCGGGTTTGGCTACGACGCAACCCGCAGGGTCCGCGTATGTCATGCCGGTGGGTGGCAACGGCGCTGAGACAGCAGGCACTGCGGCAGTTGTGAATCCTAACGGAGTAGCCTACTACAATGGAGGTACCAGCCTGCAGGTGGGTGCAGGGAATCCTGTACCTGTCGTACAACAAATGTCTGGGATACCCGCCCAGCAGTACACTGTGATACCTTCGGTGGCGCCAGCGTCGGGTGTCCCCAACATCTACATCTCTACCAGCACCCCCGTGAACGTTGTGAATCCGATAACAGTAACGACCGGCAGCAGCGGGACTGATGGTCAAGGAGGAAAGGCGGGTAATAACGGTGAAGGGACGAAGAGCGCAGCGGAGGTGCTTGCCATGGCAGCCGCGCTACGACGGCCGAAGGTTGTGGTGGTGCCGGTGCTGGTAGGACGCTGAGCAACGAATGAAGGTGAATGCAGAAGTGAGGAGGGCTCACTTATAGGTGTGGATTGAAGGCGGGCGATGTGATGGCAGGCAAGTGACTAATAGTAAGGCGCCGACGGTTGCATGTCCGGCCTTGCGTGCGCACGAGCAGGAAACGTGGGGGTGTGTCTTCTGGCTTGTGGTCAAACTTTAAAGCATGGTAGCGTAGCCAACATTTTACTGTACATATCATTTCCAACCGCTACCAACTTCAGCTGAACTCAATTTTTCGTCCCGATGTCATTAACACTGACTCATTGCTTTCACTACGCGTAAGCAGGAAGCCATGTACTAACTTCAAACAGGAGCGTTGACCTACTGTAACTTGAAAATTCGGACATTGTTCTCTCCAACTGCTACAAGCTGACTTTTGGCCTCCTTCTCCCTACCAATATATGAATCCAGTACCGACGTAACGTGTAGACGACTTGACTGCAACATCGTGTCTGCATAGGGGCCATTCGCATTCCAGCTTATGCAACCGAGTAGGAGGACAGGAAATGCTGACCCCCAGCCCTAAAACAGCATCACTATTGACCAGCAAGCCGTCTTAAACCTGTGGGCGTTGGCTGACGGGCAGTCCCTCACCATCTTGTACATCCTCGCCCGAGCCTCTATATCCAGCCATGGGCGCGAGACATTCCACCTATCTAGTGGATGCCGATGAGCCGCAGCCTCAACAGCAGGACCAGATTGCGAATCAGGGGCATCCCGCACCGACTTCGGGTGGTCCGGGTCGTCCCCCTCCCCTAGATTTAGACGCACCGCCTGCGCCAACAGTTCCAGCGACAGCTGCGCCGCGGCGCCGCATCCCCTTATGCGGCGCGGTAGATACGGTGGACGGCCCAACAGGCAACCCCGTGCAGCCGCTCTCTCCCTGGTCCCCGCTGTCCTCGCTTCGGAGTCCAGTGCCCTCGCCAGCTGCCGGGGCGGTGGTTGACGTCTGGATCCTGGCCGGGCAATCCAACACCGTGGGTAGGTAGCGCTCGGCTAAGGTTGCATCTTATACCAACAGTCCACCACGGCAGGCAGAACGTAAGGGACGCGTTTGTTCCTTTCTACTCGACTATCATGATCCTGTTGGTCGGACTGGTAGCCCACCTGACTCCACCGCACGTGGCCCCAACCCACATGCAGGTGACAACTCAGCGGACGGCACCCCGCTGCCCGCCGCCGCGCAGCCGCTGCCCGGCCTGGTGCTCATGTACGACAGCGCGGGCGCCTGGCGGGATGCCGTACCCAGCGTGCACGCTGGCATCCACGGCTACTCGCGACAGGTACGACAGCGAACAGCCGTTTGTGGAGGAGGTTGATCGCATGTTGCTTCCCTCTAATTTACACGCCCGTTTCATTGCACTGCTGAGTCAAAAGCAGCCATCGGCGTCATGCGGCCCACGCCGACATGCATCCTACCATGTCAAGCCAGTAGCTGCCGCCACAACGTCACAACCTTCACACACCATTACTGCGACGTTCCCTCCCTCCCTCGCAGCCCAGTTGCGGCCCCGACATGGCCTTCGCTCGCACGCTGGTTTCCCTGGGTCTCAGCGGCAGGGTGGGTCTGGTGCCGGCGGCCAAGAACGCCACCAGCCTCTTCCAGGACTGGCGGCCCAGCGGAGGGGGAAGCGGAGGCGGGGGGGACTTGTACGGCAGCATGATTGCTCGTACTAAAGCGGCGCTTGCGACACCGCTGCCCGGTGGAGGTGTCTGCAGGCTGCGGGGCATGATCTGGATACAGGTGCGGGTTCGGGCTGGGGTAGCGCTGCGGTGCGCGATTGGGATGGGATGGGGCATTGCGGGCCAGGTCGGGTGGGATGCCCGGGCAACTTTTGGCCCCTTCATCCTCACCAAGCCCCGCTGTGTGTCGTACCACCCCAGGGTGAGTCGGATGCGCAGGAGCGGGTTGGGCCGGGACCTTCAGAGGCGTACGGCAGCAATCTAACCGCCTTCCTAACGGCCGTACGACGAGACCTCTCCAGCTACCATGCGCAGGTGGGGCGCGTGCACCTTGTCTGTGAGTCATTGTGAGTTAGAGTCGTACCTTGTGGGTGGGCGGTCGGGTTGTAGCGTGAAGGGATGCGCGTCGTACGCCCGTGGTGCCTCTTCGGCGCCTTCGTGATGGCAACCTCCCTTCACTAAGCACTCCTTACCAGTCCTTACCCTCCTCAACACATCCTATTATTTTCCTTCCCACACTTCTCTTATTTTCCTCCATCCCTCATTTCCGGCCCCGGCTCATGCGCAGCTGCCCATACTCCTGGGTGTCATGTCCGTACGCAAGCGCGAGAACTTTCCGTACATCGCCGCCGTACGACAAGCCCAACTGGGCCTTACGCTGCCGGGAGTCGTACGGGTGGACATGGCGGGGTTCGAGTTCTTCGAGCAGAACGGCGGCTACCACATCCATCTCACCAAGGACGGCGCATGCGCGCTGGGTGCGGCTATGGCGCATGCGTACTACGCATCGGTGGTGCGTGCAGGGCTGCCAAGGGGGCCGGGGGAGGCGACGACGCCGGCGGGAGCGGCGCCGCCGCTGCCGTTGCCGCCACCGCCGTATGTGTCAACGACACGTGGGGCATGCAGCGGTAGCGGTGATGGTGGCAGTGGTGGCGGAAGTGCCGGTGGTGATGGCAGTGGTGGCGGTGGCGGAGCTGCTGCGGCCGCGGCGAGTGCTGACGTAGCGGCGGGCCCCGCAGCTGGGGCTTCGGCAGGTGCAGTCTCGCCTGATGCGGCTGCGGGAGAGACAGCAACATGCGGCGTTGGCGGAGGGAGCGGTGGCGGTGAAGGCGGTCTGCCGGCGCCGTTGTTGGTGGCTGAGGGGGTTGGTTGTGGGGGTGACACGGCTGCGATGGTAGCGGGCGACAATGGAGGGCTGGGAGGAGGACGGGATGGCGGCGGTGGGGGAGGAGGACAGGCGCTGGAGGGTGTGGGTCAGGATGGCAGGCCTAGCGAGCTTTAGCGGGCTGAAAGACATTGGCGGCAGGAGCTGATAGGGGAGAGGTGACTGTTAGGAGAGACATGCGGGCTTGGGGGAACGGACGGGTCGCGGCGCCTACAGGCATGGGGACAGTGACAGGAACCAGGGAGCTCGCGTGATCCAGGCAGCACGCTGTGTGGCCTTTAGGATGTTGACCTATCAACGGCAAGTACTGTGGGACGGTGTCACCAAAGGTGATGCGTGCGATAAAACTGACATACATACACGTGAGTTTCATGGCATGGCAGCTAAACTGACAGTCCTGGCAGGGCCTAGGCTGCGTTGGACTGCCAACACCCAGTATAGTTGCATTGTACGGCGTGCGTTGGTGTGTGTTCGTTGCACAGCTAGGAATTGTATAGCTCTTGGAATATTATAGCTTGGATTAATGACTGTGAGTATGTGGGATCGCCCGCCGGGCCCCGAGGGTGTTGATTGGTTCGGGCATGACTAGTCTGGGCTAGGCATCCATCGTGTCACCCGCGTACCTACGCATTTAGGGTGCGTAGGAGTACCATCCACGTGCAAAAACGCTCACACATGAGCCTCAGCTGAAGTAAGGTAAACCTATACATGCTCTTGTGTGGGTAGCGC